TCCTTGACGACGCCGCGAATAAATACGCTACCAATGCAGGTATCAATCTTTCTGCTCCAACGGCTTCTGGTGACAGTGGAGCAAGCACTGGAGGAATGCTCATGGACCCTGCCGCTATTGATGCCTTAACAAAAGACCAGCGTGCTCTATTCAAGCAGCAACTCGAGGTAATTGCGCGATACTTGAAGATGGACCTTCGGGCTGGTCAGAGAGCTTTTGTCACGTCACAGGAAACCCAGAAAACGCTCCAAGCACAGCTTGACCTTTGGCAAACAGAGCACGGTGATTTCTACGCCTCAGGTATTGAACCATCTTTCGACTACCTTAAAGCTCGCGTTTACGACTCTTCCTGGAACTGGGCTCGCCAAGATGCATTAAGCATGTACTATGATATTATTTTCGGCCGACTCAGGGCAGTCGACCGCGAAATCGTGAGCCAGTGTATTCGTATTATGAACCGCTCGAATCCCCTTCTCCTCGAATTTATGCAATACCATATTGACAACTGCCCAACTGAACGTGGCGAAACCTACCAGCTTGCGAAGGAGCTAGGTGAACAGCTTATTGAGAACTGCAAGGAGGTGCTTGGAGTTTCCCCGGTTTACAAAGATGTTGCCATTCCAACTGGTCCTCAGACGACAATCGATGCGCGTGGAAACATCGAGTATCAAGAAGTGCCTCGTGCTAGCGCTCGCAAATTGGAACATTATGTGAAGCAAATGGCTGAAGGCGGCCCCATCTCGGAATATAGTAATCGGGCGAAAGTTCAGAATGATCTGAGGAGCGTTTATAAATTGATCCGAAAACAACACCGCCTGTCGAAGTCCTCTCAATTGCAGTTCAACGCGCTCTATAAAGAGGTCGTTCGGGCTCTCAGTATGAATGAAAACCAGATCATGCCGCAAGAAAATGGCAATGCCAAGAAGCCTGGTCGAAACGGTGGCGCGCGCAACGGAAGCCCTCGTTCCGGCAAGGTTGAAACAATACCATTTTTACATCTCAAGAAGAAAAATGAGCACGGCTGGGATTACAGCAAGAAACTTACTGGCGTTTATTTGGACGTGTTAGAGTCTGCTGCTCGGGGAGGCCTCACTTTCCAGGGCAAGAACGTTTTGATGACTGGTGCTGGTGCTGGCTCTATTGGAGCGGAGGTTCTCCAGGGTTTGGTCAGTGGTGGTGCTAAAGTTATTGTCACAACAAGCCGGTTTTCCCGTGAGGTGACGGAATACTATCAGGCTATGTACGCTCGATATGGTGCGCGCGGGTCGCAACTCGTCGTGGTGCCTTTCAATCAAGGCAGCAAGCAGGACGTGGAAGCCTTGGTCGATTACATCTATGATACGAAGAAGGGACTAGGCTGGGATTTGGACTACATAGTTCCATTTGCGGCAATTCCGGAAAATGGGCGGGAAATCGATTCCATCGACTCCAAGTCGGAGCTTGCCCATCGCATCATGTTGACCAATCTTCTCCGACTCTTGGGTAGTGTCAAGGTACAAAAACAAACCAATGGCTTCGAAACACGTCCAGCGCAGGTTATTCTCCCGCTGTCTCCTAACCATGGCACTTTTGGGAACGATGGTCTGTATTCCGAATCGAAATTGGCTCTGGAAACACTTTTCAATCGGTGGTACTCTGAAAACTGGGGTAATTATCTCACTATATGCGGTGCTGTTATTGGTTGGACTCGTGGTACGGGTTTGATGAGTGGCAACAACATGGTCGCTGAGGGTGTTGAAAAACTCGGTGTGCGTACCTTTTCGCAGCAGGAAATGGCATTCAATCTGCTCGGTCTCATGGCACCCGCAATCGTGAATCTTTGCCAGCTTGACCCTGTTTTTGCGGACCTCAATGGAGGTCTTCAATTTATCCCTGATCTCAAAGACCTCATGACCAGGCTCCGCACAGAGATAATGGAAACGAGCGATATCCGCAGGGCAGTTATCAAGGAGACTGCTATTGAGAACAAGATTGTGAATGGCGAGGACAGTGAAGTCCTTTACAAGAAGGTCATTGCAGAACCACGAGCAAACATTAAATTCCAGTTCCCCAACTTGCCGAGCTGGGAAGAAGATATCAAACCCCACAACGAGACTCTCAAGGGCATGGTCAATTTGGACAAGGTTGTTGTTGTTACCGGGTTTTCTGAAGTTGGACCGTGGGGTAACTCCCGAACACGTTGGGAGATGGAGGCCCGTGGCAAATTTTCCCTGGAAGGCTGTGTTGAAATGGCCTGGATCATGGGCCTTATCAAGCATCATAATGGGCCCATAAAGGGCAAGGCTTACTCTGGCTGGGTTGATGCGAAATCTGGTGAGCCAGTGGACGACAAGGATGTGAAATCAAAATACGAGAAATACATCCTAGAGCACTCCGGTATCCGACTCATTGAGCCGGAGTTGTTCAAGGGATATGACCCCAAGAAGAAGCAGTTGCTTCAAGAGATTGTTATTGAAGAGAACCTGGAGCCTTTCGAAGCCTCAAAAGAAACCGCGGAAGAATTCAAGAGGGAACATGGCGACAAAGTGGAGATATTCGAGGTCCCAGAATCAGGAGAGTTTACAGTCCGTCTTAAGAAAGGCGCCACCCTTCTTATCCCCAAGGCACTTCAGTTTGACCGCTTGGTTGCCGGTCAGATTCCTACCGGATGGGATGCGAAGAGATACGGCATCCCAGACGACATTATTGAGCAAGTTGACCCAGTTACTCTCTTTGTGCTTGTTTGCACTGCGGAAACTATGCTTTCCGCTGGTGTTACAGATCCCTATGAATTTTACAAGTATGTCCACCTGTCCGAAGTTGGTAACTGCATTGGATCTGGAATCGGTGGCACACATGCCTTGCGAGGCATGTACAAAGATCGGTATCTGGATAAGCCCCTCCAAAAGGATATTCTGCAGGAATCATTCATCAACACGATGAGTGCTTGGGTGAATATGCTGCTTCTGTCGTCCACAGGACCTATCAAGACTCCTGTCGGTGCTTGTGCTACAGCGGTTGAGTCTGTTGACATCGGTTACGAAACCATTGTGGAGGGCAAGGCTCGAGTTTGCTTTGTTGGTGGTTTCGACGATTTCCAGGAAGAGGGTTCTTACGAATTCGCCAACATGAAGGCCACAAGTAATGCTGAAGATGAGTTTGCTCATGGTCGTACGCCTCAAGAGATGTCAAGACCAACAACTACCACGCGTGCAGGCTTTATGGAATCTCAAGGTTGCGGTATGCAGCTTATTATGAGTGCCCAACTAGCTCTTGACATGGGCGTACCTATTTACGGTATTATTGCCCTTACAACGACTGCCACGGACAAGATTGGCCGCTCTGTGCCCGCCCCTGGCCAAGGTGTCCTCACGACGGCGCGTGAAAATCCTGGTAGATTCCCGTCACCATTACTCGACATCAAGTACCGCCGCAGGCAGCTCGACCTGCGTAGGAAGCAGATTAAAGAATGGCAAGAATCCGAGTTGTTGTACTTGCAAGAGGAGGCCGAGGCAATGAAGGCGCAGAGCCCAGAAACATTTGACGCAACTGAGTATATGCAAGAGCGGGCCCAGCATATCCATCGCGAGACTATTCGACAAGAGAAAGATGCGCAATTCAGCCTTGGGAACAACTTTTGGAAACAAGACTCGTGCATTGCTCCTCTACGTGGTGCCCTTGCCACATGGGGTCTTACCGTGGATGACATTGGCGTTGCTTCTTTCCATGGCACTTCTACTGTTGCGAACGACAAGAACGAATCCGATGTTATTTGTCAGCAAATGAAGCATCTAGGTCGAAAGAAGGGCAACGCCCTTCTCGGAATTTTCCAGAAATATCTCACCGGACACCCGAAAGGTGCTGCAGGTGCTTGGATGTTCAATGGATGTCTTCAGGTCCTGGATACTGGTCTTGTTCCGGGTAATCGGAATGCTGATAATGTCGACAAGGTGATGGAGAAATTTGACTATATTGTTTACCCCAGTCGTAGTATCCAGACAGATGGCATCAATGCTTTCTCTGTTACTTCGTTTGGATTCGGTCAAAAGGGTGCTCAAGTTATTGGTATCCATCCCAAGTTTCTGTATGCCACCCTCGACCGCGCACAATTCGAAGCATACAAGGTCAAGGTTGAGACCAGACAAAAGAAAGCATATCGATTTTTCCACAATGGCTTGGTTAACAATAGCATTTTTGTTGCCAAGAACAAAGCGCCTTACGAAGATGAGCTTCAGAGTAAGGTGTTCCTGAACCCCGACTATCGGGTGGCAGCGGACAAGAAGACTTCTGAACTGAAATACCCCGCGAAACCGCCGGTTGCGACCGACAAAGGAGATGAAAATACTAAGGCTCTGATTGAGTCTCTGGCGAAGGCTCACGCTACCGAAAATTCCAAAGTCGGAGTTGATGTTGAAGCCATCGAAAGCATCAACATTACAAACGAAACCTTCATCGAAAGGAATTTCACAGCCGGCGAGCAACAATATTGCCAAAGTGCACCATCCCCACAGTCGTCCTTCGCGGGAAGATGGAGTGCAAAAGAAGCCGTCTTCAAGTCTCTGGGTGTCCCCAGTAAAGGTCCAGGAGCTGAGATGAAAAACATAGAGATTGAGACTAACTCTAACGGGGTTCCTTCTGTAAAGGTAAGAGAATTAATTCTATATGCCATGCGGAAACCGAACTAACATACATTAGCTTCACGGTGAGGCGGCCGAAATTGCCAAACGAGCTGGTGTGAAGCAAATCAGTGTCAGCATTAGCCACAGTGATATTCAGGCGGTTGCGGTTGCCATGTCGCAGTTTTAATGTATTTGATGAACGAACCGTACGATCAAAGCCTTCGACCTCGTATGCAGCATATGTAGATTAGACTCTCTCTCTATTACTTAATACAGCGTTTCGACTTTATTTCCAACACCCACTCTCAAACATCATACATCTGCTAGTAGTCTTTAATTGTGCGTAGCTGTCAAGACTTATACAACCACATCACACCCTGCTTGGGATTCGCCACGTGCGTTCAGGTGTTTCCTAGGTGCGTACGGAATCATCAAGATTTAAGTTATGTGATATTTGAAAGCTAATGCACATTTTTTGTCTATCATACCCCTACCTAAAGCTCATGAACCTCCCGACGCTCGGCTCAAGGGCCCCCAGTTTGCTCTCGGATTCATTTGATATCTAACGAGTCGTCTGCGGTGTCCTGTTTGCCGGCCGAGGGTTTCATCAAAAACTACTTCAAGCTCCGAGGAAGTCTGATGGGGTGGCGAGCTGCGGTAAGCCCCGATTTCCTGAGAACCGTTCTTGTGCTGTGGGATTTCGCCCGTGCTATTCAAGTTAGGGCCGGGTGCGTTTTGGTCCTTTTTTAGTAAGGCTGAACGATACAATGTAGCCTCCACTCTAGTGATGAGATCGGACATGTCCTTGCCAGCCTCGGTAGCAGAAATCAGTTCCTTCTTCAACAGAGTCAGTTGCGAATCATCCTTAGCCCTCTCCCGGCTTTTGGCCATAACCCCGGCAGCGGCAGTCCCGGGCCTTATGGATCCCTCTTTAACTGGTTGTTTTTGTCTCACCCATTCGCGCATTATTTCCCAGATAACGGTCCATGGAGCATCGGTACGGACCGTGTTTGGTTTGGTGTGACTGCGCGTGCAGCGGTAGCCCAAGTGGCGAATAGCCCCGCGGAACGAATCGTACGGGACAGTGGTTGTGTGTAGAACTTTCGAGACGCTAGAGAGGCTGAAGTAGAATGGATGGGCATCACGTAAGGCGGGATCTGCCCGGGGAATAATGTGCACAGCTTCTTCGGTTTGGGCTTGAGTGTTATTGGAACTCGAGTCGGATAGAGACTGGCTTTTATCATCTTCCGAGAACGGTTCCAGGCTCAGATCCTCTTCGAGTGCTGTGGTCAACATGCCTTCAACTCTGTCTATGGTCTGATATACATCCTTGTCAACTCGGGGAAGGAGGTTTAAAATCCTTTGGATAAAGTGCGGGTTGTGAAGAGGGCCACCCCACATTGGTCCAGACAGATGTGTCTTCATTCCGCAATGCTCGCACTTCTGGTTTGTGGACGGCGCTTGTGCAAATCCGAAATGATAAAACGGATTGCCCTTCTTATCAAGCTTCTGTCTGGTTTGGGTCAAAGGTTGGGTGGTCCACGCTCCGCAGCCCGAGTCACAGTTGTAGACAAGCATTGTGTTGCCTGACGTGAACTTGGCCTCCGCGGGTGACCGATGGATACGGACGAATAAGCGAGCATAAAAATCAATCGATAACGAAAGAAGAGGTTCAATTGCGAGGCCGTATTTTCCAGCAGATGTTGCAACACTGTTCAGGATGAGGCGAAGCCCACCTTCGTGGGAGTGTGTTCCTTTCATTGGGACACCACCATATAAGGAAAAGCACTTTTCAGGGTACCCGTTCGATGCCCACACACCTGCATCAGTACAGGTAATGCAAAGGAGACCCTCATCCTTGACGCTCTGCACAGCTGCATCTATGAATGGGGCTGCGCTGCCGTAAGGATCCAAATCAATGACATTGAATTTGTCAGAGTCTTCTTTCTTATGTGGACTAGATGCTGGTTTAAGACGACTATACATATAGATACGAGCATCGCCATTGTTGGGTTGAATAAGCTTGTCGAGTCTGTTGTATTCGATATTCAATTTCATCGACTGGATTGCGGAGCTCGACAAATCATTCGCAACGACGCGAGTAACGCAGGGGATCTCAGTGGCGTATCTCAAAGCGCGTAGACCGGATGCCGATAATGCATCCAAGATAGTGAACGGGGGAGAAGAGCCCGTTCTAGGATGAGCATCCGCTGTTTGTTTGCTTTCGTTTTCAGGCTCCTGAGCTTCGCTATCCTGTTTGCTGCCCTGCTCTTTAGACACTGTAACCCCCTCATCACCCAGCTTCCTTCTCTTATTTTTCCCAGCCGTGCTCCCCTGAGCCTTGCGTTTTCGCTTCTCATTTTTCACTTTATTCAGCGCCATTACATGTTCACCATAAACGCGGAGTGCGAGCACCGTCAAATCGCGGTTGAATTGTTGAATAGGATTATAAAAAACAGTCTGCGATGCATCTTCGGGCTTGAGATCCCTTCTTGTTGCTTGCGTGGCTGCGGTTTCTGCAGGTGGCTTCAAAATGTAAGCTCGTCCTTCTCTAATGATTCGGTACTCTTTGCCGTCATGATGCACTAACTGGCCGGCCGAATCGGGGGCCGGGAAAGCCTCCGGAATTGAAGTCATGGAGTGTGAAAAGCGCGATACGGGACAATTTAAGTAAAATCGGGAGCAAGCGCTATTGAGGTTCAGTAATTTGGCGTAGACTCGTCGATTAAAAGTCGAGGGTGCGGACAGAGTGCGATAAGTTTTCCAAATTCGGTTCATAAATGTCCAGATACGTTAGTACAGCACTGAAATCGAGAGAAGTCACCAAACGCTATCGTTGCCGATTATCCTGGGAGATTTTTGCATATGGTGAACAGGAAAAAAGCTTGAGGGACAAAATGCGCACGGGCTTGCCAAGACACACCTTAACCAGAGCCTCGATATCCGGATAAAGCATATAGATTACAGGACACCAGTGACACCGGGCTTTGCAGAACCGGAATTTCTATACAGAAGTAAAAATTTACTAGACGTGATACTTTCAAATGGACACTTGTTAAGATGTTAAGCTGAATTGCAAGCTAGAACTTTCTTGTCGCGACTATTAGAACTACTATTATTGTCATAGGTATACTCGGTACTACAGAGCTTGTTGATAGGCACTCAAAATCACTAGCATCCTTATAGCCAACTTCCAATAATAGGTACTTGGCTATATATCTCATTCCAGCCTTTGGACTCCCAGCCAGAGCTCTCTCCACCATTCCCAACAACCCAAAGGGCGCCAGCGAGCCAGACACATACACCCATTGCAGCAACTTTGTTGAAGTTCCACCACATTCTCCTCCGTCTTTTCGAGTGCTGCTCACTTTCTACATGTCCCAAGTGAACTTCTAGTGGGCCCTTCTTGCTACCCCGAGCTTTCCGGGCAGTGGTAATTCTCCAGCCCATCCAAGACGCCAAACCACCAAGGATGTGGTATACTCCCACGGCAACAAAAATATGATAGTACGTTACCCAGAAAACTCGGCTTCTTGCAACTCCATGTGCGACAAAACTTAAGCCAATGCTTGAACTCCCTCCATCGACCATAATTGGCGTGACGCGATTAACGAGAACATGGGTAGCGAGCAGTGGGGTAAATGCATATCCCAGACGCGCTTGCAAACTCATCCGAGGCCAGAAACTGAGCGCGTATCGCTGGTCTCTCGTCTCAGCACCATAAAGCCGCGCGCGACGGGAGGAACGTATATTCCGTAGAGCGATTCCCGATACGATATGGGTTAGAACAGGAATGGTCAGGAGTATATGCTCAAATGACGGGGACTGGTAAATTGGCCGTGTAAGAAGGAGATAGTTATCGCTTTCGGGAAGCGACTGAGTCGCTAGAGGTATGAGCGAGGTGTTGGCAAAATGTAGCGCCGCGAATAAAGTAGGCGGGTATGTCGAGTATTTTTGGAGTGCAGACACTGTAACCATTCACCAGTCAGCCTGTGACGGCAAGTCCAACTTGGTAACATCTGAAACTTACACCAGGAATCCCAACTCTGGCCCCGAAGACCGAGTGGTGACCATCTGAATTTTTGTGACGCAAAAGGAGGTTCATACCTAGGGGTACAAGCTCCGGAGGATGTATTATCAGGAAAGCTCTCGCCCACCGGCGAAGGGTCCAATTCTTCCATAGACAAAATTGATTTCGTGTCGATGTCTTCCTGCATCGGTAAGCTCTTTTTCCTGGAGGATTCCATTTCGACGCTAGATGTCGGAGGCAAATATATATGGAATATGACGTCGCAATCGTTCAGGGGCTTAAGAGGGTGTAGGGTTTATCGAATATCAGTGCCCATCAAATTGCAGCTTTTGCCTGATGGAGTTGGTACGTAGACTGTCAATTCCCAAACGGTTCTTCATTCGAATTCCAGAAAGCAAGGTCGGACCGTCATTATTTTCACTCCCACGTAATTGGCTCCTTCCATGTTGAACCGACACCCAGGCTCGTCAGAGCCGCAAATCTCCAGATAGGTAATTTCACATACACTATAGCTAGCCTCGACACTTTACTTTTTTGCAGCGACGATATATATTGTTTGAATGTCAGTGAAGTCTGAGCTTAGGCGGTCAGACTATACTTTGGGTCCAGTTTCTTCAGCCCGATAACTAATCCATAGCATTAACGGGTTCGGGAATGCAAAAGCTCAATGCGCCATCCTAACCTCTTGTCGGCCAAACCTACTTACCACATCGTGCATGCTGGCGGTTCGAAATGGGGCCGGTAAACATTCCCACCTCCCATTTCGTACTGAATCGTCCTTCTGACCTTTTGATTCACAGCGAGGCTTTACAAACCCGGCTCCTAAGGTACTTCAAACCATAATGTCTCTGTATATCAAATATTATGTGCTCGCTTGCTAATTCCCAGACATTTCATAGACCGACTCGGCCCGTTCAGCTCTAAGCTCTTTCACCTGTACCCTTTGCAATAAGTCATATTCTCGCCACCCTGAGTATGAAGCCCACATAGGGTCTTACGATCATCAGCATCGCAAACGCCTTCAAGATCTGAAGCAACTCTCTCGAGACCCAAATGCAGCAGAAAAGGCCAGGCGAGCCGAGAAAAAGGCCGACGCGGAAGCGGGGCTGAGAGTCCTTGACACCGGGAAAACAAGCCTTGCTCCAAGCACAGGAACTAGCGGAGGCGGCGGTGGCTTCAAGAAAGGAGGTTTCAAGAGCTCCTTTACTACTGTTAAAGGCCCTGTTGCCCCTGGTGCGCCGACAAAAAAGAATGTGCTAGGGGATGACGATGACGAAAGGGATAATACATCGGTCACGAAGGGGGCAACTGACACCACCCATTTTAAATCTGGGAAGTCTCCTAACATCTTACAAGAACAAGGGGAGAGTGACACGGATGAAGAGTATATGACTGATACTGTTAGTGGAGGATACTATGACCCCCGGAGACCAACAGACTGTTTTCCTTCATGTATTGGAATCGATCATGCTCAGGTTCGGGCCTCGAACGCCTGATAAACCTGTGAAATCAATTCTATTGTTTCATTGATCAGATTAATTCAAAGTTAGAAGTATGGTCTAGGTGGGTGATAGAGTATTAATTGGATGCATCAACCTCTTATCGTTTATCTCTACCATAGCAGCTAATATACGGTTGTGGCTCATGAAGAAATTCGCCTAGGGTTTGCTGTAATAGTATGCTCTGAATTTTGGTCTAAAAACGATGCTCAAGATAATAGTACAGAAATCATAAACCTATTCAAGCTAGGAAAGAAAACCGCAACCACGACATGCAACGTAACAATGCATTACGCTGCAAACCCCTCCATCCCATTCAAAACCTCACGAATGGAGAATTTACAATCGCAGGAGCTTGGCAGCCTGACCAACGATGGTATCTTCCTGGGGGAAGCTCATTGTCTCCAATCCGACGGCGTAAGGAGTAGGCACCTCAGCACCAGTGACACGGAGGGCAGGGGCTGTCAGGTAGTCGAAGCCATACTCCATGGACAGAGCAAGAATTTCGGAGCTAACACCGAACATGGGGAACCCGGATTCAACGCACATTAGGCGACCAGTCTTCTTAAGAGACTGGATGATCGTCTCAACATCCAGAGGCTTGACGGAACGAAGGTTGACCACCTCAGCTTCAACGCCGTACTTCTGCTTCAGCTCAGCAGCAGCAGAGAGAGACTGTCCAACACAGCGCGAGAGGGAAACGATAGTCAAGTCCTTGCCCGGACGCTCGATCTTAGCCTTACCAATTGGAAGGACAAAGTCGTCCTTCTGCGCAGCCTCGGACATGGGGAAGGATTGGCCGTAGAGCAGCCTGAACGCAGTTAGTTTTAATATGCTTCGTAGTGGGAAATATCCGGGTGATATGCATACTCATTCTCCAGGACACAGACAGGGTTGGGGTCGCGAATAGCGGCCTTCAACAATCCCTTGGCATCCTCAGCGCTCCAAGGAGCCACAACCTTCAACCCAGGAATGCTGCCATACCAAGCGGAGTAGTCCTGGGAGTGCTGTGCCGCGACACCGGCGGCAAAACCGTTAGGACCACGGAAGGTAATGTTGCAAGGCTGAATACCACCGGACATGTAGTGTGTTTTAGCGGCGGAGTTGATAATCTGGTCAATGGCCTGCATCGCAAAGTTGAAGGTCATGAATTCACACTAGTAGGGGAGTAATTCTTAGTCCGACCTGATCCTTGTAAATTCATGGCTGCATTGCATCAGACTTACAATGGGGTGCAATCCAGCTAGAGCAGCTCCGACTGCAAGACCGCAAAAGCCTGCCTCCGTAATGGGTGTATCAATGACCCGCTTGGGGCCGAAGCGGTCCAGAAGGCCTCTGGTAACTTTGTAACTGCACAAAGCACAGGTAGATGGTTAGGATGCGATCCAAGTATCAATAGATAGATTTCGGGAAGGTGAAATCATACGCTCCGTTATACTGTGCAACCTCCTCACCCAAGATAAATGTCTTTTGGTTGCGCTCCAGTTCTTCTGCGAGAGCCTCGTTCAAAGCATCGCGTACGGTGACATCCTTGGTTCCAGTCTCTGTGCCATAGCCACGGAAGCGAAGAATAGAGGGTGTGCAGGCAATCTGAGGGAATGCAGGACGGGCGGCCGTCGCGGATAGGCGCGAAGAAAGCAGGCGGGCTGCTGGTCGGAAGAGTCGGGGGGAAGCCATGGCCAGGTTGATTGGGAGTAATATCACTAAGAATGATATTCAAAATAAAGACTCCACTACCAAGCGATGCGAAGAGAAAGGAGGGACAGCCAAAAAAAGAAACCGGGCTACTGCTCTTGTTCGGGATGCGATTTTTTGGTGAGAGCTCGAGGAGGAGTGTTGGGATGACGCTGACTAAGCCGGGCTCACCGGCGACTTCTTCCGTATCCACTTCTTACTGGAGATGGAGTAGCCTACGGATACTTAGGTCTTTAACTAATGGAGAATACCTCCTCCGGCTTCCCTTTATAGTCTACGACAGGCTTTCGCATTTCGTGAGTTTCCAATGGTAGTTGGTACTGTACTGGTACTAAGAGGTCCTTTCTACATGGATCCCAAGTGGCTCCAATGACAACCAACAAGTGCTCCAATCGGAATATCTTTAACTTCAGGGCACGTGCTACATATCACGTGATAACTAACACTGAGCTAAATCCAAGTACGTAGTCAGGAAAGGCGCGAGCCCAGGTTCCGTTGACGGGTGCCCGGGACTCTACCAAGTAGCTCCTGAGGTCCCCATATACCAAGCCCGTTGTTGATCGCCGTTCCAACACCATAAACTCAGATGTCCTGGGCTAGTACTCGCGTAAAATTTACGGATTTGATGTCGATGATCTGATTTTTTAGACTCTGTTGTGCATTCAATTGTAGCCTGGCACAAAAATGGCTTCAGCCTTCAGATCCCTCCTTGCTTTCTTACTGCTGTCCGCAGTCCAAACCATCCAACCCTCCGCTCCAGATCCCATTGCTGCTCCATTGCGTGATTTGGAATGGGGCCAACTTAACTTCCTTCATACGACTGATACTCATGGCTGGTTGGCCGGCCATCTCCAGGAGTAGGAGTATTCATCTTCCTCCTGGTGTACCTGAAACTAATAAGTACGCCGTAGACCGTCGTACTCAGCGGATTGGGGCGACTACATCTCGTTCACTATCCGCATGCGTGAAATAGCCGAAGCTCATGGACGAGACCTATTAGTGATCGACACCGGCGATAGAGTCGAGGGAAATGGCCTCTACGACTCCTCGGAACCCAAGGGTATATACATTTCTGAGATTCTAAAAGAGCAACATATAGATGTGATGTCGGCTGGAAACCACGAGTTGTACAAGAAAACCACATCGGAGGCCGAATTTTCGGTCACCGTGCCTAACTTTCAGGGGCATTATCTGGCATCCAACATCGATATCTACCACCCGAGAACAGGCGAACTCATTCCATTGGCTTCTAGGTCAAGGAAGTTCATCACAAGTAACCAGGCAATACGCATTGTTGCATTCGGTTTCCTTTTCGATTTCACAATGAACTATAACAACACAGTTGTCCAGCCTGTAGAGGAAACTGTCAAAACCAGTTGGTTCCAAGAAGCTGTCCATGACCAGGAAGTGGATCTATTCTTGGTCGTTGGGCACGTCCCGGTTAAATCAAAAGAATACGACGCCATATTCAAGAAAATCAGATCAAGCCACCCATCCACGCCTATTCAATTCTTTGGCGGTCATTATCATATTCGTGACTGCGCCCGTTATGATTCGAACGCCTACGGCCTCGCCAGTGGTCGTTTCATGGAAACCATTGGATTCATGTCAATTGACGGTCTATCCACCAAATACAACCAAGTAGCTCCCAACCTGGCAGAACCTGCCTTTGCGCGAAAGTATATCGACAATAATCTCTTTTCCTTCCATTACCACACTGGCCTTGACGAAAACACCTTTCCCACGATACAGGGTCAGAATGTGTCTAGACTTATCCAACAATCTAGGAGCTCTCTAGGGTTAGACGAAATATACGGCTGCATTCCGGAAGACTTGTGGATGTCGCGGTCTCCCTATACAGCGGACGACAGCATTTATGCATGGCTACGGAAGAGGGTACTTCCAGATATGCTGGGTGACAAATCTCGACCGGGAAAGCCAGCCTTTGCTATCATAAATACTGGTGCCATCCGGTTTGACCTTTTCAAGGGACAATTCACGCGAGACTCGGCGTATATAGTTTCGCCATTTACAAGTGGCTTCCGTTATTTGAAAAACATCCCATACGATAAAGCGAGATTGGTCTTGGATGTTTTGAACAAGCAGCCCAAAATATCCTCAACATCTCGGGATGAAAATGGACCTGTACCGTGGAGCCTTGCGCCGCCAGAGCAAAGTGCCTTCAACCTTAACGACGCCTTCAGTCGAATGCGACCTGACGGGTCAATCCTTGATATGCCAACTGATCAGAACCCCATGTTTAGCAACCCTTATCCTCAGTTTGAAATTTTACCTGGATACACCACCACAGATGATCTAGGTGCAGATGGGGATGATACAATCCATTCGACGATCACATTCTACCAGGTACCGAATTGCATAGACGCACTGGCCCTCAACACCGCTTCTTCTATTCCGGAAACGGTAGATCTTGTGTACATTGATTTCATAGAGCCTTATGTGGCTTTGGCAGTCAAGTATGCTGGCCTTGACATTGACGTCCCTGATGAAAGCGATGTCTACATGCCCTCTATTACACTAACAGACCTCATCATAAACTGGGTTAGGGCCAATTGGGGTTGCGTTGCAAATTAAGTCCATTGTTTTAACGAATATGCTGCTGTTATGTTGCATCCTGCATTGTCTAGTATTGCACTGCATACCATATAGCAATATGAAGAATCATATTCACCCGCATCGATTCCCTTTTGGATAATAGAACTTCCGTGTTATACATTTGGATTTTAGTCATTGCCTTCAAATTTGAGCAGGCCCTTCCCACCCCTATATCCACTAAGAGTTCCCTGCACAGCAGTTGCGAGCTCGGAGGTTTCGGTGTCCCAGCTCCATTTAGCTTCTTCCACAGGAATATCCTTAAATTTCCCAGCTCTAGTTAATTGCAGGATATCCTTTATAGTGTTCTCTTTGAGATGTGGGTTTTTATCACCCCATTTACTCACCCAGAAACCATCAAATGCCAGGTTTTTGAATATTAAAAGCCCAGAGGGCAAGGCGACAGGTTGTTTCGACATAGCCCCGTACGTAACCATATGGGAGCCCGGCGCCAGGACCTTCGCCAAAGCTGTAGCATTTTTACCACCGACACAGTTCAAGGCCAACCGGATGGGCTCCTTTCCTTGTCGAGTAAGTTCTTTGACAGTGTTCCTGAATTCGCCAGAGAGCAGCTCGGCTTCAGTAACCACCGCGGTGGCTCCTAAGTCTTTTAATTCCTGCTTCAAAGTCTCGGTTTCTTCTGGTGTCTGTCTCTCCCGAACAACATTGAGCGTCTTGATACCCCATTCTCTTCCAAGTTGGATAGCAGCACGCCCAACGCCACTGTTTGCGCCATTTTGCACAAGCCACTCCTCTCCAGCGCGCATCCAGTCCCAATCACAAAAGTCCTTAATCATCCGATATGCGGTAACGGGATTTACGCTCACGGTGCTGACTTGTAACGGACTTAGGCCCGTTTGGTCCTCAATTTTGATCAATTGCGACTCGTCCATCTGAGCATGTGTGCGCCAGGTACCTTGTCCCGTACGCTTCATGATAACCCAGTCACCCTTTGAGAGCCCCTTGACTTCGGATCCAGTTCCAATGACCTCGAATGCGCCCTCGTTTCCGCCAATGGCGGATGGCTCCAGTGTGCCGAGCGTCGTCTGGAAGGGAGGCTTGCTTGGGTATACGCCCTGAATTTGGTTCACGTCGGCGGGGTTCAAAGGAGCCGCAATAAGACGGAGGTTAACTTGCGTTCCATTGGGCGCGGAAATCGAATGCTTGTGAAGCCTGCGAAGAAACTTTGTTATGCCTTCAGACCGAAATCGTTAGAAAATGTCAGTGGCGACTCACTGTAAAACATCTTTAGGCTCTCCATATCGAGAATACACGAGCGCTTTGGCTTGTGTATACCCGTAGGCTGAAATGTATCGCCGACTGTTAGTCCGGGGGCTTGGAATAGTGTTCTGGTATCGATGCGCGATGACAGAAGGTAGCGCTGAAATGCGGGTTTGCAGGAAGGGCGTCTGAATCAGCGACGATCTTGCTGCGGGTTGTAGGACGCAGCGTGAAAACATAATGGCTATTGTCGGACTTGGGGAGCTGATCGTTGTATCGATCCTGGGAAATTGAAAGCCGGCGAGCTTGGGGACAGCCAGCCTCCTGGATGACGTCGTTTTTCTTGTCCTCGGACCGACGGAGTTTTGGGAGCTGCCGCTGACCCCCATCCATATAGCCTACTTATCTATCCGTAGCCTAGATATTATTTTAGAGGCATAATGGATGTCGGCTTTTCTTTTTATATTATACCCTCTGTGGTCAACAACATTGGCTTATTGGGGCCTACCAACTTGTCCAGCCATGTTTGTCCACTATATATATATACATATATATCTACATACACCAATATATACCGCATAGCATTTTCCCCCCAGGGTAGCGACAGGTCTGCAAACGTACAGACAAAAAAAGTTTATAACTGGTATCCACGCCTTGAATACAATACTGTAAATGGCGGAAACACCGCGATTCGATGAGATGTTGATGTAGGAAGCACGGGCCACCCACGGAATCTGGGCTCTGCGAAAGTCTACCTCCGCAATGGATCTTGCCGTCCCCCAATCTTCGCCGCGATACCCGCTCTAGTGGCCTAAATGTCCCTCCTGATTGAAGCTGAGAGATATGTTGCTAACCAAAGCGCGCATATCGCACTCAATTCCTTCGTAACTCCTCTGCGCCGTCATGCAGGCCGATGGCATGATCAAGCGAAGGAGGCGGACAGTCGGCGGGGGCAAGGTATGGCCTTAGCCCGGATTCCTGTTTATTATCTACACTGGTTGAATACTAAAAGGTCCATGAAACCACAGGAAAGCCGAAGTCGAGACTAGACGGTCAATTCATTGCGGTTAAAGATAACATATGCACTCGAGATTTCCCAACGACATGTGCCTCGAAAGCCCTCGGTACATTCACCAGCCCGTTTAACGCGACGGTGGTTCAGCAACTAGAAGGCGCCGGGGCAATAATTGCCGGAAAGACGAATCTGGATGAATTTGGTATGGGGTCTCATTCAGTCCATTCTCGGTTCGGAGCTGTTAAAAATATAAACCGCAGCCGTGATTCAAGCCATCTCTCGGCAGGAGGGAGTTCTGGTGGCAGCGCGCTTGCGGTTGCCACGGACCAATGCCATTCGTATGTAATACTGGTTGGCTGATTCGATTAGGATACTCGTCTAATCTATATCAAACAGAGCGATAGGTACGGACACAGGCGGATCTGTTCGCCTTCCAGCTGCGTATACGGGAACTGTGGGGTTCAAGCCGTCGTACGGACTGTTATCTAGATGGGGTGTTGTCGCATATGCAAACTCTCTAGATACAGTTGGGATTTTGGCGAAACGGACATCAGTGGTTCGTGATGTCTTCAGTGCGTTGCTATCTGACCCAATATCTATGGCACGGAATGGTAGATTGCTGACCAATTTTTGATAGACACCCTAAACAAGCACGACCCCCGTGATCCGACAAGCCTTCCTCCAGAGTCAAGATCTAGGATGTCATCGTACTTAAATTCGCACCACCCATCCCGCTCCAAATCCACTCCTTTCCGAATCGGTGTTCCCCTGGAATATAACATCTCAGAACTTAGTCCCTCAGTGCGGCAAGCCTGGAGTCGCTCACTGGAATATTTGCGTCAGCAAGGGCACATAATTCAACCTGTATCGCTGCCCATGACCAAGTTAGCCTTATCAGCGTACTACATACTTGCTCCGGCCGAGGCATCTTCAAACCTAGCAAAATATGACGGCGTTAGGTACGGATCTCGATTCGATGACTCGAAATGCGACAACAAATCAGAAAACTATTTATACATGAATACTAGAGGCGAGGGGTTTGGAGCGGAGGTCAAGAGAAGAATCATGCTAGGCGCATTTAGCTTGAGCGCCCAGGCTATCGACAACTACTTCACTCAGGCACAGCGCATTCGACGTCTTGTTAGGAACGATTTCGACCTCGCATTTCGGGCAGAGCACCCATTGGCCCTAGGACCATATAGTATTGAGCAGCAGACTCGACAGTCCGGTGTCGATGTCCTCATATGTCCAACTGCGCCGTCACCACCACCGACCATTTCTGATGTTATGAGTGCTGAGGCAACAAGATCGCCTTTGGATGCCTACGTAAATGATGTTTTTACAGTGCCTGCTAGTTTGGCTGGCCTTCCAGCCATATCTGTTCCTGTATTTGGGAAACGTGGCACCGACAATCAAGAGAGTGAAATATTGACCGGTATCCAGATAATTGGCCAGTATGGTGACGACAAACTTGTCCTGGAAGTAGGCGAAATATTAGAGGGTCACGGACTGTAAATTAATTATGTTATATAGTGTCAAATCTTGAAGCATTCCAGGGCACACATCATGCCAAATCCTTGGAATTTGAGGATAAGAGTCTCCAAGTTCCACTATGCATTGGGAGTATATGGAAGCACCTAATCAAGTTCAAACAGCAAAACTAATGCGTACGACTTGAACCCCCCTTCTCAAGCCCCATTCATTGGCGTGTCATCAGGTTCTGAGGGCATGGCAATATCAGCATTAGATGTACTTGTTGCATCAATGTTCATAACATCTTCGAAAGTAGAGTGGCCCGTGTCCTGGTCTGCAAGTTTTATGTTTGTACCGCAATTCCTCCCATTGCTGTCTGCAGGGGCAGTAGACAAGGTCGTGGTGGGGTTGTAAGCAGCACCGACGCCACCTTTGAGAACGTCTGTGCCTCCAACAGCCCCGGCGCCAGAGTCATCTATTTCGGCGTTATTAACAATGTCACTTTCCACACCACCCCAGACGATCATTGCCTCCACTTCATCTACAATGTCGGCTACAATGTCCTCGACGATTTGCTCGTTGAAACGTTCTCCTACCCCAACGACTGGCTTGTCATTGTCTTCATTTGAGGGAGGGCCAAACCACCAAGGAGCCTGAAAGCGGCATTCGACAGCACCACCTCCATAACAACTAACAGCCGGGTAGTACCCGATCATACCGTCGTCAGCATTTTCACGTTCTCCGAGCCCGAGATTGTTGGTACCATTGGCTAGTCTGCTGGCCGGTGGTAGGAACGTATATAATTCCTTGAAAGCAGTGCCCATCTTTACGCCGTTTTTGTATATTGAGATACTGGAGTCCGGCAATGTGCGTAGAGAGGCGTCTTCTCCGTTCAATGGAGACGGGGCTCCGGATGCTGGGGTTTCCTTAAGGTTGAAGGCATAGTCGCGTAATTGCTTAGTAGGAAAGACATTGGATTGTTGCCAGCAAAAGTCGTTTTTGTAGTGGAAGGGGATGCGATCACGGATAATATTTGTAGCTGACCCAGGCCCCGGGTTTGATCTTGAAGTATCGTTTCCGGCGTCGTATGCTCCCTCAACAATTTGTTTGTGCAGTGAAAGACGCGGAAGGTTGATAAGCATGCCAATAACATCACCTTCACGAATCGATTCGCCTTTTGGGAAGAAATATTCGCACCGCATGCGATTGACCACTTCACCGTTTACATCACGGATCCCATAGCCATAGCAATCAACCCCTACGTTAACATCAAGATCTGCCTCCCTTCTAGCAAACCCAATGCGCACATGGCCCCTTGAGGACAAGCTGGTCTTCCCATTCGAAGATGTTGCCCTTGAATCACTCAGTACACCACTTATGATGCGAGCTTCATAATAGTATGACCCTTCGCGTGCGCATACATTAGCACGCGCTGTATGCCATGGGTCGTTTGTTGTAACTGCAAGAGCATCTTTAGAAAAGAGAATTGCAGCTGGGGAGTCTTCAAAGCTGAATCGTGCGTGATACGGAGGAACGTCCGTTTGGCGGTATTTGATATGAGAGAACTCATTATCGGCTATGGCATAGCTATAGCGAAAACCATTCTTATTCGTAAGTTTGTCAACGACTTCATAGAAATCCCAACTATGGCCAATTACACTGGACATTTTGCGCACTGCGAAATTCAATTGGCGGGCCTGAGGAGGTAGTCGATCGGAGCGTCTGGGTTCCCCAACTGCAATTGGTCTTAGGATGCTGAGATCGGAGCTCGGGACGGCAGCATTGTGTAAGACAACCGATTTCTTTTTGGGAGGCGCGTTTTCCTGGTCCAATCCCTTGGCCTCCCTTTTCTTACGGCTATCGCGTTTGTTGCGTTTCGACCTTGCACTGTCGACCTGGCCTGAGGAGGTACTCAGCGGCACCGGGGAAGCTCTGGCATTGCCATATAATAAAGATCCATTTGGAAGAGGAGCAGACACTGGATGAAGGACGGGGGAGTTCATGCTGGAAGACGGGGCCGGGGACCCGGCCGCGTGAGTAGATGTCATAATGCAGAGACGGTGCGAGACGGATGCGTTTTGCCCTACTGCCCACCAATTGATGGTCAACAGGTGCGTGTCAATATAGCAGACTTCAGGATTAGAAATATAGCTAGCGTTGAGAGGTACTTTGATTAACGACGAATGTAAATGTAGCCGCGATATCTTTGCGGTTAAGGGAATGTGTAAGAGAGTTGAGAGCCAGTATCCGACTTATACTGTAATGTGGGATTATACAGCTGCAATATTTCGAGACCTCAAAAATATCTAACCAATTGAGCTGGTTTTGGAATGAGAAAGTCACTTATGGATGTAGAAACCAACTTACCGTAAACAATGGGGTTGCAAAAGCTGTTAAGCTTCTGTCTGCAGCTGGGATTCGGAAGCGGTCTGAAAGGCACAGCTGGCAGAAAACCCACACTCTTGCCCAGCCAAGGTTCGATATGAACCACGGTGGGAGGGGTAACTAGGCGGTGAGACTGATAAGCCCTGGAGAAAAAAAAAGTCGATCAAAAGTTAACTATCACATGATCTAGAAATTTACACACATTCGCAGCTTCGATTGAGAAGGAGGCTCTTTCGATTCAGTTTGGTCGTTGGCGACAGGAATTTTTCTTTCAGATAACTCTTACGCTAATAAGAAAGTTTCTCTACTGCAACTTGAACCCGCCAACTCTGCTGAGCATTCTGATCCAACCCAAAGGGTGAGTATGCCTAAGGTAACATCCTCTCGTGCTGCGGCTGCTGCCCGCCGACACAACCCTCTCGCTGAGGATATCATTGGTACGGGTCACCTCCGGACGGACCCTACCAAAAAAAACAAGCGCAGGTCAAAGACAGATGGAGACCAGGAGGATGGGGAGCGCTTTGTGGATGCGAAAACTTCTCGCAAGATTCTACAAATTGGACAAGAACTTGCGGATGAAGAGGACGCTGAGCAGAAAGCTGCGCGGGTAGTAACTGCAACGCAACCAAAGTCGGCATTTGATTTTGAGTCCCGATTCGAGGAAGAGGACGTATTTTCGGACGAGGATGGAAAATTCAATGAGGAACAATGGGACGACGAGGAGGAAATCGAGGAAGTGGTATGTGACCGAGGCCTTTCAGCGATATGAGGGCTATGCCATTCTAATTTCCCAACTAGGAGGTTGATCCAAACGATCTTGATATGTTCCACAAGTTCGTTCCTAGGGGCGATGAGGACCCAATATTCAATCCAAGCGGACCGGATACGAACCGCCAAACCACGAATCTTGCGGATCTTATTCTAGAGAAGATTGCTGAACACGAAGCGAAACAGGCTGGAAATACTGGACCCATAGTCCAGGGTGGAGGTCTGCCCGAAGATGCTGTTCAAATCCCTGCAAAAGCTGTGGAAGTATACGAGAAGTAAGTGCTGTCAAAATTTCGTCGACCTGGTGTTGGCATTGAGATATTAATGGGGTTTAGGGTTGGTATGATCCTTTCTCGCTACAAATCCGGGCCACTCCCGAAGCCATTCAAGATTCTCCCCTCCGTTCCGAATTGGCAAACACTCCTTTCGATCACCCGCCCCGAGTCATGGACTGCGAACGCCATCTACGCCGGAACTAGGCTGTTCATTTCACATAAACCGGCCGTTGCACAGGATTACATATCGACGGTCTTACTTGAACGCGTACGAGAAGAAATTTATGAACACAAGAAACTCAATGTTCACACCTATAACTCGATGAAAAAAGCGCTTTACAAGCCAGCATGCTTCTTCAAGGGATTGCTATTCCCGTTGGTTTCGAGTGGAACCTGCACTCTACGGGAGGCTCACATCGTCTCCTCTGTAATCGCGCGCGTTTCTATCCCTGTCCTGCACTCGGCAGCGGCATTGCTTCGAATGTGTGACCTTGCCGCTGAACAGTCAATGAAGTCGCTTGAAAGCACTGGTGCCGTGAACACCTTCATTCGAGTCTTCTTGGAGAAGAAGTATGCGCTTCCCTACAAAGTCATTGATGCTCTTGTCTTCCATTTCCTGCGATTCCGTGCTGCCGATCCAGTAGAGGATACAATGACCGACGGACCATCGAAAGCATACAAACTCCCCGTGCTTTGGCATCAATCACTTTTGGTCTTTGCGCAGCGTTATCGTAATGATATCACCGAGGACCAGCGAGAAGCTCTGCTGGATTTGTTGTTGGTTCGTGGACACAAGGACATCGGGCCCGAAGTGAGGCGTGAACTGTTAGCAGGCAGAGGACGGGGCATAGTCGCTCCTGATCCTGAGAGACAGAGTGCGCTTGATGCTGGAGATGATACGATGGACACCACATTATAGTTTGGAGAAACGGTCTTCTTTGGATGCTTCTTAGACACACTTGGTTTTCTCATAACTCGCATTGATTGACGAGTTCGGACGGGCGGCGTTGATGGATGACTTGATGCTTTGATTATTTGCACTATATTCCCAATATCAAGATGTTTTAGTTGTGAGCTCTGTTCTTTGGAATTTGAGGTCGGCGGAGGGAGAATCTTGTGAATACCCGCCGTAGGTACAAGGAAGGAAACCTCTTTTCAATGTTTGCAATAATAAACACACGACACCACTACTAATCTCTTGGATAATGTCCTTGACTCATTTTTGTTTCTTTTTTGGCCCTCCGCATTCTGGGTTAGCTCTACCGTAATACTCCTTGCACGAAGAAGACTCCCGTAGAATCCATTCGATTGCAGACTACCTGGCCGAGCCGCTCGTGCGCGAGGACCAGATTGCTGCCACCCGGAAATTTATGAGTTCCAGACTAAGTCCCAAGGTTTTTGCGGCTGAACGCCATATCTGTTCTGACTGCAGGCAGCCTGCTAACAGTGCACGGTGCCCCAAAGCAAAATTAGCCTGCAGGCATTGCGGACGCTTCTCTTGTCTCACCCAAGTCAATATGACCTCAAGTGGGCTCTTGCGTGTTGCACCTTGGGGGGAGGGGCTCTAGAATTCGTGGAACCATGGATGATGCATTCCAGGTATTATTATTATTGTGCCAATAGGGTGGAGCCATTGAACGCCCACATTGGAAGGTCGAAGCCTAGAAGAGTCATAAATCACGGAGTAATTATAAGTGAATGATAATAAAAATAGCGGTACGTAAGACTCGCCAGGCGACTCTTCACAGTTCACAGAGGGAAATAATGATTAGGCACCAAATTAATGCTAACTACAAGGGTAAGCACAAGGATCGGAGAAACGGCCAATAATACTCTCATCCCAGTCAACAGCATTCTTCAGTCAGGATCACTCAAGAATACCACAGTACTTGAGCAATAACAGTCTGACTCGTGCTAATGATCTTCGTGAGTTGTGAATCGAGGCTGTGGGCTTGGGAAGGTTGTGTCTTTGGCGCTTCGCTCTCCTGGTTTCGAAAAAGTAAATTCTGAAGTGAAGGCCTGCGCTGAGCATTGCGCAGGAGCGATGCAACAGAAGGGCTCCACTGTCTGTCGCAGATTCATCGGGGCTGTCTCAAGATGCACCCGTGGACGACTAGGGGCGAAGGAGAGTGGCGGCATGGACCCATGCATGTTCCTTGATTACTGGTATCATACGTCCCCTCGAAGAAAACTTTTGGGGGGTACTCGTAAGTTTGGGAAGATTCCTGGTATTTACGGTGTAATGATACGGTTACGTGGCTGAGGGCGCTGCTCCGCCCCTTGCTGAAAGGAGGTCCGCCTGAATTGACCACGCTGGCCTTTAAAGAGGCGTCGAATTCCCCGTCTCGCAAGTCAGAACAGGACCACAACCCATATTTTTATGAACAGCTGTCCTTTTTACTCTCTCCACCTTCTGCTATCTTTGGTACCTGTGCCCCAAATTTTCACTGGCTGGGATCTGGCTTCCGGCTTCGATTCCGTGATGATACCGTGGCCTTTGTCTTAATGACCTAGGCAAGACATTCAAGTCTCAACCGAACCAACTCAAAACACGACAAAGTACTCTTCTCATAAAATTGATTTTATCAGTGTAATTGGATTATTATCACTATCAATTTGAAATCACTGCCAGACCAGTCGTTGCCAGTGAAAATGGACGACACTTTCACAGACTCTTTGCCATCGACCCCATCATTGGAGGTTCCTGTCCTTACTGTCTCCCCGGCCGACACATCCCTTGAATTCGAGGATGCCGAAATGGAGAGTAAGTCAGATGAAAAGAAGCCAGCGAAGAAGAGGAAGTCCTGGGGCCAGGAATTACCAGTTCCCAAAACGAACTTGCCTCCAAGGTACGTGTAAATAGCTTGACTTGGATTGGAACCGTTCAAGCTGAGCTAACATGACCTTAAGGAAACGCGCTAAGACGGACGATGAAAAGGAGCAGCGCCGGATTGAGCGGGTTCTTCGCAATCGCGCAGCTGCTCAGACTTCTCGCGAGCGCAAGAGATTGGAAATGGAAAAGCTAGAAAATGAGAAGATCGACATGGAACAACAGAACCAATTCCTCATCCAGCGACTCGCTCAGATGGAAGCTGAGAACAACCGTCTAAGCCAGCAAGTTGCACAACTCTCAGCAGAGGTCCGAGGGTCCCGTCACAGCACCCCAAGGGCCGCCTCTCCCGCATCGGTATCGCCGACTCTTACTCCTACTTTATTTAAGCAAGAGGGTGATGAAATAGCCCTCGACCGAATTCCCTTCCCGACACCCTCTGTTACCGACTACTCACCTACCTTGAAACCTTCATCTCTGGCAGAGTCTTCCGACCTGACACAACATCCTGCAGCGATGTTGTGTGACCTGCAGTGTCAGTCGGTGGACTCGAAGGAGATGGAAGTACCCTCTCGCTATTCGACCTCGGTACCAGCGTTAAACACGAGCCTAATGACGCTACAGCTCCTCTTTCTGACGATGACTTCCACCGCTTATTCCACGGTGATTCATCCACTAAGTCAGATTCTTCAGTCCTTGAAGATGGGTTCGCCTTTGACGTTCTCGACTCAGGAGATCTATCAGCATTTTCATTTGATTCTATGGTTGATTTTGACACCGAGCCTGTCTCCCTCGAAGACATCGAGCAACCGAACGGCCTTCCGAATTCGACTTCTTGCAAGACTCCTAGCGTGCAACCCAGCCATGGCGCGTCCTCTTCGCGATGCGACGGGCAGGGCATTGCAGCTGGCGGTGCGTGAGAGGTTCTATCAGGAAGAGCGTTCTGTTACCGATGCTGCAGAGGGTCGATGGAGCTGGGAATCTTTATTAACACTGGCATCGGCGATAGATCTTCTTGAAAGGCCAGAACGACGTAGGATAATATTGAGCGGTCTAAAGCCGTTCGAGGGCAGTCGGCGCAACAATTTGGGAAAGCGTTACAAGGTCATGCGGAGTTCACGGAGTTCGGCCAACCCAAAAGAGGCGTTGACGTCTCTGCTGAAGGGAATGGACTTACGATAGTTTGTATATTAGCGTTCTTCACTGTCGATCAACTTACAAGCCAATGTTTGAACTTTCAAGTATAGATATTCTTTGTCTAGTAAGGTAGTTTTAGGCGCTGTTGTATACTGGGCAGTGTGGGGTGATGATCTGCTCTCTCCCAGCCGGTTGCGGATCGACTGGGGTTACGACTGCCGACCCAGGAAGAGTGATACAGTGAATTTTCACTCTGTTCTTTGTTGCTTTTTTCGAATGGGCAGAAATCACAGTAACTATAGAATAACTATAAATCCACACAATTAGCCAACATTCTTGGAAAAGTTCATTGGACTCCAGTGCGAGGACTCGGGATCACGTTCGCCACACCAGACATTCATCCCCTCAATTCTAGCCAGGCCCACCTTCTCTTTCACCTCACCAACCATCCAGATTCTCAGACAGACCACATTTCTGTCCAGTTCTTGTGTTTTGTATTGCACTGATAGTTTTAACACGATTGCCACAAAAATCCAAGATGGTTCGAAAAGACCCTATTTTTGAAGCGCGTACCAATGTCAAGGTGAGTCAGTCTTGTGGCCAGACCCTCAGCTACTAATACAGCAGCTCTCGTCCCCGAATTTTTGAGATTTTCTAAAGACACCTTTCTAACTGCGCCCGTCACTTCAACAGTTACACTCCAACCGCCTGAAGAAAGAAGCCGCCCGTGCGGAGGCTACCTTCAAGTCCGAAAAAACAAAGGCCGACAAGGCGATGAAAAACCGCGAATTCCAGATAGCGCGGATCCATGCATCTTCCGCCGTGCGCGAGAAACGGCGACAGGTTACCTTGCGAGCAGAAGCGGCCCGTGCAGATGTGATAATCAATGAACTGAAGGCTGCACAGAGCACTCGGGACACATCGCGCACCCTCGCGATGGCGTCTCGGGGCTTAGACGCTGCATCCAAGAGTGTAAACCTCGAGACGCTAGTATCCCATGCAAACAACTTTCTCGCACGTTCGGAGGACTTCAAGATTGCCAGCAGCGCCATCGAGGATGTAGCTCAAGGCGTTTCAATGCAAGAGTATGGGGCTGAGGGTGAGGCTGATGTTGATCGCCTAATGGAGCAGCTTGCCGACGATGCGGGAGTGGATATGCGACTTGCTCTAGAGCAGGACTCGGCACCAAAGGAAGATGTGAAGGAACAAACAAAAGTTGATGCAGACGTTGAGGATGGATTAGGTGCCAGACTGCGAGCTTTGCGAGCCGCAAACTGATTCCCTTTATTTTGTGGTGTACATGCTTCCTGCTCTTTTTTTTTTTTTTTTTTCCTTTTCTACTGTTTGGTCATGTTCTTCCAGGCGAACTATGGAGAAGCGGGTGAATATTTTAAATTTGATCGTTATAAACTATTTTGCATATACCTGTCTTGTTTTTTGAGTTCATATTATGAGTTACGTCAAGGCGCTTGATTTGTGTTTATTTGCGAATACATTGTGGGGAATTCTGTACCCCCCCACGAGATACCTAGGTACATCAGAAGATTCTGCTGGATATCCATTTATTATCGTCTCACTGTGGCGGCACCGTAGGCGTATTCCATTTGACTGGAATGGTAGAACTTGCTCTGAAAGTCATTTCCCGGGATCTGTCTCTTAATTTCACGGCTTGGGAGAACCACCAGGCCCGTTGGAGTGTTTCTATTTGCGGCCTTGACATACACTTTTTAATAATATGCGGGCGCGGGGGTTTTCCGTTTTCCAGATGAAGGTTGTGGTGGCTATAGTTAATTAGTTAGTTGACTAAGTTAGTTAGGAGCTGAGTAAGGAAGCGTTTTCAGACCTCAGCTTTCGTAGGGTGATTGTAAGAGGCTTTTGCAGTCGATACTCAATGGGCAAGAAACTAGCTTATTCGGCGAGCTGCTTGATGGACCTCATAACTAGTTGCCGCACTGACGGGGCTGACTCATTTTAGCCCGAGACCCAACCGCGGAGACCGACAAGGTATACGAGTAGTTTCCTGAACAGTATTTAGCTGCCCATGGATTGCGAGGTATGGATCGCCGGGCACCAGCTTTGAATCAACGACGGGCCTCTCACAGCCGACAAGCCGCATGCCTCAACTGCCGGAAAAGCAAAGTACGCTGTGACCGCAGCCAGGGAGAGGCCTCCTGCGATAAATGTAAACATGTTGGCGTGGAATGCGTCGTTCCGAGCCATCATGTTGGAAGGCAGAAGGGAGTAAAGAAGTGAAGTTTACCATTCCTTAATTGCTCGCGCTCTTCATAACTATATCAACAACATGTATGCTGACTTAAACAACTGCTAGTAAACGCAAGGGCCTGGACAAAGCACTACATCAAATAGAGCAGGCGATCAAGCGGCCTAAGGCTGATCATCAAGCCGCTGAAGCTGCGCAGAAAGTGATTGCGGACCTTCAAGATCTGCTCAGCAAGACGCAGAACCAACGGCCGCAGAACGAGAGCGAGGAGTTTTCTGAGGATCCCGATCAACCTGAATCGTCACACTTTCCCCGTGATTCAAATTCCGGGGAAAGCCTGGCTCTAGATGACGCAGAGAATCCTTTGCAATTGCTCGCGCGCGCTTCTGACCTCCAGCTGTCTCCAAATGATGTTCGTGATATAGCAACGTGGCCTTCGTTGGCGACTCCGCATCCAACGGCGGAGTCACAAGTGAGTCTGGAAAGCAATGCTATTGCAGCAAAGACCTTCTTTGTGCCTGTGAGAGTGAGTCGAGATATTGGCCCAGACCTGGACCCCGTGGAGGTTGGGCTTGTTACACTTCCCGAAGCCGAGTCTCTTTTCTCTTTGTATGACCTATCGTATCTCTGATGCCGAAATTCATAATTAGCATACTGATCATCACTAGCTTTTACCAAAATCTTGCGCATACTAGATGGGGGCTCGATCCTCTTATTCATACTGTGGAGTTTGTTCGCTCTCAGTCGGCTCTTCTGTTCACTTCAATCATGGCTGCCACTGCCCTATTTCTACCATCTACTGCTGCATTGTCCAAAAGGCTATCGAGACACAGCAAATATTTGGTGCACAAGGTGATAAAAGAACGCCTCAGATCGGTTGAAATTGTTCTGGCATTTATGGTCAATGTTCCATGGATGGCACCTGGGGGTTGCTTGGGGGACGATGACACTTGTTCCTACATCGCCATGGCCTTGACAGTTGCATTGGACCTATCTCTGAACAAGATCGTTTTACCATCGACGAGCTTTGAGAGTACACTTCTACGAAGACTTGCTAAAACAGATTGTATTGACGCGAGGAGAGCTTTGCAGACCGATGGATTTGCCGACATTGATCCGGCTTCTGACTGGGGTCGCAGATTGCTACGGAGACGAGAGCGGACATGGATCGCACTATTCGTACTCGAACGGGGGTGAGTGTCGATCCAGTGGTAGTTTCTGAAATCTATTAATACTCGCAGAGTATGCCTAGCTCGTGGGAGAAGTTATACAGTGCCTCCGACTGCGTTGATTGAGAACTGTGACCGATGGCATGTCTCAGATCTTGCGGATTCTCGCGATGGTGCTATGAATTCAATGGCTATACTCCGAAGAGACCTTGTGAGCCTTCTTAAATCGTTCATATTCCAAGTCCGATACAACGTCTAACAAATAACAACCTAGGATGGGCTATTCAAAAAGGTTAAATCCAATTGTGACAGCTATCAGGGAAGCAGTACGGGGACCGGAGTGGCGCAATCGTAAGCATTTCCCAAAAGCTTTACCCTGATGTATAAATTGACCGGGAAACAGGATCAAGACAATGATAGAGAGTTTCTATAGTGCATGGTATGAAGCCTGGGGCCCAGAAATCGGAGAAGGCCACTGTAAGTTTGGAATGTCTACACCAAAACAAACATACTGACGCCCAAAATTTTCATAGCCCTTATCCTCCCACCATACGTGGAAATCCTCGTCACACATACCCAGCTTTCAACGTACGGTGGTGTAATAAACCACCCTACAGCTCCCGTTGAAGTCAAACGATTCTTTCGTGCCGCTGGCCTTTCCTCGGCACTGAATGTTATGCGAGCAGCCATTCAAGGGGAAGCGAGGCTAAAATCAATGCCGAACAACACTGTCATCATGATTTCATTTGCTGCATGCTCTGCATTGAGCCTCAGCGTGATGCCGACAGATAGCAATTCTAGCTTAGCTCCAAGTGTCCGGAATCTGATTGAGGAAGTAGCTGGAGTCCTTGAACGGATTGGAACCACACCAAGTCACAGGAATGGAGCGTCTGTGCTATATGGGCGGTTCCTGCGCCAGCTTGTTCGGCGCATACCGGCCAGTTTGGATTCGCAAGTGCAGGGTGACCCTCAAGGTGCCTCTCATCCAGCAACGCTCCCTTCGGCGACCTTGGATGAATTTGGAGCCACTCTGACAACGACTCAAGAAGGATTCGTGCCGTCTGTGTTATGGTCAGAACCAATGCAGTTCTCCGCCATGTCTGACGACCAAATTATTGACGCTGTTAATCGAGCGGGTACTGCCTTTGGAGCCAGTGTCCCCGACGTTCCGCTTGACGACATGATGAGCTGGGACTGGCTCGACATGGGCAATCCAGAATTCAATTTTTGACAGTTTGAGCAGAGTGGGTGATACTAGTGGACACTATCAAGCCGTATGGAGGTACGTAGTAGCATTAGTATTCACTGCTGGTGAAGCCAAGGAGTTTGTGGGGGCAAGAAAGGGCTCCCCACACGTCGGCGTCTAGAAGTAGCCCCGAGCGCCGACAGGACCTTTGTTAAATAGCGAGACGTCATCGCCGCAATTCTTTTCGAAACTCTTGCGACCGTTTTATTTCTTCTTAATAATAATCTCACCGAATATAATTTTCGAGTGACATGGCGACGCTCAGAGTTACGGCGCTGACTTTGTCCCGGAAGGCAACAAGTGTTGCTCGGGCTCAACTATGCTTCCGTGCGTGCCAGAGGACATGGGCTCGACCAAGCTCGCCTACAGCCCTCGCGAAATATTCCACTGCGACCACAACGATTGAGAAGCCATCTCGTGCTCCAATCGTTGACCGCGCAGCTTCGAAGCTATTCAAGAATGCTGACGATGCTGTAGCTGACCTCAAAAGCGGGTCAACTATTCTAAGTTCCGGCTTTGGCCTCTGCGGGGTTGCAGGTGATTAGGTTCTATCATTGATTGAATTGATCGTTTGAGTTGACTATTGATAGACACAATTATATCTGCAATTGGCCGACGAGGGGCTGATAACATTCACTCCCTAACCGCAGTCTCAAACAACGCCGGTGCCCCTGGTAGAGGTGGACTTTCTACCCTGACACATTCTGGACAAGTGAATCGGCTCATCATATCGTACCTTGGAAACAATAAAGCGCTAGAGCAAAAGTACCTCACAGGAAACATTGCTATTGAGCTGTGCCCCCAAGGAACTCTGGCAGAGCGCCTGCGCGCCGGAGGAGCTGGGATACCTGCTTTCTACACTGCCACTGGAGCTCGTAGGTTGGCCATTGCAAAGGACAAAATTCTTGGCTAATAAGATGTGCGCATAGACACGTTCCTCCAAGATGGCAAGATTCCAGTACGCCTCGATGCGTCAGGCAAAGTGTTGGAACAAGGCAAGCCCCGAGAAACAAGGGTTTTCAACCAGAAGAAATATTTGATGGAAACTGCTCTTACCGGAGATGTTGCTATTCTACGAGCGTGGAAGGCAGACGAGGCTGGGAATTGTGTTTTTCGGTTGGTTAACCCTGGCCCATTGCATTGATAAATCAGATATTGACAGCCTGGGCCCTAGCTACACTACAAAAGCATTCGGTCCTATCATGGCAAAGGCAGCCGCCCTTACTATCGTTGAGGCGGAGAACATTGTCCCGGTCGGTTCTATCGATCCTAATGATGTTGACCTACCCGGTATTTTCGTGAACAGGATAGTGCCCGCGACAGCCAAGAAGAACATTGAGATTCTGAAGCTGCGGGAACCAAAGGAAGATGTTTCAGCAGCATCGAATGGGTCTCCCGCCATCATTCAAAGAAACCGAATCGCCAAGAGAGCAGCAAAGGAACTCAAACAAGGATATTATGTGAATCTGGGAGTTGGTATGTTGCTCGAAACTTCTGTGTGGACTGCATTAATGCTGCACAGGTATTCCTACACTTGCACCGTCGATGTTGCCTGAGGATGTTAAAGTATGGATTCAGTCTGAAAACGGAATACTTGGAATGGTAAGGCGAGAACCAGGGTCCCATTATAGAACGAAAAGTTAATTAATTTAGGGGCCGTATCCTACCGAAGATGAAGTTGATGCGTATGCCATTCTCTCTGCTCATATGAAGTTTTCTTCTGATAGCACTGTAGGGACATTATAAACGCCGGAAAAGAGACAGTAACGCTGAATCCAGGCGCTGCAACCTTCGATAGCACTGAATCATTTGGGATGATTCGTGGTGGACACGTAGATGTCTCTATTTTGGGGGTTAGCCAATATTCCTCGCCCCCGCTTGAGTATCACTGACCATGAAATACAGGCTCTCCAAGTGAGCGCAAACGGCGACTTAGCAAACTACATGATTCCTGGGAAAGTCTTCAAGGGAATGGGCGGAGCTATGGATCTGATATCCAACCCCGACCAAACTAAGATTGTTGTTGCCACAAGCCACACAGCAAAGGATGGCTCATCCAAGATCGTCTCAGAATGTGCCCTCCCTCTAACTGGAGCCAACTGCGTCAGCACGATCATCACGGAACTGGTAAGACACTGGCTACAAACTACAAAGTGTAAACCCTGTAGCTAACAAACAACAGTGTGTATTCCAAGTGGATCGCCAGAAAGGCGAGCTCACTCTGACCGAGCTCGCACCTGGGGTAGAGGTTGACGAGGTCCGGGCGAAGACGGATGCTCCGTTCCATGTTGCGGACAAGCTAGAGATTATGGAGTAGATCCTCATGGAATGGATTTTAGTTATACCCTGTTATATAGAGTAAATACATTTACTTTGATGTTCAATAGAAACATTTCCTTTTTGAAGCACGGGGGACACAGGGATGTGAGTAAATGGGACGATAACCCCGTTGTCGCCATGCTATATATGTATATATATATAGCACCGATGGTATTGCCTGGGCCTATAAAGCAATCAGACTTGCTCCTCACTCCCTCCTTGACTAACTCTCTCCCGTTCCCTCTCCCTTTCCCTCCCTTTCTCCAATCCCACAAAACTAATCAAAATCCCAATATCGTAAACGCACTTCAAAATTCCTGCAAGGGTGAAACTCGCGCCAAAGCACCCCCTGTCAGCAAGAACACCCGTAATTAACGGCCCCATACTCTGCGCCGAGGTTTTCACAACATTAATAGATCCCATGATCGCCGTGCGCTTATCACTCGGAAGTGCTGCAGCCAAGAATGCAGAACGCGGCGCAACGTCCATGTTCTGGGAGCAGGCGCGGAGGATGAGGAAAGTTAATGCGAGCGGGAGGAGCGAGGGGATGGGAATCAATGCTAGAAAGATTGCTGATGGGAGGTGCGTGAACACCATTGTTCGAACGTTACCAATGCGCTTTGCGATAGAAGAGGCGATTAGCATTGAGCCGGCGGCGATGATGCTTGTTGTGAAGAAGATGGAGCCAAGTTTGCCCTCAGGTAGCGAGAACTTCCGCTTGAAGAAATACGTCATCCATGATCTGGCGTCATTAGCAAAACCTATACTAAATGTTTACGCGTTCAAATAGAAGGGGTAGAGGAGAAGAAGAAACGCACAGAGAAGCAAGACCTGAAGCGAACGAGTCGAGACCGAAGAGGATGAAAAGGCGAATCACCAAGGAGACGAGATCTCCGTCGCCGAGAAAAGAGAGGAACCATTTCCTTTCGGGCTGTTGTTGAGTCTGTTGTTCGGATTCCGTCGTTCTCCCCTCAAGGAGAGGTTGGGTTTCGTTAGCCTCGTTGGGTTGCTGCTGCTTCGGTTTCGACTCCTTGGCCTCCGCCTCCACTTTGCGACTCAATGCCACAGAAAGAATGAACTTGATAGCCCCGATGGCGGAATACACGAGAAATACCGTGCGACAGGCTGGGATATAGGCCCAGCCTCTCTCGGCCTGCAGCAGGTTTATAGCCCAACCGCATATCATTACCCCGAGAGCTGTTCCTGCCGTTCCAATGAGAGAGTACCATAGCAGAATATCGCGTAGTAGCTCATTTGGAGTGAGATGGGCGAGAGTGGACTCCTCAACTGCTTTGAAAGGACCAACCTCATTGCCACTGTATCAATATCAGTTGGGAACCTTGGAATCGAGGTCAGATAGCTACCTTGGACTAATAACACCAAAAACAGCAGCCGCAAGGAGGAGCCAGTAATTCCCAAAAAGTGCAAAAATAATCCCACTGCCAACCATCAAGGCCGAACCGAGAGTCAGAACAGCTCTGCGGCCCAATGCGTCAGCAAAGAGGGTCAAGAGGAAGCTGATAGCCACGTCCCCGACGAGAGTCAAGGTCATGAACAGGCCAATGCGGTCATCAGAAATCTCCAGAGCAGATAGATATGAAGCCAAAATCAAAGTCGAGCCACCATACGCAAATAGTCGAACGAAACGCTGGGCGATGAGTAGCTTTGCATCCCGGGGTGCTTGCCATAGAGAGAAGAGGCCGATTTCCTCAAGGACCTTGTAGAAGAGCGATGGGGATTGACGAGTCATATTGACGCAGAATGTTATATACAGCTAGTAGAAAGTGCACACAGCGCACTGATTGAGAGTTGTCATGAGAAAGTTGCAGCATTGCGAGTGAGAGCCACAATATGAGCCAATGCCAAGGTCTACTCGGAGTTCACACCGTGCCAAGCCTCGGGTATTCTCGATTTAGGGAGACACGCCCGAAGCTTGACTCGGAGTTAAGTAGTCTTCAGTAGTGGGTCACGCATAGGGGAGAAATGTTTTTATGGAGCCTTGTGGTTCGAGACTACGCGTAGCAGTCATAATTCATTGTCCCGTATATCTACCCAGTTATTATCAGTGGATGGAATTATACATTCTCCATTTGAAGCCCCCTCCCCCAGAGAAAAAATTAGTCATGGACCATGGTACTTTCAATCCGAGCGAGCCAGTGGAGCTAGAGAGCCCTATATCCAAAACATAGTCATGCCGTATCAAAGACCAGCTATATATTCATATCACAGGACCATCATGAACTTGGGGTCGCGGTCATCGTTGTACCCCGCGTACTTGTCGTACTTGCCGTTCCTCTTGTCTCTGTTTATCTTGGCACAGTACAAAACATTGAATAGGATCCTGCGGCTGCATTAGTAACGAAAACACCGCCGAGAAATTTGATACGTACATAAACCAAGCAAAGACCAACAGGCCCAAGACGACCGTATGACCGCGGTGAAACTGTGGCTTATCTGAATTGGGGTAGATGAAAGCTAGTGCATGGGTTAGCCATTTCCAGGCCCGGCAAATAAAGCAGCCTTGTGGACAAGAGACGTACTCGCTACGAATCCTCCCGCGTTCGCAATAGCAAGCTGCATTCCTGATGTGGTAGCTCGTTTATAGTGTCCCGCTGAGTTGTTGGAGTTCCAGACGAGAATACACGGGACACTGGCGTACATCCCTGTAGCCATGAGGAACGTCATGCCATACTTTGCATGTGGGGATTGAATGTTTGCAATAGCACCGTACCCAGCAATAGCGAGCGGAAGAGAGAATAGCATGACGACACCTCGAAGTTTCAGGCGGTCGGAGAGGAAGGAAACGAATACTAAGTACACACCGTTAGTAGAGGGGCGAGAGAGGCGAGGCGCGGACGGGGGAAGAATTACCTGTTAACACAGCAGCGACAGCGTACGGTATCACAGTCCACAGTTGGGTTTGGTTTGCATCGCTGGCAAACCCGCTCTCGTCAATGATGGTTGGCAACTGAATTTAGGGATGTTCATCAACAACTATAACTCCAAACAGGTAGGCGGGTGGGGTTACGCACGAATAAACCGAACGAATATAGGCCCGATAGAATAGCGAAGTATGCCGTTGCCGATAACCACATTTGGGGCTCTAGAAGTCCTCTTCGGACTTCTGACCAAGCCAGGCTCTCTGCTTCGGCTGGGATTGCCCTGCTGCATGTCAATATTCAAGAAACGCATGGCAAAGATAGGGCAGGCCCACTCTTGTATGTGGGGGTTTTCAAGTCTTATCCGCTCACGAGCATAGCTGCGTTCCGCTTCGGTTAAAAATGGCGTTGTTTCAAGGCTATTTGGGAGGACATAGTAGCTGATAATTGCGCATACGAATGTCTAATCCCATCATAACAATTTAGCCGCAGAAAAGAAGGAAACCTCAAAGAACCACTGACCAATAAACCCTCAATGATCATAATCCAGCGCCATCCTTCTAGTCCGCCTCTGGGACCAATTTCGTTCAAACCGCGAGCTAAAAGGCCTAGACATAGTTCCTATTAGTATGGCTTCGCACGGATATGGCGGGGTGAGGATGACGTACCGCCGAATGCGCCAGAGAGCGAAGCGGCAGTATAGAAGAGACCAATCCTCAGAGCCAAGTCACCTCTTCTATAAAAGGACGAAAGATACAGCACCTTTGGATGTCAGCGATTTTTCAGCAAAGGGGGAAAATTGTCCCAGTCACACAAACTAACCATTCCAGGGAGCAACCCGCCCTCTGCAACTCCCAACAGAGCGCGAACCGCAGCGAAGCTCGCGAAATTACGCACAAAACCCAGACACATGGTAATAATGCCCCAGACTGCAGTGAGTGCTGGTAGCCATATCTTTGGTGATGCTTTTTTGATGATTAGGTTGCTTGGAACCTCGCTGCTCGCAGAGCAAGTCAGTCGTCAAGGCCACCTTGTAAAGTTACTTCAAAAGCACGCACCTCAGGATATAGAAGAGATAGTAGATGGTCAAGCCGATGTCGTACTGATGATTTGTAATTTTGAGGTCTTCTTCGAGGCCGAGGATTTTTGCGTTACCGACGTTGGTCCGGTCGAGGAACGAGAAGAGGAAGAGTAAGGCCAGAATGGGCAGGATTCTGAAGGGAATGAATGAAATGAAACTCAATACCAATAAGTACACTGAGCACTTACCTTGTGTCTAGCTTGAACAGAATCCGTCTGGTGAGCTTCTGGTCCTCGCCAGAATCCCCATCCGCGCTGAGCGAGTGCTGCTTGATATCGTCGCTCATTTGCACCTGATGCTTTTCAGAGTCCATGGTCGTCGACTCGACGTATACCGTTTATAAGGCGCAGGAAAAAAAAAAGGATTAAGGGCCAGTGCGCGGCATCCGGGACAGACAATTGGAATAAGAGAACGCGAGGGGGATGAAAGGGAGGGGCGGGAGCTGGTAAATAAGCTGACTACAGAAAAAGGTGGACGACAACCGAGAAAAGGCGTGATCGGCCTTACTTCTGTGACCGATCAGGAGCTCTGCGAGGGTGACACCTCCTTCCAACAGCTTCTGGGTCTGGAATTGGCCTGACCTCCGCAGTGCCCAAGAGGCCAAGCCCGCACCCCAGATTGCTTACTCCAGAGCCAAGCTGGATTGGCTGTGGAGTCACGCGGGGGACGGCTCGTACTGGATTGCTGGAACCCAATTGAATGTGTGGAATCGGTCATCCGGAGGCACTTCTGGCTCCGAGACGGCCTGCTGCTCTCTTTGTTCTGGCCCCGAACTGGTGCTCTTTGTCTTTTTCACGATCGTCTTCCCCAACCGCTCAACATGGCCTGTTTGAAGGCTGCTCCATCGGCATACTTCCGATTCCATTACTAACGATTTACCATTAACTCACGAGTTAACTGTTGTCCATCCAGCAACTGACAAGTCTAACTGATCCCAAGATAGGCATAATACACGCGCTTCACTGCTAGGCGACATTGCCTGCGCCTATGATATCACAGTAAGTGGGTTTACCATTCGAAAGCTTTATTCACTCAAGGAACCTGAAGAGAGTCTAGTGAAGAGACATTCCCGAGGTCGTTTGGTTACCGCGGGTCGCGTGCGGATAGGATCTTCACCATCCCTGGTACGAGGCGTCTTAACTGGGTGGGTTAAGGCACGGCTGTGGCGCTGTGGTTGATATCACCCCGGCTCATGAATTCGAGTCTATCAACTTCACTCGTCTTCCTCGCAACCCACCGCTAGATTTGGCGTAGAGATCAGGAAACTGCTCGCGGAAAGTTTAGTTTTCGGGGGTCAGAGATTACCGTAGTTGATGAATGAAACACTTTTGGAACGAATGTAAAGCAGGAAAAAAAAACAAAAAAAAAAAAAGGCTATTTTGTCAGGCTCATAATGTCAATAAAACGAAAATTATTTCTAATTAGATTGAACACGTCTGAGAGTCATACATGCAGATATATAGATATATACGAACCCACAGCGCACCAAGACTACAAGATCTATTGCAAAAGTGACTAAGGAGAAGTCGAGCAACCTAGTAGGTCGAAGAGGGCCAAAAGAAGCTAGGGTATCACCTCATGCAGAGTCGTAGGTGTAGCAGAGGTCGTTGCTATGGGTGTTCAGGAGTTGCTCTAGGGTGCGGTTGGGAGCAAGTGCGCCAATGTTGACCTTGAAGTCAAGGGTAACATTCTTGCCACTGAAGTCCAGGGCTTTAACCGGACCACCAACTTGGTGTAGGCGTGTAGGGAGGTCCTTTTGCTGCCACTCCCAGAAGATGCGGTCCAAGTTACCGTGGTGGAGGTAGAATAGGGGATCACCAGGGCTCTCATACTGGTTGCCGAGGGTTCCAAGAACACCACCGACGCCAAAGTGCCCACTGCCGTGAATATTGGGCTGTGTGAAGGAAGGAATGTTTTCAAGGGCTCGTGCAAAGGAAGCGTAATCAGTCTGGCTTTGCACGTGGTCGACGAGGCTCTGTTGAGCAAAGCTGTTCATGACCCAGGGAATATAGTCACGTTTGAGACATCCTCCATCGGCGTGGTGCGGCTGGAACTTGTCTGCGGTGAAGGGGCCATCTTGAACACAGCCACCACCAAGACGGCCAGTGAGGTTGAAAGGGTTCTTGGTTGGATCGCTAATCTCAACCCGCGCACCGTTGCCACCGAAGCCGGTGTCGGGATCGAAGATCTCGGTCTCGAAGATGGCAGTGGACGTCAGGTTATTCGAAGCATCTTGCGACCAGTTCCAATATCTGGGGAAGGATTGTGCAGTTAGCCCGCTGTATTACTTGTGATGTGTACCCCAAAAAAGACAATATCGAAGGGGCTAGTAACTTACGGCTGGGCACCTTTATATCCACATTCCTCACGCAGGGACTTCTCATAGGAAGCAACAAAGTATCGATGCCAGAGGAGAAAGTGGCCCTACAATGATCAACATGATCGGCAAAGGACAAGACCGCCATGCATTCAAGGAGCTTGGAGGGTGTAAGCTTACCACAAAGTGGATATTTGGGGTCTGGCTCGAGTGAACAGCCTGAAAATCGTCGAAACGGTTGAGAGCACCGGCCAGACCAGATTTGGGGTCCAGGTTTGTCAAGCAGTAGACGGCGTCAATGTACTCGGCCTTCTCCTGGGCACTCAGTTGTCTCCTATTGAAAATGTGTCAACTTTGGTGGACTGAGACCAATACAACAGAACTCACCATTCCTTGCGCACGGGCGGATCGGTGCACGACGGAGGGGTTTGGGGTTGGCATGCCTGAGGGGCAGCAGAGGCAAGATGCAACAGTGCCAAAGACGAGAGAATCTTGGCAAGACGCATCTTGAAAGTTTCCCTGAAACGCTGAGGTCCAGCGCACAGAGTTTCACTGCCACATGGGAGACCGCAGTCTTTATGGCAATATTCGGGGGATTTTCTGAGCTATAACTTGTTGGGTATGAAGCTGGAAGCCCCAAGTCCGGCTTTAATGTAAGGGTGGGCCAAGGTCGTGGAAGCCCTGCGAGTCAGGAAGATCTCACTCGCGCTGCACGCCGGTGGAATGAGGGATGATATCTGGTTCGGAAACCAGGCCCGTGTTCAAGTCTGGTTAGCCAGATACTCCACCGTCACATTGCGATTATTAGATTCGACCAGGATTAGGATTAGTTGATCGAAACAATCCACAGGCTTACACCTCCAACCAACACCCCTGCATCAGCAATCGGAGTTGGATCGTGTTTGGCCCCTTCGCACTTGAGAAACAACAGAATCGGCGTGGAGACAGTCACAGATTGGGCAAATGAAGCAACGCCGGCAGATGAGGACGGCCACTGCCTTGGCCTTTCGATTGCGGCTGCCAGTGAGCCCAGATGGCTGGAGCAGTGGGTTATTTCCAAAGGCTTTTCTCTAGGTATTGGACGAATATTCGCGTCCCGGAGGTTTGACGCTTCCTCCGGCGCGGAAATAGACTTCGATGTACTTCTGGGTTTGCGATCGCTGTCCAGCAGGCTCAGGGCACTCGGGGTGCCGCTGATTCGGGGAGGATTCAGGGCCATTCCAGATCAATGGCCGATTGTTGATCAGCCTCGCCCTGGGGCTGGCATCGAGACCCTGGTTCATGTTCCAGAATTTGAGTTCTCCCATAATAGAGCATGATTATACGACAGTGGCCCAAACTCTAAACTGGCCCTCTATTGTAACGAGGCTGGAAAAAAGCCCTTGTAAGTACTACTGTGCGCCCTCCTTATGAAGCATATCACGCTGCTCTCGGATGCAGCTTGCTCGACACTGCCCGCTCGACTCAAACCATGCCGTCGTACATCACAGCTAGCAATGGCTCGCAGCAGCCGATGTTCCTCATCGTAATGAGCCTGCTAGTTTTTCTGTCAGTAGTCACCGTCTCATTACGTCTCTATTGCCGCATTTTCCGTGTCCACAAAGTCGGCGCTGATGACTATCTCATCGTGGCCGCGGTGGCCGTCACCATTGGGATGACGGTCATGAATGGGCTTCATGTCGCTCAGGGAACAGGGTAAGTGGCGCCCCCTGATAACTGTCTGTGCCCCAGTTCATGATCCATCAGTCAGCATATGAAAGATTTAAACCTGGCTGTGATCCTAGTCCCCACCTTGAAACACTGGTATGCATACCAGATGGTCTACCCTCTCACGATTGGACTGGTCAAGTTCAGCATTCTGACCCAGCATTACCGTATTTTCGAAGTTAAGAACTTTAGAATATAGGCAATTGCGGTCGGAGTATTTGCTATGTTGTATACCATCATTTGTGTTTTCGTGAACGTACGTATTGCATCCTAATCCTATAGCTGTGGTGGAGCGTTGCTGATGCGCCTCTTCCCACAGGCTTTTGAATGTCACAGCAAACCATGGCGAGCATGGGACCCCTCGTTCCCTGCGGGTTGCTACAACCTCAATGCGGCGTACTATTCGATAGCATCCATTTCAATCTTCACTGACTTGGCCATCCTGGTGTTGCCTCTTCCGCAGTTAATGAAGTTGAATATCCACCAAAAGTGTATGCCTACAAGCATTGAAACCGAAAGGGTAAAACAAATGCTAACAGGTTCAAACCATAGATGCCTTAATTGCCATCTTTATGACCGGAACCTTCGCGTCAGCTGCATCGATTGCCCGCCTGCACGCGCTGTATAGATATTTTAACACGGAAGAGATGTTCCCTACGACGCCATCCAGATCCTTCTCTGGACGCAAATCGAAGTAAACGTCGCCATCATATCCGCATCGGCCCCTTCCCTCCGCCCGCTCTTTGCCAGTATTTTCAAAGGGTCCTCATACGGCCGGGGTGGGCCTTCGAGTGCCCGATACGGCGGTTACGGCTCGTCGTACGGCCGCGAAGAATCACACTATCGACGCACGCTCACCCGCCATGGCAACAATCATGGTGCAATCGAGCTGACCTCTCGCGATGAGGAGCGTTATGCCGGCAGGGTGCATGGAGTGACGCAACCGAGCTCAAAAGCTTGAAAAGCGGTCGACGGCGAGAGCAGCAGTCAGGAACACATACTAGACCATAGCCCGAATATTATGAAGATAGTTGTCGTCGAGATGACGAGAGAGGATAGAAAATGAAGTGCAAAAGCACGGAGTTGCACAAGATGGCAAAAATGAGTCAACTGTATAATCAGTGGTATTTTGGGTATTGATAGGGAATGGCGCTAAGAGGTGGATCTTCTCGTCAGGGTTAGGTTCGCAGTATGATGGATGATCGGGTTTTGGTGATCTAGAATATAGATAATTACGGTAGTTTAGTTCAGCATATACACTCTGTGAATATCAACTTACTTTCATGATATTCCCACCGATAACTTAGTCTCTGGAGCATCCACAGCTAGCCTATCCAGTCATAGCCCGTGATCGGCCCTTGTTAGATCCGCTGTTAGGATCGTGGAGCTGGAGGAGTGGAGGTGGTGTGGCCGGTGGGAGACTTTGGCGGGCCGCGAGTCGGGGCCTGAGGGCTAAGGCACTCTCTGCCTCGCTGCGGTTACCATCTCCGCGGTTCTATGCCATGGCTCACTTCCCGCAGTCTAAAGCATAAATTGTCCATGAACCATAATATTGTTGTCAATTAAGATTACAGACCAATCCCATAACAGACCCAAAAACTTTTAACCAAGACAGGGGTATCATTTCCGCAAAGGTCACAAAGGGAAAAAAAAAAATAAAAAATAAAAAGCTACGGATAACTACACAGAGTGACCGCGCAACGAGGAAAGCCACCTTGAGTGCCGTGGTATCGGAGGGAGAGGCTCAGTGTGGGTTTGAATATTCCGGTACCTGGCTGGTGAGGAGGAAACTGGATCAAAAGTGGAAAAGGATTCGAGCTGTGTGTCCTGGTTGATTCTCTTGGAAGACAGAGTGTCAATCCTGAAGGATTGGATGCTTTGATTAGCGTGCTTTTGCTGGACTCTGGACTCAGGGGACTTACAAGAGGACCAGTGGGAACAGACACTCCATGGTATATGTGAATCGGTCGATTTGCCCAGCAACGGTTGTTGCAGACTGTGACGTGGTTTGCGTGGAATAGGTAACTGCGCGGGTGATGCCGATGAAACAGAGGCTTGCGACGCGGATTTCAGTTGTGCGCATAAGGTACAGAAAGACAAATCTGGTGGATGAAATTTTGGGAGAGACTCTGTAGGCATTGTGAAGGAGACGGATAAGAAAGAAAGAGCTCCAAGTCTCGACGACGGCGATTGCTGTAAAATACCCGACGTGTAGTTTGCCGATTTGGCTCTGGTAGGGTCCCGCGTAGTGAAGGGTATCTGCGCCGCTAGCGATATCCAAGACTCTGTAGACCAGGATTGTTATGCGAAGGGCGGAAATCGCGAATATGAGAAACCAAAAGACGCAGAGGAAGATGATACGCGCGGTATTGCGGAGGGTGTGAATTAAGATTTGGTAACTGTAGAAGGAGAGGCCAGCCTCTTGGATCTATGTCAGAGACGAGGGGTTAGCTGGAAACGGAGGCTCTGCAAAGGCTCCTCTACCTACAAGCCAAAAGAAATCAGCAAAGCCGCTTGCAGCAGCTCTATTAGGAATTGCATGGTTGGTGTAGAATGCGAAGTAACAGGCCCCGTTGGCTATCGCGCAGGAGACAGACACTACAATCGGGATATAGGTCAATGGACTTGGTCGGCTGATAAACAGAGTCCACACTCCAACAAGGGTAACAAAGAGCCCAATACTGCTCAGTATCGACCAGCTCAACTCAAAGTAGGTCGACCTCGGAGTTTGAGAGTCATGCTGGGGGATCTGGGGATCCATCTCGGCCGGTCGCGGGTTGATGCGCTGAATTTAACAGGGCTGATTGCCCCATAACCCCCAGCGTTGTGTGTGCTGTAAATGGGGGCGGTGATGATCGTGCTCATAGGTGGTTGAGGGTGTTGAGAGACTCAGAATTGAGACTCGAGAAGCATGGGGAAATTGAACTGCCAGGGAAAGGCCTCGAGCCCGTGCGGAGTTGGGGGGCCGCGTGCTGGGCTGCTGATCCTTCCCCCGCGCATTCCCAGTGACAGAGGCTGATTGACGGACTAACTTGACGCTGCGAGTTGCCGCTGGTCCGGAATGAGCTAGCCTCCGTGCGCCTGCGCTGTGTGGACCTTCCGGTGATGCACAGTGCAACGCTTAAAGTTGGCCGCATCCATGGGCCGGGGGAATTGCCGCAATTTCCCCGGTACGGAGGCGACAATCAACGAACTGGACTACGGCTCTCGTCGTTCTCGTCGAGCTTGGGCCCCTTCATGAACTAGCTGAAAGCTATATCTTTCCAGGGTACAGTACATCTATCGCGAGAGTGAGTGAGTGATTTGAGAAGTATGCCGAAGTCAGGCGGCATCCCTCTGGGAGCAGATTTTGCGAGAGGCATCGTGTGTTAGACTCTCCACAATAAGTTCGTTCCACTTTATCGCTGGGAAACACTACCAAAGCGACTTGGGGGCGCCCTGGGGCCAAAACCTCATTCATCGTGCCCCAACTGCCGAAGAATATGCGGTGCGCCGTCGACTCTGAGTCTCTGACGAGAGCCGGCTCGTGTTCAATCGCCAAGCTCTTCCATAAGATACTCCAAACTTTATTAACTTAAGCAGACGACTCCTCAGGGGCCGGGCACATGCTCCGGAGGATAAAAGAGGAGAAGAGCGACGGATGGAGTATTGGAATGGCTATTGGGGACCCCAAAAGCTCCCAGCATGAACCAGAAAAGGAAGAACTACCGGAAATGCATGGCTGAAACCCTCGCGCAACGTGCTCCTGTTGGCCGAGGACGTCACGAGAATAATTGGAGATGCTGAATGGTAACGTTCTTTGCATGGTTGAACTTCGAAGCCATCCACTGAACGCAATTTCTCCGGTCGAACCAACGGGCCTCGTTCCATGGCGGATACGAGACGCGTCTCCACCAGCGATGCACGCTAGGTCTTTGAGTTCGCGCCGGAGGTTGAACCGACGTTTTGCCCGCAGTCATTTTCTATGTCTCTCGATAATACGCAGGCGCTGGGTCGCAAATCGACAGGAAATCCAGGATTAACACGATCAGAAAGCCGCACAGTCGCGTCAATACGTTTTCCACAGAGCCTGCCAAAGGATTTACGGAAACTTGTCGATGGGTTAGCACTGCTCGCTCCGGTAGTGCTGGCCCGAGATAACAGGAATGATATAAATAGGCCAAACAATTGGGGACAGCCTCCCAAAGCGCCACAAAGCGCCACAAAATATCGCTTGGCTCGAATATATCTTTCACACAACCACTGACCGACTCATGCTGTTGTTGTTGTTGCTTGATGGCTGCACGAGAGGGGGAGCACGTGACTCCACATGGCGATGCTGCCAAATGCTGCCAAATGCTAATCAGTCAAGACTATTTATAGACTTATCGAAGATGAGCTATCCCTAAGGCGCCTTGAAACATCACTTGGTCAGCTTGGTCCATACCGCTCTGGACTCTGGAGTGGGGCATTTAAGAATGGCATGATGCTCGCAGTGGAGACGAGGTAGATCTTAGGGAGATCTCACATCTCGCTCGGAGAGGCCGAAAAGCCACTGTCTATAAACAGAAAATTGAGCTTCATCTAGCCCGGTCTTGGAGTTTCATCGAAGTGGGTGGCTGTGGTGGTTGGCTCATTTTGCTAGCATGTCAAATGTTGATTGCTCAAGTGTAGACCCGACCGACTGCTCGTTGGTTGCCCTGGATGAGAAGCAAAGGTCAGGCAAGGTCCCACCGCACATTACTATCAGGCCAGTGTTATTATATGGTTCTCAGGAGTGGAGACAGAGGACAGCGGTACCTTGTCGTCACGGACATGGACTATACACCAAAGGAGCATAGTCAGGACATTGCTTTTGACCGCAACTAATGCGGACCCGCCTTTGAAGGCCAGATCTTGTCGATACTTCGAAATACTTTGATTGGTATTGGGGCATGGAAATTGGCTTGAAGTCCCGGCCAGAGTGAAATGTTCCCTTGGAAAATACAGGGCGACACTTATATCCTCTTGTAGACCAGGATGTCCGCACGACCTGCTGAGGGCCACAAGAGCAAGTAAAGCACCAGCCTGCATCTGAACTAAGATATGGACGACTAGATACCCCGGAAATCCAGCGCTCATTGTCTTCTGGATATCTGCGTTGGCCCGATAGTATCTTACTCATAAAATGCCTAGCCGGTGATTCCACTCCAATGGTTTCGAAACTGGCGACTTATCGCTGGCCAAGCTCTCGATCTTATGAACAAAAACAATAGAATCTTGTTTGGATTGTTTGCCTAATATATCTATAGCGAAATCATATATTACATGTCAGTATGTTGACATGCCCTAAATATATGTCACCCTATATTCCTCCTCACTCAAGGAATCCGTAGAGCCTTCTTCCAAATTGGCGCGGAATATTTGAAACGCGGCAATATTATTTGGGAATAGAGATAACTGCCTATGTATAAACAAACAAGCTTACTAAAACCAAGCGTATTATCTACGGTTTGTTGACTATATATCTGGCCATTCCCAGTGTCACTAGAGTTGGAGCCCTATGCAGTCAACCATCATAAACCACGCTTTAGCATATTCATTCTAATTGAACTTGAGTTGATGCTTTCTGTTATAGACATAAAAAACCTTTGGATATGGGTGGCAACATTGCTACTAAGTGCGCTTTCTAACTTAGATCAGAGAGATGTCTAAACAGAATATGGATGCATAATACGTGTAAGAGGTACCTGTGGTATCAGCCTCAGAGAATAGGTTTGAATCCAAATTAAGCTATTCTCTTATATCGTGTGAAATCACATTGAGATCTGAAAGGTGCTAGATACGTGGTAATTATGGGAGTCTCAGGTTTCGAGTGAATTGTGAATAATGTCTGATTGTTGTAGTCGCTGTATACTTGCTCTACACGTATGCTTCTTTAATATAATAGAAGTGGTAATTCCTGAAATAACAAAATGCCCAAGTTTGGGATATATTTAAAGCACTAGAGGCACGCCGTTGTGAATTCATTTTATATGGAAGGGCCATTTATTCTGCATTATAATTTGTGCTGGAAGTAAACTAGAGTGAGAGTGACAGACATAGTCGAGGCACAATTGAGTCAGCAGTGCTCCTGATGTGCGGACACTGCTACGCAAGCCGCATTGATGAGTATTCCCAGTTGCAAGAGGTATAAGACTACTTCAGCGGCCCCCATAGGTTCAAGCATAGAACAGCCTAGGCGATGAATATACGACGACTACAATAGAATACCAATTCCGGTTGTTCCCGCAATAAAAGTGACAGGGTCATGTTCGCCTAAAGAATTTTCTGCTAAACGTCGCACATATGGAACCCAGTGCTTTCTGTATTACCATGCTGGGGAACTATCCAGGCCCAAGCGCATCCTGGGACCTGGTGGCGGATCATGAAAGATAGCCTGCAGATGGTTCTGTGTAACGAGGAAGAAAAAAGTACGCCGCGGACCTTGGTCGAAGTACTTTGCATTGATGTTCACCAACCTTTGCATGCCATATCCCATTAGCTGGACTTAGCCGAAGCGCATGGGAGTGCTGCGTAACGAAAGTTTGGCTAGTCCGGGATATTCAACCTGTGCTCTGTATCGGCAGTATGGCCAGGAAACATCGGATTAGGTGCATGATCCCTGGGCTCCAAGTTCCGATACCAAGGTACAGTCGAGGTTCTCGGAAAACAGACAAAGACAACATTGTGAATACGGTGACATGCCTCGAGGGTAAGCGGAAGTGTGTTGAAGTCTATGTCATTACTAAAATGTGATCGTAGTCCTTCCAAAGTTAGGTTTGCAGCTGGAACTAAATCCAAGAAAGAATCGAGCCTTCACTTTTGTTGAAGGCTTGAGTAACCTTGTTGGTTGAATGGTACTCCCCGATACTTGATGGGTCCCCGAGATTTGACGTCGCCCGGGCACTGAATAGTAGTTTTAGGATCATGCCCGAAATTCTTTGTTCGGGTGGTTCGATGAGGCCTGATATTACCGAGGGAAGTGGTGCGCTTTCAAAAGTGAATCATCAGCTAAGACAGGGTCCAGTCTCGTGGCACACAGCCGATGCCTAATGCACCGTACTTTTTCCCTTTTACCTGAAAAGGTTGATGGTACTTTCGGACACCGGTCCGGACAAGGAAATTTGTCGACAGCCCACTCAGACAAAGCAAAAGCCTCTTGGATTCGGCATTGGATCGCCTCCGTATCAGCCTGATAAAGTGCAGGGGAGGGAAGAGGCTACCCATCTCAGCTTCATGACCCATCTAAAATTTCTTTCCACCGTTTCCCGTTTCCGGATACCGGCTGTTCCGGCCAGCAAAGGTTTTATTTCAGATTCATCCACCTGGTGGGTGGGAGTTATTGGATGTAGCCAACGCTGAGACGAGGAGGAGATTTCCGATACCCCTGCGCTGTCGATCACCGTTTGCTGAAAGACGATACATCACTGGGAAAGCTTCGAGGTTCCACTTGGATCGCAGCCGGAGAGCACAGATGGAGCCGGCAAGGGGAAATTTCGATCCCAGCAGATGTCTTCGTGCAACCCACTCGGAGTATGCTGGATTGGTCCGGGAAAGTAAAAGGGGGTGTGAAAAAAGTACCAACATTGAAGATGCCTTGCGGCGCCTGCTTTGTTGGAAGATGAACGATGTGACACAGCCTCACCACACCCAGCTCCTATCACCAAGCCATGACTCGGACCAGACAAGTCTAAGCTCTCAGCTGAATGATGAAGTTGACACCGAATTAAATCATAGTAGATTACTTGACATGGCTTGTGTCACATTGCTAGTTGTTGCTTCTTGAGAATCAGGATGAACGGTAGTAGGAAGCCTCGCATCTGGTTATCAACGCAGAGTACGTGGGAGCTTTCCTGTGGCGTAAGTTAGTGGGGGTGCTGTGTATATAAAAAGTAAACATAGTTTGGGATTCTATGGCTCCAAGATGTTCATGTATATCATCCGACTATCCATCTCCATGGAGACCAACCAGTGGCCAAGGAGATTCCAGTTGAATCAGTCACGCCAGAAGCCCTTGGATGAAAGCAATCGTGTGGCCACCAAAAGCAAGCGGGTAGGACAGAACTTGTTCCTCGCTTGGAGCGGACCAAACGCGTGTGGAGGATACTCCAGCGATCGATGAAGCCCACAAATGGCGGTGAAATGGCGAGCTGGCTGCCAATTTCCGAGCTCCCCGACCGACCAGTAGGACGCCCTCTGATGTCATCGTTTCCACGGCTCCACGACCTTATCCTTTAGTTTGTTTTTGCCCTTTCCTTCTGCACCGTTGCGAGTGCCAACTGGAGGCGCCGGCTCGGAACACGAGATCGAATCAGGATGTCAAACTCCGCGAGAAACGGTATGCGAGGGTTGCAATTTTTGATGCACCGAACCCGCTGCTGGCTATTGCCCTGTCTTGGCCTACTCGTTGTATGTTGAACAATCCAAGTTGAACCTGGCGGCAATCGTCCTGTTGGACCAGCACACAGGTCGGCTAATTTTCGGAATCCTGTCTGGCTGTGGACGACGACGACGACATTGGAGATTGGACTTGGAGTTGTCGACCAGACTTTACAGAGGAGGCAGACCTGGTCGGCCTCTCACACAGGGATCCGGATCACGGGGCTGGCAGCCGCCAGAGCCGATTGTTGGGCGTTGTTTGCTGCGAAGTGGGGGCTGGACGACGATCATTAGGCGTGTCATCGCCTGCGCGGATGGCGGCCCTGAAGGAACCCACCCGGCAAGATCAAAGGAGACAGCAGCGATTTCGAACGCCCAGGATGAGATCGATGGGTTGTGCAACGGGGGTGGAAGGCCGGGAAAAAGCAAAGAGCCTTGCGAGTCCCAACGGGGTGGGAAAGCAGCGGTAATTCAGCCACAACTCTTGTCATACTCCTTCTCTGCATCCCATTTCGATCTCCATCCGATAATGGGTCCTGTTGCTCCCATTCATGAATCAGTCAATCCACTCATACCGGCTCCGACATTCCGCGCAAGCCTGAATCGGCCATAGCTGCCCAATTTTGGTATGGCCCAGCGTCCACAACGTCCACAACCGACCTCCGGATTTGCATCCGCGCTCGTAGTCAGCGAGTCGGGGTGTCCAAGAGACCAATAGAACCCATACCTATGATCCCGGTAAGCTGTCACAGGGCTCAGAAGCCACGGAACTGGGACTACGTGTTCGCTGCTGCGGCATCGGGTTTCCTCCCTGCGCCTCTGGAAACCTATCTAGGAGGGACCCCGCCAATCCTGTGGCACAACGGTGAAGATTCTTGGTGGAGAGTATGTTTCGAATGTCAATTAATTTCTTCGGCGCATACTGCACTAAGAGGATTTCTCCGATGCTGCCTTGGATAGTTAAGATCTATACACCGGATAGGACAAAAAGACTGCCATGTGGTTGGTATTGATCAAGAGGTAGTCATGGGTGCACCAGTTGGTTGGGAGAACACTCGTCTTGTTTTTTGTTTCTTGGTCATACCGATCTTCCCCCCGTCATCTCGGGCATTACCAACAATGGCTGATGCCGTGCTCCTTGATATATAAAGCTCGGTTGGTTCCGCCTCCTGGTGCCCCCCACAAGCGACAGCACTTCCATAATCACATAGGGTTGGCTTTCCCAGGCCTCCTCAATACTTGTGCTTCTTTTTGCATACTGTCCTATAGACTTTGACTACAATCTACACTTACATTCACTATACCTGTTAGCATCCTCGCTGTGACGCTTCCCTGTTCCATCTCTTCCAAGATTCACCATCGTTGACCATAAGCGAACGATCATCCATAGCAAATATCATGGATAGAAGCAACGCTAACGGGAAACCTGGAAGCAAGCTCTCAAGCCAGGATCTTGCGCAGTACCAAGCTGAATTGATGTGGATGCATGATAAAACCATTCGTGAGATCAAGGAAGCAAAGGGTATGTTCTTTCCCTTCTTTTCTACCTTTAATATATATGAGTCTAACTGGAGTTACCCACAGAGAAAGATGCGCGAGAAGCAGAATTGAGAGCGAAGCAGGCACGGCAGGCCCAACAATAGCCTTCAGATGGATGGAGGTTGAGAAAAATAGGGTGGATTTAGTGGATGCATGCATTGTGGGCTTCATTGGGAGGGTCTTTGTTTCCTCCATGGTTGATACTTACTAGCGACTGGGTTTGATGGATTTGGTCATTTGGGCGTTCATTTGGCACTCGTTTAAGATACCTCCTTTGTCATGTCGATACCTTAGTTTTTGGACTATTTACAATTTGCCTAGAACAGTGGATGAATGATGGACTTGTTTCTATTTTAGCGTGTGCTGCACACACACTCTCTCTTTCTCTCTTCCTGCCTCTGAGTAAACTCCGCCGCCGATCTGATCTGATCTATCGCGTCCCCGAGTCGAAAACGAACTCATCATCCTCCTCCATCTACGAAGCAACAGTATTTCCGGAAGACCAGGGATACGGTATGTGGCAGATCTAGATTCGTCTCGCCGTTGAGAGATGGATTGTCCTTCACCGTGATCTGACACAGTCGCGCAGTCCCTCTCAAAACCACCAACGGATTCCGCCAGAAGCGATCACGCTCCACAATCCGAAATACCACGCTTATTTTGATTCCTGCACTATTTTCTCTTGACCAATCTCAAGCCCCTGCATGGAAACTGCCGTCTCACTGGCGGATACCTGCAGCTCGCCATCCCTGGTCGCCGAGGGTATTGCGACCCGGTTTCTTTAGCTTGTAAGTTTCCATTCATTGACTCGACGCTTGAACATACGCTCACCATTGATTTTATCTTCAGCGCATCCATGCTCTCACCGAGTCACAACCACTGATAAGTATCCAACTGCTTTCACCGCCTCGTTTGGGCAAGAATATGAATCTAAAAAAGCAACCTTATGCCTCACTTTCTGCGTCCTCGCCATTGGTTAGTGAAACTCAAATACTGGAGACAAGAAGACCAGCGTGCCACTGGGCCAGCTGTCACACAGCAGAAAATCAGATTCCACGTGGAATACAGAAGATCCTGGCCATGGCAGCTCGCTATCTCCAGTGGAGGCTACTGTACATCTCACCCTGCAAGCCCCGAGTCGACGTTCCGCAGAGTTGATAGCAACCTCGATGAGCCAAGGTAACTCTTCCCTCCTATACGTGGATGGAAGATCGCGGGCCCACGAGGCGTTCATGTTCCAACTTTCAGCGATCCTGGGCCGCTCTTGCATGAAAAGTGTACTTTGTTGTGATCTGTGAACAGGGAGCCTGGCGGTCAATGCGGCCTAATCGACGTACTTGCATAGCCCAACTGTTCGCGCAATATAGATCGACCATCTGATACTAGATGCCTTGGCGATTGGGACCGAAAATTTTTCGAGGTCTTCCTAAAACCTTCAACCTGGCGGTGATCATGGTTCGGCGCGCCCCCGATGCATGATCCCGCATGATTGATAGTTGAAAGCTGTGATACATTGTCGACTGGTTATTGGCCGAGCAGATACAACCGGATAACATATTTGGGTGGTACTCATGGTATATCTAAAGGGAAATATTTTAGTGTTCTCTATCATTGATATGCCCGTGTTCTCACAGCAGCGATCGACAGCCATATCCCCTCGTATTCAAATATGATTGAGCACTTGAATGGAAGAGATTAACCGTTCGTTGCTCTTGAGTGTTGCGCGTCTCACCATGCAAGGCTGGAGAGTATGAGTTGCCTCTGAATACACCGACACCGAGAGTGTTCTGGCTCGCTTTGAGTGGTGACCGTGACAGAACAACAGATCGCATATGGGATACGAATTTAAGGTTCCATATATGTCAACTTGAATTTGCACAACATCATCTTTCTTTGGAGAATTCCCATTGCTGGTGCAATGCTCTGGATTCGAAGGGAGAGAACGATCGCCAAACAAATACTTATATGAGTATCCGGACGATTTGAACGATAACACAGGACCCGCGAAAATATGGAGCCTTAGACAGATCTATCAATCTATCGATTAAGGGGTTTAACACAGCCAGTGAGCAGCAAGCCTTGCAAAGATCTGGAAATGGGCGGCCGCATGCAGATGCATTGGAGATCACATCCCTATCTTGTTTCGCCTCTATCTAATTCCACGGCTGGGTGAATCGGGCAAATTATGGCTTGCGTTGCGGTCGGACCGTCTAACTAAGTACCGGACGACGCAAGAATAGTACTACCACCTGCACTGGCTAGCTGAAAACATCGTAACTAGCTGCACAGAGCTAAAAAAGGAGAATGCTTGGACGGTTAGCTGTAAGTAGTATTGTCCATGCCTTCGAGGATATAGCTTTATTACGATATAGCCCACTACTCGTTCTGCGTCCCCTTCACGTCCTCTGAACGTGGGCTATACAACGCTGTTTGAAGAGCATCAAACACGATATAACCCCCATCCCTCGGCTCGCCTTCACCCGAAGACTCGTCAAAGCAGCTTTCCGCCCGTCGAAACCTCTCTTTGACTCGATTATTCAGCCCGACAAATGTCAGCTCGGCATCGGTGCCTGCCCAATCCTTCAGCGCGGACCTGATATCCGCTAAAGCCTGCATCCCTGTGGTATCGACGTGCGTGACGCGAGTCATGTCAATAATAACCGTCCGAACAAAGGGCAGGAAGCTCTCCTCGCTGTTACTCGTGCCAGCCTCCTTCCTCAGATTGCGGATGTGTCGCAGTTTGGTGTCGTTCCAAAGTCGCTCGGTAGATTTTCCCTGGGTATTGTTCTGAGGTCCATCCATTGTGGTTGACGGCTTCTCATGCGCCCCAGAGCTGTATGAATAGATATAGTTCGTGATCTCAAGAGCAGTGCGCGCAGCATTTGGGTATAAAATGGAGTCCCGGAGCATGAAGACCATTGTGTCCTCGGGCAATGTTAAGGTCGTACTGGGATTGGTTAATGATGATGATGATGAGTAGGGAGGGTATAGTTCCGATAGGTTCTCCCTTGTCACCATCGTCACTTGCGTAAAAGCCAGGTGGAGCAATATATAGACCAGGCTGTAACCGACAGCCGCAGCGATACCAATCTCAACATCCACAAACAGCGTCACCCAGAATGCAACCATGCTCCCGACAAAGTCGGCAAAAGACGTTTTCCAGTAATGCCAGAAGACCTGGAAGGGGACAATAATTTGCCAGACCGCAACGACGATAATCGCCGAGAGGGTTGCCGACGGGATCCAGTAGAACGCATCCGTCAGCTTATAGATACTGACAAGCACGCAGGCCGTAGTACCCAGACCACTCAATGGACTCTTCACCCCAGACTCAGAGTTCACAGCAGTACGCGAGAACCCACCCGTAACAGGCATGCAGGTGAAAAAGCTCCCGAAGAGGTTAACCAGCCCGATATAGTTGAGTTCCTGGTCCTGCTCAATAACATATCCATGGCGGCGCCCGAACGCCTTGCCGATAGCAAGGTGCTCCAACGCCGCAGCGATGAAGACTGCCACGCTGCGCCCCGCAACTTTGAGAAGCAGATTGCTGTCTGGTTTCCGGGGAGGAATAATACCTGCGCCAGTGACTTGGGAGATACCGAACAGAGGGTCGTTCGGGCGCGACTTATTAACGCCCCAGCTGATGAGGGTGAAGATGATGAGGGCAAGTGCGTTGCGAGAGATGGATAGATACCAGAGGCTGCGATGAGCTTTGCCCCATTTGCGACCTACGTACTGCAGACCTAGCAGCAGGATTATTCCAGACAAGGCGATGAGGAAAGCCCGCCAGTTAGTATTGGGCAGGCGCTGGAAGAATACGCGGATCACACCAGCTGTATCATCCGCACTCTTTCCCTCGCCGAAGAGACCTTTGAGCTGCTGAAGGACGATGGTGATTGCTGCACCGGAGACGTACCCTGAGAGAACAGGGAGGGGAATGAAGTCGAGCAGGAATCCGAGACGCAACAGCCCCAGGATCAATGAATACACTCCAACCCAGAATGCTGCAGCACTGGCGATAGCCCCAGCACTGTATCCCTCTGCCACGAGATCCGTTACAATTTCTCCTGTTAGCAGGCCCATGATAGCAGTCGGACCGGCGGTCACGTCTTTGGATGTGCCCATGATGGTATAGAACAAGGTGGGCAGCCAGCTTGAGATGAGGCCATACCGAGCAGGAATTTCGGCGACTTTAGCATAAGCCAGACTTTGAGGGACCAGGAGGATCCCGATTGTGATTCCTGTTTTTCGTTCGTCAGTACTCGCCCTCAATTTTTGGAATCGTCCTGCATCTCCTTCTCACCTGCTACTAGGTCACTCCACAGCCATGCAAGTGAATACCCTGTGATCCATTGTGTTATAGGAACCTTTGCGGCAAGGTAGTTGGCTGAAGCCTTGGGCAGCCTGGGCAAACAGTAACCGGCGAGACTGGCGAATCGATTGATGTTGGGATCGTGCCGGATGGCTTTTTTGAGACCTTGTATTTGGCCCATTATGGTTCCTGCGCTGGAGCCTCGTGAACGTGGGAGAGAGAAACTCGGATAGCAGACAACTCGCCCGTTTGGGGGTGAACATTTTCAACATTGTCTATCTTTATGTAAATGGACAGATGAGTTGAGATGTTGAGATACCCCATTGTGATGGCGCAATATCTGGTTTCAGGATTTAACCGTTTAGCAAGATGAATGGAGCTCATAGAAGAAAAAGAAGGATCCTTTTGGAGGACGAAGCTGGATCTTTGACAGGCTAGTGACAAGATTCATGAGTCGCGCGATGTTGGGATTTGTTGCTATGATGGCGCAATATCGCTCGCTTCGTTGTGGGTCTCTCCATATCTATTCCAAAAATTTAAACTAATGGAAAAGGCGACGCCGTCCCCCGACTTGCTCAGAATTGTCGAAATCGTGCAATCAATAATCAGCATTCATATTCAAGGTGCTAGGTATGAAATACCTCAGTGCAAGCCAGAGGCACGAATTGGCGGGCGACTATTTCGCCCCCGAGGGCCTGTATGAGTATACCAAGACTCTGCCATTTGTTGGTCGAGTGAAAAGCGATGTGACATCTATCGTCGCTGGCGAATGGACAGAAATAATACTGGACTATGAAGTTGGTGCATCAGGCCTTGCAGATGGGGCATGGATCAAGGCGACCTTCAAGTTCTACTCTGTGAGTAGACCATACCTGCTGTGATACTAGACCACCAAACCCACAAGTCTGACGGGCCTCAGGACTGGGCGCTGTTTCAGACGTCAGATCCCACAAAAGACAACTACATCACCGCTGAATACGTACCGAACAGGCTGTTCCCGGGGCAGGCCCCGGCCACGGTGCACTCGCTGGGAATCCGGTTTGACCAGAAGGGCCATGAGAGGCCGTTCCAGAAGGCTGTCATTGTCGACATTCATGATGGTTATCTGAATCCTGGAGATCGCATTTTGATTCGCCTCGGTGATCGCCGATTCGGAAGCAGAGGGACACGAGCGCAGACGTTCGTTGAGAAGGACTTTCGCTGGAGGTTCTATATTGACCCTGTTGGAACCTCGTGAGTGCATTCTGAGGCATCCACTATTTGATGAGCCTAATGATTCCTCTGTAGCCGATTTGCGCCTATCCAGCCTGACATATCCTGGAATATTACCGCGGGTCCTGTTCATCGCGTTCAAGCTGTGTCACCGAGGATCCTCAGGCCTAATGTTCCATTCGCGATCCATACGCACGCAGAGGATCTGTGGGGGAACATAACGAGCGACTTGTCGGATCATTTATTCAACCTGCAAGTTTTAGCTGAAGATTCAACGATAATTATCGACAGAAATGGCCCCGTTGCATCGCAAGGCTGGACGAATGCTGTGTTCTCCGATCTTACCCTGGAAGGTGACGGTGACTATAGGGTGCAAGTCACATTGAAGGCTCAAGGTGGGACAGCTGTTGCAACCAGCTACTCTAGCCTCAGCGTGTCCTCTGACCTGTTGGTTCCGAAAATCCTCTTCGGTGATCTCCATGTCCACTCGGACGACACCGTCGGCACCGAATCATCCAGCTACAACTTCTCCTACGGCCGTGAGATCGCCGGACTCGACGTCCTCGGATACACGGCAAACGACTTCCAAATCACCAAAGACCGGTGGGACGCCACAACCGAACTCATACAATCCCTCAACGAGCCCGACAAGTTTGTGATCTTCCCAGGCACAGAATGGTGCGGGAACTCTGCTGCAGGAGGCGATCACAACGTCGTCTTCCTGGGTGATCCAGAGCTCCAGCCGCCCGAGTTCCCGTTTGACAGACATGGCAATGTCGCTCGCTCGTTTGAGTGGTCCGAGCATGGCCCTAAGGACCTTGTTCCCGGCACTTGGCCGCTGGACGAAGTATACTCCACGTACGCGAGGGATGCAGACTCACACCTTCTGATCCCGCATGTTGGCGGTCGTCGGTGTAACCTTTCCTGGCATCATCCGAAGCTGGAACGGCTGGTGGAAATCGGCAGTGCCTGGGGTCAATTCGAATGGCTTCTGCGCGATGCCGTGAGGAGGGGGTGGAGGCTTGGTGTCTGTGCGAACTCCGATGAACATCGTGGTCGATGTGGAGGTGGAGTTCCAGGCACAGCCGTCTTTGGGGCCCGGGGTGGTCTGACTGGGATTTTGGCTCCTCGACTCCAACGTCAGGATGTGGCTAATTCCTTGCGGGACAGACAGACGTTTGCGACTACAGGCCAACGACTCGTCGGGCTTGTTTCGACTAAAGACGGGTCTGTCGTGCAGGGGAACGAAACCCAAGTCCCGATAAACAAGCCCGTAGAGTTGATCTATCACTTCCTAGGCGAGAAGGGCTTTTCGTCAATCGAAGCCTTCGATGCCACAGGTCTGATCTGGAGTCGCCACTTTTGGTCTGAATCCAATGAACCAGCAAAGATATTAAGAGTTACATGGGGTGGGGCGAGACTTTACGACCGATACCGAGAAGCTATATGGAATGGACAGATTACGCTTTCGGAAGATGTGCGGCCGGGGAGAATTGTTCCATTTGGGGGACTCGAGGATAACCCGGAAGACTATGTCCGAGTAAATGATAACCACAATGTGGAATTCTCAAGCAAAACAAGCGGGGACCTGGACGGTGTAAATGTTATTTTGCAGGACGACAGGAAACCGGCCACTGTGACTGTTTCTGGATCGCTCGGCGGGTATGTAAAGGTTGGTGATGCGCTTGCTGGAAACCCGCATAAGCCTCAGCCGACGTTTACTATTGAGGCATCCTGGGAGGAAGCCCTGAAGCCTGGAGGCAAGGTAATTGAAATACTGGGCGGTGCTGAGTTGTTTGTTCGTATTGAGGCGATCCCTGACGTGGAATTGCCACGGCGAGTCCAAGGAGGTGTGACGATTGAGGGTCAGACAGAAGGAACTCGCGCTGTCTACTTCGTGGGTCGAGAATGGAGCGGAGAGAAGGTTGTTACAAGTCCGATTTTCGTGTCATTTATCTAGACCAGAACATATTTAATAGCATAGATCGATACCATGGATCTTTCTAACTGCTAGCGGTGGCCTATATTAACACCTCCAATTGTGTGCGTTGGTTCAGTAAGCCTCCAGCTCATAGCTTGCATAGATGAAAGGCCCAGCACCCTTATAGTCATTCTGCACCAGCGGAACAGAGACGTAATACTAAGAGCGAGAGTCAGCAAAAAGAGCCAAATAAAAAAAAGAACAAAAAGCCTACCTCATACGACCCATTCGAACTCAAACTTCCAACCTCCACAGTTCCCTCCCAGTTGAGCGTTCCGTTAGCATTGTGCGAGAGGAACTCATTCTCCAGAAGGGAGTAAGCACTCTGTGCAACCTCACTATACTCATTAGCAGGGATAAATCCCTTCCTGATACCGCGCAGTAACGCATATGTGAACATAGCAGAAGCGCTGCTCTCGATGTAGTTCCTGGGATCGCTGGTATACTGAGGGTCCATGATAAGCCACCAGCCGCCAGATGCGTCCTGGCTTTTCTTAATAGCCTTTGCGAGGCTCTGGAAGCGCTGAAGGGTACGTTTGTAGCCGGCGTGAGTCTTGGGGAAGTAGTCTAGGACCTCAACGAGAGAGACAAAGTACCACCCTACCGCGCGGTCCCAAATGTGCGGCGCCGCACCAGTGACGGGGTCTAAAACACGGATTATATGAGTAGTGATAACAGAAATTACGAGGATAACCCTTACCAGCCCAAACGGCGACACCGCTCGCATCATACCCATGGAAGAGTAAGCCCGTTTTGTTATCCCGGGTATGTTCCTCGATCAAGTCATATTGGAGGATGATATCGTCCCAGGCAGTCTTGTTATCCGGTTGGAACCAGCTGGTGTACTGTGCATAGTAGTTGGACGCCATGTAAATTCCATCCAGCCACATCTGGTTGGGGTAGGTAGGCTTTCGGTGCCAGAAGCCGCCATCTTGGTTGCGCGGCGTGAAATCGAGCTGCTTGCGGAGTCCGTCCGCCGCAATCTTATACTTCTGGTCGCCGGTGGCAGTCCACAGATATAGGAAGTTGCGACCAATGCGGATGTCGTCCAGCGAGAGTGTGTCTGTTATAGGATCGACAAATGAGCCGTCGTCGTTGAGAACACCATCGAGTTGAGTCTTGATATAATCGAAGTAGGCCTCGTCGCCGGTTTTGTTATACGCGTACTCGACACCCGTATAGAGAACAGCGTAGGCGTAGTTCCGGGAGTAAGCGACTCCCTTGCTGAAAAAGGAATGCGCTAGCCACTCCGTATAGTTGGCTGCATTGGCCACAGTAGCCAGAAGCAGAGCAGATTTAGCAATTGATAGGAGACCCATTGTTGCGGCTGGAGGTGGATGGGTTGCTATTGAGCTCTGCGGAGCTCACGGCCTTTATATTCACCATGCTTTCGCCTATATCTTCCGGGTAATATACTTAACCAAGGAGGCTATTCCAGATGAAGGAAAGACCTGACGATCCCAGTCCCTTGGAGACGGAGAAATTAGATAGAAATCCGTCCGCACCGGAAAAATTGAGACCTTCAAGACAGCTTGGCAGCTTGGTGGTTTGAAGCCGGAGATTGCGGGGAGCACAAAATGCAGTCTTGAATTATAAACATTGCGGTGAAGCTCAACTTCAGACCGTTTGGGTTCTCCGGCGGAAATAAACCATCTGGCGTGGCGCACAGTAATAGATTCCGAGTGCCAAGGCTATCAATTTAATTCGTCAAGTCATATAATTGAAACAGGGATTACGCTAATCAGAGACAAGTTGCTAATGCCGCAGAGAGACTTTCGCTCCATTGAAGGAGCACGCAGTCAAAGTCAGTTTTTCCTCCCAAGGCCCGGGATCACGGCTTTCCATAACGGAATACCTCTGAGCAAGACGCGTTGTGACATATGCTGCCTCAGTCAAGGCATATTGCTGGCCTACACAAATACGAGGGCCGCCATTGAAAGGAAGATACTCCCAACCCGGCCGCAGATTGGCCCAGCGCTCGGGTCGGAACTCCTCGGCATCGGCGCCGTAAAAGTCTTTGCGGCGGTGCATTGCATAGACACTATACCCTACGGTAGCCCCCTTGGGCACAAAAACGGGCGACTGACCGTCCTTCCCGCCACCAACGGGAAGGATGGTGTCTCTGATGGCTGTCCGTGCATTGAGTGGAACCACGGGGAGAAGGCGAAGGGCTATGGAAGTTAGTTTGCAGATGTGAACACAGGGCAGCTGGGCACTTACTCTCGTTGAGACAATATTTGAGGTACTTCAGGTTCTGCAGCTGGCTATAGGTCGGAGCACGGCCTCCTAGGGTGGAAATATCTTCTTGCAACTTGGCCCAGACTTCGGGGTGCTTTGCTAGCATAAAGAACAAGCAACCCAGAAGTGAGGCGGTCGTATCACGGCCGGCTAGAAGGACGTTCATGATCTCATCGCGAATTCGCCTGCGATCACCTGTCTGCTGAGCCAAGCCATAGAGAAACATATACCTGCGCTCTGTTTTCTCATCGGTACCCTTCTCCTCGTCATACTTCACTCGCATTGCCAGAGCCTTGTCGACAAACTGGTCAACCAGCTGATGACAAATGCGGCGCGATTCCACGGCTTTCGGATCGCGATTCAAGAATCTCAATGGGCCAAATCGGGAGCTTTTGGTAATGTCGGCCAGTGAGTAGTCAAACGCCTTTGCGAAATCAGGCTCATTATCAGCTACTCCAGACCGGCGCTTCTTCAAGCTGTGAACACTATGGCCGTACAGAAATTCGGTTGCAGAGTCAATGGTGAAACCGAAGAACAGGTCTTGGAGATCAACAGTGCCGCCATCGGTCGGAATCAACGCAAACAAATCATCCATGAGCTCCTCAAAGACTTCAAGATGCGCGACTTGTTCCTTGACGAAGTTTGGCCGGATCATCTGGCGGGACCGAGCCCAGTCCTCGCCGTCGGTAGTGAAGATGCCGTGTCCCAGGAGAGGACCAAAGGTATCGATCCTATTGCCCAAGCTGTAATCGGCGAACTTGAGTGAAAGAATGGTCTTCACATTTTGCGGCTCGCGGGTTACCATAATCAGTTCGGGTCTACGCTGGACGACATGGGTATTGCCGAGGTTCTCGTAACGCATCACATTGGATTCCAATAACTTGCGCTGCTTTGCCATCTTCATTAAGTGATAAATCCTATCAAGCGACAAAAAGGGATCATAGCTTTGGAACCTCCCCACAACAGGCTCACATCCGTTTGCTTTGGCAAATTGATATTGCTGCCATCGTTGATAGGCGCAGGACACGAAATAGAATAGGACTGTGAAAGCGCCTAAGAAGGCGAGAGGTTGGCGATAGGTTTCGACGAGGTCGAGGAGGGCCATGGCGACTGGGATGGACTGTCCGAAGCTGGCAGGAATTCGCCTGGAAGGCAGAACTTTATATCTGGCTGATGCGCCCCAAAGGAGTTGACCAGAGATCCACTTTCGAACCGAAGGAATGGAATGCGTGAGATTGGCTCGATCGTATGTATAAGTTGATCGAGAAACTGTGACTGGCCTGCCAGCCTCTGAACCATGCAACGAAGGTTTCTGGCGCGGTCCTCCATCTCAACCGAGGCTCCTACAGACAAATCACCTGCAAATTACAGAGCGATTTCACAATGATTTCTGGTTTCTGTGTCCCGGGACACAAGCCACCGTCAGCCATCTTCTGGCAAAGAGTCATCGGATGACATTAGTTGGCGAGCGACGGACGAGAGACAGCCCGATTGCAGGAAATTTCCTTTTTTGGGAGGACCGCGCGGATGGAAGTTTGCCCGGTCGCCGATCACATGGCTGTGCATAACACAAGGGGACTATATGCATTATGCATAAAATATTCATATACGAAGAGAGTGGGACACCAGGATATGAGGGATTATTGTAAACACAGCAATGACTTTAGGCCGAATTCCTTCGCCACTGTTCCCTCTTTCATCAGCATGTCTCTCAACCAATGTCTTGCGGCATCGACTTCCTGCGCTCCAAACTTGACAACCACAGATCCCCGTATGCGGGCGGCTGTCCAGGCCTTGACATATCCGTCTGAGTGTAAGCCATCGTCTTCGACGCTTTGTCCGTTCGGCCCAATGCGTGGGAGGCGCGAGAATTCTGCGAGGAAAAAGTCACCAAGAGCACGAAACATGGGCCCCCGAATGATGAGGGTGCCAAAGATGCCCAGGTCATCCATCTCGTCGCGAAAATGGGAAGAGGCGGACGCATCTTTCAATACAAGACTATCGCGAACCAAGAGTTTCTCCTTCAATCCCTTCTCCGTGTCCGGGAGAGCCCAAATGTCATTCCGCGTCTTGCATTCAAAGAATTGCCATTCCTCTCCTCTCGCCGCCCGCCCGGCGGAAACCCAATCCAGGACGAGCACACTGGATGAAGGCCGAACATAGAATATCTGACATTGCTCATGCGCGCTATCTTTAAACGGCTGCAATGGATCCGGCAATAGAACCAACGCTGCACCATCATCTAATCTAACCGTGAGGTCCTGGCGTGAACGTATTGATCTCGACGGCGCCTTGTACACCTTTGTGCTCCCTTGCGTGAGAAGAGCTAGGCGCGCCCTGGGCTGGACTGTGACTGTTAACTCTACTCTGTCGCCGGCGACAAGACCCCCTCCATAACTCATCATGAAGGCGAGTGCGGCCTGGCTAGTCGGTCGGCATGGCGGGGACACGAGTTTCAGCGGATATGTCGAGGAAGACTTGGATATGGACGAAGAGCCACAGAAGGAGTGTACTTCAAGATTGCCGATCCCGAGCTGTGGTTCTCGCGACGCCGCATTGACCATTGCGATGGACTGATACTCCTTCCACTGGAGGTATGGCGATGTTCAGGCTCATGTAATAAAAGGCATCGCCAGGCGGCTGGAATTCGGGGCCGTGTGCAATCGCGACGGCAGGGCCATGTCGAGGCTTTTGTGGAATGCTGACGGCAATTACATAACAGCGCGCAACTAAAAGGCACAGAGCTCGGCGAAGGGATGGAATGGGCTTTGGAACACTTCCCCGTTTTCAAGCTGACACCGGAAAATGACATCACCGACTCCTCATCTCGGCAACCGCCCGCGATGATTTGCTGCTTGCCGGCTTAAACTCTCGACGGCGTTTACCTCATCACCAGCTCCCCCCACGCCCGAGAAAACAGAGCACCTGTTCGCCGACCTCAATTCGCATTCCAGTGCCATTGCGTGCTGAAATCCCAGACAATTGCTAGGGAGCCAGAAGTGATCGTGTTGATAGCCAGTTCTGGGACTCGTCGACTCGAATCCGCCACAATGCAGTTGATAGCTCGTGAAGTATGGCAGAGACCCCGGATCTTGACTTCTTAACTTCAGCTGCTTACAGACCTGTAGTTGGATAAACTTATCATCGCTCAAGCCGGCCTTCTCGCCCAGAGGCGCCTGGCAAGAGGTGTGAAATTAAATTATTCCGAAGCTGTGGTGAGTGGTCTATTTGTACGAGAAACCGGGGTAATAGCTGAAAGTACAACAGGCATTGCTATCAAATGTGCTGCATGAGGTATGTCATCGGGCATGTACAGCGAGATCAGCCTACTCACGTGTTCTAGTTAATGCGCGATGGAAAGCACACCGTCTCCGAGCTCATGTCAATAGGAAAACAAATCCTAGGCCGTCGGCATGTCCTTCCATCTGTGGTTGCAACCCTTACCTTGCTGCAAGTCGAGGGAACCTTCACGACGGGAACGCACCTGGTTACCGTCGATCAGCCTATTAGTAGTGAGGATGGAGATATCGAAAAGGCGCTGTACGGTAGTTTCCTACCCATTCCGCCAGACAGCTTGTTCCCATCTTATGCAGAATCGGAATACGAGTCGCTGAAGATGCCCGGTGCGATATCGCCAGGAGAAGGAATGATTGCGCTTAATCCTGGAAGAAAGCGCGCTCGACTAAGGGTTACGAATAAGGGTGACCGTGCAATTCAAGTATGCAATTCGAAACTCAGTTCGAGATTCAACGCCGAGTGCTGACACTTGCTAGGTTGGATCGCATTTCCATTTCGTTGAGTCGAATCCAGAGCTGGATTTCGATCGCATCAAGGCTTATGGATACCATCTTGACATTCCCTCCGGAATGTCGACTCGCTTTGAGCCCGGCGAGAGCAAGACCGTGACTTTGACGCAGATCAGTGGTCTTAAAACCATCAAGGGTGGAAGCAGCATTGCTACCGGAACCATTGATCTATCACATACTAACAAGGTGCTTTCGCGCCTTCGAGAGGAAGGATTCCGACACACCCCCGAGGATGCACCGGTTGACGATTATGATATTGGCCCTTACACGATGGACCGATTATCATACGCTGCGATGTATGGACCAACCCTTGGGGATTCTATCCGGCTAGGTACTACAGACCTGTGGATCAAGATTGAAAAAGACCACACTGCACATGGAGATGAATGCACTTTTGGGGGTGGGAAGACCCTACGCGATGGAATTGGGCAAGCTGCGGGTCGTTCAGATAACGAGTGTGCGGATCTTGTTGTGACTAACGCTATTGTAATCGACTGGACCGGTATTTACAAGGCGGATATTGGAATCAAAGACGGCGTCATAGTGGGAATTGGAAAGGCCGGCAACCCTGATGTTATGGATAATGTGAATCCATCTTTGGTCATTGGGTCAAACACCGACATCATTGCCGGCGAGGGCAAGATTGTTACTGCTGGTGGTGTCGATACACATGTTCACTATATCTGCCCGCAGCAGACCGTCGAAGCACTCACGTCGGGGATCACAACCATGTTTGGAGGTGGAACTGGTCCGAGGTAACCTTTTGTCCTGTCAGCTCTATTCACGTCCAACTCTGACCTCTCTAGTACGGCCACGGTTGCAGCAAACTGTACCCCAAGCAAGACGTATATTCGGCAGATGATGCAAGCACTAGACCATCTGCCAGTCAATTTCGGCATCATCGGAAAGGGTAGTGATACCGGAAAGCCAGGCCTTTATGATCAATGCAATGCGGGTGTCGCTGGTCTCAAACTGCACGAAGATTGGGGTTGTACTCCTTCCGCGATAGATACATGCTTGAGGTAAGGCGTGCGAACAGTCCCTAGTCGCAGGAGCTAATAGTGGCAGTGTTTGCGAGGATTTTGACATCCAGTGCCAGATCCATACCGACTCCTTGAACGAATCTGGCTTCGTTGAGCGCACGGCAGCTGCATTCAAGGGACGGACGGTGCACGCATATCATATTGAAGGAGCCGGTGGTGGACACGCGCCCGACATGATCTCCCTCGTGCAAAATTCCAATGTCCTTCCTAGTAGTACCAATCCCACCAAGCCTTATACCTGCAATACCGTCGATGAGCACCTGGACATGGTCATGTCCTGCCACCACCTTTCAAAGAATATCCCTGAAGATATTTCATTTGCTGACAGCCGAATTCGGTCAGAAACAATTGCCGCAGAGGATGTTCTTCATGATACCGGTGCTATCAGTATGATGTCGTCAGACTCGCAGGCAATGGGTCGATGTGGAGAGGTCATAGTCCGCGTCTGGAACCTGGCGCATAAGAACAAGATCGAGCGGGGCCGACTTCCCGAAGATGAATCGCTCGGGGCAGATAACCATCGAGTTAAGCGCTATATTAGCAAGTACACAATCAATCCGTCCCTGGCGCAGGGAATCAGTCACGTTGTCGGCAGTGTGGAGGTTGGTAAATTTGCAGATTTAGTGATATGGGAGCCTTCCAACTTTGGCTCGAAGCCATTCCTAATCCTGAAAAAGGGCTTCATTGCTTCAGCTCAAATGGTAAGTCTTTACCTCTTCCAAGTCGATGCAAGGGCACAGCTAACGTCGATGCTAGGGCGATCCAAATGCTTCGTAAGAGTCCTATGCACTTTCCCACGATCGATACTGACAAGTTGCAGCATCTCTACAGTTCAGCCGATGATTGCCCGGCCAATGTACTCTGTAAGTCCGACACAATTCCAAGCCATTTACCATGATCCGAACTAACCACCGTTCAGCCGCTCGTCCCGTCAAGCAGCATAATGTTCGTGTCCAAGGCCGGCCTGGAAAACGGCTCTGTGAAATCGTACAACCTGAAGAAGCATGTCGAGGTCGTCAAAAACACTCGCACGATAACCAAGCTCGACATGAAATTCAACAATGCCACACCAGAGATGAAAGTCGACCCGGAGACTTTTGTGAGTTACCACACCCTTCATGATGAAGTACCGTGCTAACCTCCGTAGACGGTTATTGCGGATGGGGAGGCCTGCGATGCAGGAGCTGCTACGGAGGTTCCTCTTGCGCACCATTGCTTTATCTATTAGGAGTAAAAATGTAATTCTTCAACCGATGTCTACGAACAAGAATTTCAGCCATGCATTCGACTTGTTTTAGTTACTCCGAGCCTTATCGACTCATTTACCGTCGAATTATCAGACCTGAACAACGCACAGGGTTTGCTGAAACCTTGCATGGATGAGCTTTTCCCAAAAAGAATCCTTTGCAGAATTGTGCTTGGTTAGAGCTGGGATTATACCACTGGGAAGATTAGAAGCTGCAGTCTGCGCTCTGGAAGTAACAGAGCCCTGGTACAATGGTTTATTGTTATTGTAATATAGTCAAGCCAAGGGATAATAAAGCCTCGCTAAAGAGACTGATCCTGCTTGCTCTTTATACTGCCAATCCTTTGTCTAATAAAGCGCATTATCTTTCAAGTCTTAAAACAAGTACGCTATTATGCGTTGTATATCTTCCCAGGAATGGACCAAATTTGTCCTCAGCAAGGCAGGTCGTCCATTCTCAAACTATGGACAATCGATGTAAAAGACTAGATTATTGTCAATTGAACCCAGTCCTTTAGTTCAGCCTAGGTCTGTTACGTTTCACGTTGAAGACGAATAGGCAGTCGGTGAAAGACATAAAGAATTTACCCTTATAAGGGATAAAATAAAAGAAACACGCAAATGTTATTTTTTTTGAAAAGGTATAAATAGCAATAACAGCACCGGCTTATAGTCTTACTACCACAGAAGCCATCTTATCCCACGACGTGCTAAAATTTGTGTACACTTGATATAATCAACCAATATTTGAGCTAATATCTGGCTTATACGATAATATTATAGTTTATCAGTCTGCTCACAATGCCCGAATACATCGTTCAAACCGTCGAGGAGGGCGTGGAGCTTCTTGCCCCAGAAGCCCCCGACAACGAAGAGCGCCTACGGAAATGTGGGCAGTTGATGGGCAAATATACCGCAGGTCCGATAAAAGGACCCGATGGGAAGTACTATATGGACTTTGGCACTGTCTATGGGGTTACATGGTTTCCGAAATTCGTGTCGGTATTGGCCGACGAGGGCGCAGAGGGCTTTAGACAGGCCACCTTGAAGGATATACTGCTGATGTCACGCCGGTACAACGATGATACCCCTGATCCCCAACCTGGTGATTATGCTTATGGCTTTCATTACTTGCAACCAGGCGACCCGTTGATGGTGGGAACTGGACGTGTGCTTGAGATTTCAGTGCGCCGCAATGCTCCGATCGGCTTTGTCGTGAAAGAATGGGACGATAGAGTAGTTGAGGAGCTCAGTGAAGAATGCAGCCAGGCGTGGCAGGAGATATTTGCTGAGGATAAGCAGCAATAATTTATGGCAAGAATTACCTTGGTCAGGCTGGAGGATTGGGTTTTCTTGGATTGTTCGCTGGACTTGTATCTTCTATAGCATGTATGGAGTTAGGGCTTATGACTATAACATAGTTTTGCACAATAAAACCTACATCACTGTCTACTTTTGCCAAATAAACGTATTTGCGCGTAGCAACCAACAAGCTCGCAGCTTGTCAAGATTAAATCCACTCCTTCATCTCTACATTTGATATGTACTGACATAATTAAGCCAAACTCCAGGTCGTTGACATTGATTAACTGGTCAGCTGCTTATACTACTTATAGACATGTTACATATCCAACTTAAGTTGCCAAGGGGTGAAAGTGATCAACATGCTGATATCATTTATATTGGCTTGGCTTCTCCAACTGCACCAGCCTTCTGAAAGGGTGTTGTCTAAAGTGCCTGGAGTGTTAGAATCGGAAGACCTGCCGATGCCTGCAGTCCATATAAATAGTAATTCCTGCTGGAGATAGCTGGCTGGCCACCAGCTGTGCATGACCTTTTGGTCTGCAGTCCATATCAAGAGTCACCTCCCCACGGGGCATCTTCCCCGCAAGTGACATTGGCATATTAGCGACTCCAAATACACTGACTCAGTCGGATTCACAGCCCGATATAGTGATAAGAAGGACTGGACCGGGTTTGAAACCGATAGGTGCCCGCTCTCCAACTCTCGCATAAATATCATCCCACATACCCACCGTCCATGTACACCGTAGCTCATAAGACAAGATGGCCCAAATCACCATTGTTGGAGCCGGGTGCGTCACTTCTAATATCTATATCTACCTGTAGACTAGGCTGACGGTCAATCCAGCATCGTGGGCATGGCCACGGCCTCCATGCTGTCGCGGCACCACAAGGTCACGATCGTTGCCAGGAATCTCCCCGGAGACAAGCCGTCGATCGAATGGGCGAGTCCCTGGGCGGGCGTGAGCTTCATTGCAGGCGGCTGCTCGTCCCCTGTAGAAGCCAAGATGCAGCTCGATGCGTTTGCGGAATTGTGGCGGTGGAGCGATGCCCACCCTGAGTCGAGCATTAAGAAGATTCCCATTGAGGACTTTCACGACGATAAGACAGAGGATGATATCTGGTGGAAGGATTATATGCCCGATGTTAGTTCTGAAGCATTATATGTAAGATGCAGTAACTGATATGTCCAGTTTCGCTTCCTCCCACCTGAGAGTCTACCAAACGGCGCCAAACTCGGAACAGCATGTAAATATCTATATCAAGCCCACAGTTATACTATACTAACCACCTCAGACACAAGCCTAATCCTCAACCCAGACATATTCCTCCTCTGGCTCCGCCAGCGCCTCGAAAGCACGGGTGTACAATTCAAGCGCATGACGCTGAACTCCCTATCTGAAGCCCACTCTCTAGGCCACGACGTGCTCATAAACGCCACGGGGTTTGGATCGCTAACTCTAAACGACGTGCGTGACCAGAACGTGGAGCTGATTCGCGGCCAGACCATGCTTGTCAAGAGCGACTACGACAAGTTATTTATGCGTGATACTGGCGATACTTATACATATGTGATACCGCGCCTAGACGGGACTGCTGTTCTTGGAGGGACAAGACATAAGGGTTCTGTGTATGTCCTTTCTTTCCACCTGTTTATAGCAGATGAACTAACGGGTTTATACAGTGATCCAAACCCGGATTGGGATCTGTGCCAGGATGTACGTACCTCCATAAAGTGTAGGGCCATGCTAACAAGTCCAGATCGTGAACAGGATCAACAAGAATCTACCTAACCATTTCTCAAATAATCTACAAGACTACCAAATTGTCAGACACAACGTAGGCATACGGCCGTCCCGGGTCAACGGGGTACGAGTCGAGCGAGAAATCAAGGACGGGCAGGTGATTGTTCACGCGTACGGTATGTTTGGAAGCCTTACAAATATACTGATGTCCCAAGGCATGCACTAACATTTTGAATGATAGGTGTCGCCGGTGGAGGCTACATCTTCAGCTTCGGGATTGCGCGTGCTGCAAGGGACCTTGTTGAGGGCTATCTCTTTCCTCACCACCCTGCGAAGCTGTAGATACCAGAGCGACTTGGAGCTCGAGTATTGAATTAACAGCTAGTATAATATAAATTAAACTACACTGCGGTCTAGAATTAATGGATCATTTCATCATTGTTCTGCCGGCGCTGAGGATAATATATAATAAGATACTTCGGAGACGTAGGCTTTGTAACCCTAGAAACCTGCAGATAAGCAAGTATTTGGTATGAGGACAGTTCAGTTTATACCGATTCTACCTACAAGCACAGTATCTTTCCAATAAGACGAATCCTACAGGAGTCTACATCCAGAGCACTTTCTACACCGAGTTCGAGTTATCCGCACAAGACCAAGCGGAAGACCCCCCAGACGCACTATAATCGTTGATAATCCCAACAACAGAGCCGTACGTCCCAGAAACCATAAGGAACGTGCCAGAGATAATAACAAACCCGCTCCAGCAGACCATCAAGTACCACCGGATATCGCGCGTTTTGCCCCAGTTGTCATACAGCCACATACAGCCCATTGGCTGGAAGGACATTAGGGTCCCGAGGAGTGCGCCGATAAGGGAGACCAGGCTGTTGAATACGGGGATTGCGCTGGCGATTATATATGCGGTTATCACTACGCTGAATGTACAGAGGAGCCAGGTTGTCCAGTGCCGGAGGGTGTTGGCTGAGAGGTGTCTTGTGTCGCGGAGGAGGCGGACGAAGATATACTTGCTAGGGACCTATACGGAAGGTTAGTATTGCGGAAATTAAAGCGCTGGGATAAGGCCTTACATGAGAAAGAATCACATTCGACGCTAGAATCCCGGGGATACTAAGCCCATAAGAGATCTTCTTCATGAGAGGGCCTGCAGAGCCTAGAGCAGGAGAGGCAACATATGACCCGCAGTAATAGTATACCACCACGCCGATTGTAAGAAAGGTTGAAGTGACGATGCACTGGCAGCAGAATAAGCAGCGGGTATACAGCCGGGGCTCGCGCATTTCTGCCGCGATGGAGAAGAACATGCTGGTTCCTGCGTATGCAAAGACGATGCTGGAGACTGCGGAGACGGCGTCTAGGAAGGACGGGTTTTTGAAGAGCTGGTAGTCGGATTTCCACGGGATATCTTGCGGTGCACCACTGGGACGGTCCTGTACACCAACGGCGATTGTGACTATCAGGACTGTGGAGTAAAGTCAGCAAGGATGTTGATGTTGGACTGGAAGTGTAAGTGAAGTTGGAGCACTTACTGGCACTCAGGATACTCACAAGCCCAGTTGAAGTAATCCACTTCATCCGGCCTAGAGTGCGAATGCTGCATAGGATATAGGTAAGGATAGCAGCAACAGCCACGAATACGGCGGTACAAGCTCCATGTGTTGAGATCGCATTTAGGGCAATCGAGATACTCAGCAGTCCGGAGCCAGAGACAAATATCCAGTCTAGTCTGCGTTAGCAAGCTTTCGTAAAGGGTCATTCCAAATTGTACTCACACATGCAGAATGCTACCCCTAGAAAGTCTCGGCCAACCCTACCAAACATGATATATCCAGCATCGTCGATGGCATATACCTCGCGGTGGCTCAGCTTGAACATCCCGACAACGTACATCGACCACCAGGTCATGGAAGCAATGGTAAGAAGGCAGATGACTCCTGGAATGAGGCCTAGAGTATCGAAGGCTCCGGGGATGGCCAGGACCCCTAGTCCGATCATGGATTTCGCCATAAGCACAATGGTAGCAATCCATCCTATCTGAAAGACGGTTAGACTTAATCAAGACACACTGAGGGTACACACATTACGGTAGTTGGGGCCGTCCTCAGTGATTTCCCCAAATACAGCATCGGTCGTGATATTCTGGACTTCTGCAGGCTTGGTCTCTGGGAATACAGGGCATTCTGCATCCTTTTCCTTTGTTCCGTCAGCCATGACTGATAGTATAGATTAGAAGAGATAAATGGAATTGTTACCCACTGATGAGTACCTGGGAAGCCTTTATATACCGATTCGCTCTTGTCAAACGCCTAGAAATACATCTAGTCTAGCAACTATTCAATCATGTCAATGCGCATGCCCAGCCTCATAGGGCGAGTATACGGCGACGCTGCCGGCCATCGGACAGGCCCCCGATATCTCAGTACCCCATACCCTTATCACTATTCACTGCATACGTCTTACTCCACAGATTGGGGTACGTATTAGTCTCTCTTGGCTTGTTATCCCCGCATTTGGCTTCGCAGTGACCGGGCAAGCTCCCGGCCACGTTGACAATAGTCCCGCTTCCATGGAGTCACAAACACGATTCTATGATTTATGTAAAAGGGTGAACTATTTCTAGAAAACAGTGGAAGCCCGTTCAAGCTGTGATCTGAAACAGGGGCTTCCCCAGGTAACTCAAGTCTATAGCACCGAGTCCATTCCCAGGAAGACCATTATGGCGAACCCTGCCATCTGCCTGCATCCTCGGAATGTCTGCAATACATGGACTCGTCCATTCAGCAAAGAGATCGACAGCACGTAGTCGATCTGGGGGCGTAGAAGCGGCCAGCTGTATATTCTGCGCTGTTAACAATGCACATCCCCACGTATCGTCAGCCGTAACCATCATATCCAGGGAAATCGCCGCATCACGCAGCGTGCGCGCCTTGGTAAGCCCGCCAACCCGCGATGGCTTTATATTCACCCCCGTGATACCTGCTGCATGTGCTGCAACGAGATCCGCCATCGTCACGATACTCTCGTCAAGCACAATAGGCAGTCCAGTGCGACGTCCAACTTCAGCACAGTCAGATAGAAGTCTACAGGGCTGCTCAAGCGCCACGGCGATATCCTGACCTAGCACCCGTGCAAATGTGAGTGCTTGGCCTAGGTTCCAGCCGCCGTTGGCATCAGCCCATACTTCAACTGTGTCTGGGAGTGTCTCCCGGATGGCCCTGACTCGCCTCGCATCGGTTATGGGGTCATCTCCAACCTTTAACTGCATAGCCTGCAGCCCCTTGTCCAGCTCGGCCTTTGCCTTCTGGACTCCAATGGCTGGCTCACCGACACCGATGACAGAAAACGCAGGTAGATCTGCACCAAGCGTCCCTCCCAATAAAGCCGATGTAGGAAGTCCCACGGCCTTGCCCAGAATATCCCAGCAGGCCATATCTAGGACCGCCTTAGCCGCCATCCCAGCCATCATGACGCGATCCATGACCGTGTCAACAGCCGTTGGTGAACGCGGATCTAGGCCCAGGATATGCGGTCCGAGTTCCTTCAGCGCAGCCAGTTCGCCTGTGAAAGAGCTGGGTAGGTAGTCGCTTCCCAGAGGTGCTGTTTCGGCCCAGCCCTCGATGTTGCTGTCGGTACGGACTCTCACGACGATAGATTGCTGTCCTGTGGTTGTGCGGCCGTGCGACATGCTGTATATGCCGTTGGCGTAGTTGGCGTTGTAGCTGAAGACGGTGATTTCGGTGATTTGCATTGTTGTGGTATTGTTCTGAGGACGATATAGAAAGACTTGCAGATGTATGTGTGGCTGCTGGTTTATATTCTGCCAGCGTCTGAAGGTGGGTGTACTGGAAACTTTTCTCCAACTCGGATAACGCTCCTTAGGTTATTCTGTGATATCGGGATCTTGCCCGTGCCGGACGGGCCAGTTATCATAGAGCCAAGAGGGACAGTGAGGGGTGCATATCGAGTGGAGAAGGAAATAAATCAGGGCTGTTAGACTTGTAGGGCCGAACCCAGAAGTATCTTGTAAGTTGGATCCATATACAAGAGTACTGCGTATTATTGAACAAATGAAAGTCCAACAGCGATGGCACAGCAAGAAAGGACAGACTTTGGCCTTGTGTTAAATAAAGAAAAATGAATGTTGAAGCTATACTACAGCTTTATTGAAAGCGGCTGTAGCAGTATGTAAGAGAATACCAAATCCTCCACTAATGACCTATTCAGACAAAGTCTGTCCCAGTAGAAAGATCCTCCCATTCAGCCAGAGACCTCAACGTCTCCTCACACTTCCTGCGAATCACTGCAACTGCATCTGGTCCGAGAGCCAGGTCCTTTGGCCAGACTCTCCCAGCGGCTTCATTCTCCCCTCGAACAACTTCTATAATGCGAGCTACCCCCTTGGCTGGATCTCCTCTCTGGTTCCCGTGCACCTTGCGAAATGCGTCAAACGTGGCACTAGCCACTTCCTTGTACTCAGCAATGTCCGTCTCAACGAACATGCTATTCCGAGAACTCAAAAGCTCCGTGCGGAACTGGCCAGGCTCAACAAGGAGGGTCTTTACACCGAGTGATGCGACCTCCTGACCGAGTGCATCTGTGGCGTCTACAAGCTGTCAGACTACTATCAACTCAAACATTGCGGGATATGAAAACATACAGCGAAGAGCGGCCTTGGAAGCTGAATACGCCCCGACACCAGGATATGTCTCCCACGCAGACATAGAACCAATATTAACCACAGTCCCGGCCCTGCGAGAGCGGAAATGAGGCAAGAATGCTCGAGTCGTGTTGATGGTTCCAAAGACATTGGTCGTAAACTGCTTCACGTAGTCGTCCTCACTAGATAAACTCCATCAGCCATGCCTCCCCAGCCCTAATTGAATTGAACTAGATAGGCCAACAAGGGATGGGTAACAAACCTCATATCTTCCAAAAACCCAAACTGGGTATATGCTGCGTTATTAACAAGCACATCTATCCTTCCAAAGAACGATACAGCCTCGGCGGCTTTGGTATTTAGTTCTGCCTGTGGGGATGTGACATCGAGTTCCATGATTTCAGCACCGAGCTGCTTCAGGTTCGATATCTTGGAGATATTGCGTGCTGTCGCGATGACCTTGTCGCCACGGTCGAGGGCTTGAGTGACGAATTCGTGGCCAAAGCCAGACGATGTTCCGGTTATGAGCCAGACAAGGGACATTTTGAGTATAGGCAAGTCGTTATTATTGTTTTGGATTGAGATTTCATATGGGTAGATATTATACCGTGAGAGGGTATATATATCTGGGCTGTGGGCAGCCTCTATGTATTATCATTTTTGATAACCCCGAAGTCCATCGGACTACCCATATTCCAGTGTTTGGATCTTGAAGGGAGATAGCATTATATGCATATGATTGGGTCGTAATAGCGAATATGATTGAATGGCTGCGTTGGTGTTGGCAAACGAAGTCCGAAGGATTTCGGGATCCTGCAAATGCGCATAACTGTACAAAACATTGTTAGTAATCACTATACATGCACAATCTTGGCCGACTATATTGAGAGAGCGGAGGTTAAGCTGAGCCTACGAGTGCAAACAAAGAAATTGTCTATGTCCAGGTTTTAAAAGAAGAAACTAAGATTCATTGGTAGTCTATAACGTGTCATAATCATTCAAGCTTTGCTCAACAGAGCTTTTTAGCCTTGCCAGTCGACGGTAACTTCAAGCACGACGTTACCATCCCCAGAGATGTTGCCGCCAATGCCACCGACATCAGTCTCGGCAGTGGTGTAGGCGTTATCGACGGAAGCAGCGTCGGGCGAGATGCTGGAGCAGGTGCCGCTGCCCTGCTCGCAGATCTTCATACCCTGGACAGTCAGGCCAGCATTCTGGGCAACAATGGCGGAGACATCGAAGCCGGACCAGCCGCCATTGCCGGTGCTGCTGAAGTCGAACTCACCCCAGGTAGAGGCGTAGCCGCCGGAAGCATCAAGAGGCATGCTACCGCTGGGGGCGGCAGCGAAACCGCCGTTGGTGTCGTCGTCGAAAGCAACGTACTTGGTCTCGCCGGAGTTGAGGGTAAGCTTGATGGCGGAGTAGCCGAACCAGCCGTTCATCTGTCCGTCGGGGCCGTACTTGTTGAAGAAGACGAGGTCCCAGGGCTCGCTGTTCTCACCGGAGATCTGGGCGACGTGCTTGTAGTTCGCGGCCTCATCGGAGGAGATCTCGATGATGTTGCTACCGTAGGGGTCACCGACGTTGCCCTGGTAGGTGATTCCGGAGCCGGAGTTGGAGGTCTTAGCACCGAAGCCGGCACCGGCGGAGGAAGAGGAGGTAGAAGAGGTGGAAGAGGCAGCCGAGGTAGTGGTGGAGGCCTGACGTCTCTCATGGCCCTCAGGGCGGGCAAGAGAGGTAGAGGCAAGGGCTGCCAGCAGCAGAAGGGACTTGGTGAGTTGCATTTTGGTAAAGGGAGTGTGTGGTCGCGTCAAGCGATGATATGATAGGTCTTGAAATGAACGAAGTTACACTAGGTAACAGGAGAGAATAGAATTGAAAGGAGTGTCTTAGTTGGATTGCAACTCTGTAGATGTGTGAATGAAATTACGATCAGGACGAGGATTTTTCCATCTTATATAGCTTTGGGGGGAGTAATCGGTTACTCCACGAAAGTGCCACTACGTCTACCCTTCGAGTCTCGACCAGGGCGTTCGGATGGAATACCTCTGGTCGAGATCGTTGTGGAACAAAGCATGCGTAAGTGGTGGTGGCCGATGGAGGCATTGATGGTGAATGGAATGATTGGGCAATATGACTGTGGATGGACGGAACAGGCAAGACGACACACTGATAGGCAGGGGAATGCATTCAAAAGCAGCCCAATTGGCCGCATTGACTATGGAAATCGATCCACGAAATTTGTGCCCCTGATTATTATTGGCCGCCCTGGATACGTACCTGAATCCAGAACGGTCATCAATACGATTGGTCGGCCCAGAATGCAATTCGTGTATCAGTGGCTTGGGTGGGGACTGAAAATGCCGAGATCTAATGGAAAGAACGGTCAGTGGCACCGTGGCACCCATCTTGGAAAGTTAGTCAACAATGAGCTGTACTGGGCGGTTTCGCAACTCGGTCTTTGCATTCCCACATCGCCTAATTCCTACAGCAGGCGATGCTCAAAGGAATGAAAGATCCAGGATTTGGCAACAAGCTGGTCATTCAATATCACCATGCCTTGGCAGAAAAGGCTGCAACTGGGGTATGGTGAGTCTGGACTCTCAGTCGCGAGTCAGGGCCCGATTTTAGTGAGCCACTGAGACTGGAGTCAAAGAGCTGCGCAGCCTTAGGTAGGAATAGATGTGCGCGTCCAAAGGTTCGAGATGCAGTGGATCATTTCTCTCCAGTCTCCACCACCACCGACTTCTTGGGAGGCCATCCTAAAAGAGCCTGGCGTACGTAGGCCGTGACGAGGAGGCGTTGATATCCAATCTGACAGGCATGTGCACTCGCGGTTATTGGAAGATATTCGGAATGTCTTTATATTATCCGGGCGCATTAACAACGGGCGTGTCGCACAAAGACATCGAAGAGAATGTAACGCGCCTGTGCGTGGCTCTGTCAAGAGAACAAAAGTCGGGATCTCGACCGTGGGCCGCCAAGTCTGGACCAGGGGCAGAACCGGATTTGAAGCGCTGAGCAGCCAATCCGACTGCTTTCCGCACAACAATTTCTCAAGAATTGTCAAATCGGGCCAACGAGGTTCCATGGAACGCTTAAACAAAAAATAAGCGGCCGTTGAAAGGGGCAAGAGCATCGCCAAGTCTCCTTTTTGTCCCACACAACAACTGATCAGCAGTGGTACCTGGCCTAAGCGAGTTCCTGTCAACCGCAAGAGAAGCTGATGTGGGATAAAAATTCTGCAAGGTGCGACGACGCCCCCCACTGTTCGAGCTCGAGAGCTTGATCTTGCTCCAAGCGTTGCGTGCTTTTGTAGAAGCGGAACTTACGTGCGCGGTCCCACTGTATCGTGGACTTCTCCCACCGAGCGATTACCGGAGGTTCTCGTCAGTCGTTTCATGAGGGTGGTAGTAGTCTAGTACTTGGCGGCGGAGCCTCTAGTACCTCACTGTTTGTTCATTTGTTCAATATTCACATTGGTGTTCGCCATCTAAGCGCGGCATTAGGTGTCCACAGCAGGCATATCGCCGCCTGTCCCCGGTACGGCCTTACAGAGAGCACTGTACCCCGGCTCGTGTGTCTTCTCGAATCCGAAAGGAACTCTCATGTCACGAGAGTTCCCGACTTGCCGCTAGAGTTCCGCGGAATAGCCTCTCCAACCGCTAGAACTAAGGTTCACTGTAACCCACGCTGAGCCATGACCCATCCGGTGGAAGGGAACTCAGCGCTACTTGACTTCCGTGGCGGAATAGGCTCTCCACTCCCACCCACTCACCTTTGAACAATCTGGACCGCTGGGACTGGGGCTCTGGTCTGGGTACAGAGTAAAGTTTTGCATGTCGCAAGTGGTGGCACTGACGTCTGAGTCGGTGCTGAGGTAACCTAGGTTCGCCGCTTGATCGTATGGGACGGGCCTGTGGCAGATGGCGACTTGCCGTCAAATCTTGAGATTCGGTATTGGCTAAGAGAAGTTTGACTCGGTTCTCATGGCAAAGGATGAGCGTATAGGGACGTCAATTGACGACCGCCACATGCTCTCGATGACGGAAAGCTAACAGGCGCGATTCCCGATGGCCAAATGCCGTTTACTCGGTTATCTGACGTTGAGGCTTCGGGCTGTGCTCGGGTTAACTGTGGGAAGCGAGAAGTCACCCTCCTCACGCCACTCCCGCCATGTTGGAGCCGCCTGTGCAGCCCGGATTGGCGATTTCTGACGCTCCTGGAAACATCGCGACTTTGAAGTTTTGTTCACAATGGTCGCGATAGTGACTCGCAGTCAAGTGCTTGGCTGATACGTTTTGGGTTGCACTAGCAAGGTAGACTGAGGTGTGTTATAATGATAAAAAACACTTTGCAGCTACCATCAACGTTGTATTTGAGATGTAGAGAGATAAATATCCGGAACTGTGAGAGAAGTTGGTCTGATAGAAGAGTCGGCCGATGTTGACGTGTCCAGGCACACCGCAGCCGTAGAAAGGAAGCTACGGACAAATCAGCCAAAACCATTATTATTTTCACACTTTACTAAGAGGATCAATACATACCAGCTCTGGATAATTGTTAAATGTACCAGCCCGATGGCTTTGGTAGCAGGGCATGGAAGGCGAGGGAGCAGCGCGATTGTTGTGAGTGTCAACATCCGACGCGACCCCCGAGCCGACGACCCGCCATTCTTCCGCTGTCAACACCTCAAGGATGGAATGCGATCCGCCACAACAACAGCCACAGCGTCGAAATAGACGATCTAGATCAGGTAGGAATTATCTGTGGCCTGATTTGTTACGTTTTAACTGATTTTGCAGGATGTAACACTTGTCGAGCTCGTAAGGTAAGCTAGTTTCCAGAGCACTGTTACCCCACAAAACGCGTCGTAAGAGCTACTGATAGGGTTTCTCGCTAGGTAAAATGTGATGAACGACCAGATGGCTGCGGAAATTGCGAGAGGCTTCAGTTGGAGTGCTCTGGATACGGTCGTTCGGCGATTCGACACTCAAATGCGCATACCAGAGCGAGGCGGACGTACCGATCCTGCTCCGACTGCCGACTGGGAAGGGCCAAGTGCTCTGGTGAACGGCCAGCATGCTCGAGGTGCCGGGAAAAGCATCTTCAGTGCCACTATGGAGAAAACGTCGAACCTGTGTGGCCACGACGGTTGACAAGCACCGTCGACCCGCCTGAGAGACCAAGTTCTGCACCACCAATAAATGAAGCAGAGACTCCGTCTTTGGCATGGTAGTTGTCAGCTCTGTCGTGTTGTGATTATGTCCACTAATATTATAACAGGTTGACCTCCTTTGACCTCCCTGATAAATCTAGGGTGGCAGTCCTGGTCGATAATTACTTTGCTCATGTTCACCCCATTCGCTGTTTTGCCTTTCTTCATAGGCCCTCGTTTCTCCGTAGAGTTGACGAAGAATTGGCCTCGGAGGCACAAACTGCTCTGATTTACGTTGTTTGCGCCCTAGGTGCACAGTAAGTTGATCAACGGCTCTGGGTTTGGTATCTTGGCTAATTTAACGAGGTTCTATGCACTAGAATGCAGCACCACTAGCCACAAGCTATCACCAAAATTCATACTGAGGGCTGGCGCTCGTTGGGCAGAAACTGCTTACAGTATGGTCCTAAAGGAGTTGGACAAGATTTCCATCGACAACCTCATGGCCTCACAACTCCTGTACGACCACGCATTACGAGTGGGCAACTTTGCTCAGGCGTTCATGCTAGGAGGGATCACCGCGCGTATGGCCCAGGCACTGCAAATAAATCTTGAGTTTTCCACCGACGTTCTTTGTTTGGAACCTGGCCTTTCCGTTTCTGCGAGGGAAGCTCGTCGTCGGTTAATGTGGAGCTGTTTCGTGACCGATGCGCTGCTCGGAAGTGGAGTTGACCAGCTTATGCTGATCGAAGAAAGGGATATCAAAATACAGCTGCCGTGCAATGAGCGACGATTCCTCCAAGAGGCGCCTTGTGTTACGCGGACCCTCGACGGTACGGTTCTTGGGTTTCTTCGACCAGAAATTACTCCAGTGGATCCAGACGAAAACATGGGAATCATGGCGTATTTTATCCAGCATATACGGATTCGAAAGCAGGTCCTCCGCTATATAAAGCATCTCGATAAAGCTATGTCTCCGTGGCTCCCGAACTCGGAATTCGCCATTCTAGACAAGGCATGTTGGGACTGGTATAATTCGTTACCGGAGAACCTGCAGTTCACCCCATCCGCCATTTACACACGCAAAGCCTCGTCCCAGCTAGGAGCGTTGGTGCTTATGCACTGTGCCCATCACCAAACACTGTGTGATCTGTATCGACTAGGTGCCCCGGCTCTATTCAAGCTGCGCTCGGCTATCGAATTTCCCCCGGAGCAAAGCGAGTATCTCGAGAAGATGCGATCAGACTTGTACGAGGCAGCTAAAAATCTGGCGACGATTATCGCCGAGGCTGAGCGGCATGGGCCGCATAATCTGTCCGATACCTGGCTTCCGACCGTTACTTACGACAGCTCACGCATTATGCTGTATTATCTTACCCAGCTTATCGATCCACGTGAGCAAAACAGTAAAGATCTAGTTGTCCAAACCATTCCTTATTTGCAGAGCAATATACGGGCCTTAAGGGCCATGGAATCCTTGAATGCTGTGTCCGGGCGTTTGGTAAGTGTCCTCAAGATGGATAGAAGCCATCGCTAATATCAAAAGGCCGGCCTTGCAGAAACAATGTCGAGACTTCTCGGGTCGGAGGCTGAAATAGCTAGCGGTAGAAACATAGTCCCAGACGACTTTTACCCCTCGGATTTGGAAGACACCGGGCGGCAGACTCCGGCAGGAGTTCCGGCTCAAAGCGCACCTGACTATGTTCTCAACCCTCTCACTATTTACCGTATGGCGCGCAGGACGATACCGGAACGCCATGCCCCAGAGCGTATTGCATCGTCTACTACGGGTGGCTCTGCGCAAGCAACCGACATATCTCCACCGATGCTGACTGGAGCCGACGAGTTGATGCTCTTCACATCTGACCTGGGATGGACGTGGCAGCCAGCAGAGACAGCCATGGAGTCTGGACTTGAGCACACGGGACTACACCCCTGGGTAGGTGGTGCACAGCTACAGAGCGATAGACAAGAGCAAGGTGGCTCATGGGGGCATCAATTTCCATTTCTCTCATAATGGTATCAAGGTATATATATACATGAAGTATTTCTCGCCACTAGCAGGTGATGATTTATTCTGCGTCAATAGGGCATTTTGGTGGCTGATTGTCCACTTGGATACCACCTCTCTTCTTGTTGTCGGAGTCGGGCAACGGGGTCCTCCACCCGCCCTCACTCTGCGGCACTGCCAGCCACAACCTCATTAGGTGTCTCTGTGGTCGAGGGTTCCCCTCCTCATCAACCGAACCAGGGGGGTAATCGGTGTACGCAGTACGCGCGTGGAAAATGTGGGGGTTATGCAAAAACTGGATGTCACCTGGTTCAAGGATCATATGCAGCGCCAGCTCTTTACAGGTCCGTTCCAGCACCTCCATGGCATACTTCTGCTTATCAGAGAGAGGCGGAATTTGCGCATCAGGACCAGAGTTGAACCGTGCAAGCGAGGTGGCATTATTGGGATCGAACTTGCAGTAGATTTTGGGGTTCTCGCCGGTTTCGAGCCACAGCACTGCACCCCGATACCAGGGTTTCTGTCCGCTAGACACCTCGCCCTTTCGGTCGAAGTACCAATTTGGCTCGGCCAATGTTCTGACAACATCCGGGTGATCACGCTGTAAGACATTGTATACATGGTGGGTCGAAGCGATGTCTGACTCTCCTCCGGAAAGCGACTTGGCGATACACAAAAGACCGACCATGTCGCCGGCGTCCGTGTGGAAGTATTGCCTGCAAAATTAGAACTGTTATTTGAGAGACGACTGAGAGACCAACCTGGCGTTTGTTCGGTAGATGCGGACTTTGAAAGTCTGTGTAGGATCTTCTCCGAGATCCTTGACGTGGCCGAGGACATGGCCACGTCCGTTCTGACTGACGAAGTACCCCAAGTACGTCCCCAGGCCCATGTAGGCGGCCGCGGACTTGTGGAGGCCCCATTTCCTGACGGGCAGGTTTCTGAAGCGGTAGAACCCTTTTCCATGGAGCAGGTCCTCACGCAAAGCATCCATTCTGGCGGCCAGAGTAGGAAGAGGGAACAAGGCCCGAGTGATGCCCGTCAACGGCGTGCCTGACTCGATGAAAGCGTCTGCCGCAGCACTGATCTCGGCGACCTCGTCCGCGGTAAAGGAGTGCGTCCAGCGTTCGGGGTTATCCCGATACTCAGCAGCATCCCAGACCGTTGGGCCGGTCATTTGCTTGGGGTAATCTTCATAGGGCCGGACGAGCGACCAGTTTGCCTCCTGCATCCCAGAGGTCTTGAGACCATCGGGGAACAGCTCCAGTGGGACGGTTTCGGTTGTAGTTACAGTGCTCGACATTTTGTGAATTGAGAGTGATAAAGAGAGTACCACATTGTCTGATCGTGAGGGGGTTGGAGAAGCATTTATTTATATTGTGCTGGACCGCGTCTTCTCGGCTGGAGTGTCGCTTGCATGCTCCGTCTCCATCTTGTCTGTTTGCCGACTAGCCAGGCGACACTCCGCAACAAACCCAACTTGAGAGTCGCCGTGATTCATCAGGTTGGCCGAATGCAACTATTTCTTAACACTTAAACTGTCTTGATCTGCATTGCGAATCAGCAGCGGGCATTTTGTCACAAAAGACAGGCATTCTACCAGTATAGTCGGTGCGGGAAATAGCCGACGCTCCATCCGATCGGATTCTGCACTGTCACGCCATTCAGCCTAAAATATGGCAATCTACCACTCCACATGCTTCAAATTCGCTTGTATGCGTCATTCTGTTTGAATCATAGCATTCTGCCATTAGGGCATTAATGCGTCCCAGCCCTGGGGGTGGCAGGGCTGCTCGCGTGTCTGCCGAGAAGTGTTGATGGCCGTTGGCAGGCTGTGCTCGCATTCTAAACGAGCACCAATCACATCGCTCTATTCCACTAAATATTCATGCCTGGATGCTTGGCCCATGGCATCCTCACGCCTGCTTTATGCCTCATGGCCAATATGAGAAGGCAAAGCAATGCCCGAATACGATCCAGGGCTTGGTGCAAGGCCGAGTGACCCTGACGGTGCTATATAAACGACATCTCAGCCATGGAAAACCATCAATCCGACAGTGGCCATATACCTTCAAGCTTTGAAACCTCATATATTGATCACCTACACCGAGATGCACGCCAGAAAGCTGTACTTCCAAAAACGCGAGACCGACGACGACACCGACTGGAGCGTCTTCTTCTACACCCCGTCCCTCGCCGCCTCAATCCTCTTCGCAGTCCTCTACCTAATCCCCTTCATCTACCACCTCTACGTCTCATACGTCGCGTACAGAGCCGGCAGATACTTTAGACACAGCTACACCCTTCCGCTGTTAGTCGCCGCCCTTGTCGAGGTAAATGGCTACAGCCAGCGCGCGGCATCTACCCAGAACGTCCAGGACATCGGCACGTTTGCGGCTTCTCAGACTATGATTGTCCTTGCACCTGTACTTGTCTGCGCTTCGCTTTATATTCTGCTTAGCAGGATTATTCGCTCAACATCAACTCAACCAAGCGGTCAGCCCCAAGGCAACAATGAAAAAGGAGACAAAAGAGTTCTCGGCGGATACGTGAAAGCAACTTGGCTGCCGAAGATATTCATCACGCTGGATGTCGGGGCCATGGTCACTCAGGGCGGCGGGAGCGCCGTCGCAGCGGCAGGGGAATGGAAGGGTCCGTTGGAGAAGGCCGGTACGGGGATCCTGATCAGTGGATTGGCACTACAGCTTGCGACCTTTTCCGTGTTCCTGGTTGTGGTGGTCAAGTTTCATCGGGACGCTTTGAAGAGTGGTGTTCTGGCACAGGATGAGGGCATGAAGAAGGTTCTGTTAGGTGTTTATATTGCAGGGTTCTTCATTATGGTATGTCATCCGCCTTTTCCTTTACAGATATATTGATTGATGGCATATGTGCTGATTATGTTGGCGAATAGGTCCGGTCCATCTTCCGACTCATTGAATTTGCGTGCGGTACGGATTCGTATGTCATGACGCATGAGTGGCCGGTGTATGTGCTTGAAGCAGTGCCCATGTTCACAGCCTTTATGGTTCTTGGGTGGTATCACCCGTCCAGATGGCTTCCTTCGTCCGCTGCGGGGGAATCCAAAGCGAGACAGTGGCTCAAGCAGCATCGGCGGAGGAACCTCCCGCAGGGTGAGGGTGTTGCAAGTGTATGATTGATAGATCGGTTGTCTGTATTCCTAAATGGTAAATATCTCAGCTGCCAATCACATCTCATTTTGAGCTCTATTCATTATATCATCTCTGTATACTGCTATATATTATACATTTCTAGTACATCCTGTGAAAACCTCCCACGCAGCCACTCCGCCAACCCCCTAAGCTCCCTCTCCCACTGCGGATACCTCCCTCTATGCCTCTCAACCTCCGGCAACATATCCATCGCCAAATACCCCAGCGGCTCCTCCACCAACTCCCGCATATCCCCAGGCAAGCCTGTATAGATCGCATCCGCCCAACGATAAATTAGAAAATGGCCACCACCAGCCCCAACATTACGCCTCTTCATCAACTCCGCATAAACAGGCCTCATAAACGAGTCCAGAACGATATAGTGCATAAACAACGCACGCGAGACATGGTTCCCAGGGGCAATGAACTGCAGAAACGCAACATTATCCATCCGCGCCCACTCCGCATATATAACAACCAGCTGCATAAACGCATGCCGATGCGATATCAATAAAGCCGCATAAGCCTGACGCAAAGCACTATAAACACACCCCTGCGCCTCGCTATCAATCAACGGCCTCAGCCGATCCAGCGCAGCAATACAGACGTCGATCTTCTCGGCCTCACATAGCGGATACACACCCTTTGGAAGCCAGCCCGTGATCATCTCGCCCATGTGCTGCGGCGACTTGACATTCTTGAAGAGCTTGCTCTCGCGCGTCTCGGGCTGCGTGAAGTACCAGTCCGTGACGAGGCCGCAGCCGCGCACCATGACGGCGAAGTCGACGATGCCGTCGCTCATGCAGTGCGCTTGGAAGGTGAGCGTGTAGCAGGTTGCGAGGGCGCCGTCCATTTCGAGGACTGTGGCGTCGGCGCCTTTGGCGATGGTTGCGCTGAGGGATTGCAGGGCCTGGCTGCGGTGGGCGATGGCGGAGGAGTAGTGGTCTTTGCCGGAGGGGGAGACTAGGGCGCTGTAGGAGGCGCCGAGGGAGAGCATGGCGTGGAGGAGATGGGGGCACTATAGAGGATTAGTTATGCATTTGGTGTAAAGAGAAAGGGGGGGTGTACATCGTGAGCAAAGGCGGGTATCGTGGATAGCCAGGAGTCCTCGTCGCCGAAAGGCAGATGCGGCCGGGCGTCGACGAGGAAATGATGCCAGAACCGCAGGTCATCGCCAGTGAAAGAAGCCAGAGATATCTGAGGAGTCGAGAGGGTTGAAGATGAGTCCGCGGAGTTTGATGACGCGGGCGTTAACGGCTTTTGCGCCACCACCGCTCGTTCTCGGTCCTCGTCTGGATAGTGACAGTCTATATCTTTGCGAATGCAGTTGGCGCATGCTGGTTTTGTTTCCTGGCACTGTTGCGGTCAATTTGGGCTGTGCCTGGGGCTGCGTTTGAGGCTGCGTCTGGTACGAACCTTGACCCTTCGGCTCTTGCAACTATAGCAGCCACGACGCGACTTTGTATGTGGTCGTTTGACACGGCTGATCCTTTGATGCAATATTGGCGTAGTGGATATTCTCCCGATTGATTCCTCGCGATCGAGAGCGAGGTAGTGGAATGAGGGCGTGAGGTAGCCCGGCGAGGAGTGCTGTGAATGATCCATTTCCACGGGGTGATTGCCTATATTCCCAGGATACAGAAGTAAAGCTTCCAGCTTCAAGATAATGAAGCTTGGAACAGCGAAGTCTTTGGGCTGAAAGTTGGTTATCGACCGAGGAGGCAGCAGCTTTCTGGGCAATACGAGCTCAGCCCACAGTCACAAATCCAACCGCTAATCCTCAAATGCTTTTGCAGAAACGGCTCTAAAATGATCGGCAATGTCCGATTGGTCAAATATTGAGAGAAAGATGGCATATAATTGGATCGTGCGTTGGGTTCATGGGTTCATGGGAGTATCGCGACACAGCCTCTGCGATGCCGGTCTCGAAGTTTCCTGGACGTGATAGTTAATAGTATAATAGGGACAATATAAAACAGTTATAGGTCATGATAGCGATGGTTAATTTGGTAGTGAACTGTAGTAAATTGTTGTATACCAGGGAGACAAGAGAAAGAAGAACGGCCAACCCCTACAAAGACAAGAGCCTCATGTTTCGAGCCAGATGACAGCAAGACTTATGATCAGCCAGTAAGGCAACACTCTCGGCGTCTTATGTATGATTGCACGTTGTGAGGGTCCGATTGGGAATCCAGGCCCGAGGAATACGAGCTGGGCGACGGCGTTCCAAGGAACCAGACTGAATGCACCAAGATAGTGGACGAATCCCAAAACCAGTCATCTAACTGTACATAATGTATTTATAGACAATATTCCTCTTATTCAGATATGATGTCATTCCAACATATCCAGCCTAACAATCGATGCCCGGAAGTGCTGAACCCATACGGTGTATACATCCCTCCCGATTTAGCGGCGCAGACTACCTCCCCCAGGATTGCACGTATATCAGCAGCAATGTTGAAATTGACCACGAATACTCCTTGATCTGCGTCATTTTTCCATCACTAAAGACAAGCCTCTCTCAGATACTATTGTATACTAGCCTCTGGTCTATGGTGTAGGGCAGCCTCCAGCTTCACAGGTTACCTGCAGCATGCTTACTCGCAGCTCAACCAGTGATATTTCAGAACAGTTTGACAAGGTTTGACCAGGTCTTGTCCCTGCCAGTGACTCATGGACTGGATAGTCGAAATCTTCTTTCATTGGCTGGGAAGGGAATAAGCAAGCCACAATACGAGGTCCATACAACGCCATCAAGATATCAGGTTTCCATCACCATGCTACTCATGAAGATGATTATAAATTGCACCGGGCTTATAAACATTTCAACGGAGCTGGAAGTTGAAAGAATGTTCCGGGATGTGTATATAAAGCCAGTAGAAGACTGACAGCAACATCAGCTCAATATCATCTTTGCCTCATCTATATCCAGCAAAATGACCAGCTACACCAACAAAAAAGCCGTGATAATTGGCGGCACCCACGGTATAGGCCTCGCAACTGCGGAGCTTCTCCTCAACTCTGGCGCTCAAGTCCTCCTAACAGGGCGCAGCCAACAACCCATCGAAGCCGCAAGGGCCCAGCTCGACGAAAAGGCACACATCATACAAAGCGACATAACAGCCCTCACCAACATCGACAACCTCGTCCTCGAAACCAAGTCCATCTTCGGCACCGACCCCCAGATCGACTTTCTCTTCATCAACGCCGGCTATGCCCAACTTGAACCCTTTGCCAGCGTCACGGAGGAGTCCTTCGCGCGCACATTCAACACGAATGTATTTGGCTCGTTCTTCGTCGCGCAGCGCTTTGCACCGCTTATCCGCGACGGCGGCGCAATCGTCTTTACCTCCTCTGTCTCGGCGAAGATGGGGTTCCCGGGTATGGCTGTGTACAGTGCCTCCAAGGCAGCGGTGGGCTCGCTAGTCCAGTGTATGGCGTCTGAGCTTGCGTCTCGCGGGGTGAGGGTTAACGCTGTGACGCCTGGGTTTGTCAAGACGCCGACGATGGGCGTTTCGGGGGTTACTAGTGACCAGCTGGTGGAGTTTGAGGAGGAAGGGTCTAGGGTTACGCCGCTGGATAGGATTGGGAGGGCAGAGGAGGTCGCGAGGGTTGCTGTGTTTCTGGGGTTTGAGGCGACGTTTACGACTGGCTCTGAGGTTTTGGTTGATGGGGGGTTGGTTTCTTTTAATAAGGCGAGTAATAGCTAGCGCTAACTTGATACGCAAAGTGTCCATAGGTCAATGTCAATATCAATTAGATGCCGTCGCTTTCCACAACCCTCTCCTCCAGTCGGGGAGATAGCGGCGTCCGCGCAACAATATACTGTGTCAACACCTCATCCTGCGTATCCAGCGTGATAAAGTCATCTGTAGCCTCGAATATATTGTCGCCTCCGCCTGCCAGGAAGTCCAGAGTAACCACCCGGTAGTCCCGGCCGTCTTCAATGGCTTCACCGTCGAGAGTAACATCGACAAGCCTGCTCCCAGCCTCGTTCTGCGGGTTATACTGGATAAGCACACCCCTCGAAACCTGGAACCACGAGGTAATCTCCTGGTTATTAAACTGGTTGACATAGGACACCGCACCCTCAAGCACCTTACGGAGATCTGCTCCAGAGAACTGCAGCTCGACAATGGCATTGCCAAAGGGGAACGCAGTAAGGACTTCGCCGCGGGTGATATCGCCCTCGTTGATCTCAGCGCGCACACCACCGGCGTTAATCAGAGCCAGGTCGGCCTTCGCATCGTCTGTGCCCTCGGTTTGGTTCACGCGGTACTCCAGCATCGCGTCCGCCATAACCTGGCCCAGCAGACAGTCGCCCTCCTGGCATGTCTCCTGGACCAGAACAGCGTCCGTTGTCCCAAGCACTTCAGCGGCGAAGTCTGCAAACTCCTCCGCCCACTCCTGGATCTTACCGTCGAGCTCCTCGTCCAGACGCGTGCTGTTGTCCATGTGGATCGGTGCACCGTGGTATGCAAGGGCGTGGCCCTCGCGGTCGAATGTCAGATCAATGGCCCCGAGGTACTCACCCCAGCGATAGGCCGTGACGATGAAGACCTCGTGCCCCTTTTTATCCTCGACGATGGTCGGGTACTTGCCCTTGGCGTCTTCCATATCCCCAAGGAGAGTGTGGGAGTGGCCGCCGATAATCAGGCTGAGACCTTCGGTTCGGCTGGCGAGTTTCTGGTCCTCGTCGTAGCCGAGATGGGAGAGGAGGACGATGCGGTTGACGTCTGTTTTATTCCGGATCTCCCAGACGGCCTTCTGTACCTCTGGAATTGGGTCAAGGAAGACAGTCGTGTTGCCGACACTGGATATTCCCGGCGTTGTCGGAGTCGTGGCCCCAATAACCGCAATCCCATGCTCCTGAAAGACGTGGTAATTCTTAATCGTCCTATTAAGAGCCTTAACCTGACTCTTAACATTACAAGACACAACAGGGAAAGTCAGATTCCGCAGAAACTCGCCCAGCGCTTGATCGCCGCCGTCCCACTCATGGTTCCCCAGCGTCATCGCATCGAACTTGAGGTCGTTGATCGTCTCCGCGATCTTCTCCCCGCCGTAGTACTGGTAGAAGAGCGTCCCCTGGAACTCGTCCCCGGCGTTCAGCCACAGATTGTCTGGGTACTCCTTGCGCAGCTCGTTGACTTTGGTCTTGATTCGCGCGTAGCCGCCGTAGCAGCCCTGCTCTGGATCCTCGCATTCTGTGCCTGAGGAGGAGAACTCGTCCAGGTGTGCGTGGATATCGTTGACATGGAAGAATGCTATCTCAATTAATTAGCTAGGCAGAGTTAAGGAGCGAAAAACGTACAAACGTTATAATTGCCGTCGTTGTCCACAAAGCGCTTGGCCAGACGCCTGCTGTAGAGGTAATCGTCGGCGGAAACAGTCCCAGCCACCGCGAGGGCAGCCAGCGATAATGAAATCTTCATTGCGACTAAAGTTCAATAGATTGAACGTTCCGTGGGCAATTGCATCGGGGACGCGTCGCAGGTAAATACGGGCGTCTGGACTGCAGGATCCGCGCCCAGCCACCCTGGACGCTTGGCTGCGATACACGTGGGGAATGCGATAGGCTGGGAAAGACGACGAGCAATCTATTGTCTTGGCTGCATGAGATTGAGCTGGAGAAAAAAGAATCTGACAGTTGGAGTAGGAAGTGCATGTAACCCAAGCAAAGGGGATATATTACAGAAATCACCATAACGGTTAATATAGCTCTTCCAATATTTAACTCATACAATACCATATCTTAAGGAAGGGAAGTCTATAATTCCGGTTATTGATAGTCTCGTGTTTATATAACTACTTCTAGTGTATTGTGCTGCGTATGCTGGTCGAATATCAAGTTCTGCCCCAATCCATTCGACAGTGTTATTCTATATAATAAATGTGTAGAATATTGCTCGATAATATTCTATGGCTCACTCAGCCTCGTGCCGGCCGACATGGTCATTCAGCCATTCCACAGCCTTGCGACATATAAATACAGCACAGTGCTCTCGAGGCTGTCAACTTCCCATCCCTATTTCCCACCTAATTCATCTTCAAGCAATCCAAGTTCACTATCTAGTGAGACAGAAGCATGGCTGTATGGTCCATTCTCATATTCACTGCATTTATTCCCTAACTCAGTGACAGTTCCAATCCGGCACGCGAGTCCGCTACCAAAACGCATACTACATCGTCATCGGGGCAGCAGAGCGAGGCCGCGTCCTGATCCAGAATGAAAGCGACGCGGAGGATATACTACGGGTTGATCCTGGGAGTCTGGCGAGGGTTTAATGTATATACATTGTATACATTATGTGTATCGGTTGATGTCACTGCGGGGTCATTCAATCATCCCCGCATTAACACCATCTTGTTCATGTTACCAACTCTTTTCTAACTCATAACAACTCTTTTAACTGTTAATACTCAAACATGGAAACTCCATATGCATTCCCCTTCCCCAAACCTCCTCCACCACCTCCTCTCCCAAACACCCGCGGCGCAATCCCCACCCTCCAGACCAGCCACCTCCGCACCCTGATGCTCTCCGCCCACCGCGACCGCTCCAAAATCCTCGCATTCCCCTGTAGCTACGACGGCCTGTCCTCACGGCTAATCGAAGAAGCCGGCTTCCCCATGCTCTTCCTCTCCGGCTTCGCAGTCGCCAGCTCCCACGGCCTCCCAGACACCGGGTACATCGCGATGGCAGAGATGTGCGACAAAATCCAGGAGACAGTCCGCGTTTCCACCCTACCGGTCATGGTCGATGGGGATACGGGGTATGGGAGCCCCATGAACGTGAAGAGAACGGTGGAGGCGTTTGCCGCGGCCGGCGCGGCGGGCGTTATGATTGAGGATCAGACCTGGCCGAAGCGTTTGTCTCCTTTTCTTTCCTAGCTTACCGTACCGTTCTGTCTTTGTTTGAATCTAACACTGTGTGATGACAGGATGCGGACACACAGAAGGCAAATCCGTCGTGTCCCGAGGCGAAGCATACGCCCGGATCCGAGCAGCCTGCGACGCGCGCAACGAAGGCCGGGATATCTTCATCCTTGCGCGGACAGACGCTCTAATACACGGCTGGGACGAGGCGATGGCGCGCGCGCACAAATTCAAAGAGATCGGTGCTGATGCGGTCTTCATTGAAGCTCTTCCGGACCGGGAATCCATGAGGCGGGCGGTTGCGGAGCTGGATATGCCGATGCTGGCGAATATCATTGAGGGTGGGATGACGGAGAATCTGGCGGCGAGGGAGCTGGGGGAGATGGGCTTTGCGGCGGTGGCGTATCCGTGGACGCTTGTTGCGTCGAGACTGAAGGCGACCAGGGAGGCGTTGGAGGGGCTGAAGAGGAGTATTCTGGAGGGAGGACCGCCGCCGATGATTCTGGGGTATGACGAGGTTTGTGAGGGGGTGGGGTTTGGGAAGTACTGGGAGAGGGAACAGAAGTATACGCATGAATAACCCTATTCTATACCGTCTATATCTATATCAAAGATAATTACTCTAGATCCCTCTTCAAAGGCAGCCCAGGCCCTTTGCAAGCATCCGCCAGCTCGAAATACCAACGATGGGATTGGAACGCCGTGATATCAGGAACATCAGGGATGCCCTGCCCCGTATTCCCTTGGAGATTCACCTCCCCATGAAGCACCTCCACCTGCTCAGGCGTGACAGTCACATTATTCGGCGCATTGATCCAGTATTCCGGGCTGATATGCACATACCCCATCGCAAGCAGTGGCAACTTCGGCACGGGGTCATCCGCATGGGTGAATCTATAATTCTTGCCCTGGTTCGTGATAAACTCTGCTAGGGCATGGTTCGCGACTCGCGGAGACGCATACGCATACAGTGTCGGAAACGGATACCCTTCTCGCCCGCGGATATCCGCCGCAGCGAGAGTCGCAATCCCTGCGCCGAGACTGTGTCCGACGATGACGAGCTCGTACTCTGGATTCTGCGCTACGGCGCTCTGGAGCTGCGGTAGGATATCGTCGCGCACGTTGGCCCAGGAGTCCCAGAAGCCGGTCTCGGCGAAGCAGCCGTCGCAGAGGCCTGGGTCTTTGTAGAGGAAGGTCGCGTCTGTGATCCAATTGCGGACGGAGTAGGAGCCGCGGAAGGCGAGCACGATGGCTTTGTTGGTGGGGTCTGTGGCGACGAAGCCGGCGGTGTCGGTTATGGTTGTGCTGGGTTGTCAGTATTTACTTGGTATATAGAGATACGGTGGCTTACTTGGAGAAGCTGTAGATGATGGTGGCGTCGGCCTGTTCGACATCGGGGCAGTTGTCCACCGAACAGCTCACCTTGGTGCCTGGTTCTGCGGTGTATTCCTCCTCGCAGTATGTGGCAGCGGCATACTGGACCCAGAATTCGAACTGCGAGAGCTCACTGGTTGAGATGGTGTCTGGTGGATGTCAGGAATGTACGCCAACGCAAGGGGTGCCAATAATTGCATACCTCGAGGCTGGAGAGGGCTGGGAGCAGCATGGCTGAGTGCAGCCGCAGCTAGGGTAAGAATAGAGAAGCGCATTCTGGCTCAGAAACTTGATTGCTGTCCTGGCAGTTCCAATGCCGGGCCTGGCTCTTTTATATCCAGCTCTCGGCCCGCTGCTTGCGTCCATGGCGCATCAATGTCGAAAACAGACATTCTGCACGTGCGACGCCAACCGGCCAACCGAGGTTTTTGGGAAAAGAAAAGCTTGACTCTGCATATTAAAAACTAAGCACTGAGCTGAGGTTCGTGTGGACCTGGCCCCGTTGTGTCGGGCTGGCCGATTGAGCCCCAGGATTCCAGCTGGCTGGGTGGTTAAAGCTTGGTCCACCTGGTTTTAGACTAGTCCTGTCAGCAGGAACTAGTATAAGAACTAGTATAATTTAGCCGTCTTTCTTTCTTTCTTTCTTTTTACCAGTCTGTGATGACTGATGGTGGTATCGGTTTGGGTGTATCATGCCCTACGCCGTACTCACCCTATCATCTAACCCGTAAAGTTGTAAGTTTGTAAATTTCTTTCTTGGACTGAATTCTTCATCTTGAACGGCTAATTAATCAGTCGGAGTCGGAGTATCTGTCGAGCGTGTGGGGATATGGAGCTCGCTGGAGAAGAGGCGAAGGAAATTTAGCTCTGAGTGGTGAGCCCTAGATGGGATCTCAGCCATGTGGGCTCGGTGGAGTCCAAACACTCAACTTCACATGCTCGCAGTTGAAGCCGTGACCGAGATTGAGGCTGCTGGCATGGGCATTCTCGGGCATCTTTTGTTTGGTTGTCTTTATTTATTTTCGTTTTCCTTGCTCGATAGCAGGGCAGGAAGATGGCGGGGAAGATGCTATCTGCATTAGATAACATACCACCCCGTACCAAAGGTTATATCTGTTTATATCAAGCTCGAAAGAAGCGTATTGCTGTGATACACTCCGTAATCAGATCCCATTACCTGTAGTCACTCTTTCAGAAACATGCCCAAGTCATGCGAATCTTGGAACCGAACGGTCAATTGGGGTTACGGCGGTGATGTGCACAACTGTATCCGTATATGTCCCGCATACTACCGGATCCATTTTTACCTGCATTATTCCAGCCACTTATTATTCAGTTATTCATGCCTTGGAATGAAGCTATTGGAATAGCTTCATAGTGCATAGATCACGTGAGCTAGCCCGGTTCCGTGACGTCATCCAGGAACGGGCGATCCCAGATTCTGATTTTTATTCCTCAAGCTTCAATACCTTGTATCAACGATAAAATGCCCCAGAAACTGTTCATCCTCATCTACAAAGGGGACCCCCTCGACTACTCCGAATACCGCCACACCGCCCTCTACTTCCACTTCCCCTCCTCCCGCAGCATCATGCACATCGTGGGCTGCCCCGGCCTCTTCCGCTACGTCAACAACATCGACACCGACCCCTCCGTCATGGGCAGTCTCGCCAAGGTCATCCCCGTCACCGAGATCCCCACAGACATCGGCGAGGAATCCATATCCCAGACCGTTGCGCGCACCCCGATCCGCAACGGGCGCCTGGATCTGGATTGGAACTGCCAGAACTGGGTCGGCGATGCGCTGGCGAGACTGGTTGAGCGCGGGTGGATTTCGGCGGACCAGCGCGGTGTGGCGATTGATAAGATGGCAGATGCTTGTTTGGAGGCGGGGGATGATTGACTCCCCCTTTTTGTGCATTGTTATTGATATTGATATTAGCGTGGTTCTGTATCATACTACGATTCCCGGCTTTTGCCAGTTTGATGATTGGAATGAATGACATCTGAGATACCCAGCTGATTTGACTTGAGTATTGGACTCGCCGTGGTGTTACGACTATGATATTATCCCTGGAAGGACGTCAAAACAAGCTAGTGCCCTCTTAAAATAACCCAGGCTCGGCGGGTATGAGCATTCTTTGGCGTTCCACCTCCACCGCGGAGAAGCTGAAGCCTAAATGGACTTGGCTTTTGCATTTCTATTCTTGCTTAGGTTGCTTCTTGGAAGGCTCAAGTATACAGTGACCCAGCATAGCCTAAGCCACTAATAATCCAGGTGCAGATGCCCTACGCTCACAGTAGCAAAGGCCTGGTCAGGAATTGGCACTTATTATTTGGAATTATTTGTGGCGATAGCTAGCTAGCCACCAGCTATGCACGGTTTTTCATCCGTCGCAGTATATATTTTGTGCAGCGTACTGTGCATATTTAAACAAGGTAAACCAGAACTAAGACCCCAGAACTGTCGGCTATGGAGCATTGATTCAGGTATGTCAGCAAAACCAGCAGCCTCGATCGGAAATATTTGAACCAGAAAAGAATTTGATCGTGGTTTGAACGTGATACCGCGATGCGAGGAACTTGTCGGATATACGGGAATCCCTCGGAGTTGAACCAGGGAATCGCTCTCGGAGTTGCTGTTTAGGGTTAATAGTGGGACGGTGCGGATATACGGGACAAGCACTCGAGACAGCCCCTTATCAATCAGTGAGCCATAACGGTCAATCTGACAATCCTGCATAGGATCAGCCCTCTATTGGCCAAGCTTTCTGCATCGGATGTCAGATTCATACCTCGACCGACTCGGATTCTGAAATCCGTTCCAGCTTGGCCACATTTCTACAAGTCAAACGCGAGACTGTACCACTGAACATAGTCACGTCATTCGCTTCTCAGCGCCGTTTTAACTGTGGACCCGGCCTCGAAATATTTTCTTCAACACTGTTTCGCCCCTGAACTCCTGTATCAACTGTGTGTCAGGTTTAGTTAAATATCAGTCAGTCCCCCGGACTTCACCATCCTGGTAACCAGCGAGTCGCCATGGATGAGGAAGAAGGGAAGAACGAGCTGCAGCCGGTCAAGACGAACCAGTCCATCGCGGACTCGTTCTCGGTGCCGCGCGAAATCGTTTTCGTTATTATAACATGCATGTCGCAGTTCATCACCCAGGCCAATGTCGGTATCTGCCTGTCACCGCTGGACATCGTCGGTGCGCATTTCGGCCTCAGCAATGGGCCTGAACTGGCCTGGTTCCTGGCTGGATATTCCTTGACTGTCGGAACCTTCATCCTTGTATTTGGCCGCTGCGGGGACCTCTTCGGGTACCGCCGCATGTTTGTTATCGGGTTCCTGTGGCTGTCGCTTTGGTCGCTGGTTGCGGGTCTTAGCGTATACTCGAACCATATCCTGTTCATCTTCGCGCGGGTGTTGCAAGGCTTAGGGCCTGCGATGTTACTGCCGAATGGGCTGGCCATTCTCGGCGCGACGTACGCTCCAGGGAGGAAGAAGGATATGATCTTTGCATTGTTCGGCGCGACGGCACCTAATGGTGCGATTATCGGGGCGGTATTCGCATCGATCTTCTCCGAGTTTGCCTGGTGGCCTTGGACGTACTGGTCTATGGCGATTGTCTCCGTGGTCTGCGCGGGCATTGGATACCTTGTCATCGAGCCCATCCGACATTCTAGGCCAACCGATAACATCTTTGTGAGCCTCGATATCCCCGGCGCGTTCACTGGCATCACGGGCCTCGTCCTGGTGAACATTGCCTGGAACCAAGCGCCCGCCGTCACCTGGGCAGAGCCCTACGTGATTGTCCTCCTCATCCTGGGCGCCCTCTTCATAGCCGCATTCTTCGTCGTCGAATTCAAATACGCAAAGCACCCGCTCATCCCATTCCACGCCTTCTCGACAGACGTCTCCTACGTGCTCGCCTGCGTCGCAACAGGCTGGGGCTGCTTCGGAACCTGGATCTTTTACAGCTGGCGCTTCCTCCTCGACACCCGCGGCATATCCCCCCTGCTTGCCTCCGCCCAGTTCTCCCCACCCTGCATCTCAGGCCTTGTCGCCTCTTGCGTCACGGGCATTCTCATGTCGCGTATCCGCCCAGCCTTGATCATGTGCATGTCCCTGACGGCATTCACCCTCGGCACCATCCTCATCACCATCGCCCCCGTCCACCAGACATACTGGGCGCTGACATTCGTCTCCCTCGTCATCATCCCCTGGGGCATGGACATGTCCTTCCCCGCCGCAACACTCATGCTCTCGAACGCCGTGAAGCGCGAGCACCAGGGCCTCGCCGCCTCCCTTGTCACCACCGTCGTCAACTACAGTATCAGCCTGAGTCTCGGCTTTGCCGGCACAGTCGAGAGTCAGATTGTCCAGGGTGATTCGCCTGAGGAGAGGCTGCGCGGGTATCGCTCCGCGCTGTATTTTGCGATTGGTCTTGGTGGACTGGGGCTTGGCATTAGCGTGCTTTATACTGCGAGGAGTTATATGAAGAGTCCGCGGTCGAGTTCAAGTTCGGGTTCAAGTTCGAGTTCGAAGACGGCGGCGTAGGTCGTCGTTGGTGGGTGTATAAATATTACTTCCATAGACTTAGAAAGAAATAGAAGCTCTGTTTATTCTTCGAAGGGAAATAATTAACATTAATAGTGGAGCAAATTGATGGCAGAGGTGACTGGGACGAGTGAAGTGAAGTCAAGTGAAGTGGCTGCCTTGTTGTGTTGTGTCTCTCTCCTCACCATCTTGTCCCTCATCCTATCTTCTTTATCTCACTTCCTCGTTTTCTCTTACTCCTTCTGTCCTTCATTTCGCTTGTTCGCCTACTTACGTCTTATGCAGCACCAGTCTAGTTATATGTCTTAGCTTATCCAAGCGGATTAACGAGTTGAAATGGCTCAGCATAATGCAGAATCTGCGGTGCCTTGACTTTAGCAATGACAGTTTTAACAGCCCATCGGGGCGCCCTCCAGTACAGACCGAGATATTCAGGGAGTTGCAGCAAGCTAGAAAGTTGGAAAGACTGAGGCTAGAAGCAGTTGGTATAGTCAAAACCAAATCTCTGGAACTTATCCCTTTAACGGCCCCGTTGCGCGTGTTGGAGATCACCTTTACTACATTCCGGGCAGTTGATCTATTCGCAATCGGCAACTTCGTGGGTACATTTGAGAGCCCTGAGGCTGATCAAGGTGTGGATCAGTGTTGGGTATGGGAAGACGTCTTTAATGTCATCCTGTCCTCGCCCTCGCTCACCAAATTGTATATTTGCAACGGCTGGGGATACCACCCTAAGCAGAGGACTGGCGTTGCAGACAAGCCGTATGATCGAGATATTATTGCATACAATATATGCATGGACCAAGTGTATCGGAATAGGGAGCACCTCGGGCGTCGAGGACGCGCTGAAAATGATGATAACTACCCCCAGATTGACCACCAGGATCGCTGCGTGTCTTTCAAATCGGCGGAGAGTATGTGCATAGCACAGGGAGTGCATTACGGCGTGTTCCCGCGGAGATTCAATCAGTCCCTTTCATTCAAGTCAATGGACAGAGTTGCTGAGTGCTTTTGTGGGGATTGACGAAGGTGTAGTCATTTGTCACTCGAGCTCTCTTAAAGCATTTATCCAAGTACTTGGAGTTCTAGCTTGTAGGAACCAAGATAGCTCTCTGGCGAGAAGATATATCATTAGTTGGAACATCTCTATAGTAAAATACGTAGCGAGTCACCATGTTATGGTTTCCTCCCACCAGAGTTGCGAAGAATGTTTGAGCATATTTTCATGCCTAGCCGTCGCATATAATCTGCGTACGGAAGGGAAAAGTGTACTTGAATTTCGAATATTTGATAGCTGAAGTAGAGCAGTAGCCAGATACAGAAAGGAAAAGTTTGTCACTGTGATAAGTAGGTAGTTACAAAAGCTAGTGCACATAAGAAAAGGATATAGACATAGTATAATAGACAGAACAGATATCTAAAACATAGGCCGGGGCTTGTCGCTTCAACCACATGCACACTTCAACATGTCATTTTTCTCTTGCTGATCAACTGGGAAGCAGTCTGTGTAACGCGCACAGCCACCATCAGGCTCACCAGTATTAGTGGTTGCTTGTGCAAAATTGTCACGCAGAGGGTCCGAATGGTATGACCAGCACCAGCTGCCGGCGCCGGAGTCACAGGCATGCCAGCATCGGTTGTTCTTCTTGTTATAGCCCCAACGCTCGGTCAGGAAAGAACATGTGCCGTCACGCTTTTCAAGAGGGTTGACATCAGCTGCCGGGGAGCTGGCCGGGGAGCTGGCAACAAGGAGTGCCTGCGAAATAGCGAGGAGAACACCGAGGGAGAGCTTCATTTTTGCTAGATATAGAATGAGTACCGAATACCGGACCATGGCTATGGTTTGTCTTACCAATCTGATAGAATCACGTTCAGGGGAAGAGACTTGGCCCTGGAGAGAGAGGAGGGTAATCGAGAAATGTGCCCCGGCTAGGATACTTGATTTATTTATACTGGCTTTACGGCCAACTTGCTATCAGCCGCCCTTAAGGTGGAAGAGGGCAGCTGATCTGTTGATATTTGATGGCCCCCAATGTAAGCCACTTTCCTCCATGCCTCTGATATTGGTCAGTTAGGGCTTCCTCTCCACTTGTCTCCTGAATATACCCCCTAATTACACGGGACGGCGATCTGGCGCTTTTGCAGACATACTGTCTCCCCATGTGCATTGTCAGAGCTCATGTCTGGGCCGGGGACGAGAAATGAACATGACTCTCTAGGGCCATAAGCCACATTGATGATCGACAAGCGTTTATTAGAAAGGCCCCATGAATCCCGTTATATCCATCCGACATCGTGATTTCCGAGCCGCACAAGAACTACCAAATACCAGTGGCACCGCAGACTCAGCTGGAGATGATAATGTTCCCTCCACATGGATACAGCCTTATTTGACAGTCTCCTGCTTCGTACACGACGTTGTTTTCACTTTAACGGGGTGAAAGCAGTATGTTCAGGAACAGGACCAAAGGAACAGCAAATGCAGGAACAGTGCTAAACATGCCAGGCCGATCACCAAGACCCTTCAGAGTGGGCTAGGTACAGCCTCACTCGGCCCACTGCCGTATATTTTGGCTGACATCTGCAAGGGCAGGAGGGCGATCTTTTGGCCCGAGGGCAGGGACGGGAATAGGATTCATCGTCCCACTGTTCTATCCTCGTGCCTTTTTTGAGGCGGTTGAGTGATTTGATTATCTGGTCCGTGAATGCCGGCGAGTAAGGCATACGGAGTACACCGTTACAATAACATTCAGTGGTGTAGATCACTCGCAGTGGGAAAGTAGCTGCGAGTGCGTACCCTGGCTTATACCACCGGACAGGCCGGTCCCACGCCTATGAGTATGTGACCTGTGGACGTCTACAAGGTTGAATTCTGATGGTGATACTGTGGAGAAGTCTAACTGTTCTTTGGGGGCCGATACTTAGGGTTCCAGATTGGCCCTCACCTGTAAGCCACGGGGGTGGTGGAGCGAGGACCAACAAGTTAGACTGTCATTATTGGCGATGAGTTCCGACCCTGGGATATCTTAATCTTATCATCTATGCATGGCCAAGGGCAATATCATGATGCTGGCTAAGCCGTTGCTTGCTTTGTTATTGTGATTTTGCAACGAGACGGTCCCACACTGCCTGCTGCTGTGTATAAAGAGCGATGCAAGGCCCCCCTGGGTTGAAGCAAACCATATCCAACTTTATACTATCCTTCATTGGCCAACCTCTAACATTCCTTTCACTCTTTTTCTGGAATAGTCTACGGCCGGCACCATGCGCATTGCTCTTTGGGCACCAGCCCTAGGTGAGTTCTCCTATCATCCGTGTTGCAACGACTGTCGTTAACATTGCTCTATAACAGCCTCTACTGCCGCTGCCTTGGCTGGCCGTTCGGTGAGCAGCACTACCGTTATTCCAACCGCAACCCCTATTTCTTCGAGTACTCCCGGGCCCATAAGCAGTGATGCCTTTATCTCTTCTCAGTGTACGCATCTATAACAACACCTGTTGTCGGCCTCTGAGAACTAACTGCATGACCACAGTCGAGCAAGGGTCCATGAAGCGCGTCTGCCAAAACGAGGGTGATCCAGCGGCAGATTGGGAGGAGTTCAGGATGGGCGAGTTTCTGAACCAGACGTGGGTAGCCCTGCCGGACTCACCGTCGTGAATCATTATGGTATAGTAGCTGACCGAGCTGGTGGAAACACCACAGCTCATCTCAGTGGTGCAGCAACCCCGAGTTGTTCAGCAGCAGCAAATACGACATCTCCTGGCCCAGGAAACTCTCCAGCTTGCTGCCTCAAAATGAAAGATGGCAATGCTCAGCGTATGTGTGACCGCCATTGAAGCTTCCATGCTGACAGCCTGGTATAGGACGGGCTCGTGCGACATCCCAAAGAACGTCACCTGGTGCGACGACAACCGGAACGCCCAAGTCCAGTTCGCCCTCTACTCTGTGCTAAACTTTCACGATTGGATGGCAATCCTGCGCAGCGCGATCCAGGGCGCGGGGGATCATTTTCAATATGTCCAGACCGACCTCGTCACCACATTCACCACGCACGATGTCTCCAACTCCAATCCCGCAGCTGAGGGACTGTCGATCGGTGCTGCGGTCATGGGTGTTGTTGGTGCTCTCGGTGGTGCCGCGGGACCTGCTGGACCAGCTATTCAGGGTGCTGCTGGTGTTGTCGGTGCAGGGTTAGGTCTGGGGTCTTCCATAGCAGCCCTTGACACACCTAACCCGGCTGAGGTGTATGTATACCCTAGATTAGCTGGCCTGTCTGTGCTGATACCGTATATAAAGACTTCAAAAGGAAATGGACACGCTCGGCGACATGGGCGAGCTCTTCGGCAACGGCTTCAAGAAGGCCAAAGATTATTATAGGGATCTCACTGCCAGAGTCGTTCAGGATATCCCGGACGAAGACTGCGAGAGTTATGTTGACTCTCCCGAAAGTGGTCCAGCCATACTCAGCAGCGGAATCTATTCAGGCGATATCTCGTACAGCAGCGAGAAGCAGGCCAGAGATCTTGCCATGGTGCTTACGGACACTGCGGCTGTGGGTTTTCTCTGGAAGACAGAGGAGATCTACATTGCAAAGCTGACCAAGCAAATTGATGGCATGGACGCGTGCGATGCCTACCATGATTTTGAGGATCTTTGGGGAGCGTGTGACGACTCAACGGGCACGCTCTATCTCTTTGTCCCGTGGAAGTATACCAGCATAAGGGATGAATGGGACCCGGTCCCGGGTATCGAGGACGTTGCAGACTTCAGATATGACCCGGAGGAGTCTCTGGACGAAGAAACCTATCATGTCGATTTGCTGAGCATGGCGAAAGCTGCTGAAATCAACCAGCAGACCAATGGATACAACAGCTCCGGGTCTCCCGGTACCATGATGGACAGTTTGCAGCGTGAGGACGGTGGCATTGAAAATGCTCTGCCCATCAACCTTCCAGTCTGCTACCTCGATAACATCATCGACCACTACCTCGAGAAGAACGAGGACAGTAAGAAGGAAGTATGTTTTCCTCTCCACGGCATCTTGCCTTGCAAGCACCGTTACTGACTGTTCCCCTCCACAGACCGTTGTCAAGGATGCACTCAGCCGTGGCTGTGCATCGATTCCTAACAATATCAAGCACTGGCCGTACAAGTACAAGGGCGACCCCAAGGAGCCAGCAACGTACTTCAACCAAAACCCGGAAGTCGATGACGCGAAGGACTCTATTGTGATAGATGGCCGGGGCTATGTGATCTACCCTAATCTAGATGAAGACTGGTGGGTGTACTGGGATTAGCTGTCCCGAATGGAATGCCTGGGCTTTCTCAGACATGGCCGTGAAATCCAGTAAGGTCCTTAATCGTGGCTGGGGGGCCCTAGGATGTATGTGTGTTTTACTTTTGTCTACTCGGTGCGATGAACTGATTCCACATCCTACACCATGTTTCTATTATACAATTCTTCATTTATAATTCAGGGAAATACACAGTATAGTAAATTTACCTTCTGCTCCATCAACAGCAACCTATCCGACTCGAGTAAACTTCAACCCAATGGTATCTGCTGGCGCAATCGCGCATTCGATGGCATCATTGCAGTTGGAGTAGACGTGGTGGTGCTATCAACGCCAGGATGGCGACATCCCTGACACTGCTATTTAGCCGGTGATAACGGTTCCTACAGAAAAGAATTTATTCAAGTCAAGCTTTTTGTACGACCGATGCTCCCTCTTGGTATTGGTATATATAATCTAGCATGTCTGACACTACCGGTAAACCGACGCGGAAATGGTACGACTGGTTCTCCCCGGACGATACACCGGAGGAGAGGAAGCTTGTGCTAAAGCTCGATCTTCTGATTGTTCCGTATGCATTCATAGTGTATTGGGTCAAGTACATTGACCAAGGAAATATCAGTACGTTTAACCAATGAACCCTTCAACGACTGACCGTTAACGGGTATAGATAATGCCTATGTATCCGGGATGGCAGACGAACTGGGCTTCCACGGGAATGAACTGGTGCATTTCCAGACAATATTCACAGTTGGAAATGTTGTCGCTCTCTTACCGTTTATGTATCTTTTCCCTCGCGTGCCGATGCACTACCTTGTGCCGGCTCTTGACCTGCTCTGGGGGATATTCACCTTGCTGCAGTACAGGGCGACCAGCTATGCAGAGATTATGGCATACAGGTTCATGGTCTCAATCTTTGAGGTTAGTCTCAGGCATGTAAAAGACGATCTAATAACTTACAACAAATAGGCATCATACTTCCCTGGCGTCCACTTCGTTCTCGGCTCGTGGTATAAAAGCAACGAAATCGGCCGACGAGGCGGCGCATTATATGTCGGCCTGACGCTGGGCTATTTAACAGCCAGCCTTCTCCAAAGCGCCACGCTAGATAATCTCGATGGAGTCAATGGGCTCCCAGGCTGGCGCTGGCTCTTCATCATCAACGCTATCATCACTCTGCCTCTTGCGCTAATAGGCTGCTTCATCTACCCCGGCACAATTGACAAGCCAAACAGACTGGTCGTCTCAGAGAAAGACCTTCAGCTGGCGCGTCGAAGACTGGAAAAGCAAGGCGCCAAGGTGGAAAGTGCCCCGTTCTCGTGGAAGCTCGCGAAGAAAATCGCTTTCACGAAGAGATTCTGGCTCGTGCTTCTTTGGGATAGCCTCTTCTTTAACTCAAGCGCCAATACGGCATCGTTTCTGCTCTGGCTACAAAGTCTGGGCCGGTACACTGCATCCAGGGAGAACCAGCTCAACTCGATAAGCCCAGCGTTGGGAATATTCTTCATTCTCTTCATAAATTTTAGTACGGACTTATTCCTCGAGCGGGCATGGGCTATTACACTCGCTTCGGCATTTAACTTTACGAGCCTGGTAATCCTGGCAATCTGGGACGTCCCCGAAGGAGCGAAATGGTTTGCCTACAGTGTGCATTACTCGTCTGTTGCTGTCTCGTCTGTGCTGTATGGATGGGTGAATGTGATCTACCGGGACAATATCGAAGAGCGCGCAGTGGTCCTGGTTCTGATTACTGCGATTTCCACAATGTGGACTTGCTGGATTCCGCTGTTCACGTATCCAACTGTCGAGGGACCAAGGTTCGAGCATGGGTATGTCTTCTCGGCGGTGATTACGGCTTTACTTGTTGGCATGACGTTTGTGATTCGTTATGTTTATGGGCCGAATGGGTGAGTGTCTTTTTTTTTGGTTAATGGAGTATTTGCTGACAGTACACAGTGAACGGGATAGGTCCCTTGTCAAATGGTCGAGGCCGTTTGAGGAGGTTCCAAATGACGAAGCAGAGCATGGCCATGGTACAAGGGACGGGGTTAAGGGAGCGCATGTCGCGGTCACTGCGACTTCGTCATAGTATCTTAGAGACCAGATGGATTTGTTACATTTGGGTTGTAGATCCACTTATTAGACATCTGTAACTAAGGCCTGATGCATATTCCGCTGCTGCTGAACTAAAAGGTTTATCATACGAGGTGAAAGTATAAGATAGAGTTCGAAATGATGCTCGGAACCTGAAGTCCTGTGACGACAAGGTGCCTTATGATGGTACATAAGATGTAGAACTCTCTCCCAGATACTTCAATACTTCTCTCACCATCTCTACACAGAGCCAACTCGTTCAGTTCCTACAGAATATCCCGTCTACTACTTCTCCGCCATACGCTTTCAATTCTCTCAGCACTCCCGTGATTTTGGTGCAGGGTCTCAGAAGAAGCAAAATGCCAGAGAAAGCCTGGATGGAAGAGATAGTCCCGGGACTGTTCCTCGGAAACATCGCATCATCGTACAACAAGGAGTTGCTGCAGAATAACAAAATCACCGCCATCGTTTCTCTTACCAGCAGATATCTGCTGTTCTGGGATACTGCCACTAAAGACGCTGGTATTACACCTGAAAGACACATGTGGGCTCAAGTCCAGGACGCCAAGTGGGAGGATCTCCTTTCTCTCATGAAAGATATTTGTGACTTTATCGACTCGGTAGCTCCACCGCAACTTTCGTCTCTAACTGCCTTGCCTGTTCCTGTTCCCCTAGCCGAGGGGGTTGTCGAGGAAGTAGCCGGCAGCAGCGAGCCCATAATACCACCTCCGCACGCGGTATTGATACACTGTGTCTGTGGAGTATCGCGTTCGTCGACGATAATCGCCGCATATCTCATGCGCAAACTACAAATGGAGCGGGACGCTGTACTTCAATTTGTGAAATCAAGGAAAGGTCACATCCGCCCAAACTCGGGATTTTTCTCGCAGCTGAAGCTCTGGCATGAATCTAAATATACAGGTTGGGAAAATAAAGGTAGGAGTCTAGTTATTTGGTCTTGCTTGGTACCTGACTGATACATTTTGCAGAGTCCCCCTTTAGGGTTTTTGAGGGTGATGCCGTCCCTAGCCGCCTAGGCATCGGCTTGGAACCATATGGAATGTTGGAAATAGGAAGTGGGGTTGGAATTTGTTTCCAAAGGCCAAAATCATCCCCTAGGGAGCAAAGTTGAACATGCATGTCGTGCGATAACTGGATGGCGGGGCTTCTCACTTCTATGTATACCGGGCTGCAATGAAAATGACTTGAAGTACGCAACCAGGAATTAACGTAATTGTAGAGATTTCTCGAACCCACTTCCGTCATGGAACAGCATACAAGCTGAGCGCTACGTAGTTGGTGAGTCACTATCTGGTGGTCAGAGGAGAAAGCCCGATGTTTAAGTTCGCGGGTGCCCAGGGGCAAACCATATACTTTAGCTGTCCGTGGAACGTGAAGATTGGGTCAGGCCAGGCCCTTATCCCTCGACAGCGGGCTCTCGTTGGCTGGTAGCACTCTGCAAAATAGTATCTGTGTACGTTCACCCGGACTGCCGAATGCTGGTCTGATCATTTCCCTACTAGGAAGTTATTTTTGGTGGGGCATTTGGCTATATCTGATTTGCTCGAAAAATACATACTGAATTTCCATTGGATAAAAATATAAGGCACGGTCCACAACCCGAGACCTGCCCCACTTTCTTAAACGGACTCGCCAGCGAAATATACTACGCACTAGAATCTAAGCCTGGGAAGCATTCCAACATATGATTCTTTAGAGAGCTAAGTATCAAACATCCATGGTTCAAGTCAGCCAACTATTCCCACTCCCGCATAAGAGTATTCGCCTCAATCTCCTTATCAAAATCCACCAAATGCGTCGAATGACACCAAGGCTTAATCGCCTCCTCCTTGCGAATCGTCGTCGCGAACTTCGAGCACCATTTCATCCGCGGATACGCCTCATTGATCTCCTTCCTCGTAGAGCCATGGACCAACTCCCCGAAATCCTTCACATGCGGATGTACCCCCGTGTTATCATAAATCGTCGCAAGCTGGATAAGCTGGCCGATGTACGTAATCGTGCCGTCAACGCCGAGGTCTTCATGGCGGATAATCGCCTCGGACGCGGCTTCGGCCTGGTCAGTTGTTGCGCCGAATTCTTTCAGTACATGCAGGGCTTTGATACCGCCGTATATATCGAAGGACATGCGGGTTGCAGTGAGGTTCTCTTCGGCAGTGCCAAGGTCATGCAGGAGGCAGGTGAGTGCCCAGGTAACTGGGTTCAGGGCCTTGGCTTGCTCGGGGAATTGTTGCTTCGTTATGGCCATTCCGTAGAAGTAGACGCGCATGGAGTGGTTGAAGGTCTCGGCGTGGAGCTTTTCTTGGGCGTATTTCAGGGTCATTGCGACTACGGGGTCGTCGATTGGGAATGCGATATCGCTGAGAGGGAGCGCAGTGGGTTTGTTGATGTATGGTGAGGAGCCGAAGATTAGCCCGGCATTAGCGGGCATGGCTGTCCAGCCATTGATTGCGGACTCGTCGTGGCACATGTTATAGATTGAACGTAAGGGAAATTAGAAATGTTGGTAGTTTTAGAACTGTTGTCAATTTCGAGACGCAGTAGAATCAGAGGAGAAATGAAGGTTTAAATAGCTATTTCGGACGCATTGCCACATGAATAATATACCTGAAAGAGCTCTTCTCGTCGTGTCTCGCGACGTCATGGTGTAGCTAAGCCTTGTCTGTATTAGGAAGTTGGGATATGTGGGGCGAAGGGCGTCAATGCTGTGCAGCCTGCACGGACCAGATATTCGCTGGATTGGGGAGTTCTATTATGTGGAGGCGGCGTGTCAGAGTGGTGATTTATAAGCCTGCCTACTATAGGAAGTTATCTCAGGTGGCCATTTTAAGACACGTAGAGCGGGTGACTATTATTTTTATTCGAGTCTTTCAAGGGACGGGAAAACGGCCTGTTCCCACTGATATGTGCTAAATAGTTGGAAATTATGTCAATGATGCAATAATAAGTAGACGCTAATGGCTGCGAATCCATATACTAAATGAGAAGCCAGCCACGGTCTATCCGGTATAAATCGGGACCACCATACTTCAGACTTCCAGATGATGCTTTCTCCCTCCACCGGTCTTGTAATATTTTTGAAGCATTGATAATATTCAAACAACTTGTCAAATCCCACAGCAGTTTCATGGACTGAAGGACGACGTTTTGCTGGGCCTCTGTGTGGCATTCGAGACCAGCAATGAAGGTTGGCCACAAGAGACATTTAAACAGCGTCGTATCGCTTTGGAGGTCGTCAATAAGAGCAAGCAATTGGACAACTAAGCACTCATTGGCAGAAAGCGTCTCTTTCAAGGCACCGAGGGCCCGCCTTCCATACAACAAAGCGGCTGTTTTGTATGCCAGTGACAAAGTAGAGAGCTTTTGAACGTCGACCGTAGAATGGCTGGATCTCTGGAAGTCTGATGCCCATTCAGCACAGTCGAAATTCTCAGTAAGCTCCAGCATGGCCACGGTATCTCGTATATCTGCATCAGAAGCCATCTCCCCATGTCTTCTTAATTCTGCAATCAAGTCTCGTTGATTAGAAAAGAAGTGGATGGCCTTCAAGATAAACTCAGGACATCCGAGAAAGCTCCTAACAACGGACTCTGGATGCCAATTTCCGTCACCACTGATAGAAAATTCAGATCTCGATTTCGGGCCGGAGAGCGTCGCTCCAAATGTTGCAATCCTGTCACAGTTAGTGTTGAAAGAGTATCTAATGACCAGGACGAGATAACATACAACGAAAACTGTCGATCGATAAACCGTCTCACCTCCTGGGCCGTCTCCCCAGAATCTTCGCTTTGACTACCGGTATTCAGAGACTGGTAGAGATTAACCAGGCCCTTTGCGCCTTGAAGATGATAGTCCCAGCCGTCAATTCCGGACTCAAGAAGGTCGAGGAAGATAAGAAGCAAAATAGTTGCCATCGTAGCGTCCTTCTTTCCCAGCTCCGGATGTGTCAATCGCCCTGACAGCGCCCCTATAGTTTGGCGTTTAAAGTGGAGGGCATCCATATTTGCATGTATATACCGAGGCGCTACAATCGCATTGGTCTGGTCAAACGACTGCCCAGAGTTGGCAAAGTGTCGTGCGGCGAGAGCGACTATGCATTGCTGCAGAGTTGAATCATCCAAGGCGTAGGACAGCAGATGGCGAAACGGATTGCTCTCGCTGTCGTAGAGAATGAACAGTTTGCAGATGCGGGAGTTATCTTGGCCTGATTAGCATCGTGACAAAGATATCTATATACCCAATCTCACAATAATCCATGTAATACCGCGACGCCCGGTCTAGGTTGGAGATACGCGGGTCCTGTAATGCGAAAACAGGCATCTCATTCTCCACTGCTAAACATTTTACTCCAGAAGCCACAATCCGCTTCTGCGTCCGTTCTAACTGCGTTTGCGATTTCGATATACTGTCAGCGTTGGAATCTTCATACAAACGCCCCCGCATCTTCCCCCGGATCGCCACGCCTTTGACCCATCGGAGTGGCCGCTTGTCGAAGCATTCCAGGCCGGCTTTCTCGCACTTGGCGCAGGGCGATCGGGACTGGTCACATTGGATAGTCCGGCTGCGACATGTCCAGCACGCTTTGTTCATTTCGTGGTGGAAGGATGAGTGAGTGGCGAAAGAGATAATGAGTCAGGAGCATAAGATATAGGCCCACGTGACATGCATTACATCCACTGTATATATTACATGTTAATGGGATAAAGTGAAAGGTTATTGCTAGCTAGAAATACTACAATCTGATTGGTATAGCTTGTATAATAGGCATAGTGCAAGCTTATCTATGCAGCGATCACGAATGGCAGGCGATGGTGTCATCTCACGCCATCAGCCCCCGCACGTTCACATAAAACCCCAGCATCTCCATTTATCGCAGGCCCCTTTTCGACCTCAGCAAGCCAAACTGCTGTCGTATACCGGAAAACAATGCCTTCAATATCAAACCCACGCCGAGCAGCCGCATTGTCGGCCCTCGCGGACCTCAAACTGCCAAAAGACCTGCACATTTCCCCGGACGGCTCCAAAGTCGTATATGCGCTTGAGAGCTTCTCGCGCAAAGAGAGGGCTGCTACATCGTCGCTTTGGATTGCCGATGTTGGTGTGAACCATTCCGCTCGTCAGATTACGTCGGGGCTCTTCAGGGATGAACAACCGAGGTGGTCGCCTGATGGTCGGTATATTGCGTTCTTGTCGGATAGGGCTGGACGGGGGAAAGGAGGTGTGATTTACCTGCTGGCGCTTGGAGGGTTTGGCGAGGCATATCCGGTTGCTGAGGGTGTTCGGGGGGTCAAGGAGTTTGAGTGGAGTCGTGATGGGAGGTTCATTGCTTTTGCGAGTACGGATGGACATGCAGATGGTGATGCAGGAGAGGAAGACACAGACGAGCCAGTGGTCTTTGGAGGACAGGAAGAAGAGAGCAACAGTCAGCGTCTGCGCATTGTTGACGTTGAGAGAAGGAGTGTCCGCACATTGACTCCAGCAGACCACAACGTGGACTTGTTCTCGTGGAGTCCGACATCTCCAGAAATCGCATACACCATATCAGACGCAGTCTCCGAGTCGCAATTCAGCAGTAGCCGAATTGACATTGTCTCTGCCGACAGTGGCTCAAGAAGAACGTTCATCAAGACAAAAGGCCCTGTCACATCCCTGGTCTGGACTGAACGAGACAAACTACATTTCATCGCTCGCCCCACGCCTCCCTACACCCAGCCTTCTGTGTACGAGGCACGCATCAAGTCAAAGCAGTATGGCAGCTACTTTGGCTGGGACGGAGAAGCCACTTCTCTGCACCGCGCTCGAGACTCGGTCGTCGCGCGCATACAAAACCCTAATAACGAAGCCGCGCACGCACTCGGGGTCGAGAGCACCTCCTGGCCATTCCCTAGCTTCTTCAAGTCCGAATACGAAATCACATCCTTTGACGCATTCCGCAAGCCTGCCTCGGACGACTTCACGCTCGCCATCGCACGCAGCAGTCCACAGGTCGCAAACGAGGTCTGGTCTGTAACCACCAACAAGACAGGCGGCTCCAGCCTCGTCAAGCTCTCATCGCACAACTCCACCTTTGACGGATTCCGATCAAAGCGGATCTCAACGACCGGCTCAAACGGGTGGGAATGCGACGGATGGCTCTTCACCCCGAGACCAGCAGTAACGATATCCCGCCGTCTCCCGCCAACAGTGGTCCTACTTCGAAGCCATCCGACCCTCCCTTCCTTCTCCATGGGTCCTCATCTAGACGTCGCGCATCTAACATCAGCCGGATACGCTGTGCTATGCCCCAACCTCCGACGAACAAGCGGCGGAATCGGTGAACGCTACGCAGACCTAATCGCAATCCTCAAGAAAGCCGTCTCGGAGAATCTCGTCGACGAGTCCCGCGTCACTATAAGCGGGTGGTCAGACGGGGGATTCCTCACCTCGCTCGCGGTGATCCGCAACGAGTTCAGCTTCCGCGCTGCTGTTTGTGGCGGCGGCGTTGTTGATTGGGACTTTGTCAATGCGAATAGTGACCCCTTTTGGCCGGCGCCGGATATTCCCAGTCTATCTTCATCGCCGGGTAGAAGCACGCGTTCTGTCTCGACTGCTACTTCTGATGGGAAGGATGGCGTGGAGAAGCGGAAAACACCGCTCCTCATCCTCCATGGGCGCGAGGACGATCAGGTCCCTGTGTCTGGGCCTTTGGCATTCTGGCGGGAGAAGCAGCGGTGGAATGGGCCCGTCCAGATGGTGCTGTATCCCAAGGAGAAGCATGTTATTAGGGAGCGGAAGCATCTACTTGATCTATGGACGCGAGTGCTCCAGTTCTACGATAGGTATTTGGTGTAATTTAGATTCGTTAACTCGCATATTATAAAATTCACTTTAAACTTGGCGCATTCCGGAATAGTACCAACACCGGGCACATCAGTATGAGAATAACAAAAGAGATGGGACAAAAAGCCAGCAGAAACATGGACGCATTAATATCACCAGCGCACTGAAGCTTCACCTACAGTGCAACGAACCTGGTGCCGAACTGCGCTCATGCAGGGGTGGTCACTCTGATATGCCGTGATAGTACCCAAACGCTCTCTATTCAGAGATACCTGCTTCTTGAGGCGGGTAAGTGCAAGGTCATCACTAGCAGTGCTTCGGAAGGGACCAGTGAATGTATTGCAAGAGTATCCAAGGTCTTCTCCTCTAAAGAGAGTAATATTGCGAGCGCCACACAGTGAGTTGAAAACTCCCTCCCACGTCCCGCTGGTTAGCCAGACCCCATGAATGTAGAGGGCCTCCAAGGAGGATGCGAAGTTGGCGATTGTGAGTAGATTGGAAACCGGAATCATAGCCTCGTTGATATCAAACCGACGCAGGGGAATGTCCCGATGAATCTGTGTTATGCATTCGATGGAGCGTCCAAATATGCCCACTAGGCGTAGGGTTTCTAGCTTCTTTGCATATCTCAGAGCCTCCAACACCTGCTTTCCCTCTGAATGGATTGATAGCGAGCCGCCGACGAACTTAAAATGTCGCAGGGACGGCATTATACGATTCAAGCTCCTTATATGGCCAGGGGACCGACGGTATATGTTCATGCCATGGTAAAGGCAAAGTGCTTGGATGTTGTTAGGGTACATGTCTAAATCACGTCCAAGACGCTGGTCGAGTAGCCCTACTTTATCTGTATGGTCAGGAGGCTGCGGTCCAAACAGCTGATGGAGGGGCGGTGCAATAGTCTCTAGATCGACATGGAGAGATTTCAATGCAGGAAACCGGCCAAGTACAGCTGGGATGTCTCGAACGGCCTGCATTTTTGCGGCGTAGTTGGGCCAACGGGAGGAGCCCGTGCTAGATATATCGACGTGCTGCACAAACTGACGGTGTTCGCTTTTTGACAGCTGCTGGAATGAATCGGGGATATATGGATCGGCATTCCTAATTTCCAGCACAGCTGTTCTATATATCAGCCTGGTGCAGCTGTTGTAGAACCGCTTGTTGACTTTCATTAGCTGTCTCAGGGCCTGTTTTTCATCTTTGTGCAAGAAGCCATCAATAGCTTGGTATACAACCTGAGTCATTAGCGAGGACCGGAAGGCCTGACAGGGTACTCACTTCGTCGTATAACTCTGGTGGGAGGTCACCAAGACCAGTTTTCTTTTGCTCGGTCTGCGAAGCCATCTTTCAGTATTTGATTTCAGGGCCAGTGCAGCTGAGTTGAAAAGGTGGGAAGATCGAAATAAAACCGGAGACAATGTCAGAATGATTGAGACGTCGTCACTTGAGGTGGCCTGGTGAAAGGCAATTACTCACCAACTCTAGCTGTCTGTCTTGGGCTGTTCCTGGGGTGTCTGTCAGTCCATAGCTAGAAAGTAAGCTCAATATCACGAATGGGCTGAGCAGCTTGTTAGACCTATACCAGCCAGAGAATTGTAGGTTCTGTTTTGAACCATGGTTTTAGTTTTACGGACTTGGATAGGGTTCGGGGGAGGATGAACCATGTACCCCTGGTCCAGACGCGCCTCCCTGTTTAGGTTCAGGGCCAGGGGTCTGATCAATAGAAGTGTAAAATTTTGAAAATTTCAATCATGCCATAGAATCTATATCTAGTGTCAGCAGCACAGTAACAGATGCAGATAGAAAGCATGAAATGAAGAGGCTGGACGAGTTTGCATCCTGTGATTTGAACCTGGGATGCTCCCCGTTCGGGTGTAAAGCTTTTCGAGTGCGCAACAGAGGAAAAGATCGTGTCCGGATATGAAGTGGGCTATGAATAGGGTTGCGGGGGTGGTGTTGCTGCGTACAAGGATTCCAGGTCCAGATCCAGCTCTCATCTTAATTCAAATCCCAATTCCAACCCCGAGGGTGGGCATGGATCGGACGACAGCGGCGAAATGGTGCATCCAACGGTGATTGTTACAGTCGGGATGGGTGCTACGGGGCACGTAGGGCTGCTGTGTTTGAGCGTACACCGGAGGATCCGTAATTTGCGATGAACCATGGGGATGCTGGGCGTATGCATTGTCGGCTATTTCTGATCTTTGGAAACTACATGACTTTGGTCTATTAATATATTAATATACCTGACTTTGCGACCCTTTATGCGACTCATCGAACCAACTCTCAAACTAGCCTGGTGACTACCATATTGACAAGGACAGTAAATGACTGGGAAAGAGGCCGCTAATCAATGCCTCCTGCAGCACGGAGCATAACTAAATCTATCTAGGCAGATTCCGCGGAGGTAGAATCCTGCAGACATACTCATAGTCAATGACTTGCTGTAGCTGTAAATGAGACATAGGCGGAGCTCGTTCTCATGTAAAGCATTAAACGAATAAACCTGTAACAAAGTCTCTCGCATGGGAAAATTAAAACGACGAGACGGAGACACTGAGTCAGTGGGCGTTCGTCAGGAACGAGCCCATGACACCAGCGGGCATTTAGCCGACTTTTATAGTGTTTCACGTAGACGATCACCCCCGTTGAGGAGTCTGGATATGTGGGGGTGAAGAAACAGGCCACGAACAGAATCCAGCGTGGACGAACCCGGACTGGGCACCAAGTCTCAGGAACTGCAAGGCCGTTCAAGCCATGGCCCTGTCGATCTCGGGGGTGTCGCATAATTTCAGCGTATGGCGGATCCCGGAGGAGGCTGCTCGGAGCACGGACGTTTCATCTATACAGACCCTGGTCCTGTCTGCTTGGCAGCTCCTGAATCTCTTATTAAAGCGTGGAAACTCGCCAAAATCACGGCATGAGGGCCATCGGATGTTCTCGAACACCTTCAAAATGAGGAACATCCTAAAACTCGCAGCACTGGCTGCGTCCCTTACGGCCGCAGAGGCCCAGCTCAGGGTGCGTCTGCTGTCCTCGAGCGTGCGCGAACTCGCCGAGCCAGACTTCGAGACATTCGTAGTGGAAAGCGAGGCGCAAAGCTCTTCTGCTTCATTGAGTGATGTCAATTTCACTGTATCTGCGCCGGAGGGGTCGTACCTGCAGGGCGACTACTACAAGTACCAGTACACGCGTGCTGTCTCGCACTTGGGCGAGCGCGTGGTGAACCAGGGTATCACCACCGACCCGGATAATCCGGGGGCTATTACGCTGTCTATCCTAGGGCTGGAAGAGGGTGAGCACACGCTGCTTACATGGCATAATCTCTGGTCGGAACCGGAGGACTCTGCTGCCACGGTTGCCGTTTCTGCTGGGGGAGAGGAGCTGGACTCGGTATGTTGCTTATTATATAAGATATGAAACAGATGCTGATGAATGCAGGTTGAGCCGTCCGTCCGTGTAGACAATATCTGGGAATCGCAGACGTCGTACATTACCTTTTCGGTTTCATCGCCCGATGAGGCTGTCGAAATCACATACACCCCGAACGGCGGCGATGGGCTCGTCTTTCTGAACGGCTTTGAGATCGATACTCCTGCCATTGGAAACCAGGTCTCCTTTCCTACTCCTGCGAATCGCGACGAGCGTTTACAGCCTGAAGGTGATAATGTCACTGCCACCTGGAGAGCACCGACTGGTGTTGAGTCTCCTACGTACAATGTCTATCTTGGAACAGCGGAGGACGACCTAGCGGAGGCTGGTACAGGGCTGAGTGAGCCCAGTGTAACTCTATCAGGTAACTGCCATTCAATATCATATATCTACCTTACTGACAGTGGCAGACCTTAACAGTCTGGACACGTTCTACTGGCGCGTCGATGTCGTCTCCGGTGATACCACCTACACCGGACGCACGTTCATGTTCCGGCTTGCCACCCTGGCTTTCCCTGGTGCAGAGGGATACGGGTTAGTACATTGCAGTAGATACATCTAAAGCACCTAGCTAACAAACACAGTCGATTCGCACGAGGCGGCCGCGGCGGCAAAGTCGTCAAAGTAACCAGCCTGGAAGACACCGAAGACCCCGGCACATTGCGCCACGCACTAACAATCGAAACGGGTCCTCGGACAGTCATCTTCGACGTCGGCGGCGTAATCACCACGACGTCCCGCATGACCGTGAACGGGAACTACATCACACTGGCCGGTCAAACAGCGCCCGGGAAGGGCATCGCCATACAGGGGCGGCCGTTTGGGCTATCCGGTGCGTCAGATGTGATATTTCGACATATCCGCGTGCGCCCTGGCTCGTCGAGTGGTGAGACGGTCGACGGGATGGGCATGCAGGGGTCGAATTACTGTATCTTTGACCGCTGCTCGATGGGCTGGGCGATCGATGAGTCGTTTTCGTCGCGGTCTGCGAAGAACATCACCTTCCAGCGGAACATGATCTCGGAGCCGTTGAATGTTGCGGGCCATAAGAATTACCCTGAGGGCACGGCGCATGGGTATGCGGCTACTGTGGGTGGTGATGTTGCCAGTCTGCATCATAACCTGATTGCCCATGCTGAGGGACGAAGCTGGAGTATGGGTGGTGGCGTTGATGATAATGCGAACTTTGCAGGACGATTGGATATTCGCAATAATGTTGTTTATAACTTTGGTACCTCCCCTGTTTCTCTTCTCTCTCCTGGTCAATTAGGGCTAACTATGCAGGCGGACGAGTCACCGACGGCGGCGCAATGGAGGTCAACTTTGTGGGAAATCTGTATAAACAGGGCCCTGCAAGTGAACTAACCTACGCTCTGCAAGCTACAGTACTTCTTCACCCATTCCAGCAGTATAAAGACATGCTAACGAGAGCAGTACGAGGACGACCTCCCCGGAAAACAGCAGTACCACTGCGCCGGCAACTCCATGCCAGGCGTCTTCGACCAGGACTCAACGCAGTTCGTCGACGACGGCACCGGCCAGACGTCCGAGATCGCCTGCTACGCCGACATCAGCATCGACCCGGCCCCCAGCTACCAGAAGTTCTTCGATGAGCCGTGCGTCCCCATACCCACCCTTCACCCTTCTTTGCAGCTGATGCAGTATTAACGAGAGCAGGTTCTTCCCCTCCCATATAACCGAGCAAACATCCACAGAGGCATACAAGCGCGTCCTCTCCGACAGTGGCGCATCCCAGCCCGTATTCGACGAGCACGACACGCGCATCATCCAAGAGACCTTGGACGGCACAACCACATACGAGGGCTCCGTATCTGGCAAACCCGGCCTGATCGACAACGAAGCCGACGCCGGCGGATTAGAGGAGTTTCCCACCGTCTCGCGCAGCTCGTCCTGGGACGCAGACGACAACGGTATCGCGGACTGGTGGGACGGATCTACCGGTGGTGACGGATATACGGTGCTTGAAGGGTACCTGAATTTCATGGCCGACCCGCATGTTTATGTTTCTCCTGGTGGAAATGTGGAAGTTGACCTTAGCAAATTGGCTGCTGGGTTTGTGGAGCCCGGGTTTACGGTTGGTGAGACGGTGAATGGACTTGGTGAGGTGAATGTTGAGTCGGGCACTGCGACTTATACGTCTACTGGGGATGCTGGGGTTGATTACTTCACGGTGAGTGTTGAGGATAGTGAGGGCAGCACGTGGGAGAGGAGGGTTGGTGTTGCTATTTTCGAGGGCGCTGATGATGTTGAGTGAGCTGCTTTCCATGTTTGTTCTTATAATATAGCAGAAACAGCTTTCTTTCTACTGTAAATATGAACCCATTTGCTGCTTTCTTTTATGCTGCCGGATCTCATAGTCGAAGTAAGATTGAGAAAGAACCTTGCAAGGATAGTATATCATGTATATAACTGTGACTGAGCCCTCAATCGGCCAATAACGGACAGATACAGACTATAATACTACTACTCAACAGTCTGCAAATTCCACAAAGGCCCATCTACAGTAACATCTCCAACAACAAGGGTATTTCAGGTTTGTGGCCAGGCGGGATCTGGGGCAGCTTCTTCCCACCTCTCAATGCCCACCAGCCGTCGACGTAAACAGCAGGCCGTATCAACTTCGTGTCGGGCTTGTTAGCTAGAACCCCGAGTTGTATGTATGGGAGCCCTGGTTTGTCTTCAAGGTAATGCAATCCTTGCTAAATGACAGTTTGCGAATGGGACTGGCGTAGCCTTCCAATGGGAAGTTTTGCTTGGATTGTCCCTTAGCGACGTCGCAAAGGTAGATATTTCAGTCTTCCGTACCAAATGCAACCACCGCACCGCCTGGCGAGAGCTCGAGCGCAGGGATGCGAGCGGTTTCCGTATATTCACCGAGCAGCTCAGAGTACCGCTGTACTAAGTGGAGTTTGCCTGTCCAAATATCATGTTCTATGGACATGGTACTACTGTGACTACGAGAGATCATTGGATGTTTGTGTAATGGGAGCCATTTTATGGTACTCCCAGTTTCTATTTGAATAATAAGACAAACTGCGAGCCAGTAAAAAACCCAGCATGCCAAAACCTCTTGAGGATAAAAGACATGGCCGGGAAAAAGGTCCTCGCAGCGACTAATATACAACAATAGAAGACCCTTGTGTGGAGGAAAGAAAAATCAATTAAATCAAAAATCAAAAAGAAGTCAAAAAAGAAGAAAGAAATGCTGCGAGCCAGTAAAAACCCCAGTGTGCAAAAACCTCTTGGGCAAAAGGCACAGCTAGGGAAAAGGTCCTCGCAGCATGGAAATAAATCACAAGAATCAAAAAATCAGAAATCAAGAAATCAAAAAAGGAATCAGAAAAATCAAAAATCAATCAAAAATCAAAAATCAAAGAAGAAAGAAGAAGAAAGCTGCGAGCCAGTAAAAACCCTAATGTGCAAAACCTCCTTGAGGGAAAAGGCACAACAGGGAAAAGGTCCTCGCAGCGTACATCAATATCAAGAAATAGAAAAGGAAAAGTTCAATCTCAGGAGCAACGGGCTCCTATCTCCAAGCCAAATCCACCCAATTCAAGTTCATCAATCACAAGATCCAATGCCGAGTCGAGGTTTCTTGATAGAAGGCGATGCCTCCTCAAGCTCGGCATCTTCACTTGTCCTCTTTACTCCCCACGCCGGCTGTATATCTAGCGCGGTCATGGGGTACTCCTCGGTATCTCCAACAGGGGTTGATGCAAGATACCTGGCGAAAAGCTCATACCCGTTGCCCTCTGTCATGATCTCAGGGTTGTTGGCCTGGGAAACCCTAACAACGACATTCTGTCCGTTGTAGTGGGCTTGTACTACCCGTACAACGTCCCTGATTATAGAGATGAGCATAACCTGCTACCGTTAGTGACCATGGTTGAGCAGTTTGCTGGGATACGACTTACTGGCATGACTTTCTGCCTCTTGATATATGGACGGCCGCTCTTGTACCGCGTGATCATTGCCGTCAGGATTGTTATGATCTCGCTGCGTACAAGGCCGCCGGAGAAGTCGTCAGGGCCGGGGCTCGCCACGATAAACTGTTCGTGAGGCTCACCCTCTGTCGCGACAAATGCACTCTGGACGAACCACCTGTGGGTGGGAGTGTACTCCCAGGGGACGGTGATTTCAGAGTTTGCATTTGTGTAGCGGCCAAAAACGTTGTCTGGTTTTTGGAGCCGTAACCTGGACTTGTCAGTATATACCCCCTTTAACGGGTAGAAAGGGCTTACGGGTCGCGCCAGCTTGTGGCGCTGACAAGGCTGATGACATTACTGCTGTCCGGGGAGTATTGCCTGTCTAGTTCGGCAAACGTTCGCCAGACTCTGGACGCTGTGTCGATGTGAAGCCTGTCCATAGCATCGGCACGGGAGTCCAGGACAGGCCACTGAGTTGTTAGCTCTACCTGATCCTCTATCCCGGCCAGCCAGGAGCTGATGGCCTGGTATTCCTCAGACACTGCGAGCCGTCAGTCACAGATCAAACAAACGTGCAAGTGGGTAAACTTACCATCATCCGGAAGCAGGTCGCCATCCTCAGTGTCTGGGTTCAGGATAGGGCAGATATCGTCAATGCCTCTATCGTCCCAAAAGTTACTCTCACCGTCCGAGTCCACATCCCCATCGTAGTCTGAGCTCTGGTCTAGTCCGACTGGGTCAGATTCCGGGGCGTCCCCCAAAGTCTGGGCCGGACCTTGGCTGTCCTCAACGTCCGGGACATGGTCAGAATCATCAGCAGGGACCAGGATCTGTGCATGCTCTCGGATGTTTTCCACAGGCATGGGTTTGAAGAAGAAATCTGTGTTCAGGCTCTGGGGGTCTATGATCATATGCTCCCAGGCGAGTGGCAGATGTTTCATCTCGATCCCGACCCTGCTTAGGGCTGTGGCACTCACTTCAACTCCTAGCTTTAGGGCTTTGTTGAGGATGCGCTCGAGATCGGTGACTATCTCTTCGCGCTCCTCTTTTTCTTTCTTCACTTGCTCCTTTCTCGTCATCTCCTTTAGGATGTCTTGCACGCCCTTCACGGCTTGGGTGATGGCATGCCAGTTTGGTGGCATACCGTTCCCAGCCTGGTTGGCTTCGGGCAGTTGCATGAAGGAATCCATATTGAGAGAGTGAGATAAGAGTGATAGTGAAGTGAGGTGAAGTAAAATATAGATAGGAGTAGGGTCAGTAAGAGTGAAAAGATAAGTATGAGTTGGTTGTTCCTGATAGTATGAGCAGAGATGCTGATATTACCAAGAGTGAAGAGATTTGTAAATGGGAAAATGGGAAGGAAGGACAGGGGAGCCCTCGCAGGCAAGATATAGGGGGGAGAAAGTATAATCATGACCACCAACAGCTTCAAAATTCAGAGCTGCTGCTCCTAAGTGACTCACTGGACGAAGTAAGTGCAACGACGTTGGAGTGATGGTATGGCAAATACTGGTACAGCTGTTCCTGGTCATTCCGTTTATACTTTGCTTCCGGGCAGCTTCTCCGGTGGCAGGAGCACTGCTGGTAGGCCAGGACAGTTGCGAGGAGTCATTAGAGCAGCCATTACCGTCATTGCCATAGAATTGCATGGACCATGGACGATTCTGAGAGCAGGATAACACCTGCCTTTCCAGTGCGTTTCAAGCCTTGCTACGCGGCTGAGAACTCTCCTTCCCTCCAACGGAGCACCTTCGTATGCCCTACTTTGTCTGGTGTGCTTCTACTACCTGGTGAATACAACTGCAATTCCGGTCCATTGCTACTTCTCGAGTACGACCACCTGTAGACTCCATAGTATACAAACAGACTGTGACATGGCTAGCTACGACCAGCCATACATGGTCCTTTGGTATAGTGATCTAGTATCTCAGGATTCTAAGCAAACAAGCTTTGACCGCTGACTCTTCCATATAAGCTCTCTCTTTCGCAGTATACAATTTACGCTCATACCAGGTGGTGCTACGATGGGGGCGAGAGACAAGGTTCATAGCCAGCTCTTGAATCGCAGGTGATTGTATAGATTAATTTCACACTGCAAATATTGCCACCAGTCTATTCCTTGAGTTGATGTAGTTGTCGTGATGCCGCGTAGTCAGGGCCGGAAGTTCGTTCCTGGTCCAGATATTGGAATAACCCTATGTTTAGGTTTTACTCGCAGTGCCATGGAATTTGTAAAAGCATCGGTCTCTTTGGCAGCAAATTAGGTTTCAGGTACGTACGGTGCATCGCCTCACTTAATCATACGAGAGAAAAGCCTAAAATTCTTGCAAGTCGGTATATTCTATACAATCGGTATCTTGGATAGCCAATGACTCGTGCCAAGAGCGTCACCAGCGGCCGCAACCAAACAACTGACTCGGGTTTCTTCACAGCGGCCCAACAATTCGATACCGATTTGCACCTGCTCCACAAGGTGGATATAGTGCGGCGGAGACATTATCATGTCCCTTGCAGCATTATAAATCGTTTCTCGCAAACTCACGGGACATCCTTGATTCATACCCGAGCCTGAATCAATTCACAAGGTGACAGTCGAGTTCAGCGTAGTAAAGAAAGATGCCACCGACAACAACCCCAGCATGGCTCTTGACGGGACAATCGGGCCCCTCCAGCCTCGAGTTCAAACCAGAATATGAACTGCCGTCTCTCGGTCCGAATGACGTCCTTGTCCGGATCCACGCCGCGTCGTTGAATTACCGCGAGCTGGCCATTGCGAATGCACGCAGTCCATCCCCATCTAACTACATAGGCCAATGCTAACCTCAACAGGGAAAATTCAACATCTCTCTCCCGGCCCCTATAGTCCCATGCTCCGACGGCGCAGGGGAAGTCCTCTCAATCGGCCCCGACGTGTCCCGCTTCACCAGCGGCGACAAGGTCGTCGCACACCTCACCGTGGGCAAACCGGGTGACGCACCGACTACATTCTCGGACATAAACTCCGGGCTGGGTCACGGCGCGCACGGGACGATGAGGAGGTATGCTGTTTTCCATGAGACGTCGCTTGTGAGGATGCCTGCAACGCTGAGGTTCCGCGAGGCGGCGACGCTGACGTGCTCGGGCTTGACGGCGTGGAATGCGCTTTTTGGGGCTGCGTTGCCGGGAAGAGGGAAGTTGGGGAAGGGGAGTATTGTCCTTGTGCAGGGGAGTGGGGGTGTGAGTGTTGCTGCGTTGCAGGTATGTTTCTCTTAGTTGCTTGTCTTGATAAGATATGAAAGGGAAAATGTGCTGATCGATGAATGATAGTTTGCTCTCGCTGCTGGTGCAAGTGTCATTGCGACGACGAGTTCGCCTGCTAAAGCTGAGAGGCTCACCTCGTTGGGTGCCCATCACATCATAAACTATGTGTCCACGCCAAACTGGGGAGAGGTTGTGAAATCTCTTACGCCAGATAGCAGGGGCGTGGATCTTGTCGTCGATGTTGGCGGTCCATCGACTGTGGCGCAATCAATGAAAGCTGTCCGGCCTGATGGGATTGTTGCGTTGACGGGGCTGCTAGGTGCTGAAGAGCATGTGCCCTCTATCATGGATGGACTGGTTCATCTCTGTACAACAAGAGGGTTCCTGTTAGGTACTCGGGTGCAGTTCGAGGAGATGAATAGGTTTATTGATGAAAAGGGGGGTAAGCCTGTGGTTGATGACAGAGTATTTGGGTTTAACGAGGTTAAAGAGGCTTATGAATATTTGGAGAGTCAGAAACATTTTTCGAAGGTTGTTGTTGATATTGAATGATGGTACAGAATACAAGTGCTTACAGCATAGTTTCGGCTCGAAGTTGGAATACAATAAAGCATATTGCAGTAAGTACAGGATAGTTGATAATTGACCTGATCCTTGAACCTTGTTATTTAATTCCAACCGGCATCTGCATTCTTAGGGATTGCATTTAAGACACAGTGATGGAAGCAGACCCGCTGCTCTGGTAGCCCTCAACGGCCACGATCTGGTAGTTGTGAGTACCCAAGGTCATTCCGAGACCAGTCCAAGCATCAAAGTGGTTTCCGATGGTGACGCTTCCAGACGAGCGCTTGTCCTGGCGGACAGACCAGAACTGGGTGAACGTAGCGGTGCCATCAATCGAGGGCGCGTTCTCGCGAGTCGCGGTGTAAATATCATAGGTGCCACCGTCAGATTCAACAGTCCCCTGGTGCTCTCCAGCAGTGCCGGGGTTGTAGTCACCGTAGGACTCGACCACGTAGTACTCGATCAAAGGGTTCTGGGTCCAGCCGTACACGGAGAGATAGCCGTTACCGTTGGGGCTGAAAGTGCCCTCGAAGTTGATAGTCCTGCTATGATTAGCTTCCGAATTCAACTGGCCGAGGAGTCGTACCTGGTGCTTCCCGGGTTCCATCCCTTTCCGCCGACAAAGTTGCCGACATCAGTCCATCCGACATTGTACGATCCTCCGTCGCCATTGGTGTAGGTGACGTCGCCACCGCCGTCGGTCCAGAAGGAGTAGTAGTAACCGTTGTTGGTGCCGGTAGAGCTCTCAGTGGAGCGCTGAGCGAGGCTCTTGTCGGACGGAGCAGCAAAGGCTCCAGCTGCGGCGGAGCACGCAACAAGAAGAGTTGAGAAAGAGACCATATTGCTTTATTATACTGCTTGACTTGAGGGATTGTTGGTTGTCGGACTGTCGAGTGAAGTCATCCAGGGGCACGCTGCTTTATAGTCCACGGTCATCGTCAATTGGAAACGGAGATTCTGAATCTGGATAAAGATCCGCAACACCGGTTGTTCTGGCTGGTCGGTTAATCCCCTTAATGAAGGTCTGTGGGCTTCATAGCGGTGTCTAGAGCACGCCAAAGTGTCAGGGTGAAACTTAGAGTGGCGTCAAACGACCGGTGGGCTGGTTTCATGATCCACACCCACTCAGAATAGGCTGATTCCATACCCCATCGGGGGGCTCGCCTAGTCAGTTCCGTGTCTCAAGTAGACAAGCTTCAGTCTTGGCACATATAAGCATTCGCCAGGAGATTGACATCTTCAAGTAACGCAGGCACGGATTCGACTCCGCAGGCTGAGTTTGCAGACTTGACCAAGTCGGCCATGAAAATCAGGCCGAATGGGCCCATCAGCAAGCTCCCCGCAGTCTTGCGATCTGCAATACACTCATAATCAAGTCCCGGTGGGGCTAAAACGCACGATCAAGACTAGACAGCTTGGTCATCAACGGCCGATTGAGTTCTGTCTTGGCTGTCTTGTCTGTTTCTTCCTGTGTAGGTTATATTGATGACCCTCGTTCGGTAAACCCATATCGACTCTGACGCAACTGCGGTATCGGGTCGGGTTTCGCTCGGATTCAAGGCCATTTGCATGAACACGATTGTATTCTTTGCAGTTGGGAAACTGGTGTTAAGCTATCGAAGAGTAGACTTTCAGTGATGGACTGTCGTTGACGCGTCAGTCGCTCAATAGCGGCGCTCTCAACACGATGGGTGAGCAGTAACCTGTCAATGAGGAGCTGGAATGCACGATGCACGAGGTGAGAAGTGAGGAATGTCGTGAGAGTCCAGACCCGAGAGTCAAAACAGACAGAAGGAGGAGGACAAGCACGTGCCCCCACGTGTTCAAGCGTTGATTGTTTTCTCCAAGTGACCGAGTGAGATTCTTCCATCCTTCACCAACTCTTTTCCCTTCCACCTCGCAAGCCGAGTGGGCGGAAATGTCTTTCCTCCGCCAAGTCGCGCCAGCTAAAGCTTTGGTGGCTTGGACAGGGCTGGTACTAGCCGCAGTAAGCAAAGCTGAATGCCTGTCCAAAATTCCAACACAAGGCCGGGCCATTGGTCCATTTCCCGCAGATCTCTCTTGTCAAGGGCAATGTCTCAGGAGATCGCTGGCTGTGCGCCACGCTTGTGTGACGCTGTTTTCCCAATGACGCTGCACCAAGGCCAGAAAGACATGGGGGATGGGACGCCTTACTCCGGCCCATCCCAAGGAAATCAGCCTGGCTTTTTGCTCGATTCTTGGAAGCTGGGGGAACGAATTTCTGTCAACAATCGCGCCGTTTTACAAAATGTCGCGGTTACTCTGCCTCCTGCTGGTTGCTATCGGCGTGCAGGTGGCAGCAGGCACAGTTCAAACAGTCGTGAAGCGCGATGTGCAGGCCGATCTGTCCGAGGGGTTTTGTCGCAATTGGGTGTTCGGTGGTATGTTTCCCGATTCACGCCCAGCTCCCAGAACACGTTGACATAACAAACCTCTAGCAAATATCGTTGACGATGTTTTGTACATGAATGGCATGGATGGTGGGAGACTTGACGCTGATAAAAACGCGTCGAGTACGTTTGTGTCGCTGCCCGCTTGGAATTCAAGATTGCTAACTTGTCGCAAAGACAACTATCTCATCGAGCTGGATCTCTCGGCTCCCGTTGATCTACAAAACGGGTCCAATTATAAACTGAGCTTGATTCCCACCGACGTCCCGACACTAAAAGACCAGGCACTATGGTCAAACCAAGCCAACTCGACGCTTTTCAGCTACGGAGGACGGAGCCCGAACCGAGAAAAGCCAGATGATGGCGGAGTGTGGATGTATCGTATCTCCGATGGTTCGTGGGAGGAACAAAGGACATCCGTCAAGCCCGTGCGACTTATTGAGGGTGGTATGACTTAGCCGCCAACTTTTATGTTCAATCAATGCTGATCCACAACTCTACAGCATACGTTAACGTCCCCGAACTGCAGGCGGCGTATTGGCTGGGCGGATATCAAACCAAGCAAACGACCTCCTCAATAACCGACGGCACAAAGTCCTATGCAACCGGCATGATCCAATACAACACAACTACAATGGAGTACACCCTGCTCGAAGCACCATTCACGCCTGTACAGCAAGGCGCACTGGTTTATCTACCAGCCCGTGACAAGGGAGCTCTAGTTTTCCTCGGTGGTGAAGTTCCGGCTCGCAAAGACGGTGTCGATACGGAAATTACTCCAGTGCGTTTACCAAATTTACGTTGCAGCTTGCAGACTAACAGGTCCAGAACTCATGGGACTACGTCCAGGTCTACGATATTGAAGCGGGCATGTGGTATAAACAAACTACCACGGGCGATGTGGCACGTCGTACCCAATTTTGTGCATCGGTCATGCATGATCCCTCGTCGACGTCATTTCAAATCTACGTTATAAGCGGAGCGGACTATGAGAGTAAAGAGATAGTAAAAGATGTGTATGCAACACTTCCCTAATCCAGGTCTTCTCTAACATGTACAGATCATATCTGTCCATTCCTTCGTTCAAATGGTACCGAGCAGCAGGCCTATCCAAAGGTCGAATGTCCCATACGTGTCAAGCATATGGGAGACAGATTCTCGGCGTTGGTGGGCGCCAGAGCTATGTCCCTCTGAGTGATCCCAAGGCAGGATGTTACAATACCCCAACCTTCCTATACGATGCGCAGTCTGAACTTGTTCGCACAATTTTCGATGTGAGTTTGAAAAAGAAAACTATTGTAACATATACTAACTCTACAGCCCGCCCTACTGAGATATTCCGTCCCCCCCAACACGGCTGCCGATATCCAAAGCTCCCCAACCCCCTCAGCATGGGACAATCCGTCGCTGGCTTATCTCTTCACAGATGGTCCGAATAACGGCACAAGTACCCAAGAAACCAAGTCCAAATCCACCAACAAAGGCGCTATAGTAGGAGGAGTGGTTGGTGGCGTGGCTGGAGCGGCCATTATCCTTGGGCTCGTCTGGTTTTTCTTACGATCTCGACGGCGGAAGGCCCACCAGGGTGATGCCGAGCTGCCTGAAACAAGCGAGCGTAAACCGCCGATTCTAGGGGAGCTCTCGGGCAACCATGCTATTACGGAACTAAGCGCATCTCATAGCAGAGTTGAGATTTCAAGTCATGGAAGTCAAGTCTACGAGTTGGACGGTGGGAATACGCAGAGTCAGAGTCAAAAACAGTCTATAGACAAGAAGAGCGAGGAACGCCCGGAGCGATGAGTATCGGCATACTTAATATGTAATACCTAGACATACATGATATCACCATAAATTATAATTATTCTGTGTACAATATTCCCATAGTAAGAGTGCCATTAATAATCTGGCGGAATTGGGCCGACCTTCTCCACCGTTCGGTGATCATTCTCCCCGATCACCAGTTCCCCATGTGGGGTTCGCTGTATAGTGCTCTCAGCTGCGGCATAACACAGCATTAATGCACAGTATAGCCTGATCAGTATGTGGGGCCTGCTCAGAAAGATACAAAGCCTTCCCCTCAGTCAGGAGTTCTTAAAACAACATCCCACTGCCAGGTTAAACACCTCTTGACCTTCTCTGTCTAATTCCCGGGTATCTATCCAGCACCAACAAGCAAGATGCCACCAACAACGCCCCCCTCAACCCTCCCACCCATGAAAGACCTCACAACCGAAAATATCACAGAGAACGTACACCTGGTGAACAGCCAATGCACCGACCCACGCCTACGCTACCTCCTACACAGAATCGTAACCCATCTCCACGAACTCTGTCTCGAAACACGCCTCAGCACTGAAGAATGGAGCGCCGGCGTGAAATTCCTCACGGAGATCGGACAGATAAGTGATGACCTACGACATGAGATGATCCTCCTCTCCGATACTCTTGGTGTGTCGAGTCTTGTTGACGCGATTAACCACCCGCGGAAACCACCGGCAACGGAGGGGACGGTGCTGGGGCCGTTCCATACACATGATGCCGAGGACATGAGCCACGGCGCGGTGTTGCATTCGGACCCCGATGCGACGAAGTTGCTTGTGCTGGCTAATATTAAGGATTGTGATGGGAATCCGGTGGATGGGGTGAAGGTTGATGTGTGGGAAGGGGATTCGAAGGGTTTCTATGATGTGCAGAATCCGAATCGGGCGGGGCCTGATGGGCGCGGTGTGTTGAGGTCTGATGAGAATGGGGAGTTCTTTTTCCAGGCGATTGTACCTGTGCCGTATCCTATTCCGATGGATGGGCCTGTGGGGAAGATGTTGGCTGCCCTGGGGAGACATCCGAATCGCCCTGGGCATGTGCATTTTATGCTTGATAAACCGGGGTACGATCTTTTGATAACGTGAGTTTCCAGATACTAGAATGGGTTTTATTATGGATGCTAATGAGGTAGGGCGCTCTATCCCCGTGGAGACCCATACGAGACGTCCGATCCGGTGTTTGGTGTGAAGGAGTCGCTTGTGGTCGATTTGACGACGGTTGAGGATGAGGAGATGGCGAAGAAGTACGGGGTCAAGGTTGGCACAAAACTGCTCAAGCATGACTTTGTGCTTTTGACCGAGCCACAGGCCCGCGACTTGCGGAAGAAGAATGCTATTGAGGCGATGGAGAAGCAGGGCAGGAAGGTTGTGTTTCATAATGATCTGCCTATTCCAGCGGAGAGCAGTTGATCCATTGTGATAATAATATGCCTGCGGAGACAGTCTCCTGGCAGGGCTAGTCTGTCTGCATACATTTCAGTCACCAGTCACAGTGTTCAGCTGCATCGTAACACAGGTAAATGCTCGCCGTGGGTGACGACGACTGGCTTCTGGTCCAGATTCAGCCGGTTGCGTGAAATTCAAGCGCAACGCCGCGCTGGTACTATCTGACGACGCGATGATCTGGGGAACCCAGTGGGTAGGGGTAGGCTATAGATGAGCCGTAGACACATGTTCAAATCCGTTGCATAGTCAATAGACTCGCATAGGTACCCGTCAATCTCAATCGCTAAGCTCCTCATCCATATCTCCGTCTGTAGTCTGCGACACTTGCGTGTTTGGTTCGACCATGCTCGGACGACCACCACCGCTCCGTCTATTTTGACCCGTCGTTACGACCGCGCGCTCCCCGACGAACTTGTCTCCTGGCCATGGCGCCCTGCACACCGGACACTGCTCCGCTTTCTGCACCCGGAAGAAATTGCGCATACAATGATCGTGTAACCGGCCTAGACACTCACGATTTCCACAGCGTTGACCCTGTTCGGTTAGCTTAAGACACCATCAACAAAAAGAGCATTCAACTTACAACCGTAATGATATCCCTGCAGGCCGCACAGAACTTAATCTTATTGCCCCTGCGCCCCTCCTCGTTCTCATCATTATATGTTGCAACAAGCCACCCCCGGAGTTCCATCAGTCCTCGCGGGCTTAGCATATAATAACCCTTCCTACTCTTCTCAAACCACCCATCCTCAACAAGCTGCTTCAACACAGTCTCCGCCTGCGTCATGTTGAGCGGCTGCGCAGCCCCACTCTGAGTACCCTGCGTCGCAGAGCCCGACTCACGCCGGTTCTCACCATTCACTTTCGACTGCTGAATTGCCTCAATCGAGCTGACGGCCATAACCTCGGCGATCCGGGTATTATTCGCCTCGAACATCCGGTCCAGAATGCGCTTCACGAACGAGATCTCATCGGCTGTGTACGTTGTCGCAAGCTGGGTCAGGCCATCGCTGGTGGTATTCACGAGGGCGTAAACGCGCTCCGGTACGACAGCTTCGGTAAGGGGCGCTTCGGTTTGGAGTTGGGGGAGTGTGCTTCTGATTTCCAGATCAAAGGGTGAGATTGCTGAATTCGCCGCGGCGATGAAGGTAGAGAGGTCATCTTCTGTTATATCGTCTTCGGAGACAGTATCACCTCCTGTTGGAGATGGTCAGCAGAGCTCAGAGTGATGTATCCTTCAGGCAGACGCACCGCGGACTGAGAGGATAGCAGCAAGGAGGGGTTTTGATTCTTCGTAGGTCAGTGTTGAGCGGGCCATCAAGGCCTGAAGAAACGCCCTGTTGCTATCATCGTAGGCGTGCCCTTGCGTGCCGTTTGCCATGACAATTTTAATCCTGAGAAATCTAATTCAGGCAAATCGACAGGAATTGCAAGACGGGGAGCGGAGTTGTACCTGGAAGACTTTCTTTGTCGGACGCGACAGACGCGCCCCGAGCGGATGCCAAGACCTGCCATTTATCTCCCAATCGGGATACATTCATCTACCTCCACTACTGTTACTGGGTTTATAGGTATTACTCTTGAGGATATGGAAGATATGGAAGATATTGCAATGCCATTACTAGAAAGGGCTTGATATCATAACTAAAAGTACAAGCAGCATTTTCCCAACGCCCCGTATGAAACAAACATCAAAGCCTAATATCTCCGCCGTGTGGGCTCCGGGCTCGGACTGCGACTGACACTTCGCGCATCGCGACCACGGTCCTTCAACCACTTCTTCGTGCTGAGGCGAAGCTCCCGGTCCAGCTCGTTGCTGGGATCTTTCCGGTGAATGAAGTTGCAGAACCCGCCACGAACACACCCCTCGCCACTATTTAGACGACAGCACGCTTCTCGGAAATCGGTAACCGGTGATAGCTCGCAATATATTGGTCGCGCGGCGTACCATCGGGAGTTCAGCGTATCACAAGCTGCCTGTGCATCTTCTTCGTACTTGAATCGGGCGTAGACATTCCCGATGAGATCTGCGATAGAGAAAGCAAAATTAGCTTCAACGAAGACATGCGCGAGTGAAAGAGAAAAAAGAACAACTTACGGTCATTATTGTTATCGCACACAACTAACTCCTCCAGCTCGCCGTACTTGCACATCTCACACCAGACATCCTCGTAGAAGGCATCGAAGTGGTTCTGCAGCTGGCTGGGGTTCATCTTGCTCTTGGGGTCGTACGCGGGATTTTGGTACATGTTCGGCATGAGGATCGTCTGCGAGTATGAGGGCTTGACATGTTTGCGCGAGCAGCGGTCACCGTGTCTGCAGGCGCCGATCTTGTAGTAAAAAGAGCAGTTGACTTTGTCTTGCTCGGTTCCGAAGATGGAGGCGAGGTAGTTGGCCATTATTACGAAGGCGCTATAAAAAAAGAAGTAAGAGCGTGCGACTGAGGAGGTAATGCGGAGTTAAAGGAGGGATATCAGGTATGTCGCGACAGGTGCGGAGGCGAAGATGCAGATGGCTTGCTGTGGCTTCAAGATCCCCAGCTCCAACTGAAGATTCTGGACAGCTCGCGGAGTGCTGACTAAGTTGCGGCCTGAGGCAGAACCTTCCAGCATCAACCACAACCATACCATAACCATCCATTTATAGCTACATTTACATTTTAATACAAAACTCATTTATAACCTTTTGTTTATTTATTTACTTTCTGTTATCATACCCCTGTCCTCAGGACTGTGGCCCGACTCAATGTCTAACAGTCTTGAGCAGGCCCTCCAGGAGCAACTATATATACTTGGGACAGGAGTTTGCAGCTTTCTGCTTGGTTCCCAAACAAGATTCCACCACGAGATTATCATATATCTCCAAAGTGTTCTCGGGCGGCGGCCTCCGCATGTTGTGTTCAGGGTTTATAGCTTACTCTAAAGGTTGGTGAAGACATTTAGACTTCCTTGGATAACCAGGTAAATACAAAGAAACGACACCAAACAGTGTCCATTTTCTATTTTACTATCTTATACGTACACACTCTACCAGAGCCCACCATACAACTGGAAGAAATTGGGTCCACCATATACTACCAGTCATGTGTATTCCTCACTTTTCTCGCCTATCCCTACCCGAGAACTCGCTGAGTTCTTAGTGTTTATAGTGAGCCCTGCACTTGCCCGGCTTGCGAGTAGGGGTGGCAGTGGCAGTGGCAGCTTCGCCTGTAGTGGTGGTCTCAGCTGGCTCGCTGGTGGCATCAACTCCAGTGGGCAGGTTTGCCTCACCATCGGCGGCAGTCTCAGTGCTGGCACCAGTAGTCTGGGCAGCAGCCTGCGTGTTCTCGGCGCCGGACGCAGTTACGGACACATCATCAGAAGCAGACGCAGTCGCGGAAGCCGATCCAGATCCAGATCCAGATCCAGAGCTAGAACTACCTCCCGATCCACTCAGTCCAATGCAGGCAAAGCTGATCTTTTTCGTGGTGTCGGTCGACTGGCCACCATATCCACCAACGGTATCAGCCAAATCCCACTCCATGCTCACGTACGGCCAGCAGATCCGGTCCCCGACGTTCACGAGATCACCAGCGACGTAGATGTCAGAGCTGTTGAGAGCAGTTCCCACAGCTTTGCCGTTCTTGTCAACCTGTTGGAAATACGTTCCGGAGAACGCACCCTTGCAGCCCATGGCAATGAACTCATCGCAGGTCGGGTTGTCAATCTGCTCCCAGGTGACGAGCGCACTGTCAGCGCCGAACGCGGCAGCGCGGACGTTGGAGTGATCAGCCTTCCCCTCGGTGACCCAGGTAATCTGGCTATCGGCATCCTGGGTACCGACTTCAGAGGTGGCCTGCTCTCCGACGAGCGTGTTCTTGTCAGAGAAGAGAGCGACGGCCACGTTGCGGTTCTCGTTACGGGGGAGGACGTGTGTGTATCCAGCACCCATCCACTCGTTCTCGGTGACGTCGATGGCGCCACGAGAGGGCCACGCGAAGATGTACCGCGAGCTATCGCCAAACTTGACAAGGGCACTGTAGCTGCCACCCATCCCGCCCATGGGTTCTCCGGATGCACCGTTGGTGGTGTTCTCGTTGGAGATCTTGACGCCTTCGGTTGTCATTCCTTGTCCTTTGGTGTTGAGCCAAATGGCGCCCTGGTCTTCGGCGCAGATACTGGCGAAGGGAGCCTCGGAAGCTTCTTCGAATGCGATACCTGTATTGTGGCTGCAACCCCATGTACTGGTTGCGCCGGAGATGGTCTGGAGCTTACCGGCATCATTGACGTATTGGATGCTGTCGCCGAAGTGGCCGGAGGCAGAGCCAGAGTAGGCTGTCACGACAAAGTAGGCGCCGTAGAGATTGGCTTCGGCGGAGTAGACGAGGTCACCATTCATGTCTGGGGAGGCGAGGGAGCCGTCGGCTGATTCGACGTCGGGACCACCTAGCCAGGTCTTCCAGGTTTGCTCGCCGTTGGTGTAGCGGTAGAGAACAGCAACAGGTGTGTTGTCGGGTGGTGCATTGGAGGTTCCGGAGGGCATGGCCTCGTTGGTTAGGAGGGCGAAGCCGTCATTGTGCGCGACCAAGCCGCCAGCTATACTTGTCAGCCTCTTCTACAGCCACTCGGTGGCGATTTGAATACCTTCTTTTCCGCCTGTCACAGTAACAGTAGATCCCACTGCCTTGAACGTGCTAGGGTCCACCTTCTGGACGTGGACGTCCGTCTCGCTCGAATCCAGATAGGCCAGGTACGCCGATTCACCATCTGGAGAGACAGCGAACGGGGTACGCCTGTGATGAGCATACCCAGTCCAGTAAGCTTCCTCGACGGGGTTGAACGAAGAGGTGAGTTCGAGCGAGCCAACATAGGTTTCAAGGAGCGACTCATCTAGGGCAGCGGTGACGCTCTGCGCCGCAGCGAGCACGGCTCCTAGAAGAAAGATCTTCATAGTTAAGGTTAATGAATGAAAGTAACTATCGACCAGCGATACAAACTAAAAAACAACAAAAAGAGTGACGATTTGGCTGATCTCCCAGGCGGCCTTGTAGATCATGGACGGGTATACCGCAGATATATGGTGTACAGGTCGTAGGGGAATGGGACCATGCATATTGTGCCAAGGGTCTAGGCTTATTGAGTCTGTGAGATCCGAATTTCCCGGGCCTCAAACAAGGCTGTCTGGGATAGATATTGCAAAATGAAGACAGGCCCCTAGTTTAGTGGGACTGTTTCACCAGTGAGCTGGGACCGCCTTCTGAAGTGGCTCTCCGGTTCTCCGAAGTGGGATCTCAGGATCAGAGCTGAGTCTGGGCAATCAATATTTTAATCAAGCTAAAACGGCTGTAGGAGTGTGAGGAGCGTGGAATTTATTGCCGTGAAGCGGGGCTGGTTTGAGATGGCGCCAAGCTGTCAAATGGAACAAGGTAGCTTATTTGAGCCTATTCCTAGCTTTCTATATAGATGCACGGATGAAGATATCAGACGACGAGCATACCAGAACTGTGCCGATGTTCAACGTTCGCTTACTTTACTAAAGCTCGAGTCGACACGGACTCGTGTTACCCATGGTGGGCGTCCGGACTCTTGGGCAGTAGATAATGAATCCAGGAAGATTCTAGCCCTGTCTCGACCGCAGTTGGACTTGTTGGGGGTCTGCCTGGCGGGGTGAGGGCTCCGTTAGAGGACCCCTGAAAAGAAGATGGACTTCGCGCTGTCTCTTCATGACACCTTCGGACGCTTGGGGTTCGGCATTCCTCCGCCGCCCAAGCGCTTCCGCTGCATGGCCTCCATCTCTTGTTTCATGATTCGCTCCTGCTCTGTCATTTTCTTCGGCTGCGGCATAACAGACCCCTTCTTCCCGGCCAGCGGGTTCTTTTTCGCTGCGGATGCGAAAACGTTCTTGGGCTTCCCATTCCCACCTCCTAACGACAAAGACACCTTCGGCGCGGCTTGAGGAGCTTCTGTCGGCGCCGGAGAGGCGGCAGCCGATGAGTCCTCTGCAGTTGCCGAAGAAGTTTCCTTTTCCTTCTCCTCAGGCGATTGTGTCTGCGATTGTTCGGTGGCAGGTGGCGTAGGCTTCGCGCCAAATCCAATATTCAGCTTCACCTTCTCTCCATCCTTGCGCTGCAGATTCCTTGCCTCGGGATCAAGATTGTCCTCCTTGTCCTTCTCATTCACCCGCGCACGCTCAACCTGCTCCTGAATCAACCGCTGCTCCCGCTCCTCATCACCCCGGTCCTGCCGTTCCTTCTTCATAATCGCCTCCCGTCGACGCATCGCATCCGGACTCCGATCGATATATGAAACAAAAAGCCCCTTTTCCGTCTCTTCAACATGGCACAGGCCCTCGCGACCAAGATGCGCCGCAAACTGGCTAAGACTCTTCCACTTCGTCGCGTTCATGTGAATGTGCTAATAAAACACCCGTTAGATCCATCTTCCTTCATATAAACCAAAAGAAAATAACGCAACTCACCTCTTTATCAGCAATAACCTGCTGGTAGAACTGGTTGATATGCACCTTCTTCTCGCCGTGCGTAGACTTCAACAGATCGATGAAATTCTTAATAAACTGCTTGCTGTAATCCTCTATATACCGCTTCGGGTCCTCGCCGATGAGCAGGACTTGTCGGACGTGGCTTTCACTTTGGACGTGACTATTTCAAAGAACATTAGTACGCGGTTCTCATTGTTCGTAAACCGCTCGAAATGATAGAACTCACCATTTAAAACCGTTCTCATCGCGCATTTGTCGCTCACATGCTTGACAGTACCATCGTAGCCGACCTAAGCCTTTCTGGAATAATTGTTAGTACTTGATCTTATCGCCGGAGTCGATTTGATGTGGACTGAAAGGGAACGTACAGCTTTCATCTTATTGCTGAGAGACTTCGTGCTCCCGGCTTCGGCGCGCGGCATCTTGGCGGATAATAGACGTCTGTCTCCTCTAAAAATTCAAATGTGTCTTATTCAAGGCGAGCGTGGTGTCGGGGAGAAGTCGGTGGCGGAGATGGAGATGGAGATAAGTTAACTTAGCCAACCAACCCGCTTATCTAAGTCGCAGGTTGACCTGGTCACGTGCGGGCTTCCTTTTTCGTAGCAAACTATAAAAGTAACAAGGACCCATTACAAGCAAGATCCGGATCATTATTAAAGCTTGCATTGAAATATCTACTGTATTAAACCAAACTCCACCTATCCTAACAGCATCCTAAGGTTGCTTTTTCTGGGAAATAACGAAACGACGCCCCGTAGAATACACAAAAGCACTGAACGATCAGACAAGATAACAAGTACCAATTCTAACGTGAAATAATCATATACGATCGGTAATCCACACCGAGATAGTAAAATTTGAGAGTAGTACTCGGCCGTATCCTGGCTAGCAAACTCACATAACATACTCGTGAATCGCCGATGGCCCGTTCTCGTTATACTCGACACGGCTCATGAAGCCCTTGCTGAGACCTTGGTCGATAACAAAGACAACCTTGGATGCGACTTGCGCTCCGAGGAAAAAAGCTTCTTCCATGCCGTGGTGACCGCCGGTGGCAGCGGGACCGGGGGGCCCATTGAGATTGGGGTTGTTCTGCGCGGAGGGGTTGGTGGCCGTCTGCTCTTTCCACTCGGGAAAGTATTCGGGTGGCCTTACCGTCTTGACGGAGGTTGGGGTCTGCGAGTGACCGGTGGAACGGTGGTGAGACATGGTCGGGTCCATCAGCGGCGTTCCTGGCGTCAAGCCGGCGGCAGGATTGTTGGAGTGGGTAGCAGCGACGAGAAGAGGATTTACACCGCCGCCTTGATTGTGCATTGGGCCGGGAAGCCCTTGAGGTGCGGGTGTGTTTGTTCCACCGGTGGGAAGGGGTGTGGAGAAATTGGAGGGAATTTCTGAGGTGAAGATGGTGCCGGATGGCGAGAGGACGAACTTTTGAGTGATTGTGCTGATCAGGGCTTGAGTGAAGCCTGTAAAAAGTTAGTGGATTAAACGGTAATAGTGAAAAATGTGGCACTAACCCTTGACCTTGCTACCGTTACCAACGATGATCAGCGAGTCCCAGAGTTCACTACGCTTGGTGGCATCGGGAACAGCGAGGATTGTGTGGTGGATCTGTGTCGCGATATTCTCGAGGAGACCGCTGGACAATCTGTCGCCTGTCTTTTGCTTTGGCGTGGCAGCGAGGAAGCGTTCAACTCCGACTTCAATATCTCTCGTCTGGCGGATGAAACGCCCTGGGCCGCTGGGTGCGTCTTTCTCAGGCTCTAACTTGACAAATTCCTGGAACTGGAACGTAGCCTTTTCTTTCTTGGAATTGGGAAGGCGAACAGGCTTAGCATTCGGATCAGCACCTTTCTTCATGGGCGCTTTCTCTTTCTCCCGGGCAGCAAGATATTCGCTGGTGTTGCCGCCGCTAACAATAGCTGCCACATCCAGAACACCCTCCTCTTCTTCATTCTCCGCAGTGCCGTTCTGGTTCTTCGGTTGCTGGTTCTCCTCCGAAGCACCAGGCTCTGCCGTAGGGCCAGGGGCTGGGGCTGGTTGGCTTCCTTCTTGGTGTGCAGTAGCCACGGCGCCCGGTAGAGGCGTTCCAGCAGGTAGAAGCTCGGTAATGTTGCTCCGCTTCAACTGTTCGCACATCTCCCTGGTGAATCCCTTCGAGCCCAGCAGCTCCTGAAGCCGGTCGGTCAAATAGTCACCACCACATCCTTCCAACGCGATACCTCGACCGTGCTCGTTGACCAGGAAATCCGTAACCGCGGTGACATCAACCTTGTCCTTCCCAACATCAACAACCGTTGCAGTCCCCGTGCCATAACCATAGCAAACTGCGGCCGCAGAATCCATAAGGCAAAACGCGGGAGTCTTGAACTTTTCAAACACAAACTGCGTTATCGCCTCCCTGTCCCGCAGCGACCAAGCCGGCTCAGATATAAGCATGATGGGCGTATGGAACGGTGGGCTGAGCGTATTATGAACATGCGTCAGGAGAGCAAAGAAGCAACCCCAATCAACGATACGTCCGTTCTCCATAGGGAAAATCGCCCCCTCCTCAGACGCCACGTCTTCCTCGTAGAAAATCTCCTCCACCGTCTGGCCATCCCCATTTTCCCCATTTTCACCTTCCTTCGCCTCACCCTCCGCCGCATTCTCGCCGTTCTCGGCCTTCGGTTCGTCGGTGCTCTCAGGCTTCGGCGCGTCAGTGTTCTCCGTCCCTTCTTGGGTTGCCGATTGTTGTGGCTGTTGGTCGGCTTCCTTCATCTCCACGTCCTCCTTCTCCTTTTGTGCGGGTGCATCCTGCCCATTGGATATTTTCACCTCTTGTCGCCTCTCGCGGATCTTGTGAGGTTCATATTCGCCCTTTTTCTCAGCGGGAAACATTCGCGTGGGGAAGCGATACCGGGCCGGGGTGAAGGACTCTGGGAGGCCCAGTTGCGCCAGGGTCACTTGCGATCCTGGCGCAATTATCTATCAATTAATTAGCACAGGTTTTCCATAGGATGGCAAGTTCAAGTAAAAAAGACGTACCAGAATATGCTCATCCTTGAATGGCGGCATTCTTGCGCTGGGGGTCGATGCGTGATGGAGGCTCTTGGATGTTCCGCGGTGTTTGCTGCGACCTTGCGCGCTGAGGTTGGGCGGGGCCAGATCCGGTTAGCGTATTTCGGCTCCAGACACGATCGATCGAAACTCGCTGCACTGGCAGCTCTATGCAATTTTGATGTTGTTTGATATTTTGCAGCTGAAGAGAAGTAACTAAATAATAATAATCTTATAAAATAACATTCTTGCATTGTGGTTGTATGTCTTCTGCGAGAACTCTAGACTAGAACAATATATATTTCACCGCAGATCTTACTGAGGACATCGCACGTACATGAATTCATGTGAACACAAAATAAAACAACACGCGTATTATTATAATATAGAGCTTAATGGACAGTCTGAGCTGATATTCCATTGATATAAAACAAAATAAGACCCCTCTAACTCCACGACCCAGTGTAAACTCCAATCATTTGCTCCATGACCAGCACGAGTCCATCATAATGCATTCTCAGGCATAGATAGATACGACTTTACTCAGCAGAATGATATTTCTCCGTCGCAGAGCGGAATAGCTCCTGTTGCTGCCGGAGCAGTTCCTCCTCCGATAGCCCGCTCTGCTCCATCTTGCTCTGCTTCTTTTCCCGCGACTGCAATGCATTAGCCCCGATATTACTCACGCCATACCAGGCTTTAAACGCGGACAGGCCATACCTTCAACTGCTCCTTATGTTCTTCCGCGACGGCAAGGACATCCTGAATGTAATCGCCGAATCCGAGATCACGCAGAGCCCGCTCCACATGCTCACAGGCGATAGTCTTCTTCGCTTCCTTCTCGCTGATATCGTTGGCTTCGGAGGAGATCAGAGTGATAAACTCAACGCAGCACTCCATGAGGAGATCGCGCGCGTCTTTGGAGAAGGACTGCCCGGAGGACGGCGGGAGGATCTCTGTGATGATTTTCTGGACCGTCGCTGGGCTAGTTAGATTGGATTCTATTGCAGCAGGAGGATCGCGAGTATGTCTCATTCAAAGGCACTGAAAGCCGGGCGGAGAGAGGAATAAGCGACAGTACACACCTTTAGGAAGCGACAGATCGTCGTTTGCTATCACCGCGTTAGTTTGAATACGCCTAGAATGCGCGAGGGTGACTTACAGCTGAATTCTCGATCTGACATGATGGAGTTGTATTGTTGGTATAGTTGATTGATGAGGATATGCCAGAGCTCGAGGACTGCGTCAAGTGTATCTATCCAGGCTATCTCCGTGGTCCGTGAGCCTGGACTAAGCTCATCGCGAATAAATATGGATGCGACTCGACGCGGAACGGAACAACCTGGCGGCAGAATCCGACCGCCCCCGCGACCTTTTCTTCGGCTGCGATTTTTTTCGTCTCTGTTTTCCTTCACATCCCACACATGGATTCTCAATGCAATGTTTTCATGTTTCTCGTGGACAAATTTCGATAACATGAGCAACTAACTGATATGGTACGTTCAATCGACTTTTCCCTTGCTTCCTTACCATGATGAACATCGTTGTCGCCCCTATCAGACCTTCTATGGTGACGTACACTGTCCAAGCCAAACGGACCACTGAAATACCAATTCTTCACATTTTGCATCACTCAGCTTTTGTGTGACCAATGCTGACTGTTTGAAGAATTTAGAAGCCCAACGACAAAGGAAACACCGATGCCAGCCCAATTTGTAGTCAAGGTACGACAGCGGAAAATTTCTTATTTTTTTTTAATAATTTTGTGATGAACAAACTACATTCCATGCTAAGTATGAAGATGCGCTGCATCTGATGCTTAAGAAATGTATTGCTTTTCATCTTTCGGCTGATCAATTCAATTGTTTTGCTATGCTGTTCTATGGCTTCGTGTCGAGTCGTTGCTGACTCTTCTATATAGTAGACTGTATTACGCCTGGTAGGCCTCGAGCTGTTGGTCATTCCATCTGATCCGGTTAGCATTAGAGCAGAAAAGAAATGCAGAGAATAGAGCACTTACGAAAGAAACTTTCCACTCAACTCCTTCGGCGCGTCCAGCACCAGCTTGGCCATAACATGCCCCGGTTGCTCAGGCTTAAGTAACTTTCCATCCTTATGCACCGTCGTAAACTTGGAATGCACCTGCGGCTCCAACGTTGTCGCATGGTCCTCCCTCAACTCCCTCTGCATCTCCGTATCCACCATTCCCGGCCGGATAGAAACACTCACAACATCAGGCTCTTCCTCCCCAAGACTCAAAGCCAGATGGTTCATCGCAGCCTTCGTAGACCCATAAAGCCCCCAGCCACGATACGCAGAGACACTAGCCCCAGAACTCGTAAAGACAATGCGGCCCTTACTCTCCCTCAACGCCGGCAAAGCCGCCGTGATAAACGACACCAGACTGAAGAAATTCACATCATACCCTTTCTTCCACTCCTCGATATCCGCGGCCGCAATCTTCCCCACCTGGCCCAGGATCCCGTGGTTCAGGACCACCCCGTCCAACCGCCCAAAGGTCTTCACGGCCAGCTCGACGGCTTTCTGCCCGAGACTGAAGTCCGCGAGATCGCCGTTGAGCACGGCGACTTGGTTGCTGTATTCGGATTTCAGGGCTTGGAGGGGCTCGACGCTTCGTGCGACGACGACGACGTTGTGGTTTTGAGGGGCGGAGAGGAGGTATTTTGAGATTGCGAGGCCGATGCCTGGGTGTTTTTTGTTAGTGGGGTGTGTAGGTTGATGAGGGGTTGGGGGTGGGGAGGGAAGGACCTCTGGAAGCTCCAGTGACGATGATAGTTTTGGGTGCCATTGTTTCGATTTATTGTCTTGATGAAGTGGAAGGAAGATGATAAGAGTCGGGACTTGGAGGAGTTGGTGTTGCGGGAGAAAAGTCGGGATGATGTAACTGGCGTGGGGTGGCCATCAACCAAACTTGAGGTTAGACACTTGAGGCTAGATAGATGAATGTATAAAAATACAAATATATGCAGCAGCTTTAGATAGTTTGTATTCTCTAAATTAGTTGGTACAATTGGATGCTAGCCATGGAACTGGTATGTCATCTCTCTACCCCTCCTGCCCCTCGCTTGCCTAGTGACAGCCGCAGATAAAAGAAGTAGAGACTAGACATTCTGGGTATTGTTATTCTGGCTCTTCTGTATAAAATCAGGCCTGTAAAGTCACTAATTTAAAGTCAGCAATTCACAATTGGTATCTACTCGAATATAGTGAAGAGCTTGACAATGCTTTTGATCTGCTCGCTTTGGTGGAGGAACACATTGAGCATTGAAACCGAGAATATGAATGCCGCTGGATTTCAGACCTATTAGATGCTACAAACACGCTCATTAGAATTCGATATTAGTATATAGTTTCTTATACTTCAGATACTGGTATCCGCCGGAACCAGTGAAAGTATTCCGGCGGACAAGTTTCCCGCACTTTCGCTCAGTCTCCATTAAAACACCAGCACATAAGTATAGTTCAAAGCCATGTGAACCTACAGGATTTACTTGACAATCAACCAGTGGGATCTTATCTCCACTGTCCTGATATATAAACACCAGCACATCTGGGGCAATTCCGGAGTATTCAACCGAAACACAAAATGCCCACTGTGATCCTCGGCGGGGGCATAATCGGCGCCTCAATCGCCTACTATCTCTCTGAGCAACAACCCGGCCAAGAAATCCACATTATAGAATCCTCTTCAACGCTCTTCAGCTCGGCATCCGGCTATGCAGCAGGATTCCTAGCGAAGGATTGGTTCGAGCCGGCTCTTCTCCCGCTCGGCGAATACTCGTTCGCCGAACATGAGGCCCTGTCGGCGAAGTACGGCGGCGACAAAAAATGGGGGTTTATGAAGGGAACGGCACTGAGTCTCGGATCTACGGATGCGAGTTTGGGCGGTGCTCGTGGTGATGACTGGTTACGTACTGGGACGAGTCGTGCAGAGACGGCGACGAGCCAACCTGTTCTGGCTGAAGGGCCGGAGTGGCTAACCAAGCAGAAGGGGACTGTTGTTGAGAGGATCAGTGAAGGGGATAGCGTTGCTCAGTTGTATGTCCCTATTGATATTGAAGAATGAGAGACTGATGAAATCAGGGACCCCGTCCGTCTGTCGCATTTCCTGCTGGACAAGAGTCTCCTTCGAGGCGTGAAACTCCACCACCCAAGCAAAGCTACGTCCCTTATAACGGACTCAACCGGCACAATAACAGCCGTGAAGATACTCAACCTTGATACAAACACCGAATCAGCAATCAAATGCACAAATCTTATCCTCGCCGCAGGTGCCTGGACCCAACGGGTCTTCCAGTCTCTCTTTCCAGCATCAAACACGACATTCCCAATATACCCACTGGCAGGATACTCCCTCCTCGTCCGCTCACCCCGGTACACACCCGCACATGAGTGTAAGGAAAACAACCATAGCTACTCAGTATTCACAACCCACCCGCCGTCCTGTGGCTTCAGCCCAGAGATATTCTCCCGCCAGGGAAGCGAGATCTACATTGCAGGTCTAAACAGCCGGGAAATCCCCGTCCAAGAGGGCGTCGAGGATATAAAGTCCTTTTTCGAGCCGAGCGAAGTCGAGAAATTAAAAGCCGTCGCAGTCCGACTTATGGGCAGGTTACCGGACAGAGCAACCGAGTCAACGGATGAAACGCCCAATGTGGATGACCTCGAGATCCTCCGTGAGGGACTGTGCTTCAGACCTGTTGCGGAACGCGGCGTGCCGTTTGTCGGGAGGGTGGATGATGGTGCTCTTGGTGGGTTGAAGACGACCAAGAACGGAGGTGTTTTTGTAGCCGCGGGTCATGGGCCCTGGGGGATCACGCTTGCTCCGGGGACTGGGAGAGTTGTGGCGGATTTGGTTCGGGGTGTGAAGCCGGCTGTTGATATTGCTGGGTTGGGCGTTTGGTCGAAGGCGAAAGCGAAGCTGTAGATGCGGGCATTTACAGCTATCATGGATATTCTTATTAAACCTGATCTGATAGCCAACTAGTATTTGTTAATGATATCATTCTATGGAAGATGCTTGATTCTGTCCGGCAGTGACCAATCGCCATGGTATGGAAGAACAGCCCATTACCGGTAATCTCGTAACTTTGGATGCGGTCTGAAGATTCTCTTCCCTGACAGTCCAATCACAAAGACCAATTCGTTGCTTGCCGAGGCGTCGGCAATCAGGCTGTTTGCCACCAATTGCCTGGGCTGCTGGCTTACACTCACTAACGGCCCCACTGATCTTGGAAGTAGAAAGCCCGTCCCCTATTGGACCCTGGATCGCCTCCTTGCCTGTTGTGGTTGCAATTAGCTAACGCCCAGCGTCGGGTCTTCTGTATAGGGAAGGTCAATGGAGGAAATCCGATATCTGGACCCAGAGCCAGCAGGCTTTTTCTTGCTAGATGACTTGCCGTTTTCCAGGCTACTTAAGGCGCAGGCCGAGGACGCCCCTGTTGAAATATCTTGCCCAGAAAACACTGCCATCCCCCTCTCTGCTGTTTTGTGCTTGATCACCTTGTCTCTCTACCCTGCTTTCTTTATCATTGAATAGTGCCTCGTATTGTAGATGGCCCCCGAAGCGAGCGAATTCATCCCCGGCACCGTCCGGCTGGTCGACGTAGGCGAGCATGCGCATAATGGCACCGGTAAAGCGGATATCGTGCTGGTCCCCCGACCGAGTGCTGACCCTGAGGATCCTCTCAACTGGAGCAGAAAACGCAAGATGCTCGCCCTGTGCATGGTCTACCTGTACAACCTGGCCGTCGGCATCCCAACCTCCCTGCAGTATTCAGTTCTTTCGGATATCACCCGCGACACGGGCATCGACACCGCCACGCTGGTGCAGGGGAATGGCCTCATGATTCTCTTCTTTGGATGGGGTCCTGCCCTGTTCTGGCAGCCTCTGGCCTTGACCTATGGCCGTCGCGGTGTCTACCTCCTCTCGACCCTGCTGGTCATACCCATCACGGTATGGACCGCGTATTCCAGCTCCGCGGGCGAATGGTATGCACACCGGGTGCTTATCGGTATTATTGCCTCGCCGTTCGAGGCCTTGCCTGAGGTGACAATCTTTGACTTGTTCTTCGCCCACGAGCGCGGTGCCTATACTAGTGTGTACGTGTTTGTGCTGTTCGCTTCCACCTTCATTGCCCCTCTTATCGCGGGCTGGTTCAACGATGCGTACGGCTGGAGATGGACCATGCAGTTTGGCGCTATTGTCGCTGCCTTTTTCTTCGTCATCCTGTTCTTCTTCCTCGAGGAGACTATATACTTCCGTGATTCCGTCGAGGGAGACAGCGATAGTGCCCGTAACTTGATGTCCTCGCGATCATCCGACAGCGACGAGGAGGCATCCAACCCTCCATCAAGTGTTAAAGGAGCTGCTGCTGCCACTGCCACTGGAGATAGGGCCATGGCATCACGATCTCCTTCCCCACTAGCATCGCCCAAGCCCGTCTCCGCGTACCCAAGTCCCGACTCGCAGCGCTTCTTCCGCGTCGTCAAAAGCTTCAAGCTCTTCACGGCTCTCCCCGGCCGTCCCAGCAATGTGGAAATGCTCCGAATGATATACTATCCCGTGCTCTTCATCTTCCAGTTCCCCACTGTCTTCTGGTCCGGCTTCCTCTACGGTATCAACCTCGCCTGGTACAACGTCCTTAACGGCACTACCAGCCCTGTCCTCAGCGCCCCGCCCTACAACTGGTCCGCCGCCCTCATCGGATGCGTCTATACAGGTCCTATTATTGGTGCAGCCCTTGCAGCCGTCTGGTGTGGCCCCGGCGCCGATAAATTCGCCCTCCTCCTCGCCCGTCGTAACGGTGGTGTCCGTGAACCTGAACATCGACTCTGGCCCCTGCTCGTATCCGGCGTTGTCTCTGCCGCAGGTCTAATCCTCTGGGGCGTCGGCGCAGATCGAGGAATCCACTGGATCGGACTCGTCTTCGGTCTTGGTCTGATGACCTTCGGCACCGTGACCGGGGGAGCAGTCGCCGTCTCATACAATGTCGACTGCCTGAAAGAGATTGGCGGCGCGAGCACAGTCTCTGTCATGATGATGCGTAACACGATCGGGTTCGGCTTCAGTTACGCGATTACCCCCTGGTACACGAATATGGGGTTGACCAACTGCTTTGTGACCGCTGGTGTTGTCTCGCTTGTTTGTACGTTGACGTTCCTGGTTATGATTAAATATGGCAAGACGATGCGCAGGATGTCGACCGAGAAATATCTGAAGTATATTGCGCGCGTGCCCATGAAGTCGGCTTAGCTTGAGCCTGTACTGTGAGTTGCCTCTGCAATTGATATCTGAGGGTGAATATTAACTGGAATACAGGGCAGCATTCGACATCCCCCTCTATCAAACTCTTGCAAGGTACGGTCCGTCCGTCAGTCATTCTACTAAGGGCATCTCGAAAGCATATACCCCGGACAACCTGCTACTTACAGGTACGCCCCCTACCCCATCCAGCAAATGCATTAATGAGCACGCACAGTAACAGGTCCGAACCGCTTCAGAGCCAACAAGCCAGGACAAGAACTAAACATGCCATGCCTACAGCGCCCAGAGCACATGCCCATACACAAGCCTGCCCTGCCCAACCCAGACAAGATAGCCAGAGAGCCCAACGGTCGAAAGAAAACCCAAGCACCTAAAACCCATAGCCGGATCCTGAGCCCGAGCCCGAGCGAATTGGCCGTAAGCTACCAGAGCCCGAGCGACTCGTAGCGTTCAGTCAAGACATACCTTTAGTATTGGATTATATAGTCTTCGGTCCGAGAATAAGTCAGCTAGGACTGTCTTTATAATGAAGCGTTTTGGAAAGTGTTGCACAGTGCTTGGGTTCAAATTTCGTAATTTGTCGAGGGACAATACCTTCTCTTCACCTCTTCGCTCATCTAAAAGAAGAAAAAAAAAAAAAAAAAAAAAGAATATGCAGAGTAAGGAAGCAGATCATGAGCCTATCTCTCTAAGCAGTCCGGCTGGGCCTGTTGAGCGTAACGCACAGGGGACAGGGGACAGGGGGCAAGTTCAAGTGCAAGTGTGGACTACATCTTGAGCAGCCATCAAGGCCTGTCCTCGTCATAAAATCCTTTTTCCTAATGCATATTTATGCACTCAGCCCCCGGAAGCCTGACTGAGATGAAGCTTAAGCCCAACAGACGGTGATCGCGCAGATCTTATTACTTCCGGGTCCAATGTCTCGGATCCTGGAGATACTTCGGTTGTTGTCTTACCGACCATGCACCGACGACAAAACATAGCTGTGAATTATTTCAGCATTGTCTACGGAATCTTCTTCCGGTTCCGGCTCGAGATACCCAGCTGTCAAGTGCAATTAGGTACGTGGCATTGAGATGGCGTTGGCGTTGGCCGCCAGGGCTGAGACTGCTCCACAAAGTCAACAAGACACCGCCACAACGCAATGATCTGCACTTTCCTATGCCATAAATTAGAATAAGGATTTGTAGTCTGTACCCACGTGTCCACTACTGTTGAGCCGTTGACAATTGACATTTTCAGCCAGCCTTCCAGAAGGTGCCGGTTAGGGCTTGGGCTGTACTGCCGCGTTGCACGTACGTAAGTACGGATATTAGGTAGAGACTTCGGATAGTCTACCCAATACTCTGTACGTCGTAGACGAGGGTACGCCTGTCGACTAGCCACCTACACCGTATATTGGAGCCTGTGGATGCTGTAGCGTGGCTTGTACCCAGTTCGGAATTATCCTATCCCCACATACACTAGTACGTAGTTAGGTGGTGAAGAAAGAAAGGAAAGCATTTCCGGGAAGCTCTTTCGCTGGATGAAGAAGAATCCTTGAACGGTATTCTTTCAACGGCGGCCGTTGGGATCCGGATTCTATCATTTTGTCTCGGATAATAATGTGTACACCTGTTGGTTGGAGGGTGATTCCATACTAACGGGCCGGAATAAAGAGTAGAACTGGGACTGGATAGCCTCGTACGTCTTGATCTCTAGATCATACCCTCTCACTTAGCATTGGTAGCCAGAATCTTGAGCTATTCCCGGGGTGGACATGGACATGGAAGCCTCACTTGCAGAGTACGGTGTACTCCATGATCCATCCAAGCCAATGAGCACAGCAATATACCCCTGAACGGTAAAAGATCTTCCAATAATGCCTAATCTTAAACAGATCGGCGGCTGAGGCACAACGGACTAAAAATTGGCGTGCTGTCGAACCGTTATGACACCTCAGCTCCAGTTCTCCACTACCCAGTCTATCCAGGGCTGAAAGAAGGTCCACGCATTGTGGCGCTGCCAGGATCCATTCTTGAATCCGTGAATATTACGAAATACGGATATGCTGGGGAAAGTCATAGATGTCGGGCAAGATCCGAGATTGAGAAATAGGATCTGCAGTCGGCTTCAATCCTTCGAGTGTTTCTAGTTGACGGTTAGGTTACTTGTCTTTCCTGGCGTCTCTCCATGAGGATCTATTCCATTACTCGAATGGGGCGTTGGACAAGGAGTAAGTTTATACTTGCGTAACTTCTCATACGAAGGGCCTACCAAGAGATTATGATAATGCACATAGCAACATGAAGTGTACAGATAGCTTCTAAAAGGACAACCCTTATTAGAAGAGCACCAGCTTCTAGGAACCAAGTTAGGCATCCCACCGTCTCCGGAAGGAAGTGGAGAAGAGCAAGCAGAGCTGAAGCCCAACACCAAAAACACGCAACCAGCAACGTAGATCCCCTTATGTCTCAGTTGCATTCTAAATCAGGTATTGATCCAACGGCTTTCAGCCAGCCCTCAATCCGTGTGTGCTCCGTGAATACTCTGTGAATACCGTCGAGGTCGATTCCGAAAGACATAAATAGGCCCTGGGACACCGTCAATTCTCTTACCATCAATTAATCAATCAATCAAGCAATCATCCCAGCAAGTCTCTTTCAAACCACCAAAACAATCAACAAAATGCGTTTCTTCAGCATCATCGCCACTACCCTCCTCGCCATGACCCCCGCCGTCACGGCCCAGGGCCAGAACCCCCAGGGCTGCCTTGACAAGTGCTACGTCAACAGCGACGTCAAGTGCCCTGCCACTCACTCGGTAGGCCTTACTGACTGTTATTATAAGAGAGTGCTTGCTAATACAAGAGACTAATAGGCTGTTGGCCGTATCGGCCCTGTACGTTACCTTTCTCATGGATATCTGGACATTCCGGATTGAATCAGGTTTACTAATGTGTTGTTTAGGGCTGCTTCAAGTGCTGCGAGTCTGTTTAAACGATGAACTACAACCTTCCAATATAACTCCGTCGTTAGTATGTGAGGCCACTCTGGTCTCATATTGTTCTCTCGTTTACTTGGTAATGTGAGGAGGATTAGGTCTGGCCATGTATTGAGTTACTACTAGCTAGTTTATTGCCTTGATAATGGCTATAAACCTTTCTACTTACCAAAAAGGAATATGTGCATCTAAACTTGCTTAGTGGAGCATAACTTTTCTTGACTTTGCAATTTGGACCATGGCCCATTGGCTATTTGAAATTTATATTGCTATCTAAATTGCGTAGAAAATGCAACATCTTCTGAAAGAAATGTCACAAACAAGAGTGCAAGCTTATAAACCCTCCATCTGATATCGAAGCGCAAGGTCTTTTAGCCAGTCCACAAACTCCTGCGTGTAAACATCACTCATATCTTGGGGATTCCAATCCTCGCTTGGTACACGTAAATACTCATGCCCAGTACAGTCATGAAAGCGGTTACCCTCTGAATACTGCTTCATACAAGATGCACATAGGTCGAAACCTGGACAGACGCAGCAAGAGTATAGTTGCCCAATAATATTTCGACCGCAGCTATCACAGGCCGCAGCGAATTTATAGCCTCCGTTATCTGATTTTTGCCAAATGGTTTGATCCCAGACGATAGATGCAGACGCAAAATCCTGCTGCAGCTGGAGGCAATTTCCTAGACAACGTAGTGAAACCAAGCTTTTTGCCGTCATTGGGCTTATCGTCTTTACGATCATTTGTATCGAGGCTCTAGCCATTTGTCGCCGGGAATTCTCGGTGGGAGCTTTGCAATTTTCACATTGAGGGATTCTTGCTCGAAACTCTGCACTGGAATATTGCCATGGCGCCATTCCACAGAAGTCCAGACAATCCAGCGGCGCCTTGTTATCAATAAGAGCTAGGATTATATCCTTGAACCTTTTCTGAAAGGCATAATGAAGAGGTGTCTGACCATTCTCGTTTTGTGTATCAACAGCTGCACCAGCTCTAATGAGAACTTCTACCACGTCCAGATGACCTCTCCAGGATGCCAAATGTAATGATGAATCTCCCAGAATATTACGGGTCAAGACACATGAACCAGTGTTAATAAGCAGCTTTACTACCTCAGTGTGACCCTGGTGGGATGCTAAGTTCAATGGAGTGTCTCCGTTGCGGTCCTGAGTGGAAACATCTGCCCCAGAATCAATGAGAAATCGAACCACATCATAGTGGCCTTGCCAAGCTGCAAGGTTGAGAGGGGAATCTGAATTTTCGTCCAACGCAGAAACATCTGCCCCAGATTCAAGGAACAGTTTGACTATGTTGTAGTTGCTATTTCGGGCTGCAAAATGCAGAGGCGTGCTTTTTCTATTAGTTAATGCACCAGTATCTGCGCCAAGACCAATGAACAACTTGGCTATTTCAAATTGGCCCCAGGAAGAGGCATTATGTAGAGGTGTAAACCCATTGGTATCCGGGGATGTAAGATCCGCGCCAGAGTCCAGTAAAGCTATCGCTATATCGACGTTGCCGTACCCCGCTGATAAATAGAGAGGAGTGTACCCATATTTATCAGTGGACGAGACGATGGCTTTATTTTGAAGGAGTAGTTTGGCCATTGTAACATTTCCGCTGCGTGCTACGAGGTGAAGACAGGTCTGCCCATTATTATCACGGACAGATAGATCCGCACCCTCAGCGACAAGAATTTGGGTCACGCTTTGACTTTCGTTATATACTGCTGTCAATAGTGACGTTCTTCCTGCATCATCAGTAGCTGATATGGATGAACCGTGTTGTAGTAATTCGATGACTGCCTGATCTTGATTGTAGGCAGCAGCAGCATGGAGCGCGCTGCCATATCGACCATGCCAATGTATATCGGCTCCTATTTCAAGGAGGAACTTCAGAACATCCAGGTGGCCGTTTCCGGCGGCGGCTTGGACTGGATTGCCAAAGTATCCACCGGCTTCGTTGGCATATGCCACCCCCGTGCTATACAGATATCTTACAACTCTCTCAAGCCCAAAGAGAGCTGCGTAGTACATTCTAGTTCCCGGCAAATTTTGAGACTGGGTACTTTCTTCCGCTGAACGACCGTCTTTGGAGCGCAAGATCTCTGAACTTGTATCATGGTATGCCTCATTCAGCTGTCTCCAGTTGTCCCAATTGGGATTGAACACGCCAAAGAAAGACTGAAGCCGTGGTTGCAGCTGGTCTAGATGCACATTGGATTTGCCCAAATGGTTATACCACTGTCGCACAACATATGTAAGAAATGGACGCTGGTATATTATTCCCCGGTCCTCACGTTCGTCGGGCTGCCAGGTATATTCGTGATCCAAATAGGTAAGACAGCTTTTAAGTAACCGATAATGCTGGAACGGATGGTCAGGGAAAGGAGAATCACTATGATCACCCAAGAAAAATTCTTCCGCAGAGTGATGGATCAAGTGGACAGTTTGTGACCCCCATTCTGTATTTGTCCCCGAAGCCCGCAGCTCCAAAAACGAGCCGCATAGACCAAGAATCTCGGAGTCCACGTATTCATTGTCAAATGGGTCCGGCAGATCATCAAATTTCGGACCGTTGTTTTCATCATCTTCTAGGACTGCAACGATTTCAGAAAGCTCTGCGATCGTGAGTGGACGACAGGAGAAAGTAACCCAGCGCAGAATTGCCTCTGCACGTTCTCTATCAGACCGGTCGTGTTTCTGGATATCGATCCAGTTTCGCCGATATATTTGGAGAAGGTCAGTTGGCATCTCGTCCACTGCGCGCTGGAGCTGACTATTTCCCTTGCGTGGCCGGAGATTTTGGCTCTGTAGTCGTATAAACAGGAACATTCCATCGCCTTTTTCAGCCATACGAGCCGCAAGGCCTTGGTTAAACCGGCCCGTTTTTCCAGGGAGTTTATGATTGACAACATGCTGTGCGAAGCGTGTAACATCGCTAGAAACAAGGTCTCTGGTGATTGACAGCTCGTATATCTTGATGCCAGATGGCTGTGGACCATGAGGGCTCAGTTGGGACCTGATATCGCCCTCATTTCGACTGACCACAAGAACTCGGGCTTCAGCCTCTGCTGACACTTTTACAAGCTCGCTTAGAATGTCCTCCCTGCTCCGATGCAAGTCAACCCGGTTTGTGCTTCGCGGACACTCGTCCAGACCGTCCACTGCAAACACAGCGTTTGGACAGTGCGACATGAGCTTCTTCAATAGCTGCCAAAGATCCGAGAGCGTTGCTTTAGTGTTTCGGCATGAGCTGAGATACTGCAGTACGATATCAAGCATGGCCTCGTCTTGATGCATGGCTTGGTATATCCATGCCCGCAGGATAGAACTAGGATTTCGCTGAGACTCGCTGTCGCCAGAGCAGAAGAAGTAGTAGACGGGATGATTATTCCTGCTTAGGAGCGATGTGATAATATATGCACACAGAACAGACTTCCCAAAACCAGGCGGGCCGTTGATCCATAATATCTTGGACGATTTTGCTGTTCTTTCTGAACACCAGGCTCGATAGACAGGGTGTGTATCAATCCAGCCGCAGGTGGTATCAAGACGCGCAGAGCAATAGGCATCATAGCTGTTTTCTGTCGTCATTGCATCTAACCAGTGTGTAGCTTGACTGAGAGCTTCAGTACGCTGTGACTGGACGAGCGCATCTTGCAGTTTCTGAAACTGGTTATTCTGAAGATCCCCTGGAGGAACAAGAGAATACAGCTTCTGTACCAAATCATCAAAATCCTGGACCTGGCTGGAGAGTCTTTTACCGTCCGCAACAGCCCACTTGACACGGGATCTGAAGTGCGCTTTGACGGAGTCAGCATCATTCGCGAGAAACGGGTTCTGACCATGATATCTGGACATGGTCGAGTCGGCCTTTGCGAACACGTCGCGGACGGATTTCAGCAAGTCTGCAACAGCAGTGACTGTGGCTTGGTCATTGAGGCCTGGATGCACGCCGCTCTTTTCTGCAACCCGAAACTCCTTCCCCCATCGTTCGAATAGAACCTTTGTAGCGTTATACCGGGATGCCACCCGGAGGCTTTCGGAAGAGAAGTGCTTGATTGAGTACAGTGTGGTGGCGGCCTCGTCGTACAGAGCCAGCAGCCCAACAACGCCGACTGCCAGCCCAGCGGCTTCCATTACTGACCAGTTGGATAAGTAAGTAGTGGTAATGTGAGGAGCTGAAACGGACATGGTCGAGGTCGATCTGACCTGATCTCTGCATTTACCCCGCGCTAGGGTGAGATGAGGCTGTGCATGTCGACAAGGCTGACAGGGCTGTTTTATCTTTTATGGAGCAAGTAACGCCACGGGGATAGAAGACTTTGATAATGAGTCTCCTTGGTAAAAGTGCGACACGGACATGGACCTAGATACAACCAACAGGACCAGCAGAATTACAGAGAAACAGCAAGAACTAAAGAAAGACAGACATATTTCCAATGCACCCTGGACAAGCAACAACGACCCAAACCTCCAGTTCACCAGCAAACACCCAACCTATCATGAATGAATATATGTGAAGAACTGCCTTATCATGTACTGAAAATAGACCACTCTTGGCACCAGCAACTTTCCGACGCCACTGGGATACTTTTGTACTGCACACTCACCTACCCGTTTCCACTCCACCACGGTCTCCTGCATGAGACGCATTCCAGAATCCGTCTTGACAACTGCATTGAACCGTCGGGAAATCAATATCTCCGCGTCGCACGAAGATCATCAGTACATAAGCCCCTTTTCGGGAGATCGCAGCAACCCAGTTTCAACCTCACCTCACCATGGCCGCGGAACCACCACCTCAGAATACCACCGAAACTGCTGGGTCAACTGTCGAGATAGAAGGCGTTTTCAATGTTCGCGGTTTCGGGGGATATACGAGTACCCTTGGCCCTGATTGCTTCACTCGCGATGGGCTTCTCTACCGCGCTGGACATTTAAAGGACATCACCGCGCGGGGGTTGCAGCAGATTCGAGATCTGGGTGTGCAAACTATTATTGATCTGACAAACTCGGGTGAGACGCAGGTTCTTTTCAGCGATACATCCAACAGCCTGGGACAGGGAGTCCGGGTTCTCAGTTTCCCTCTGGCGAAACATGGCTTTTCAGTTCAGCAGCTGTCAGAGAAATACCGACGGTATATGGCAGAGGGCGAGAAGGTGACTACCTCGCTTTCTTCGTATGATGTGTTTCTAATTATGTAGGCAATTGCAGAAGGCTACTTCAAGCTCATACTCGAAGGCCATAAGGTGATCCGGGATATCCTCTTCTTAATCCGTGACAGCCCAAACGACGTATTCCTTATCCACTGCGCCATGGGCAAGGATCGGACAGGCGCCATTTTCGCCATTCTTCTCCCTTTAGCTGGTGTACCAGACGATATTGTAGCAGAGGAGTATAGTCGCAGCGAGGTGGCGCTACAGTCTGCATTACCTGAGATTGCGGCTGCAATTGGGAAAGCGCTACCGGGGCAGATTGATTCGGATGATGCTCTGAAGAGGGCGCGGATTGTGATTCAGACGAGGTGCGTATCTACTTACCTATCGCGATGGAGCTAATGGCACCATAGGAAAGGGGCAATGCTGCTGACACTGCAGATGATTGAGGAGAAATTTGGTGGCGTGATTGAGTACCTGAATAAATGTTGTGGCATTGAAGGCGAAGATATCAAGCGTATTCAAGAGATATTGACACATTCAAAAGCTAATTAGATTAGACTAGAAGAACTAAGCTGACAGGGGAAAGCTCGATTCCATATTCCTTATACAATTGGTTATTATTAGCATCCTGCAGAGTTTGAGGCTAGTATTCAGCGCCATCAGCTGGGTGTTTGCTCACCAGAGCTGTTTCCAGTATTCTGAAGCTGATTAGTGACCTAATAACATGAAGGATGAGCCTGCTTAAGATCACATTCAACTCAGTCATAAATGTAACAGCAAGCTCAATCGAAAATATCAACGTCCTTTCCAATACTGTTCCAACATGGCCTTCACAGTAAGAGGCTTAATATTCGGGAATTGCTCATTCAGCGAACCCTCCCCAGAAATACAAGACTGTCTATCCGTCATAAACAGCTCGAATATAGACGTAAACCATGTAAAGCCTTCCTTTGTAAACTTCTCGTATAGCGGTCGATGGCCCGGTAGCTCTGTAATTTGAAACGCCTTGAGCTTCTCAACTGAGTCGTAATGGATTTCGAATTTACAGTCTAATACAGTTAGATGAGATAGAGGTTGCAATATAGTAGGTATCACCAACCAAGGGTATTCTCAACCAGTGAGACAAACTCGTTCCATGTCATCTCGTCTCCGATGACTTTGCTTTCTTGTGGCCATGTATCGAGATCAAGAGAGGCGACGATAAACTTTGCCAGGTCAAACGAGTACGTAAAGGTAACAGGCACATTTCCGTCGCCGGGAATAGCGGCGACTTTGTTGGCCATGTCCATGACGAATACATTAGGCTTCAGGTAAGTCTTCATGGCAGGGCCACCGAAGTAGTCCAAGAAAATGCCATTATGGAATACTGTCCACTCTAGGTCAGAGTTCTTCAGTGTCTCTATAGCAGCAAAGTAATCTTTCAATGGTGGTAGGACTTGCACGGCCCTGCGCGAGTCAGAGCTGAATCAACACGCAGCAGAATGAGGGACAGACTTACTCCTGCGGATACGGAATTGCAAAAGAACTTGGGATGAACCGCTTTGTCTCCTTGGACTGTTTTGCCGCCTCGATCAGGTTCGCCTGGGCTTTTGCTAGCGAGTCGCCTTCGATGCCGAATGCGGATATCACCGTGTGGATTTTCCACGACTCCAGGACGGCTGCTAGGTCATCGGTATTGTTGTAATCAACGGTGATGTGGTTATTATCGCTGGATGGCTGCGCCATGTTAGTAAGTACGTGTGGTATATTCTGGAGTCATACCTTTCGCGACAGAACGAAACCCTGGTGGGAAGACGAGGATAGGACCTCGACGATGGTGCGACCGACGTCTCCGGTGCCTCCAGCTACTGCAACGTTGACCATTGTATCGAGAAGATAAATAGTTAGTTATGTGAAAGGGAGGCTGTACTTGCGGATTCCACGGGATCTATATACGGCGAGGACCCCCGCGGGACCATCAGACCAACCAACAGATCCACAGCGGCTCGCGCTAAATGCTGACTTGTGCATGAGAATATAAATCCGTGCCAATGATGTTTGATCGTGGTTCCTCCTGCTCGGCTCTCCGCGGGGTCCGGTATACAACAGTGTACATATTATTCATGCTATTATCGAGCCAACAACGTACGGTCGCATATATAATGAACCGTGTTCCTCCCCAAATCCATAATGTACCAGAGATTAGCACTGATTCGTTTAGTATGGTTGTGGTTAACTCCGGCTGAGCCGGGCGAGTCCGTCTCTGGAAATGCCCTACGTCACACTCCGCATACTGATCCTGCCACTTTAACCTCCCCATTCTCTCTCAATAGAATTATACAGCTGAGTATCCAAAATGAGCAAACCTACCAAACGAAAGCTGCCAAGCGACAAGGAAAATCTCCCAGTCGAGTCCCCCGACCAGCCCATCCATGTGCCACGTGGCGTCTTCAAAGGAATCTTCATCGTGTCCTCAATAATCCTAGTCCTGCTCCTCATCTACAGACCAGCAGCAGTCTTCTCGGGGCCTAAAAAAATCGCCGAAGCGACGCAGATATCTATCAAGCCCAATACAGGGCCACAAGATGACTGCGAGCTGCCAACAACGCGATACAGCATCTACACCGGACAGACGGCATGCTATCCCAGCTCCGGCGGGATCTGGGTGTCTGATCTCGGTCCTGTGGAGCTGCAGTATCTAGGCATCAACCGCTTCAACACTACCTTGCGTTCTCTGTACCAGGTCGAAGAGGACATGTTCTGTCGTGAGCTGCGCAAGTTCGGCGGCGGGTGGTATAACCCCAAATCCGGCAAGGAGTTGTTGGTTGGAGGGTACTGTCACGAAATCGATGAGTTTAAGCCTGTTTACTCGATTGTGCGTGCGATCGGGTTTGAGCAGGGTGGCGGGGTGTGGGTTCTTGGGGCTGAGAGGACTGGCCGGTTTCCAGCTGGGATGGTGGCTGTGGGGAATGCGCTGAATATGGCGGAGCGAACTATGGCATTGAGGAGCTTGGGAGCTGTTTATTGTGCTGATGTTGTGGGTTGTGGTCTTCTTGAGGATTTGTCCAAGGAGCCGTATGAACTGGCTAGGGAGAGGTGATGATCTGTATATTAAGAATATAATTCTACAGCTGGGGTGATGTTTTAGGAATAGAACAATCAGTATCAGCTCAACAAGAGTGTCCTCTTCGACGAGAACATCCCGATTCGCGGGATAAACCTTGGGAAGGCCGCTCTTAGACAGTCAGATGTGGCACGGCTGAGTAAAGCCCAGTGCTTGGACTGTGCACCCAAGATACAGTGTGGCATATGATAGACATCACATGGTACCAGTCGTTCAGCTGAGTCTCCTTGGCACACGAAGACCCTGGTTTGGAGGGTACCCTGCCTTTGCTTAGCATAGAAATGTGGATGACGGTTCAAGATTGAAGTATCAGGTTGAGATTACTGAATTCGGGCAATGGCTGAAGAATAGGTTTAGTGTAATTTATTGTCGTGTTGATCCGGCGGTAGCTGTGGGACTTTTCATAGCACCATTTCTTCCATCCTATGGGATGCTTTGATATTCAACGCTGAAGACCTTGCTACGGTACACTGACAATCTGGGAGGACTCAGGTCTGGTCCCAGAATACGAGAATCAAACTAGGCTGCTGGAAAATGTTAATTAGAGAAAACAGCCTTTATCTATCAATCCATAATCAGTTCTTTCCGCCTATTTTCAGAGCTAGTGGGACCAGAAGATAGTGCGTCGCACGATCCAACTAGACATGGCTAGTTTAATTTACTTAAACTTTCGTACACCAGGACGGCTCCTCGTAAGGCGTCCAACCACTGGTGGGGATTGCAACGGCGTTGGTCTAGTTCAACCGGCATTCCACTAATATGGCTAGCCATCTATGCCAATTCTTCACCAACAGGGATCCAACTCCTCATGAAACGGCTGACACCTTTGGCGTGAAACGGAGACTCAGCCGTGTGCTCGGTGCTCGTCGCTAGTGAAGTTCGAGTGACATGGCATCAGCCCATCACATGCAATTAAACTAAGCCTGCCCTATATAATACATTACCTGGTAGCCCCATGTGTTTGGAACTACGCTGTCAACTTCCACTTAGTCTCATCCCTGCCATGCCTGAAGAACAAGTAATCCACCTTCATCCCCTAGGATGGGAAAACGATCCTGAGGAAGAGCGGTTCAAGTTGTCCACGCTGGACTATCTGACTGCGCAGACCTACAACATGTACTGTCTATTCTTTCGACTAGACGAAGCCAGCAGGCCGAGTGCTGTCGAGGCGCTGAAAGCCGGTCTTGAGCGAACCCTAAGCCAGGCCCGACATCTATGCGGGACGATCGAGAAAGATCCCACCGGGGGACACTCCTTCGTCAAAAAGAAGGATAGCACGGTGAGATTCGTCGTCCAGAACCTCGACGCGGAAATCTACCCATCGCTGGATGATATCGAGCAAGCGCACTTTTCCACGGCGAGACTGGGTGATCTCAAACTCTGGAGTGTGCCTCCCATGACCTATGGCGAGAAGCCCGAAGCGAATCCAGATATCAGTCCGATTACAGCAGCTTACAAGGCCAACTTTGTCCGCGGTGGCCTGGTGTTCATCATGCACCACCACCACTATGCCAACGACATCATGGGCTTTGCTGGTCTTGTTCATCAGCTAGCAGAGAACTGTTACTCCATCGTTAACAACACCCCGTTCACTTATTGGGATCCCAAGAACCTGGACTACTCCCGCACAACCAAGCCAGACCCCCCGGAGGAGTTGAAGGTCGACGGCCCTCCTGCTCCCCAGCGCCACCCAGACCTTCTCCCAGGGATATCGCTTCTGTTCCACCTCCCCAAAAGCAAGGCAGCAGAGCTCAAGGCGCTGGGGGCTCCGAAAGACGGAACCTGGATTTCAACCTACGACGCCTTCTGCGCCTTCATCCTACGCACACTAACCCGCGTCCGAGCCCCGGTCTTCAAACCAGAGATGTCCTCGCACATCGTCTGGGGCGAAGGCGTGGACATGCGCAGACGCTTCCACCCACCAGTCCCCCCAAGACTGCAGGGGAACGCCATGTCCGCAGCCTTGAACACACTATCCCCAGTGCCGCAACCAACCGTATCAGAGATCATCTCCGACTGGCCATTCTGGAAATTGGCAGCCTATATCCGCGCGCTGACCAACAGCGTCACACAGGAAGCACTGGACCAGACGCTCGGCATGGTCGCGACAGTCCGCGACAAGACATCGCTGAACATCCGGTGCGACTCGATGCCGCCCATGTCGATTCTCATGACGGATCACCGCGATTTGAACCACACGGCGGCAAACTTTGGCTTCGCGACTCCGGTTGCGTACCGCCATTTACTGGACTGTATTACCAACGGGGTGATTGTTGTCTATCCGCCGCGTGTGAACGACGAGGGTTCGGACGAGGGCCCCGAGTTTGCTATCTTCTACGAGAGAGACCTGGCGCAGACGCTGATTGAGGATCCCGAGTGGAATAGATATTTTGAGTATAGAGGGGTAGACGCCATCGACGCGGCTAGCAATAGCAATAGCAATTAACCAGGGAATGAAGCCAAACAGGTTTCAATATCAGATTAAGACTCCTGCTGCACCCTCCAGAACCACCTCTCAAATTTCAAACTGCCCATAAACCAATCCCCGTCTACTTTCTTCCAAACCTCCCGATAATACCCTCCCCCAGTGCCCCTCCACCCCCCACCAGCTCCCAGACTCGCGCAATGATATGTAGCCGGCCATACAGCACGCACCTCGTCCTCAGAAACAAGCTCCAACTCCCCAGGCCCAACAACATGAATCGTCTGCTGCGTCTCGAATGCCTTGGAGAAGAATCCGACGAAGGCCTCGCGGCTGTCGAAGGAGAAGGTCACGCCGTTCTCGACCAGCACTGCTCCGTCAGGCGCATTGAATGTGGCTTTCAGCGAGGGAAGGAATATATTATCGAAGGCAGCCCACTCGTGTGTATCTGCGAATCGGCAGTACTGGGATTTCTTGAGACGGATGACTTCGGCGATTTCGTAGGGGACGATGGGCGTGGGCATTTTGTTGGAGTCGGGTGGATGATATCGCTTGCAGGAGGATGGTTTGAATTGGAGTTGGAGGTTGAGGGGCAGCAAGCAGCTATTTAAGTACTGCAGCTGCGATGATCTGCTCGTATAGAATGCATTGGGATTCGACGTGGAGTAGGCTTGGGCGCTTGGCTGCTTCGGCCTGTCACTTCCCCGCGTGCCACGTCTGCCCAGTCTGCGACTCTGATACGGCTCGTCTTCGGGGAGGTCTTGGAATCGTGGGAGATGTTATCTTCTCTTATTTGTAGTACAGTAGTTGGTATAAATCAACGAGATAGACCATTTTACATACTCAACTGGAAGGTACCTGGTACAGCATTCGGATCACGGTATGCCCTCCTTTCTCTTAGGTATATGGTTAATATCCGGGTAAAAGGATCGAGTCGCAAAGCTGCAAGTTATACGAGAGCCCATAAGATATGATTCTGATGCTGGAGATCGTCGCTGATGTTGGGGGATAGGGACCACCAGCGAGGGGGAGTCTCTTCTGACCTCAAGCCCAAGTAAGAAATAGCGGAGTTTTGATAAAGAAATATCAATGATAGATAGAATAACTATGTAGTGAACTGGAAATATAATATAGAAACAGAACTTTTCACTCCCCGAATCGGACAACTAACTAATATCAACAAAAACAGGCACGCAACACCAAGACAGGATCTAATAGGCCGGATATTAGACTTAATCTAGTTCTCGTTTTATAGGCATCATAGATAATCTGCGATCCCAGCCTTCATCAATCCACGCATACCCTGGTACGCCGGAGTGGTCCCACCTGGGCAAATCGGATGGAAGCTCGCCATGGATGATCATATCCTCACGGAGCCGATAAAGTGGCGCATATCGGTCGTGACCTTGAGGGCGGCCGTAGTCATTCATATACAGCCAGGCCCAGTTGAACTTGCGCTGGAGAGTCCTATAGTACTCGGGCTTGAACGGATCGAGGAATTCATATTTCATGCGATAAATGATCTCCTCATACATGAGCCCCAAGTAATTGCTTTTACTGACCTCCTTGTCCAAGTGCAGTGCCAGCATGTAAATAGCGCCCTCTACGTAGGCATCCGGACTCTGAATTCGGATAGGATATAAATTGGGCCAGGGTCCGGTAGGCCCATTCAAACATGGTTCGAGACTGCCAGTCGGTGGGGGTAGTCGGGGGTCATCAGAGTTAGTAATGCCTTGACCAGAAGTAAAGCTCCATTCGGTCAGCCATGGCATGACAACAGATCTCAAATGAAGAGACAAGGTTATGCCCTTGGGATGGAAATGGGCCGCAGGAACATGGTGCCATCTGGAGAATCTGTCCAAATCAGAGTGCCCTTCACGAAGGAAAAGCTCTCGGGGGATGCCTCGACGGTCTCCCTTGAGATCTATGCAGTCGGATTTGGTGCATATTTGGAATTTGGAATTGGAAGAAGTCAGCGCATCCACTGCCTTTTGGAGCTGCTTGTCCTCGACTGCGAAATCAGCCTCGGGATATGGGTGTGAGTGGCCCACGAAACCAGTCGCCATATTTCCCACTAGGATATTATAGATACCTTCATCGTCCAATATTTGGGCCGCTTCGGCGGCAACAAATGCACCGCGAACGGGCTCTTTCCCTTGTTGGGGAGACATGATTATGTAGTGATCGAAAGCGAATTGCTGATGGCTCGGTCAACTGGCGTCGCCTAGGGGTCTATTTATAGACGCGTCGCCTTGATTAGCCCCATTATAAAACATTCGTGGGATTCTTTGTTTCTACAGGCGTAAAAGGCAGAATATGAAGGACCATAGTTAAGTGTTGAATTACAAACTAAAAGTTGAATGCCGCAGTAACACTCATAAAGGCCTTTGCGAGGTGGCCGTGAATAGAACTCCATTGTCACAACAATCTCCATTGAATCAGGATCTAGATAAACAAAAACGTCATGGCATTATACTAGTGAACAAACCCTCGCCCAGTCAGCTATGAGGGAACCGCCTCGGAACGCGATGTGAAACTCAGTATCGCAATGCGCATACCAGCCTTTCAATGGCGAGTCCGATCACAGCGCCAACGAGAACTCCGGATCGGATGGACGTCAAAGACCAGTCGGAACGTGGTTCTGGGACTGACAGAGTTTCTCGCCACCAAATCTCACCACCCCCTGCAAGAATACTGAATGTTGCTATGGAATTTTCAAGAATCGACAATTGAGCCCGCGAATAAGCCAGTCGCCTTCCCTGCTTCGAAAAGCGGAGCGCAATGCCCAGTGCGTGCTGAACTCTGGCTTCCAGAGAGCCGGAGGGTAAAGTGGGGGCCCTGAACACAGCTTCCGTTATGATATCCTCTGGTGAAAGGAAGGGGAGGTGGGCGGTGTCGGTAATGGATCTGGCATCGACAAGCCTCGACCTTTCCAACCAGGGGAACTTGTGACGAGGCGTTAGTGGGTATAGGAAGACAGGTGGCCAAATTCGACGGACTTACATGCCGCATCACCATGAATGACACCAGTATGCCCTGATTTGCCCGCAGCAGATTATGAGATATCGGCGAGTATAAGTTGGGATATGTTTCGGAAAGCTTCGTGACGACCTTCTCGCGGACACTCTCAACGCCGGAGAGGGTGTCGCAAAGGCTTTTTGGAGGCGATATAAGGATCGAAATATCCTAAACGGCGGCTTGTATTAGCATCGGCGACGTCCACAGTTTTTGTTTTGGGAATAAGAGAAAGGATTAACCTGGCATTCGACATTGAGGACAAGTTGGGCAGCAGCCAATCGTCCGACAAGTAGTAGACTGGATTCCGCCAACTCTGGGATCGCCACAATCCGCCGGATCGTGTCATAGGCGGTCCTTTCGACGTCTCCGAGCGAAGGAATGGCCATCGTTGATGAGTATGTAAAGGTCGGGGGCGAGGGCTGCTCTTGGAATGATAACGCTGGGGTAGGGAGGGTTTGGATTGAAGTTGAAGAGAGTTATGTGGCAGGTTCTACTCCGGGGAAGAAGTTGGGAATATTTCTGGACCTGAGTGCCACTCTGGAAGCTGAAGGCAGACATTGGAATCTCTCTGTTTGTTTGACGATTGCCGTGCAAATCCCCTCACCTGTCAAACAGTTGCGGTGATTAGAGTAGGCCCACGCAGCACCCAGAAAGGCAGATGTAGGATACATGGACAAGGTCAATTACACCACAATCTCAGTTACCTGGTGCGAACTCAGTAGTTGAATGAGCATCGGGCTTATACTCAGTGACCGATCGTGGCAGTGGATGTTCCAGCAGAGCGGACGCAGTCAACATCCGGTCTTTGATTGGACTGCCAGGCCCCACTTGCAGGGCTCCACGCACGGATCCAACCTTGATTGGCTGTTGCCCCTTCTGATTGGCTTGGACTGCTTTTCACCCCCGCTGATGGGCTTGAGCCTCCCAGTACTTGGGACATCTACAAAGCGATTTGGATGGAGGCCAAAGTTCGCATCACTCTGATGATCTGGATAATTCCCCGGAGGCGTCTCAGCTGTATTGGCCGCAGTTGCGACTGTCGTCGGTCACCGCACCGCCATGCGTGTTTCCGCATCCTTTGTTGATCCCAGGCTGGCGAGCGACCAGACTCAGCCCTTCAGGCTGATGATTGGCCCCGTTTCTGGTCCTTTCTCAAAGCCCACTTCCTGCTGGGTTTAGTGGCTGGCACCTCCAGCCTTGCCTCCCCAGCATGGTTGAGAACCCCGCGTCCAGAAAGAACGTCTCATTTGGGGCGCGAGCAGGACGAGCAGAATGTTTCTTACCACACACTACGTAAGACTGCGCTGCCCGGTCTAGACGACTAGCAACGTTGCCTTCTCCATCGTATCGCAACGATCAAGCCTTGCAAATCCGGCCAGCTGAGTCGTGCTCTCCCAATCGCCGCCAGAGCACTTTCGTATCCAATCACAATTCCTCCTCTGTTACACAAGGGTGGGCTTCCTCTCTCAACACGTCAGAACAAAGGTTACCCCTCAATGGCTAGTTGCCAGGAGGATGGTGGATTTCCCGGTGGGCATGGGCTCGCCGCGCCGTGGTCTTGGTCCCAACGATCCGCACTTGTCGGACACACCCTTTTATCTCCATTCCAGTTCCTATTATCTAGCCTGGTTCTCTGCCATTGACATGCTAGAATTTCACAGATTTAGTATCACCCGCTCGTAGTCTGAGTCGATCTCTCTGCGAAGTCGTAATACGTAGAAGGCAAATACCATGGCTTTCCTAGACGTCAGTGTTGTTATCCCTAGGTATCAATCCTCCGACCGGAAATAAAGGGCCTGGACCGCGGAACCTTCTTGTAAGGCTCGTCTCAGTTCCTTACACTGATAATCCCGGCTCAGGAACGGTGAACGGCACAGGGGTTCTCTCTCGTTCTCCACCCTAACTAGCCATCGGTCATGAACCGGGTGCATTCGCCGGCGATATCCCAACGGTTGGAATCCCGACGATCAAGAGCGGAGCAACCCCCAGCATTTCGCCTCGTGGTCCGACTTTCTGTCAAACCTGAAACCACAGGCGTTATTACCACCCCTTCTAATTGTGGTGGAGGCTCTCTATTTCCTCTGTTGTGCGACCGGGCCCTTGGTGTCGCCCCACGCTGCCATTTGTGTGAACTAACCCTTCTACCTTGTCATCATAATGCAGGTGCTGATCAAGATGGTATCATTGGATCGGACGTCGTCATTCAAATCCCCGCGGCACGTCGAGATCTGGTACTGTAACTCCGGGATATACTCTTGGAATGGCCATCAAACACTAGTACTTAGCCATCCTCAATACTGCTTATATGCTAGTAGTTTAATTTATTCAGCTGAAGCATCCGAAGTCGAATCTTGCTATCATATTGTCATACACCTAATGACGAGCACATCACGCTCTTGTTTCCTCACGCTGGAGGATATACCTTTGGAGCTCATCAGCCCAGGATGGCAGCAGTACAGACAGAGGAACCGGCTCCCTTGCACTGTCTCTGACATGGACATCCGGGTCAATGGTGCGGACTTTGGCACGCCGAGGCAGCATTAACTCATCCTCATTCGGAAGACCTTCTGTCTCCAGACGCTCCATAACCTCCTTGCCCTCCTCATCGGCAACCCTGCGTAGCAGCTCCCAAAATTCCTGGTCTGGCAATTTCCACAGCTCCTCCTCTTTGATCCGCCCCTGCTTGATGATATCCCCAATTACCTGGCCAGTCCGTCGATACATATCCAGATGCGCTCTATTCGACCAGACATCCCTATCGATTTCCAGATACGCGCGCGCAAGACGCAGCGACAGATCCACATCATCAAGAACCAGCAAACGGCGCGGATGCAAGCAATCCGGAAATGCCCTCAGCGAAGAGACAACACGCTTCGCATCGAGCAGTGACAATTTCCCAAACCCCACCGCATCACGCAAGGCATAATCAAGCCGGTCGGCGCAGAGATGCGGGGCCGGTTTCTCAACGAGCGGGAAGATGCTCTCGTCTAGAATCTGCGCGCTGTCGAGCCCGTGGTTTTGCAGAATACGCGGGATCTCGACCATATGCGTGTTCACGGCTCGGTCCTTGTGTACTTCGTGGTAGCTGTCTTCGCCGGGTTGCGAGAGCGCCCAGTCCACGACGTGGCTGAGGGCTGTGTGGCTGATGTCGTGGAGGAGTGCGGCGGCTTGCTCGTTTATGCTGCTGCCTGCGGTGCGTACGAGTATGAATGCACCGACGGAGTGTTCTAGGCGTGTTACTCGGTGGGTGTGGCCGAGAAGGCCGGTGATGCCGTGTTGGCAGACGCCTTGTAGGCGGAGGAGGGCGGGGGAGTGCAGCAGCGCGACTAGGACAGGCTCTGTGATTAAATGGTCGCCGTATAACTCATCGCGAATAAGCACCTCGGACTCGGATGGATATTCGAATGTCTGGAAATAACCGGCTTTGAGCATTGTTAGAGAAGTTGAAGACTACAGCTCTATTCGATGCGACTTTCGGTTTTCTCCGCACTCGCAGGTTGAAAGAGAAAGTAAGCCCTTGCGTCTTTTAGATTACAGGCATGTGATGAATTACAGTTTTCAATTTTCAAGTATTATTCAATCTAGAAAAACCATATCGGCAACTTTAAATTCATTCTCAGTATTCCTAGAATATCTGTAAACTACCATTCTAAGCGTCCAGTCCAATCAACTCCCTCGCCCTTTTAGACAACACCGGGTCCTGGAGCGGTCTCTTGACAGCTTCTTCATACGATGGGTGATCAGATGGAGGCTGGCGGTCCCGTATGCGGAAATTCGCTGGATCGTGAGTAGTGTTCTTCTTCGAGTTGAACGCCTCGATTCGCACTTTCTTTGCTTCATCGGAGACACTGGACGCTGGCTTATAGCAGACGTCTGGAAGATTATCATTAGTCCGACGAATTTTGATAGAGTTCCGGTGACTTACAAGCAGCGAAGCGGTCATTAGTCGATGATGGCGCCGCACCATAATGTATAGTTCGCTTTGATAGTCAGCACTAGGATAGTATCCTGAGATTGAAATCGAACACACCGAATCCCAGAGTAACAAATCACCAGGCTGCGCGCACACCTTAGTCCACTTACACCCCTTCGACTCAAGCCACTGGCACATTTCCTCATCCACAAACTGGAACGCGGACTTGTTCCAGCCGTCGCCCTGTTTATGGTCGAAGCGCTGCCAGAGTTCGCTGTAGAAGGAGCTGGAGCCTTCGAGGATCATGAGTCCGCCGTCTTCGGGGCCGTTGGGGAGTAGGTTTAGAATGCCCTGGACAGTGTCGAACCGGGTGTTGAATGGTGACTGGTCGACGTGGGACCACGGGGCGAAGACCGGGTCTGTCTTGGGGCGCTCTTTTTCTGGCATGGAGAGGTTTATCCCGTCTACTCAGCTGTCAGCTGTTGAATAGAAAGGAATTCGTCATGCATCGACGGGCATACCAAAAGAAACAAGTAAGTCGCTCGTCCCCCAGATCTGTTCCCATTTCTCAACAAGCCCAGGCTCGGATTTCAAGTCCCAGACGAACTGCTCGTGGCCGATGCCGTACCTAGGCAGGTTAGCTGGGCATAAAAGTAGAAGACAAGTGTTCGCACGCATTATACAATCCACCCCGTATATGATATGGAAGATTACTCGCCTTCCGGGTCGATGGATCGTTACGGTCAAACCCGAGATTCCAACTCTCAAGCCAGTCGTAAGCCTTGTCGGCGTATTCGAGAGCCTTAACCTTGGGAATAGTCTCATGGACGACTGTCCATCCTTTGGTCGATAGCTCGACCAGCCATTTCGGAGTCTAAGGCGTTAGAATTTATTAACTGATATATAAAATATCTTACCTCGTTTATACCCGAGCCACCGGTAAGCTGAAGCGCCGGTCGATCTGCTGTGTGCGTGCTAACAATAGACTCGGTGTAAGTGGACATGATGTTCACATTAATATCTTGGGATGTTCATCTGAAGTTGAAGTGGGAAGTTGGGTGTCTCCATGCCAGCGAGTCAGTTGGAGTGGAGACAGCGGGGTCTGCATCTCGCGTCATCAGCAGCGATTACATAGCAGACAATTAGCAAATAATTGGAGTATTGCCGTTTACATATATATCCAAGACTATCGTCATCGGCCGTTTTGCTGGCCAGGAATGGCTTTGATGCCCGGACCATGGTAAGGTAGCCAGGATGTATATCAACACATGTTTCTAATTGCGGAGCAATATGGAATAGATATTAAACTGACATTCCAAACTTCCAATGATTGGACAGTTCGCATTAGCTTGATGTGCAATCCAGCAACAATTCACATCGGCTTGTAGCCTGATACAGAGTGATCATTCCAACATGGTCTATAGCTATGCTTTCTATATAGATACGTTTGATATGTTTGTTCTATTTTTCCTTATCAACCCCAAGACCTGTCAGCCAGCGTCCTCCAGCAGCATCGTCGTCTTCATGATGGGATGCGGCTTATATATCGCATCTCCATCCCAAATGAACAGCTTAGTCCCTTCCCTACAATCAACCAAGCCACTACCCGGTGTTCTCCGCCACGCCGTAGAAGCTCACCGAACCAATCTGGACTCAAAGCCGTGACAGCAGGATAAAGACGAATGCCAGGCAACATCCTCATCCACACAGGATATCTGTGTAAACGGAGTGGACTTTGGTGTTCCATAGTCAACCATGTGTATATTTATCCAAACACTCCTTGATTCAAAACCCAACATCCATGGGGAAAGCCGCTCTCCCGCAGTTAGATGAGCAGGAGGTCTCGGCCGTTGACGGTGGGGACAAGGGTATACTTGAGCTATTAGAGGTTAAAACATACACTGTGCCGTCTTGTCTCGACTAGCTCGGCGATCAGCCGAATAGTGATGTATATTGAAATTACAGTCGAGTTGTGAGCTATCGTTTGTTATAGTGGATTTAGCTTTCTTGGACTATCTAGTTTTGTGGACAGGAAGTTTTTACTGAGGGACTTGAACTGACTGTCGCCCAGGACATGAAACAGAGAAAGAAACAGAAGAAGAACGGGGAGAACGAGCACGCGATGAGTGCGACCACAGTCCAGTCCAGGGTCCAGACTCGGCTGAGGCAAATCGGCGAAACAGCAGTGGATGTCCAGGCCAGTTCCGATTGGGACAAGCGGCGGGAACGACCCACGACCGAATTTTGGGTGGCGATTGAGTTGGCCTGAAACACTGAAGCAGCGCTGGCCAGACCATGGAATGCGCTGTCATCCAGGCACACCCTCACTAGGAGTATGCCCGATCATGGATCACATCAATAATTCGGCTCGCTTTTCACGATCTTTTTTTCACGATCTTTTTTTTTCACGATCTTTTTTCGTACCCACTTGAAGAATGGATTGTCGCCCTGGGTATGTCCTACTTATACCTCGCATGCCTCACTCGTAATGCATTCCATCGCCCACTCCTTCTGTTTCAACGCTCCTTTTTACCTTTTGACCTTTTTATACATCGTCGTTCCTTTTTCTAGTTCCTAGTTATAGCTCCATTCATTACAAAATGTTCTTTCCACTGCTCTCCTTAACCACCCTCGCCTTCTCAACAGGCACAGCAGCTGCCCCAGCCCCAGACCAAGCCCTAACCCGCGCCATCAGCGCCGCAAACACGCTACAATCATGGTACAACAGCGCAACCGGAACCTGGGATACATGCGGGTGGTGGAACGGGGCAAACTGCATGACGACGCTGGCGAACCTCGCCGCGCTCGACCTCGACGACGGAACCAGGGGCATCGCCGAGGGCGTCTTCCAGAATACATTTGTCGTCGCGCCCAACGTCAACCCGTACCCTGAGCGAGGGGCCGCGGTCAAGTACACGTCGAAGAACGGGAAGGCGTTTGAGGATCAGCACCAGGATGAAGGGGATGTTCCCACCGGCGCGGCCAATGCGTCGCTGTGGTTGGATGGATCTTATGACGACGATGCCTGGTGGGGGCTTGCGTGGGTCGCTGCGTATGATGTTACAGGGCAGAAGGATTATCTGGACCTGGCCGAGGGGTTGTTCTATCACCTGGTGAGTATCCCTTCACAATCCCCTGTCTTGAAGGAGAGGTCTAATGGGAAAGTAGAGCAACTCGTGGCCCTCCAAGTGCGGCGGCGGCATCGACTCCGACTCCACACACGTCTACGTCGGCGCAATTGCCAACGAGCTCTTCCTCGCCCTGGCTGCTGGTCTGGCGAACCGCGCCGACGACAGCGCGTACTACCTCGACTGGGCGAAGCGCCAATGGACCTGGTTCTCCGACATCGGGTTCATCAACGACGAGTACACCATCAACGACGGACTGATGGACGACTGCACTAACAACGGCGATACAGTGTGGACGTATAACCAAGGCGTTATCCTCGGCGGTCTGGTCGAGCTGCACCGTGCCTCAGGGGCCGACTCAGACAACTCGACGTATCTCGACGAGGCCGCGAAGATCGCCAAGGGCGCCATCGCCGCATTAACAGACGACGACCACGTCGTGCGGGAATCCTGCGAGCCGGATGGCTGCGGCGCGGACCAGACGCAGTTCAAGGGCAGTTTTATCCGTAATCTGAGGGCGCTGCATGCGGTTGCGCCGGATGATGCCTATGCAGAGGTGATTAAGGCTTCGGCGGACAGTCTTTGGAAGAATGATCGTACGGACGGTGATAAGTTTGGCGTTAACTGGTCTGGCCCTGTTGATGGTGACAAGGTCGATGCCTCGACGCATAGCTCTGCGATGGATGCACTGGTTGCTGCCATCCAGGCGTGATTATGATTTATGATTGTATATACATATAGATATAGACCGTTTGCCTAACGAACCTCTGCAGCGTTTGTCAACGGAATGTCACATTCTTTATAGCTGGCTGTGTCTGCTGAAATCCTACCAAAATAGCCCTGTCTCCCTCTATTATTCTAGTGACCACTGGGGATAGTCTTCGCCGGATACGTTGGGTACTACCGCGTCCTCGATGGAGGTTCGATCATGACAAGGGCAATTTGCCATCACGATATTGAATATGGAACAGCTAATGACCGCGTTGTTCAGTATGTCCGTAATATCGTGAACTGATAACTCAATCATTAAAGTAGTATATATAGGCTCCTGAGATACCTTTGCTAACACCTGCAATGCATTCACTAGCATCAACACCTTTCAGAATTAGAAATTCAATACATAAGGGTATGAGCATCCAGTCGGACACAAGAAAGGAACCAGATCATCAAATAAAAGTATAACAGCGCAGAAAGTACAGCTTGAATGCTTTGCAGTATGTCACTTTTTAGCAGGGAATACAGAATCTGCGGGCAGTTCTGCTGTGAAATTCTTCCCCTCCGTGTCCTTCACAGTGGTCTCTTGCATCTCATATACTCTATCAGCAGGCGCACTCCCGTCAACCTCGGACACTTGTTGTCTAGTCTCGTCGGTGCCCATCTCAGACGCGAACTGCGTCTCATTGACCGAGTAAGGGGAGTGTGATTCAGGGACGCTGACATAGGGTCCCTTGTCATCGTTGGCCCCCACACCCTCTGCCCCCTGACTCTTCTTGCTGTTGTTGAACTTTCTCCCTACAAAGAAGCCCGCAGCGCCGATGAGGGCAAGACCAGCAACGCCACCGACAACACCGCCGGCAATGGCGCCCGTGTTCTTGCTCTTCGTGTCTGAATTGGCGGCGGAGGACGGAGACTGAGTACTGGTGGGTGCGTTGGTGGCTTTATTATTCTCGACACTGTCGGTACCGTAGGTGGACAGGTAGGAGTCGACTACCTCCGGGCCGACCTGCGTGAGGTATAACTCGTAATGGTCCACCGTACCAGAAGTGGTCGCCGAGGCGTCCGCCGATGTGTACATGTCCATAGCGGTGCTCTCCATCGAGCACCCGAAGTCGGTGACGCTGATGTCGGAGTAGAACCAGGTCACGCAGGCGGGGGCGGTAGCATCAGTGCAGTAGATGGCCAAGGGCTGCGAAGGTACGGCGATAGAAGGCGTTGCGGATACTTGGCTGAGGTTGATGCATGTGCTGTAGAACCCGCAGTACCCCAGACCTTCCTCGCAGCAGGCCAACATGCCGGGGTACTTCGTATTTGGCCGCTGGTAGGCGCAGGTAGATCCAGGATCGCAACTAACTGGATACCCTACGAGGCGCCATTAGCATTGGCGGGTTCGTTTATCCTGTTCGGGGGCTGTAATACTCACCGTCGTTTACAGCATCCTGCCATCCGCAAATACTAGCCCGATCCGTCAGCCTGTGTGTAACGGTCGTCGCATCTCGACGGTGCTTCAACTGAGGCGATGGCGTCGTTTGGGGGGCTGGCGGTGGTGGTGATGGATTACTAGAGCTAACGGTGCTCTGCGTGGGCTCTGGTAGTGGGATGGAAAGCCCTGATGCAAGAGGGAGCACGAGATACAACGCCTTGAACGCGGACAACAACATTTTGGCCAGGATGGGATGGAACAGAAAGCGAGTCGCAAAATTCTGCAGGGGCACATTCCCCTATTATCTTATTTCGTGGTGGCTCTGCCCTGTCATACTGGTTTCCTCCCCAGCTCCACTTTACGCCTGGAGTCGATTCGGAGCCGACACCCACGTCTCCGAGATGTAAAGTACTGGTCCGACTACTACGCCTGAGTGGAACTGGGTCCAGAGCGCCCACGTTGGTGGGATCAGAACATGGCGACCGTCTTGAGAGTGTACACCGAGAGTGTACGTCTTACATGCCTCCAGTGTGTGACTGTCCCGAACGGCAGCAACATGAAAAACCATATTCAAGACGGGCACATGTCAGCTTGCCAGAGGGCATAGAGTTGGGCAGTTGTGCCTAAACAATTTGTAATTATCAGCACGGATATAACCGAATATCACTATAAAATACGGAGTACAGGCAGGCACTCTCTTGCCTGAATGAGGTACCTTTTTTTGAGCTGCATCCCTGCACTGTTTGGCGTCTGCACACGTTCTGTAATTCCTTTTCCTTCTCATGACTATCCTTTGTACAGCCTCTTCTAACCCACATTTTCGCCCACCTATACGGTGTTTACGGTGTATTTCACCGGGTGGGCAGTGTCGAGCCGCAGTTCCACCATAGCAAGAGTTCTGAAAACGCCGCTTCTTATAGGACAATTCATGCACCTCCTACCAATGAATATCTCTCATTCTCAGCATGGTGGAGGTTGTATGTGATCTACGAGCAGACCTACCCTCCCTGTTAACGGTTTGACGATCGTGGCCCTGAGCTTCCCGCGTAATATGGATCGACCGTAAGCCACCCTGCCAGCTACACTGGTGTAGGTTATAGAATATGCCATGCCATTCTTCACTTCCACTTCTGAGCTCGCGAGGTCAATGTAGCAAGGCACGCCTCATTCTGTAGTTTACACGGAAATTTCACCGGTGATATAGTGAAGTCTTTTGTCAATAGGCCAGTGGGATGTTTGTCGTGACAAGATGATTGAGAAAGGGATCGTCAAGTGGCTTACGGATATTCGTACAGGGCGCTTCTATAGAACCTATCTTCTCCACACCTGATTCATGTACCAGGGTCTGTTTGAAGAATTCCAACGGTTGCGATTCAGAATCTGGGAGTTGCTTGAAGAGGCTGAGGCAAGATCAGTCCGACGACAGTCTGGAGGGAAAGCGCACTGAACTAGAATAGCTGAGCCGTGTCGGTCATTCTGCTTGATTTAGAGGAGCCGTCGCTTTCTGAAGTCACCGCGGAGGTTCTCCAAAATGGGATACATCGCTGGATCGCTCAGTTTTAAGGTATGATAAAACTGTTTATACTCGTCTCGCAGACTTTCTTCGTCGAAAAGATCTGTTCCGTCAATATGGTAATCCAGTAGGTCTCGCGGACACCTCCGTTATCTCAACAAAGCAGCAGGATAACAGCCTCACAATACCTCAAGGCGGTTGGGATCCGGACAGAGCTTGGGGGTAGAAAGCGCCCTCGGCCACGACCAAAGGTAGCAGGAGGAAGCCTCTCATCGGATGCGTACATGATATTCGAGTCGGTGTGGTTGGAAGTAGCTTCGAATTCTGGAAATGGAAATTCCCAAAGCACATCGGTCTACTTCCTATACAGTGATGTCGCAAGCTCATCATCGATATGTAGGTTTTTATAGGGCGGCTGGCGTGAAGTTGAATGCGGGCAGTTGGAACATCGCAAGCAGGACTGAAAGCCGGCTTCAGTGAAGGTAGAGAAGGAGATTTCTGTAAGAGCGTCGGGTACGATGAATGATACCCCCTGCCTGTGTTAGGGGCGTTTGAAATCAGTCATATAGATACTAACATCAACTATCGTCGGGACTCCGTAGACGGTTAGTAGATAGTTGCCCCAAAGCAGATTCGGCATATTGACAGCATCAAGAAGAGAAGAAATTGATGTCACTAGGTCATTATCTATCTGCTGGCCACTAAAGCGAAAGGTAATCATCATGAATGTTAGCCTGGGCGATGATGTTGGCTGCGGTTTGCAGAGGTTATCAGCATGTGAGATAGTAACCAAATGGTACTGAGGAGAAGGAATATAAGACTTTTCGGAATGTTTTTATAAGATAGCGGCAGGTTAAGATGCTCGGTAATGATGGTTGCTTCACAGTAGGTCGAAAAGAACCTCGACGCCATGTATGAAGCGGACATCATTGTCTTCGCTTTCCACCGCGCGAGATGAACAGCATTCTGCAAACCTCGCGCTCTGACAATGACGACAAATGCGTGTATAACGCTATAGAGAATAGGGTCGTGATTAGCATGTTGCCGAAGAGATCCGCTGGGGAGATTCAATGCAATGACGTACCGGTGCAAAAGTATAGGCGCGATGACTACAAACCCGTATGTTTTATTCGTGCGGTGCCAAATAGCGCGGTTATGGTGTGCCAGTCTATGACTGTTATCGACACCGAAGCCGACACCGAGGGCATTCCCACCCGCCAATTCAGCTCCACCACCTGGTTGTGCGAGAAGGTCGGCAAGGTTAAGCTGGTGCCGCTTGAACAGTTCGATGCCAGCGTTATGTTGGCTGGTGGGTCTATGACGATGATGGCATTGCCTCTAAAGGGGGTGCTGGACGGAGCAGTGGCCCTGGGACTCACAAAGCGTGATGTGCTTGCATTCAGTGCACAGATGCTGAAGGGGATGGCTGAGCTATTGGAAGATGGCACTTCTCCTGCTGAATTGAGTGAAAGTATGTCTAACCAGTGGAACTATATGACCAGGAAGTTGTCGAACCTGGAGAAGAAGGGAATCAGGGTGGCGTTTGCGGAGGCGATGACGGATTAGGGGGAGAAGGGATATGACTATTGATTTCTCGTCTATCAGAAGGACACCGGTGGGATTGGGCTCATAATGCGGTGGTCAGGTGTGTCCTTGCTAATAGTGTTTGTTACTATAACCCGAATTCGTTTGCGTGATGAATATTCCATAAACTGTCGTAGCTGATAATACGTGTATACCGCAAGGCTCAGGGATTGAGCCTACCCTGTAACTACTAGTGAAATGGCCGCGAACAAGTTATAACTATTGGACAGAAGTAATTGTATGAGTGTCGGGTGGCCAGGTCTGCAAACCAGCCGATGACTACAGTGCGAATCCGGAGAGGCGATACAACAGGGTAAGGCCGTGGACTTCGAAATACCCGGCATACCTGGGCCTCGACCAGGGGAATCAACCGACACTCAATGCCGCACGGGTTTGATGCATAAATCGTAGAGGCCAAGCTTGGTCTTACCCGACGGAAGGCGTCGTGCAATAACTCGCGTAGCTGACAGCAATGAAGAACCCTCGTGATACAGTAGGATGAAACAGAAGATACCAAGGCAATGGCATGTCATCTCTGTGTCAGTTCTCGCAGTCATCGAAATCGCCCAGGCGATGTAATCTTGTCACAGTGTTGGACCCCGTCTTCGCCGTAGAATCTTCTTGACCTCTGCATAATCAGGATCTTCCTCCTCGAGCACTGCCTCAATCTCACAAGCCTCAAGTATCTCCAGCACGTAGTCTTGGCAGTCCCATTCTAGCGTCTCATTGTCCACTCTCGCCTGGTCGACGATCGTTTTGACCGTGGGGATGTCGGGGATCCCAATTTCCCCTACATACAACGACTCGATAAAGGACTCATTGTCGCTCGGTTTGCCGGCTGAAGTAGCTTTTGTAAACGCGGGATGTTCTCCGTCGACCTCGAAAACTAGATCCTCAGAGCCAGTGTGGAGATGGAGAGCCCAGTGCTGGAAGTTGCCATAGCGAGGCCGGTATATCGCGACAGAAAGAAACGGTCTATCCATTGGTTGTAGTTAATGGAACTTCCTTGATATTCGTGTTTGAAGATAAAGTTTTCCTCCGCGCTCACTGGGGTTGCCAGAAGTTGCAGAGAGTTGTGTTGTTTATGACGCGAGATCGCGGTCTGATGCCTGAGGCCGCTTTCCTCTCAACTCTTTCACCTTCGGCTTCATCTCCATCGCCATCTTCATCAGTCGCTCGTCAGACCAGATTTAGCATCTTATTTCAGAGCAAGCTTATCTCCCAATACCTTAAGCATGTCAACAGCCAAGTTCTTAATGGTGTCACCGATATCCAGCCCCGGCTCTCGGGCCCATACTGTCCCGATTTCGGATCCGATTCTGTGTCTCCAGCAACACTCGACCGAGGTGCGTTGGAAGCCGATCGGTGCCCGTGTTGACAGCAAGTCCGGGGTTCAATCCTGCAGCTTTGGGGTCTGTCCGAAATTCTCGCTGAATTGTCGGGCTAATTGTGGAACATAGTCTTCTTCCAGTCTTCTTCACGAACCTTAACCTCCACAACCACTGCAGTCATTTGGTGACTTGCTCGTCCCTCGTCAATTTCCGCCTGTTCCGGATGAATCCATTGGCATCGAAAATTGTAACGTCATCCACTGTCCATATTATGATGAACAAACGGCGCTCCGCGCGTGGCTGCTTCTAAGGACACCGCCTCCAATCACGATGCGGCTTCCTGCTTCTGTGGCTGGAGATACCCCGCTGCCAAACGATGGTTCAGTGAAAGCCAAAACGTCAGTGGGAGTTGAACCCCTCTGAAGTTGCATTGTTCCTTCGGCTTCCCCAATCTCTGTGGGGTTCTGGGGTCTGGGCGTCCGTCAGCGTCCCAGAGATCTTCTTCCCTGTTGCTGATCTTGGATACGAGGAAGGAACGTCAACGGGTCTGGTTGCCACAATGTCACCGTGCCAAAGTATTTCTACCACCAATCCCCAGTTTCCCGGCGGCGCCCTGAAAAAGTTCATATCGGAAGTGTTTTGCACGGGGCTCCTAGAAGGCGTTTTCAAGATGCGCTTCAAAGTAGGTCTTGCACCAGGTGACTCTGAGACGATTGCTAATATATATTTCGGCAGTCTCTGTCGACGTGGCTGCCTCTGCTGCTCCAACTTGCTACAGAGGGCGCAGGCCTTTCGAACCACCCCAATGCGCGTATTGAGAATTGCATGAGGCATCATGATGGAAGCCAGCAGATCAAACAGTCTAACAACACCTATCAGACCATGTTCCCCGGGGTAACGTGGGACGAAGACCAATGGATTTTGACCACGAACACTCTCGACCAAGGCCACTACCAATCGCGCGGCTCAGTTGCGAATGGCTACTTCGGCATCAGTGTTTCCAGCGTTGGCCCATTTTTCGAGCTTGACGTCCCTGTCGCTGATGATGTGATTAACGGCTGGCCACTATATTCGCGACGGCAATCATTCGCGACTATTTCTGGATTTTATGACCTGCAGGCGGAAACCAACGGATCCAACTTCCCGTGGATAAACCAGTACGGTGGTGAAAGTGTGATTAGTGGTGTGCCTCACTGGAGTGGACTTATTCTTGACCTGGGAGGTGACGACTATCTCGATTCGACCGTGGACAGCCAGACACTTAGCGACTTCCAGTCTAGCTTTGATTTCAAAGCTGGTGTTCTGTCATGGGCGTATAACTGGACTCCAGCAGGCGACAAAGGCTCATACGCGATCAAGTATCGACTTTTCGCAAACAAATTGGATGTTAACCATGCAGTGGTGGACATGGAGATTACTCCTTCCAAGAACGTCCAGGCCAGTGTTGCCAATGTCTTGGATGGATACTCCGCTGTGCGTACTGATTTTGTCGAGTCCGGGGAAGACGATGGCGCCATATTTTCAGCTGTCCGCCCGTGGGGGATCCCCGATGTTTCTGCTTACTTTTACGCGAACATCACCGGCTCCGAAGGCGTTGACTTATCGTCTCGCCGACGCGTAACCGGAAAGTCATACGTGAGCACCAACGAGTCGTCGATTGCGCAGGCGGTTGATGTAAAATTTGTCGCGAACCAGACGGTTCGCATTACCAAGTTCGTTGGTGCTGCATCAACGGATGCTTTCACGGACCCTCAGACGACCGCAAAGCAAGCAGCATCTCAAGCACTGGGTTCTGGATACCGTCGTTCCCTACAATCGCACGTTAGGGAATGGGCAACTATCCTGCACGAGAATTCCGTCGACCGTTTCGTCAACCCCGCCACAGGAAGGCTCCCAGACGACGATAACATCATCAACTCCGCGATCATTGCCGTGACGAATACGTATTACCTCCTGCAAAACACTGTTGGGAAGAATGCCATCCGTAAGGCAGCAAACGCGCCACTTAACGTGAACAGTCTTGCGGTGGGTGGATTGGTCTCGGATTCATATGCTGGCATGATTTTCTGGGACGCCGACGTTTGGATGCAACCTGGTCTCGTAGCATCTCATCCCGAAGCAGCCCAAGCTGTGACGAATTTCCGGACGAAACTGTACCCCCAGGCGAAGAGAAATATCGAGACGACTTACAGCGGGTCAAAGAATGCGACACATATTGATCCGTCGGCTGCCATATACCCCTGGACAAGTGGTCGCTTCGGTAATTGCACTGGAACAGGGGCCTGCTGGGATTACCAGTATCATTTGAACGGCGACATTGGGCTGTCATTGATATACCAGTGGGTGACGAGCGGTGATACGGATACTTTCCGCGAGCAGCATCTGCCCATCTACGACTCTGTTGCTTCACTATATGCTAGCATAGTGGAGCGCAACGGAAGCGCCTGGACGTTGACTAACATGACGGACCCTGTAAGATATTCTCCCTCGATTGTGGCTTCTGTTACTAACTCCTGCAGGATGAATACGCCAATGAGATTGACGCCGGAGGGTTTACTATGGCGATGATATCTGAAACTCTCCAGTATGCCAATCAATTCCGCAAGCAATTCGACATTGAGACGAACGAGACATGGGCCGAGATATCGGACGATGTGCTGCTGCTGAGGGAGAATGGGGTGACGATGGAGTACACGACAATGAATGGAACTGCTGCAGTCAAGCAGGCGGATATCGTACTGGTAACTTATCCGCTTGTGTACGACAACTACACCGCGGAAACTGCTCTAACGGACTTGGACTACTATGCGAACCGACAATCCGCAGACGGGCCTGCCATGACATGGGCCATTTTCTCCATCGTCGCTGGCGCTGTCTCTCCTTCCGGTTGTTCAGCGTACACCTATCACCAGTACTCCTACGCTCCATATGCACGGGCCCCGTTCTTCCAACTCTCTGAACAGATGCTGGACAATGCCGACATTAATGGGGGCACACACCCGGCCTATCCGTTCTTGACTGGCCATGGGGGCGCCAACCAGGTTGTCTTATTCGGCTATCTTGGGCTTCGACTATTACCTGATGATGCGATCCACATTGAGCCGAACCTCCCACCCCAGGTTCCGTACGTGAAATATCGGACCTTCTACTGGCGTGGATGGCCAATATCGGCCCAGTCCAACTACACGCACACTGTCGTCCAACGCGCACAAGAGCCCCCGCTTGACACCGCTGACCGTAGATTCGCGAATGCCACAATCCCAGTTTATGTTGGTCTCGTTGAAAATGCGACACTACACCAGCTTCCTGCCCGTGGGCCTCTTACTGTTCCCAACCGACAGATTGGCACAGTGAACACCATCGAGGACAACCTCATCCAGTGCAGTCCTGTCTTCTCCACCGATAGTTTTGAGCAAGGGCAGTTCCCAATATCGGTTGTCGACGGTGCCACATCGACCCGCTGGCAGCCGACGTCATCCAATGCCAGCTCAGTTACTGTTAACATGGGATTGATGATGGATCTGTCGCAGACCGAGGCATGGGGGTTCCACTTTGAATGGGCGGAGGCACCACCGGTGAATGCCACTGTCATTTTCCACGATACTCCGTTGCAGAACCCGGCTTCGGCTTTGAGATCTCCTGGCCCCAATGTGCGGGTTGTAGCGGAACTGACAAACATCGAGCAGTCGCAGCCGTACAACGCGGATGCCGCGGATGCGAATGAGATCAAGCTTCCTGTGGGGAACGCGACCACCCTCCAGCTCGACGAACATGTCCCAGTCAGTCGGTACGCCACCCTTGTGATATCAGGAAACCAGGCCCTTGCAGATGGCGACGAGCAGACGGGCGCGACCGTGGGGGAATGGGCGATCCTCGGACCAACTCCGGGAAAAGCCCAAAGACACATCAAACGAGTGCCAATACTGTGAGAAGATCAGAAATGCACCTCCAATATAGCATCAATAATTGAATACTCATAATATATTCTTCAAAGTTCAAACCTCGATGGGCATATTTGGGTTTCGTGGCGCCCAAAGGCCGAGATCGAGGATGTTATTCATCCTGCGCTCCACAGCGGGCCATAACAGCCTGGAACAGACGGTTTTTCTAATCGCTTCACGTAGATAGAGCCGATCCAGTGGATTTGCTGCTGACTGACGAATTTTATGAAAAGGACCCCCAAGACGGATTTCCCCAGTTTTTCTCCTGTATCGCACAAATTAACGTCCACGAGTCTCCATCATGCGCAAACACATGCCCCATAGATGATCTGTCTCGAATTGCCAGTCAAGCAGCAACAACTTGTCGATCGCTGCTTTTGTTGTCCTGTTGTTATTTCGCTTGGACGGACTCCGGTCGAAAGCTCCCACGCTGCCCACGCCGGCGGCCGCCCAGCAATGCTCGCCCTCCGACAGCGCGGTGGAGCAGGAAACGCGACAAATCCGCAGCCATTAATTGGTTCCTCCGAGCGCAGGGGGGATGTCGGGCGTCACACAGTCACTGGTTGTCACACCAATCGTCGACGTCAGATTCCTGCCGCTTGCCTCAGACCGTTGTTGTTAGCTGAGATGCCAAGGTGAGGCCCAACAGCGCGGTGGAGATGCAGGCCAGACGGGGCAAGAGACGCTCCGATTACCAAGCACCTGTGGCCTCGACCTGCAGAGTATACTGTTTGCTCTGCCACTAATCAGCCCATTATTACTGATGGCCAAGCAGATCGACTGCTCGGCATGCGCCTGCTTAACCGTACGGAGTCATGCCGCCGAGCCCTCACTCTGCCAATTACTGTGACGTCTTGCTATGCCTGCTCGTGGAGAAATTGTCTCAATCTGTTTGCCCCTTCCAGACCTCGCTGATGAAATAAGCCGATGGAGTCCGTGCCTTCTGTGTCTGTGGACCCGTCATGTTCCTGCATGTTCTCACATCCCACTCGCGAGGCGATCGGACGGCCGAGAACCAGGTATAAATAGCATTGCTCGCGCTGCAGGCCGGTTGGAATGCGAGACCCCCTCTCTGCGGACCCAAAAGGCATTCCCACCCTTCTGTCATTCTTATTTATCATTACACCCAGGATGCGCGCCCTCGGTCTCGTGGGCCTTTTTGGCGTTGCCCATGCAGTCTGTCCGTACATGGACGGCGGCTTGCAACGACGTGACACGAACCCTGATGCGACTGAGGCGACTGAGGAGTTCCTGTCCGGGTACTACTTCGATGATTCCGATTCTTACCTGACATCTGATGTGGGAGGACCGATTGAAGACCAGCAAAGTCTAAAGGCTGGTGAGCGAGGGTCAACTTTGTTGGAAGATTTTATCTTCCGCCAGAAGATTCAGCGATTCGACCATGAGCGGGTGCGTTTGCGTTCAATTGAGGAATAAACAGTTCTAGTCGCTGATGTGTACAGGTTCCCGAACGCGCAGTGCACGCTCGTGGTACAGGTGCCCACGGTGTGTTTACTTCGTACGGCGACTACTCCAACATCACTGCGGCTTCTTTCCTGTCGAGCAAGGGCAAGGAGACTCCTGTTTTCGTTCGCTTCTCCACTGTTGCAGGTAGTCGGGGCAGCTCTGATCTTGCTCGTGATGTCCATGGTTTCGCGACGCGGTTCTACACTGACGAGGGCAACTTGGATATCGTCGGCAACAACATCCCTATTTTTTTCATTCAGGATGCGATTCAATTCCCTGACCTGATCCACTCTGTTAAGCCCAGCGGGAACAACGAGATTCCACAGGCCGCGACTGCCCATGATGCCGCTTGGGACTTCTTCAGCCAGCAGCCGAGCACGATGCACACTCTCCTGTGGGCCATGTCTGGCAATGGCATCCCCCGCTCATTCCGTCACGTTGATGGCTTCGGGGTGCATACCTTCCGATTTGTCACCGATGACGGCTCTTCCAAGCTTGTCAAGTTCCATTGGAAGACCCTTCAGGGCAAGGCCGGTCTAGTCTGGGAGGAGGCGCAGCAGATCTCCGGCAAGAACCCCGACTACATGCGCCAGGATCTGTATGAGTCAATCGAGGCAGGGCGCTTCCCTGAGTGGGAGGTATGTACTGATCTTGAATATTATTGGATGAATGGCTGACCAGATAGCTTGCCGTGCAAGTAATGGACGAGGAAGATCAATTGCGCTTCGGTTTCGATCTGTTTGACCCGACCAAGCTCGTCCCTGAGGAGTACGTCCCCTTGACCAAGATTGGCAAGATGACTCTCAACCGCAACCCTCGCAACTACTTTGCCGAGACTGAGCAGGTCATGGTATGTCCAACAGTTCCTACGTGATTTCGCTTTCTAATTGTTGTAGTTCCAACCCGGCCACATCGTCCGCGGCGTCGACTTCACCGAGGACCCTCTCCTCCAAGGCCGTCTCTTCTCGTACCTCGACACGCAGCTCAACCGCAACGGCGGCCCTAACTTTGAGCAACTTCCGATCAACCAGCCTCGCGTTCCTGTTCACAACAACAACCGCGACGGCGCCGGCCAGATGTTCATTCCGCTCAACCCCAACGCCTACAGCCCCAACACTTTGAACAATAACTCCCCCAAGCAAGCGAACCAAACAGTGGGTCGCGGCTTCTTTACCGCGCCTGACCGCAAGGCCAACGGAAACCTTGTGCGCGTGAAGAGCTCTACATTTGAGGATGTCTGGTCGCAGCCCCGTCTCTTCTACAACTCCCTTGTTCCTGCGGAGAAGCAGTTCGTTGTCAATGCGATTCGGTTTGAGAACGCCAACGTGAAAAGCGAGGTTGTCAAGAAGAACGTGATCATCCAGCTGAACCGTATCTCGAACGACTTGGCTACTCGTGTCGCGCGCGCAATTGGTGTTGATGCGCCCGAGCCGGACCAGACCTACTACCATGACAACACAACCGTCGGTGTCGGAGCCTTCGGTCACAGACTCCAGACCCTGGCTGGGCTGAAGGTTGCTGTGCTTGCCTCTGTCGATGCGGAGCAGTCGCTCAACGCTGCCACAGCCTTGTCCAACGAGATTTCCGAGGGTGTGGATGTCGTTGTTGTCGCCGAACGCCTCGTTGAAGGTGTTAACCAGACGTACTCGGCCTCTGATGCCATCCAATTCGATGCTATCGTCGCTGCTCCCGGCACTGAGAAGCTTTTCAACTCGACCACCAGCGCCAGCTCGACGCTTTACCCTGCCGGCCGTCCACTCCAGATCCTGACCGATGCCTTCCGATGGGGCAAGCCCGTTGCTGCTCTAGGTAGCAGCTCTGCTGCCCTGAAAAGCGCTAGCATCGACCAGAAGGATGATGGTGTATACGCTGCCGAGAGCGTCAACTCCAATTTTGTGAGCGATCTCGAGGAGGGATTGACGGTGTTCCGCTTCTTGGACCGGTTCGCCCTTGACTCGGATGAGTAGATGTCGCAACGTTACTGGAGGCTTCTATCCAGATTAATATTGATGATCCATTTTGTATTTTAATTGTTGCGCCAGTCCTGGTGATTTTTGTTGATAGATAACAACCTTGGCGATGGTTTTTAAAGTTCCCAAGATTGTGATCCCTGTCGAGATGGCGTGCAATAGCTCCTTTAATCACAGTGACACGCAAGCCACCAATTGATACTGGTCTTGTTACACTGCACGGCCTGTTTCATCACACCGCCTGGTTTATATATAGAATCCAGCCAAGCCCGAAGATACTCCGGCGCAGGATACCCTATCTGGCGTAGTCCATGAATATCGCAAAAGGATAGTCACGTCAGCTATACGCGGTGTAGTCTGGAGGTAGGGAGCAAATGCGGGGATGCTTCGCTGCAAGCGAAGTTTCGGCCGGGGATCGCTCCGAACTCCACACTGTATGTGCACCGAATGTAAAAGGAATCATGCAACGGGTTCTTGGCTACGTGATGATCTGCGGGGAAGACGGTTTTGGTGGCGTTATGTGTCATAATTTCTTTTGCTGTTTGGAAAGCTGACTCGCGTCAATAGCCCGGAAAAAAGATTCGGTGGAGGATTGTTAGAGAGCATCCTGAAAAGGGGTAGGAGTATGCGGCTAGTAGAATATTTTGTCGTGTACAGTGTAGAGTGTTGTCCAACGATTTCAGGAATTATACAAATATGTGGATGGAAATGTCTACTGCGGTCCTATAAAGCATCTGGATCTAGATCAATGGTTGGATAGTCCCAGATCAACTCGTCAAACCAGCTCAGAAACGCTTGACTAGCCATAGAGTCTGCCAGGTTCAAGCCATCAAGTCCCTCGTGTGGAATTGTACCAGACAATTCCGGCCGTTCTGGGGTTTGATGTTGGTGTTGTAGTTGAGTTGAATCCGGGAGACCTCTATTTAGGGTATCGTCCAGCAACGCACCGATCATCTTCCCTATGTGAGTACACACTTGGAAGTCTGGTCTATCGGGTAGTCGCTCGCGTTCGAAGTACGAGAGGAGGACGCTCAGATCACGAACAACTTTAGAAACAGGGACAGATATCTGGATAGGTACTCTGCTCAGCGTGCTTTGGTGGAGTTCTGTTGCGAGTGTGCCAGCTCCTGGGAGGCTGTAATATAGAAACTGGAAGAGGTTAACTTGATATCAGTAATGGGCTAAGTACATACCAGCCATGGGTATCGTCCACCGAGTTCTGGATGGCAAGACTGGCGCTGGACGAACTCCAGAGCACCGGAAAGTAGCTCGGCCGATTTGTCCAGCAGGCGGGTGGGCGGTACTTGGGATGATTGTAGTAGCATTCGGTCTAGCAGGAAGCCGCTGTAGAGATAGGTCAGGTCTGCGATTAGGCGTGCTACGCATAGCCATGGACTGGAGTTGTTCCATATGTCGCCGCTATATCGATACTGGGGTGGAATGCGTGTCTTGCCCTTTTCGTATTCCTCGTACACCTCACTGGGTTTGTTAGTGTGATAGATACTGATAGTGGAAGACCGACGTACTGCAACGTCTCAGAAAAGGTCCCCTGTCTTTCCGTCATCCATAAACCAAGCACACGTTCCTGAAGAAGAGAATGGCGATAGCGAAGTCGGACCAGGACTGCTGGTCGAAGATGGCCTGTCTCTCTATTGCATTTCCACCCATCGGCATCGAGCGCATTCAACGCGGCCTTTATTTGATTACCGTTAAGTACTACCTCTTCATCGTCCAGGTCGAACGGGATTGTCAGATCACAGAACCTGCTATCGATCCGCGGTGGCCTTCCAAGTAACGTAGAGATGCTTTTGTCCTCTACAACTGCCATGGCAAAGATGCGCTTTCGCGTCTCGAGAATGAAGAAGGGGCCATCCGGAGGTGAAGAAGCCAGTCGATGGAGTCCAAGGATAAACAACTCGGAGACAAATTCATTGAACCAGTGGTATGCCATATCACCTGAGATATCAGCCTAGGATCCTTATGAGTGCGGGAGAGGGACGTACTGGCATTTCCAAACAAGCTGGACAAGAACATCGTGTTGATATAACTAGACCATACGGTTATATCGTTCAGCTGGTTATGTGAACGACTTATCTTCAAGCAGTATTTACTGGCATTATACATTTCCGTCGCGAATGCCGTTGCGTCAAAGCCGTCAACATCTGCATAGAGGGAGGCAAGCCCGCAGAGAGAGAATACGAGACTTAGGAATTCCAGTCTAACATGGTCCGTACTGAAAATTCCTAGGAATTCGGAGAACCCCAATTCAGGGGTCAATGGTGTCGGTCTGCGACGTAGGTTACCTTTTGCCGTCTTCAAGAGGTTCTTTGCAAAAGCTTCTTGGTCAGACCTGGTTCCGAGCTCCTGGAGAAATAGCAGGACTGGGTCAAAGAGGAGAGGGTGAGGAATGGCGATGAAATGCATCTCATCACGATATTGGCGAACGATGGTTTCTAGACGCTGAGAGTAGGCCATGACTTTTCGCAATGGTGGCTCGACGGCCTTGAACTTGGAGAGCTTGTCCTCTGGGGGTATTGACCATCTCGGAGTCGCAACAGGCCATAACGTCTGGCATAGTGAAAGCGTGCTAAAGAATCCCAGGTAGCTCGATGGCGCAGGGTCAGACACGACATCTCCGTCCGGCTTCTGGTTCTGGGGGTTGGCCTGAGCCTTTGCTCGAGTTGCCGCTGTGCTTGGTTGTTTCTCAGCTCGGTATGGTCTGAAGTCTGACTTCTTCCTGGTCATCGGAGCTGGGTGATAGAAGCACTTCATTTAGTTAGTGTATGTTATATATACATTGTGTCTTCTGGGTGGGAACCTTCTCCGGTGCCCGAGTCTGGCATCGTGCACAGACCGGGGTAGCATGGTCGCACCGGACTTTGGATATCCGACACGGCTCGCACGAGATGCGCTTTCCGTTCCGCCGATACATCAATGAAGAGTTGAAAGAGAGAATCCTGAGATGGGAGCTGTCTGCAGATGGCTTTCGCTGCACGTGATGAACTCCGACGTCGGAATGAAATTTCCTATTCGGGAAGCTTTAGTCCGGCTATATAGCAGCAAATCAGCAAAGCAGTCAAAGCAGTTAAAGTCAAGGTTCTCACTAGGATAGTAAGCCTGCAAGGAGCTCCAACTTCATTCCACCATTGGCCAATACCGGAGCATCCCCGACTTGACTGATGCCAGCAGATCGGTGGTTTTGCCGAGGCCCCCGCATAAAGTCGGCAGATCCGCCGTTCAAAGATGGGTGTATTCGTCCAGGCTGCTTATCCTGCAGAATGAACGGTAGTAAACGACCAAGACTAGGCGCATCGCCTAATGAAAAGCCGCGGCTTACTCGGGCTTGTAAGTTCACAGCAGACTTGGTGTGGCGTTGCTAATCAAGCAGGTGCCGAATGTAAGAAGCACAAGATCAAATGCTTTGTGCAGCCTGGTCGAGCAGAATGTAACAAATGCCTGAGAAGCGGAGTGCAATGCGTTCCTCACAATTTTGCCCAGAAGTTTATAGATGAAGACGCCGCGTAGGTGACCAAGCCTGATATATATCCTGTCTAACCGTCGTAGGTGGAAGACACAAACTGCAGCGACAATAAGCCGGCTCAGTGACACTGTTGAGAAACTACTGCATCATAACAATTTGAAAAGTATTACAGTCCCTGATAATACAATATCCATGCGACAGCCACCAGATAATGCAGCCAGGCAAGTCTCTCCGAGCACCGTCCACTCCGAATCGGCGGACAACTTCACCCCTGAAGGCCCTTCAGCTGGTCTCCGCAGACACCAAGATGATTCAGATCTTGTTCCTCTACCCATGAACAATCTATACAATCTCACAGACCCAAACAACTCGCAACTGATCCGCGTCGATCCCGCCGACGTCAACGGACCCGACTTCATCACCCAGGGAGTCCTCCCAGTGTCCGAAGCAGAATTCCTCTTCGACCATTACCGAACACACATAAACCCACTTCTCTGGGACGGGATGCTCTGCTCACACAAGTCCCTGCGCGAGGCAAGACAGTCCTCGTCGTTCCTGGTGGCGGTGGTCCTCACCGTAGCGGCCCTGCATATTCCAAACCGCGAACAGTCCCTCCACTCCACGTACGGGGCATTCGTATCGCTCATGCGAGGGTCGTGTCTACTGCGCTGCCAGAACCTGGATGTAATTCGTGCGCTATGTATCGGGGCATTCTACCTCACAAGTCTGAGCTGGGCGCTCTGCAGCCGCGCCGTGCGAGTCGGCACCGAGATGAACCTACATAAATCCTCGCTACAGTTTGCGCGCGGTTCGCTGGAGTCATACGAGCGTGTTAGACTCTGGTATGTCCTTTACGTGTGTGATCATCAGTTTGCACTTGCGTATGGCCGTCCGCCCATGATGCATGAAGATGCCGCTATACGTAACGCCGAGAAACTCCTCACCAGCGGCCTGTCGTCAAAGGGTGATCATGGCCTTGTGGCGCAGGTAAAACTCTTCCGCATTCTGGCTAGTGGATACTTCATGCATGGGTGCGACCCTGATCTCGAGCTCAGCGGGCAGGACTTTGAGCGGCTGAAGGAGTTTGATATTTCGGTTGATCAATGGCGGCTTGAGCACCCGGCTAGGGATTCTGGGGTTCGACGGGATAGTTTGGCTTCAACTGCGGCAAATGCGCTGTATTATCACCTGGCGCGCTTCCAGCTTAACTCGGTTGCGCTTCGTGGTATCTCGGCCAGGGAGGCGTCTCATGATACGCCGAGTCTCGATATGAACTGGGATAGACAGGAGGCTTCTAATATTGCCATTATGACTGCCATGAGTACGGCGAGGATTATCGTGGATGATTTATATCTACAGAAGGCTTTGATAGGTCTTCCTATTTTTGTCCATGCAATGGTTGCAGTCTGTGCGTCTTTCCTGTTGAAGATGGCTGTCGTTTTTGGGAGGCCAGACCCCAATGATGGCAATACCTTGCATCTGCCCAGGGACCTCGCTGAGCATGGACTGAATTTTCATACCAAAACGGCCTTGACGAATGTTGAACGCCTGGTACGAGTGTTGTCGCAAGTGGCGGACAACGCGAGCCAGCGGCATGTTGTCAGACAGGTTGTCACTGGACTAGGCGAGCTATTACAACGATTTTCCCCGGGGCGGGAAACGGGCGTGTTTCTCTATTCGCTTTATTCGCAATCAGGCTGTACGAGTATGTTGAAGCGTCAAATGGCGGGAGGAGTTGAGCGAGAAGCGGTTGTTGACCTGCCTCCCATGGACCCTGATACGGCGGTAAACGAGGGGACTGCGGTGCAAGTTGATACTCGACAGCAGGATCTGTTTGACCTTACTGGCGACCTGGATTGGAGATTCGATGAGGGGTTCTTATTTGGCATTGACGGGGTTGATTCTGAGCTGTCGTTCCTATGACCGCTATATACCATCTTCGTATAAGTCTAAAATTGTATACAATAAATCTATTCCTAGCAACACGACGTATTAAGCACAGTAACTGCCTTTACAGACACGCCATTCGTAACAGGCTTCTCAGGAACAAGACCCTCTTCCTTAAGAACCCTCCTCTCCGCCATCGTAACCGCAACATCAAACGCATTCTGCGTACTCGTAACCGCCGCCAGATTCTTCCCTACAATATCAAACGCCGTCCCATGCGCCGGCGTGGCAACGGGAATCGGCAGTCCCCCCTGCACCGTGACCCCGCCGTCAAATGAAAGCAACTTCATCGCAATCTGGCCCTGGTCGTGGTACATCGTGACAATACCGTCGAAGTGCTCTCTCTTGAGAAATATCGTGTCGCATGGGAACGGGCCTTGCACGTTTATCCCGAGTTCCACGGCCTCTTGCACAGCTGGCCGGATATGTTCTATCTCCTGCCGTCCGAATGCCCCGTTCTCCCCGTTATGTGGATTTAGGGCACACACGCCGAGACGGGGGGACTCGATACCAGACTCCCACCTGCCTGCATCAGTACATATCCACAAACCGTGTTTATTCAAACATACCGTAATCTATGAAGCAGCTCAATAGCTTTCAGCGTAGATTCCTTCGTAATCCTCCCCGCCACATCCTCAACGCCAATATGACTGGTAACCCTCGCCGTCCAAAGCTCACCGGCGATATTAATCTCGCTCGTCACGCCATCAAACTGCAACTGATTCGCAAACCACCGCAACTCATCCTCCTCGCTCATCCCCGCCAGTTTCAGCGAGCTCTTATTCAAGGGCGCGAATACAATCCCGTCAATCTCACCCGCCTGTACGAGCTTCAGCGCCCGGCGGAGCTGGTGCATACTCCGACCCCCGCTAGCTTTGGATACTTGGCTTCTTGTCGAGGGGAAGTGAGTCGCGCTGTTATCGTCGAGGACTTGGATTCCGTCTGGACCGGGGATGTCAGCGGGCGAGATGGCGATGTCCACGCCCCCGGCGTCGGATATGGCGGACTCGAGCTCGGATTTGTCTGCGAGGAGGACGATATCTGCGCGCTGCCGGTTTGCTGCGTTGCTGAGGAGTTTTGCGATTAGTTCTGGGCCGATTCCTGAGGGGTCGCCGAGTGTTATTGCGATGCGTGCGCGCCGGGGGGCGGGTTGGCTGGTTATTGCGCCGACCATGGTGGATGTTTAGCAGTTATTGCTTTGTGAAAAGATGATTATAGATGGAATAGATGACCCCTCGACTGCTGTGTGTATGTAAGAAATGGCTGCTGTTATAACAGAGATAATGCGAAGGTGTTGGTATCACGAAACGGCCAAAGTGCCGCGACGGCGGTTTTGCCGATACTCCAACAGCTTCGTCGTGCTCGGGCATTGGGCCAATCCTACTGGAGAGTGTCATATGGAGTTGCTCTGGTGGAGCACGGTGCTTTCGCCGACGAGCTCTCCACAGTCCCCGTGGGGAAGACCCTGCATCAACGATGCTCTGGCAGAACAATGCTGGGAGCTTGTCTATATAAAGGGATCACCCTCACGTGGGCCATCGTTCAAACAAGCTCTGACATACTCTCTTAGGTCTTACACCATGTCGCAAGAGAAAGAGGGTTCCCTGAGCCAGCACCAGCATATGGAGCGTGTCTCTACCGACGGACATGACCTGGACGAGAAGCATCTCGCGGCGGATGTAGTTGAAGCACAGCGTATCGTCTCACAATGGGTTGAGAATACCACCGAGGAAAAGAAACTTGTTCGCAAGCTTGACTGGCGCATCCTGCCGTGCTGCTGGGTCTTGTATCTACTGGGGTATCTTGACAGGGCTAATATTGGGTATGTAAGCCTACTGGAGTATTACTGGATGATTTGTACTGACTACTCTAGAAACGCCAAAACCGGCGGCCTGGAGGATGAATTTGGACTTTCCTCGTCGCAGTATTCTATCATCGTGCTTGTCTTCTTTGTCTCGTATCTCGTCTTCGAGGTCCCGGCGAACATGATCTTGACGCGTGTACGACCGAGTGTATTTCTTCCTGGACTGGCTCTTGTCTGGGGAACCTTTGCTGCGCTTATGGGCGCGACGCATAACTGGAGCCAGTTAGCTGGAATGCGCTTCTTGCTTGGGTTTGCTGAGGTATGTCCAACAACCCAAATATTCTGTCACCTCTAATGTATGCAGGCTGGCTTTGCACCCGGATGTGCGTTCTTCCTATCGTCATGGTATAGACGGTATGAGCTGGCGACGAGATATGCACTTCTGTATACATCTGTCCCTCTAGCTGGGGCGATATCTGGTCTCCTAGCCGGTGTCATAACCGAGCATATGAATGGTGTCTCGGGACTACCAGGCTGGAGATGGCTATTTGTCAGTTCCCTAATCATATAATTGGATGAAATTCTGACAATAGCAGATCCTCGAAGGTCTCGGCTCCATCGTGGCCGCAATAATCATTTACTTCCTCATGCCAGACTACCCTTCAACCAGCAAGCGCTTCTTAAACGAAGAGGAGAGACTCCTGGCCTGCAACAGACTCGCCGTCGACGGAATCGCCCTAACCCAAGGCACCGGCGCAGAGCACATCCCGCACTGGGAAGCATTCAAAATGACCTGCCGCGACTGGAGGGTGTGGGCGCAGTGTTTCCTCTTTGTGCTTGTAACCGGTTCCCAGACGATGCAGTACTTCATTCCCACCCTTGTTGAGAGCTTCGGTTGGACAGGACCCGATGGACAATGTAAGACATACATACCCCCCAGTATACAAACGCCAGTACTCACCTTCAATAGACCATACAATCCCAGCATATATGGCCGCACTAGTCTACGTCGTCGCCTGCTGCTACCTCGCAGACAGATACAAAGCCAAATGGCAATTCATCTGCGGTCTGTCCGGCGTAGGCTGCATCCTCTTCATCGCCGTGGCCACAACAGCCGACAGAACGGCGCAGTACGTGCTGACCATCTTCGCCTTCGGCACAATCTACGGCTGCTCGCCGCTCGTGAAGACGTGGGTGTCCGATGTGATCCCGCAGCCGGCAGCGAAGCGGGCAGTTGCCATTGCCCTGATAAATGCGATTGGCAATGCGAGCTCGATTTATTCGTCGTGGCTGTGGCCGGATAAGGATGCGCCGAGGTATATTGCGGGCTTTGCGACGACGACGAGTTGGTTGGGTGTGCTTTGTATCTGTGCGGCGCTTTTTGCGTATTTCTTTCATAGGTGGCCTGTTGTTAGGGCTGACCATGCGGTTGTTATGGCGGGGGAGTTGAGGGGTAGGAGTAAAGTCTAGTTAGACTGGATGTATAGGACGTAATTATTTAGCTACAATCTCCCAGACATCATGGAAGTACTTGTCAAACTCATCAGAGTGCACCGGCTGCCAACCCAGGCTCCGAGCAACATCTGCAGTTACCCTCGCACTATGAAATTAGCTGTAATCCATGAGCTCAATAAAGTATGGTCATACCTCGACAAATACGCAGCCTCAACGTACTGCATATCATCCATCTCCAACAGACGCGCCCCCTCCTGCATACTCACGTACTTAATCCTGTCTGTATCAAGAACACCCCGCGCCTTTCCAACACTCGCAATCCTCTCCCCAACTTCATTCCAACTATACTCACGGTCTCCAGCAAATATAACACCCTCTTCACCAAACGGCACGGGCAAACCACGAAGAACCCTACTCAAAACAAGGACATAAACCATCGCAGCATCCTTTATATGAACATACGCCTTCAAAGCAGACCCATCACCAACAAGCCACACCTGCCGAGCCTGCATAGCACCACCAACCAGGATCGGGATCTGCCCCGACACTGTCCGGAATAGACCCGTCCCAATCCCAAACAGCATGGGAAGACAAATACTATGCGTTCTAACGCCGGTGGCGTTCCCCTTATCCAGCACGGCGAGTTCAACACTGCGCTGGGTATACGGCGCTGCGGCGTCTAGTCTTCGAAGTGTCGAGGTGAGCTGGGCTGGGGAGGAGTCGGATATCGGGTCTGCCTGGTGCCCGGGATATAGACCCAGTGTCGGACTATCGGCGATGTTTGTTGTTCCTGATGTCTGCATTCATTTTTATCTATGATCAGTGAGGCAGCCTTAAGGGGTAAGGTATACTAACGTGGATATAATGGACCTCGACGCCGAGGGTTTGCTTGCGCTGGGCGAGGCCTGCGAGTAATGCGTTTGCGAGACCGTGGTCGAAGCCAGAGGCGCCATTGATAATAACTATTCCAGTTAGTAGTGTAAGGTGTTCAGTGATGAGGGCAGACCGACCATCATAATTGCTGGCTAGCTCCGCGATGGCAGCTGTATCGGTATAGTCGCCAACTTGGACAGTAGCAACGCCTCTTTGTTCCAGAACCTCTGCTTGCTGCTTATTCCGGACAAGAACAGATATGGATGCATTATTTACTGCCTCATCTTGGCTGTTTAGGAGCGTGCTCAAGACGGTTCCTCCTCTGTTTAGTTAGTAGTGGACAACGTGGGAATGATACTCAAAACTAACACGTAGCCCGTGGCGCCGGCCAAAAGTATTTTGGAACTCATTTGGTAGCTGCAGACTGAATTGATTATTGCAGTTGAAATTTTCTAAATACTATCTATATATATCTGTGGCATGACGTGGACGGCGGAATATGTATCCCGCCAGCCATTTGTAAGCAGTCTCTTGGTGTACTTGAACACTTAAATACTTAAATTCTTAAATACTGTCCCAAGAGTTACCACATCCAGTCAATTCAAATTGAACCATTAATCATGTCCCACCTCCAATACTTCAACTACAAAGGCGTCGGCGAACGCAACCGCAAGAACTTCAAGTACAGCCAGGCCGTGCGCATCGGCGACCGCATCGAGTGCGCCGGACAGGGTACGTTAACCCAGTATCTACGAAATATCAATATGAATATTAACGGTAATGGAAAGGCGGCTGGAACAGAGAAACCGGCGAATTCTACAAAGAAATCAACGCGCAGATCGACCAGGCCTTCGACAATGTCGAGCACAACCTGCGCGACGCCGGCGGGGAGGGCTGGGGCCAGGTCTTCCGGGTGAATTCGTACCATGTGCCTATTAATGACGAGGCCCTTGCGGCCATGGTGAGGAATTTTCATAAGTATTGTCCCGGTCATGAGCCGATTTGGACTTGTGTTGGTGTTACCAGGTTGGGTGAGGATGATATGAGGGTTGAGATTGAGGTTGTGGCACATGTGCCTAATTAGATGTAAATAAAACGGAAATAGGAGGGGATTGTATCTACTCAGAGATTTAATCTGGAAGAGTCTTGTTGTCGTCGGAATATGTGCATGAAGTAAGAGGACAGGCCGAGTAGATGGATCGGATACTCCTTCTTTATCCGTAACTCCGTATTGATATGCTTCAAGTGTCAAGATCTGAACTTAGATAGAGTATTTATTGATTAGACGAGAGCATTTCCACATGAGCTGCCACCATCTCCAACGCCTGCTTTATTTCCCTCAGCAAATCCAAGCCAACATCAAGGTCAGAAACCCCCAACCAAGCGTCATCAGCCAGGGCGTATCTCATCTCCACCGTGTCAGGACCAGGCTCCTCTAGGAGACAATCTTGAAAGAACTCCGCTGTTATATTCAGGTCGCGTTCCAAGAAGCGCTCAACAATGTGTACCTGTCCATGTGCCATTGCTAGGAAAAGAGCCGTTCGGCCACCATTGTTCCTTTGCTTGAGCCTTGCTCCTGGTACTTTTAACAGAATGTTGAAGACGTCTAGGTGTCCCCACCGGGCTGCAATCATCAGAGCATTGTTTCCTTCGTTGTCGACGGCGTGGATGTCGGCTTCGGCGCGAGAAAGCAAAGCTTCCACTATATGTACAGCCCCCGATCTAGCGGCATGTAAGAAGATTGTTTGACCGTCAGTGTGCACGGCGCTTCGGTCAAGTCCCCGGTTATCAAGCATAAGATGCAATATCTCCAGCGTCGGGCCCCGCGATGCAATAGCGCAGTGGAGTGGGGTGGAGATAGAGTATGGCTCTAAGTTGATGTTGATATCTGTCGCTGGGTGATCAAGCAGAAGCTTGACAGTGCTGGTGCTCCCGGCCATAACTGCAAGATGCAACGGTGTGTACCCGTAGCCGTTGCCCCGGTTGATAGATCCGTAGCCCTGCGATAGCATGTACGCAAGAAGCTCATCGTTTGCATTCCTGGCAGGCTCGAGCAGTGCACTGCATTCTCTATCACTCTCGTACGCTTCCACTATATCGGGATCAGCCTCTACCAGGCTTTTCACGATGCTGACGCCGTTGCCGCAAAGCGCTGCAGCGAAGAGACTTTCCGTGGGTTTGGGAGAATAAGAGAATAGCAGATTGAAGATTCTCTCGTGCCCTGCCCATGCGGCTATCTCCGTTACAGTTTGCTGTGGGCGGCCCAGGTCGTGGGTACTGTCAATATCCACTTTCTTGCAATCTAAGAGTGCCATAACGACCTCTTCATAGCCTCTTGCTGCGGCCCAAGCTAGGGGAGAGCAATTCAGGCGATCACGTCTATTGACATTGACCTCGCTGCTTAGCAACCGACGGACAGCCTGCGCATGCCCACACACAGCGGCGAAATGGAGCGGCGTACCCCCATCGTTATCCCGGACATCAGCCTCTAAACCATGGCCCAGGAGGAAGTCGATCAAGTCTGCGTGGCCAGCTAACGCAGCAAAATGCAGCGCACTATACCCGTTTCCAGCAGTGAGTGTATTCAAGTCAGCACCTTTCTGCAGCAGGAACTTGACCACGTCGATATTGCCGGCCAGAGCTGCGGCCATCAGCGGTGGATAAACCCATTTATCTCGAGGATCGCAGTTGATCTCGACACCACGGGCAAGTAGTTCAACGATATGATCGAGTCGCCCCAAATACGCCGCCGCCATCAGCACCGCCGCATCGGCTTCCTGTCCTTCCAGATCTTCCAAATCATCTCCACCGCCGAGAATCGACAAGAGCAGATCCGACCCGAGTATCCCGACAAGGACAGCAATCATTCCATCGCTGTACCACACGCGCAGCTCTGCATGAGTACTACCGTGGCGTGCAAACAGGCTAACCGCCCTTTCCACGGCTCGATGGATCGTGCTAATTAATGGAAATTTCCTAACCTCCGGGTCCGACTGGTACCTCTCTAGAAAACCTTTGAGGAGGCGTCTGGTCATCCCCATGGTCGAGAGGGACGGTGGACCACGCCGTAATCCCAGATCGCGCCCGAGACGGTTTGCCCGGATCGCATTGACAAAGACATCTATAATAACGGCGTCGAAAAGTCCTGGCGCGTGTTAGTTGATACCGAGGGGAAGTATTACAAGGGTGGGGTGGTTTACTGCTGACGAGCCGCAGACGCAGCAATTGCCGGAATGCCGCGTTAGGCGACCGACCAAATCGGTCGTTCCCGCTCCAGTATGAACTATCTGGAATTAATGGGACGATTATCTGGTGGATGAGCTCGTATGGCAGGGTTGGTGGCATTGTGGTGGTGAAGAGTTAAGAGGAGGATGATTGTTTGAGTTTTGCGGCTGAATTGCTGCGGATCGTCCACAACAACACAACACAGAAACTAACACAGTTGAGGAATATTAATTGAATAGGAACATATCCTAATTAATAAGCATAAACCCAGGTAACCTTCTGATCCCCCCGTCTATCCACTCTTGCCTGCTCCTCTGCATACTCCCTCTCATCCCAAGACACAATAACTCTCCTCCTCCGGCGATTCTCCCACATATACAGCCCTCGCATCGCACAGAATCCCACCATCCCCACCGCAATCAGTATCATCGTCACAACCAGCGGATACCTATATCCCGGCGCATAGCTCGACTTGAACAGCTGCCCCGCAATCACTCCAGCGAGGTTACTCCACCCATTGATACCCAGGATAATCGACCTGGCCGCCTTCCCCGGTGTATTCGAGGCCAGCCATACAGCGACCAGTGGCCCGCCGACGAATACACCAGCCAGACAAACATGCGCGAAGCCATAGCGGAGTTTCTCGTTCCCTGACGTGGCCATCACCACACACCCGATCAGCCCGAGTGCCATCCCGAAGACGGTGTGCAGACTGCGCTCTTTGAGGTGGTCGGAGGAGTACACGATGATAATCAGTCCGACTGTTCCGACGATGAATGGGGGGACGGCCATGAGTGTTGCTTTGACCCCTTCGTATCCCATCCCTTCGACGATGAGTGGGAGGAAAGTGGTGAATGCTGTGACGGGGAGGACGCTGAGGATGTTGCATACGACGATGAGCAGCTTCTTCCAGTCTTTCAGCACGTCTTTCACGTCGCGGAGTGTAATGTTCGATTCATGCTCTGATGTATCTCCGGCGTGTGCATCGTCCGCCGCCATGCGTTTTGCTGCGTGCTCCCGTTCTTTAGCGGTTAAGAACCACGCTGTCCCTGGTGAAATGGGCAGGACGAGAAGGCCGATAATGGCCACGAAAACAGTCAACGCGCCCTCGAAGAGAAACACCGTCTGCCAGCCGTGTAGTATCTCCGAATCAAGGTGAAGCAGACCGTAAGCTAACAGCCCAGCAAACGCCCCAGCGACAGAGTACATCCCCGAGAACAGACCCATGCGGAAGCCGAGGGAGAATTTCGGATAGAATAGGGACATGTAGTAGTATGCGGTTGGGGTGAAGCCTGATTCGCCTACACCGAGGAGGAGGCGCAATGCGAGGAACGTTGGTGTGCTGTTCACCCCGATATGGGCTATGCAGATGCTCCCCCAGACGATCATGAGGGTGCATACCCACCATTTAGGGCCGATGTAGCGCCCGATCATGGAAGAGACGGGTTGCAGGGGTACGTACGTAGCGGAGAACTGATGGTCAGCATAGCCATAGCCTTAGGACAAGGTACCTACCAGTGATAGAGAGTTGGGAATGTCGTTTGGATGGAGGTTGGCGTCCTCGATGAAGGTGCTTGTCGCGACGAATCCGACATTGGTCTTGTCGATTCCAAGGAGCTGTCCCTGTTAGATATGAATGTCCAACATACGAGGGCGAGAACGCACGATAAACCCAATTGCCAGAATCAACAACAGGATAAAGTCCAACTTGAGATTGACTCTGCGATCAAGCGCCTTTTCCTCCTCCGACACAGGCTCATAATGCGAGACCTCTGTTGCCACGACCCTTTTCGCATCCTCGACCTCCGCCAGGGAAGGCTTATCCACGCGAGTGACCTCCATGGAAAATTGTTCTAGGTGAGTTGGCCAACATTGAAACACCGAGGGGGCTCCTTAAAAGGTGATCAGCGTGTCCCCATCTATATGCAACGGGGATAGCGTCACTCTCCACAGTCCGGGGTCAGTCTGCGGGGTCGGCAGTGGGGACCATAAATGGAGACAGCCCCCAGTCGCATTCGAGTTTGTTAATCTATTCTGTCTCCATTTCGCCATTTCGCCATGACTCGACCGCGCAAGAAGCTCAACCTACAGTGTGGCTTCTGCCCTAAGAGATATACCAAGCGCGAGCACCTTCAGGTACCTATCCCTATTATTTTAGAGAAATATGCTAACGACAGCAGAGACACGAGCGAATTCGTATGTTAATAGATATATTATTAGAGTATAGCTAATCTGGTAGATACTGGTTCGAAACCATTCTCCTGCTCGGTCTGTGCACGATGTTTCTCTCGTCAGGATGTCTTGAACCGCCATCTTCGGATTCATTCAGATTCTGATTTTACGGACAACGCTGCTCGGATTACGCCGCAGAGTCTGTCTACAGCTGCTGACTGGCCTATGGAGCATGCATCAACACAGCTCCCGGACTGCATGCCGCTATATCAGACGCCTATGGAAGAGCCACGGCCGATGTCAGAAGATTTAGCCTCTGGACTGCTGTGGCCTGATTCAGAGGAACTGCTGCATAATATCATGTCTATCGATCCGACGCTCTGGCAGCAGCCTCTTGCATTAGCCCCGTCGACAGCTGGCCTGCTCGATACGGGGGAAATAGGAGTCTACGAAAACTCCCCAAACAGCACGATTGCTGACGATGGCCGGCAGGCAATCCAGTCTCTCAACAGTTTACTTACTGATACAGTAAGTGCATACCTATGTGACAACTCTGATCTAACGGTAGCAGCTTTCGACCGTCACAGCGCCAGCAAGTCTCACCGGTCTGACGTCGCGGTTCCTCGACGGCAGCCTGCATATGTTCTTTGAAAACATCATCCCCATGTTTCCCATCTTCCACCGTCCGACATTCGTGTTCAGAGACTGTGCTCCGCCACTTCTACTTAATGCGATCGCCCTAGGCGCGTTGTTCCTTGGTAGTCAAGATGCAATTGAAAAGGTATACCCCCGTCTCCTGCTGCAAGCTACAACACCACTAACAATGTAGGCCGACGTGCTATGGCGCCTCGCACACACTGCCGTAGCAACATCATGGCATACAATGATAACCCGCCGGCGGCCATCCGACTGCTGTACAGGCGTGGAACTCGTCCAGACCGTCCTGCTGAGCCAGATCTACGCCGCCCTATCCAAGGTACCCCATCTACCCTAACGATCGTAATAATACTAAATGTTCTAGAATCGCACATTCCGCACAACAAGCCAAGTCTTCCACGGCATCGGCATCCACTGGGCAAGCCACTGCGGGATGTACGACGCCGCTGATACAACTTCAGTCCCGCTGCCCACCAACTCAGATAGTGTTGCGGGTAAACAACACGCCTGGCGGCGCTGGATCGCGCACGAGACTATGCTCCGCACCCTGCTCGGTCTGTATATCGTCGACGGCGTCGTCTCGCAGTTTAGCGGGAACCCGACTTTCGCGCGCCATACGGCGAATCCGCTCCTACTGCCTAGCAGCGATGCAGCATTTGCTGCTACAGGTCCGGATGAGTGGCTGGTTCATATACGGCCGTCAAGCAGGGTACGGTTCTGCGATGTCTACCACTCCCTCTTTTCAAGTAACGGCGAGAAAGCGCGGTACGATATATCGCTTTTCCACCATAAAGTCATCCTCGAAGGAATCCGGTGTCTTGTCTCAGAAGCGAACCGCACAAACCCCGCGCCGGTGGGTATGCCATCGCGACACGACCTCTTGGTTGTATTAAGACGACTCCGCCAGAATATCCTCACCAGTCAAACCCTCACACCCACAGACCGGCTCACGGCCCTCCTCCAATGGCACTCCATCTGCCTAGACACAGCAGCAAGTACCGCGCGCGGAACGCGGCGCATGTGCCACCTGTTCGGGATAAAACAGGGGATATTCGGCGGGAGCCAGCGGGAGGAGAGTCTGATTAACCCAGCGCGGTGGGCGCATAGTTTCGCCGGCCGGGCGACGCTGCTTCATGCGGTGAGTATGCAGGCTATTGCAGCGCAACTGCCGCTGGGCCTTGCGTTTGATGTGAACATTCCTGGTGCGGTATTTGCGGCGGCCGCGACGTTTACGAGTTTTATTCTTGCGGGGGTGAGTAAGGTTGTTGTTCCGGCGGAGGTAGATTGGGATGTGGCCTTGATGGGGCTGCAGGATTCGGGCGCTGGTAAGGTGGTTGGGGATGGGGAGCAGACGATGCAGTTTATTGAGGGGGCTTTTGGTGTTGAGGGTCTGTCGAGGGAGAAGTATGTTGTTCGTGACTTGGCGTATGATTTAACGGCTATACGGACGCTGCTTAGGGGGCTGTCGCTGCAGTGGGGGGTTGCGGTGGAGATGGAGGAGGTTGTTAGTGCTTATATCGAGCGGTGCGAGTTGTAATTGATATTATTATTGAATATTACTACCGGAATAGCTGTCAAGGTGATTGTCCCCACCTGACTCGTGTCTATATTGTCCCCATTCTTTGTGTCCCCACTATGTACATTAGGTCGAGCTGTATAAAATACCTAGGCAATAATCCTACCGTTCTCAACTGCCGACGATACCATCCACAGCCAAGATGTCAACAACAGAAGTCGAATCGCACGACTTCAGCTTAATCAAAGACAACAACCCAGCCGATATCTACGCGCAATTCGCAGCCCTACGCTCAAAATGCCCCGTCGCACACACAACCGACAACGGCGGTTTCTACCTGCTAACACGCTACGAGGACGTCAAAACCGCAGCATCAGATACAGAGACATTCATCTCCTCGGTAAAGGCCGTCATCCCCAGTGATCCGCGTGGTATTCGACGTCCACCACTCAACACCGACCCGCCAGCACATACACCCTACCGAACAGCACTAGATCGCACGCTGCGCCCGAAAAGGCTGAAACGGTTGGAACCGGTATTAACACAACATGCAGAGCGCGAGTTCGCCAAACTGCTCTCAAATAGAGGGGGCGATATCTGCGGCGAATTCAGCGCCATGTTCGCCGCGTGGGTTGAGACGGCGTGGCTGAATCTGGAGGATGAGACGGCGCCGATGCTTGCTTCCACGGCTGCGGCTTGGGTGAATGCATGGCGACGACAGGATCCGAAGGAGACCTCTGCGCAGTCGGAGAAGTTGTATGCGATTGCGCGGAAATTGTTTGCGGATAGACGGGTTAGTCCGAGGGATCCGGAGCAGGATCCGGCTAGTTCGTTGTTGTTGGAGAGGGATTCTAACGGAATGCCTCTGGATGATGAGCTTTTGATGTACGATCCCTACCACGATATATGTCTGCGTGGTAGATGCTAATCGAGTAGTGGTGCCCTAAGACAATCTCTCGTCGTCGGGATGGTTGCGCCGCCGCTTCTCTTTGGGGTTATGTGTAACCATCTTTCACAGGATAAGTCTCTCCAGGCTAGGCTACGCGCAGACCCATCCCTGATCCCCGCTGCAGTTGAAGAGTTCGTCCGGCTCTACGTACCATACCGCGGCTTCTGTCGGACGCCATCCCGGGATATACAGCTGCACGGTCGAACAATCCCCGCGAAAACACCGATTACGATGACATACGCCGCGGCGAATCGTGATCCTGAGGTGTTTCCTGACCCTGATGAGTTTATTCTCAATCGTCCGAATATTACCTCCCATTTGGGATTTGGACGTGGGAGGCATAGATGTGCGGGCATGCCGTTGGCGCGGATGTAAGTTGTACTTTACCTTATAGGACGAAGGGCTAACGTAATTAGGGCATTGCTAATTGGCCTTTCTGTCATTTTGCGCAATTCGGCGGAGTTCGAAGTAGATGGGCCGCTTGAGTATGCTGGCATGCCGGAGATGGGCATTACAAGCTGTCCGCTGCGAATCACACCAAAGACCCCGGTGTAGGCAAATTGGTGTCACTTTGTGATATATCCTCGATCTTTCCTATAGAATTCGCCTAAGTAATTCCGATCTGCCTAACTGATCTGCCTAATCAATCCACATTCCCTACGGTACTCCACCATCCCGTCGGACACGCTGCGTAAAGACGGATGTTTCTGTTTAGATTCGTAGCTTCTTGCTCAAGCCATCATCTAGACAACGCCCATCCTCACCAGAAAATACCTAGCCACTGAGCAGCTCGATTGCACGAGGCTGTTCCCTGACTCAGCAAGATACCATGGTTTGCACCCCGCACATCAACACAGCCACGCGCCCAAAGGCGCTTACTTCCAGCAGTTCACATTTCTCTGCCTCATATTCAAATCCGCCTAGATGCCTTGGAATCTCTGAGGAATTAAGATATGGCTAGTCCGCATGCCCCAACTACCTATGCTCCTACAAGCCACCGTTGCCGCCCAGCAACACGAGCCGGGTTCGAAATCGCCATCATCTGCGCCTTGACCGTTGAGCGAAACGCAATCGAGGCTCTATTGGACGAGGTGTACGAAGCGGACGACTTCTCCTACGGAAAGGCCGATGGGGACACAAACAGCTACACGACGGGGAGATTGGCCAACCAACATGTGGTCCTTGTGTACATGCGTGACACCGGCATAGGGGACGCAGCTGGGGCTGCGGCCAGCCTCAAATCGAGCTTTAGAGGGATTAAAATGGCCTTGGTTGTCGGCGTCTGTGGTGGTGTGCCAACAACCTCTAGTGGCGAGGAAATTGTCCTCGGCGATGTGATTATCAGCACTGAGGTGGTTCAGTTCGACCGTGGGAAGCGGTATCCCAATCGGTATGTACGAACAAACGGTACCCCCAAGGGATCGAATCGCGAGATTGGTTCGTTTGCGAACAAGCTGTCCGGTGCTACATCCCACGACGGAATCAGAGATAAAACGGCTAAATACACTGCTGAGATCTGTGGCCGAGCAAAGTTTCGGGGCTCAGTCTACCCAGGGTCCGACAGAGATATTCTGTATCCAGCTGATTATCGTCATAAGCATCGACGGCATCCCTGTGCTGTTTGTGATAGCTGTCTGGGGGCAACGGATGATGTTTGCGACGCCGCGCTGCAGGCCTCCTGCGAAGTTTTAGGTTGCGACGCGGAGGAGCAGATAAAACGCAGTCGCATACAATCAGCGCACAGCCCTTCTGGCAATGGAGACGATATGGCCGTGGCAGATAGCGAACATACCCCAAAGCCCCGTATTCACTTTGGTCGAATAGCTTGCAGCAACCAGGTGATGAAAAGTGCGCAGCACCGGGAAGACATAGTCAAAGAGGAGCAAGTGATCGCATTCGAGATGGAAAGTGCTGGTACATGGGATTATGTGCCCACCGTTGTGATCAAAAGCGTGGCAGACTACGCGGACTGCCACAAATCCAAAGAGTGGCAAGGCTATGCAGCTGTGGTCGCCGCGGCGTGTACCAAGGCTGTCCTGGAGGAATGGAGACCTGCAGATGGAACACTTCCTTTGCCTGAGCGTGCGTCCCAGGGGCCCGTATTCCAGTAAGTCATCCATCGTCATACTGTAAACGATATCTGACTAAAGCCATTCCCAGTTCTGTCGAAGACATAAATGCCAGCATTAAGCATGCCCTTGAAGTAGTCAAGGCGGCGCTTGACGAGTCAAAAGGCGAGGTAGATAGGAGCAACAAGCACTGTGAGGCTCATACATCCGAGATGGAGGGCGTGGAAACCAAGATCACAACACTTGGTGACGCATTATACGCCCTCGTTGGTAGCCAACTTGGCCGGCTGGTCGCGGCATTCAACGAGTATATGGCCTTTCTCTTAAGTTCAATTGTCCTCTTGGGAGTTATGACCAAGGAGACAGATGACTCATTAAAGTCCCTTCAACGGGCTGATGACAAGATCGAGGCGGCGAGGGTTGAGGCTGAGCTATTGACAAACTTGCAAGCTGAGCCCGGGCACCAAAGCTCTGAGGGCAATGGACAACGTTCTTTAGATGGCAGGGCCGATACTGCTCTATCCGCTACGCACAGTGACACTCAAGGTTCGGATGTACTGGCCAGTGGAGAGGGTCCATCCAACACGAGGAAGCATGCCAAGCGAAACGACAAGAAAGCAACAACCATCTCACCGGAAACTGAAGACCCTGAGGATCCGGCTATTTCTGTATCCAGTCAAGAGTCTGTACAGTCCAGTCTGAAACTACAGGTAGCCCGGACAACGAACCACGAAGAACAGCTCAGTCTCCTTCATCGCCAAGTCAATGATCTTCGAGAAATGTCCGGCAGACTAGACATCTCCCAAGCGGAACTCCGGACTAAGATCGAAGCGACGAGAGATTTGCTGGAGAAAGAAAAGGAATTGCAATCGGAGACAGAACGGAAGGAAAAGGAGGCCAAAGATGAAAAGAACAACGCTTGGCTTGGGTGGTGCGTGATTCTGTAACTTCTTCATTCAGGATTTCGACGGCCGCTTTACGCTACATAAATGGTGTAAAATTCATTAGAAACGAGCAATTTTGTCCGATGATTTGGTGGCTGTTATAGAAAAATACAGATACTCAAACAGTTAAACTAAAATATCCACTGCTACGACACCCGCGGATAATTCCACGTCCAATTCCTGATATAATCCGGATCAATCCCATTATCCCACGCCTCATTCCTGGCCAGCATCTGCAGATTCAAAAACTTCTCTCTCGCCCCGGCCGCCGTATTCCCCAACGACTCAATCCGGTCAATCGCATCAATCGCCAGGCTATACCGATCTGTCTGATTGCGCACGGCCAGCTCAAACGGCGTGTCGATGTTTCCTTTCTCCTTGTACCCGCGCACATGCAGATGATGCTGGCCAGGGCGTTTATAGGTGAGTCTGTGCACGAGCCACGGGTATGAGTGGAAACTGAATATGATAGGCTTGTCTGTAGTGAAGACGGCCTTCCACTGGCGATCCGGCATGCCGTGGGGGTGGTTTACTGTGGAAATGAGCTTGAAGAGGTCGACGACGTTGACGAAGCGGATTTTCAGGCCTGGGACGTGGCGGCGCAGCAGGTCTGTTGCGGCGAGGGCTTCGTGGGTCGGCACATCGCCGCAGGCTGCCATGACCACGTCGGGCTCGCTGCCTTGGTCGTTGCTGGCCCAGTCCCAGATTCCCAGTCCCTTGGTGCAGTGGGAGATTGCGTCGTCCATGTTCAGGAACTGGATGTGTTCTTGCTTGTCTGCGACGATGACGTTGACGTAGTTAGTGCTGCGGAGGCAGTGGTCTGTTACGGAGAGGAGGGTGTTTCCGTCGGGGGGGAGGTAGATGCGAACGACTTCGGGGGACTTGTTGGCGACGACGTCGAGGAAGCCCGGGTCTTGGTGGGTGAAGCCGTTGTGGTCCTGGCGCCAGACGGTGGAGGTGAGGAGGATGTTGAGCGAGGCGACTTTGGCGCGCCATTCGACTTCGAGGCATTTCTCGATCCATTTGCAGTGCTGGTTGACCATTGAGTCGATGATGTGGATGAATGGCTCGTAGCTGTTAAGGAGTCCGTGCCGGCCTGACAGGACGTAGCCCTCTAGCCAGCCCTCGCAGGTGTGCTCGCTGAGCATTTCCATGACGCGGCCGGTTGTGGTGAGGTTTCCTCCGTCGCTATCTTCGTCGAAATATTCTCCCAGCCAGACTTTCTTGCCTGCTTTATAGATCTCGGAGAGTTTGTTTGATTCAGTCTCGTCTGGGCCAAAGACGCGGAACGAGGTCATGTTGTTGCCGACCACGTCACGGAGGAACTTGGCCATGTTGCCCATGCTAGGCCGGACGGATACCCCAGGTTCAAGGTCTTTGAGGGCGTAATTGCGGAAGTCAGGGACATCGAGTGGTCGCCGTAGGATACCACCGTTGGCGACAGGGTTGGCGCTCATTCGGAAGTTGCCTTTCGGGGCCAGCTCTCTCAGCTCAGGGATCAGTTTACCGTCTTTGAATAGCCTCTCCGGTCCGTAGCTCTTCATCCAGGATTCCAAGAATTTCAGATGCGACTGGTTGGTTAAAACATCAGTGATTGGGATCTGGTGGGCGCGCCAGAAGCCTTCCAAATGTTTTCCGTCGACTTCGCGCGGCGCAGTCCAGCCTTTTGGCGACCGCAAGATAATCATCGGCCAGAGTGCTCGGGATGCCTTTTTCGAGTCGCGGGCTTCTTTCTGAATCTTTTTGATTTCCAAGACGCAGTGTTCCAGGGTGGCGGCCATTGCCTGGTGCATGCTTGGAAGGTCACTCCCTTCGACGAAATACGGGGTCCATCCATAGCCGCGGAATAGTGCTTCTAGCTCCTGGTGAGGAATCCGAGCAAGCACGGTAGGATTGTTAATCTTATACCCGTTCAGATGCAGAACAGGCAGAACAGCTCCATCGGTGATAGGATTCAAGAACTTGTTGCTGTGCCAGCTCGTAGCGAGAGGACCGGTCTCCGCCTCGCCATCGCCAACGATCGTAAGCGTGATCAAGTTGGGATGGTCAAAGACAGTCCCAAAGGCGTGAGAGATGGAATATCCCAGCTCGCCACCTTCGTGCAAACTGCCTGGTGTCTCGGGCGTAGCATGGCTGCCAATGCCACCAGGGAACGAGAACTGTTTGAAGAACTTCTGCATCCCTCGCTCGTCTTCTGCCTTGTCAGGGTAGACTTCGGAATAGACACCTTCCAGATACGACTGGGAGATGATTCCAGGAGCACCGTGTCCCGGTCCGGAGATGAAGAGCACATCAAGGTCGTACTTCTTGATCAGACGGTTCATATGAATCCAGGTAAAAGACTGGCCAGCATCGGAACCCCAGTGACCTAGAAGTCGAGACTTGAGATGTTCACGCCTTAAAGGCTCCTTGAGAAGGGGATTCTCGCGCAGATAGAGCATGCCCAGGCAGAGGTACAAGCTGGCCCGGAAATAGGCGTCCGTCTTGCGCACATCCTCAGCGGAGAGGGGTTTCCCTGGAACGGTGGAACGCGCAGCTCCGTACGCAGAGATGCTCTCTTCTGCTTTGTTCGACATTGTATATTAAATCTGGTACAGGGGACAATAGTGTCGATCTGCAGTTGAGTGTTGGAGCGCGTGCATTGAGGGTATAAACCCCGCGCAGCGAGTCTGTGACGTATGTCTTCATCTTCATGGACATGGAGGTCATGACGCGCAGCAAACAGACGCGTTGGTTGTGGTTGTTGGTTGTTGGTTCGTTGCTGGTCTGGTTCTGGTTCTGTTCTGGCTTGTGCATCCGCGGCTTCCGTCGCTATTCCTGTTTGGGACGGATGCCTTATTCAGTAGGTGTCAACACTGAGCAGTATACCACAGCAATTAACAGTGCTGTGCGGAATGGGTTTGCTCTTTATACACGCGTCTGGGTCGGCATTGTTGACGAGGTGGTACTGTTGACCGTCGGTTTCGGTTATTGCGAGATAGAATTCCCAGTCGAACTGGCGCTCGGCGCCGAGATCTGAGAGGAGGATATACAGGCTGTTTTGGTGGAAGGTGATGGCATAGATTCTTGTATTTGTGAATCAAAAGCCGCTGTAGGCAGCACGCGGGAGGGGGACGCATATGGCGCAAACCATGTACATTGAGCTGGCATATTCATTAACTGCCCAACAAGACCTGCATGAGCATGGGATTATGATTGGTGCCCTTTGTTCCCCTCGCACAGACACCTCAAGCCGTCCACGGCGACGGATATTCTTTGTCAAGACTACCTGGATCAATATCTCAGCTCTGCTAGTACATGTAAATCATGCAGTCAGCATTGGACATCATTTCTAATGCCAGTCTCTCACCTACTGAGCATTTATTGCTGAAGCACTTTGTCGAGGGTGCAGTTCATCCAGAAAAGGCAGCTGGCTATCTTCTGTCCAGAGTCCAGGCATCTAAGGGTCAAGTGGAGAATACCCTTCGCCAGCTCAAACAGGAATGGAGACATCTTGTATCTTTAGGTATCAGTTCTGAATATGCATCTTTGCTAGCACAGCTAATACCTTTAGTCACGACGTTTGACCCGATTCCCCGCCATGTCCAAGATTTGGCTATTCAGCGGGATGGCGCGGACTATACAATGAGACGAATACCGAGTCATTCTCCAGGATCCAAGACAGAACCTGCATACGTGATTCCCCCATCGATGATTCGGAGTCTCGATTCTGGTGATCAGGTGAGCTGCACTGGAATCATGCTGGTGATCGGTTTTGACATTGCAGAACGTTTTAATGCCACTACTGGAGGCATTTCTATCTGTGGACTATGTTTCCAGACTCAGAACGCTCCTTGAGACCGAGCCAGATGATACTCCGACACTGCTCCAGAATATCCTGTCTCTTCCCCCAAGTATACATAAAGCATTTCGCGCAGGACATCTCGATATTCGTACTCGGACTGAATTACGTGGAAATCCACCACCTATAGATGAGTATCCCGATAATTGCGGAGTAAGACCCTCCATGGTACATTTGGTAGCACTCGCGACTAACCAAAATAGTATGGACTACGTCGTCTCTACCCAGAGGAAATCTCCGGCTTATATCTAGGGGACGGCACTCCGTTCGAAAATATAATGCATTATTTCCAGCTAGCTACATCGGATCCTAAACGACTCCGCCTCCCGAGCAGCTTCTTGATCAACGTGCATTTTCGGTTTGCCACCGCATTACATCTGTTCTATATCGAGGATAAGGTTGCCAGGGGGTGGCCTCGAAAGTCACGACTTCCAGACCTTCACGTACCGGAAACTCTAAAACATGCATTAACCTTGCTTTGGCTGAAAGTACCACAATATATACGCGTGTCAGTATACACACTTCTAAACAAAATCGGACGCAGACTCTATCCACTCGAAGCCAGTGTTTGGGCCCAGCGCCTACCATTCGGACTATACATGAAGCAATGCACACGCGCTCCACAGAACGAACCAAATGTTCTAAGACTCATTGAAAAGAAAACAACCATCCCAGCCCCACGACTGATCGACACCTGGGAGTCCGACGGGATAGCTAATATCCTCATGACACGCCTCTCGGGTGTACCAGTTCAGGAGGTCTGCCACTTAATGTCCTACCCCGAGCGCGATCGCTTTGCGAGGGATATCAGGGATTGTGTTGAGCAGCTACGCAGACTCCCGAATCGGTCACCGTATTTGATATGTGACTCCCTCGGTGGCGCGATTACGGACCACCGCATCCCAGGAGATACTGGGGGTCCGTTCAAGACAGAGTCTGAATTCAATGACCACCTATCAAGTCATCTCAAGGTCCCCTTCTCAAGAGTCGTTGAGCTGAAGGGTCTCTCTCCGCGTGACCACGAGCACTTTTACTTTACGCACGCGGACTTTCATCCGAGTAATCTGCTTGTGGAGGGCGGATGTCTGAGTGGGATTGTGGATTGGGAGTCTGCGGGCTTTCGGCCGGAGTATTGGGAGTTTACCAAGGCTATGTATGGCGCTATGGGAGGGGGTGTGATGGGGGATATTTTCTGGCGGGCTTTTGGGAGGGAGTATGAAGCTGAACTGGAGGTGGAGAGGGAGATGTGGTATTTGACTCCGTTTGGGTCTTGACTCGCGTGTAATGGGTTAATAATCGACTTCAACGGTTTTATTGGTATAATTACATCTAGAAGATCGCCATAAGTTCTGCTGTCGCGGACGTTATCCGCAGCCGGTGCCCATCACTGCATAGCCCAGTGGGCCAGCCAGGTAATTAAGCAGATGATGTGGTTAGTATACCTCCTGAGACGCAATACTCGAGTCATTCCATATCAGCTCTGGGATACACATCCTACAGCCTCACCGACCCACATCGGTCAGGACACTATGGAAACGCGGGAACGACGGATACCTCAACGACCACTCGCCGTGCTACAACACCGGCAACGGCCGCACCTTCACCATCGAGGGAGACTGCTGGAACACCGGGCGCCAGTTCCACTGTCTCGGTGACAACTTGGGCGGGCCGAAGGAGTGTGAGGTTAGAGATGCTGATGGGAATGTGCTCGGGTCTAGTGAGGTAACTTAAAGAGCATGCCAATACAGGCTATATGTTGCTATAAGCCTACTTGGTGGCTCCCCACATGCGGAGATAGGGCTCCTCATATCACATCATTGCAGCAGTGGGTCGGCATTATTTAAGCTGCCCCTCCCTTCATTAATAAATACTTGCCCCTCCTCAGGGACTCTGCCCCATCATCAATTGATTGAAGATGTCCCTCCCCCGCCCACCTCTCGACCCCGACCTGCAGCCCGCCCAGGACCGCTTCGACAAAAACAGCGCCCTCGTCCCCCAGGACAAGCTCAATGCCCGTCGAAATGCCGCCCGCCTGAGCTGGGAAGCCATCAGCAAAGGAAAAGAAGACTCCATCAGCCACACCGAGCTCGACATCCCCGGCCCCGCGGGCCCTCTCCGCGCCTCCATCCTCCGCTCCAAGAACCCCCACCACACCAACAAACCCGCCGCAGAGACCATCGGCATCGTCCACTTCCACGGCGGCGGCTTCTGCACCTCCGATCGCTTCCACGGCCTCAACACCTTATTCCCACTCATCGAGTCCCTGGGCGCCATCGTCATCGGCGCAGAATACCGTCTCACCCCGGAACACCCGCAGCCCGCACCCGTCGAAGACTCCTACGCCGCTCTACAATGGATCGCCTCGCACTCCGCCGAACTCGGCTTCAACCCCAACAAGCTAATCACCTGCGGCGGCTCAGCAGGCGGGAATCTCACAGCCGGTGTATCCCTGCTTGCGCGCGATCGCAACGGCCCCTCCATCCTCGGCCAACTCCTCTTCTACCCCTGGATCTCGGATGAGACGTCCTCGACCTCGTTGCAGCAATTCGGCGATGTCCAGCCCTGGACGAAAGAGGATACGGCGCATGCGCTGGACTTTGCATTGGGGAAGGACCGTAAAGGTACCAGTATCTATACGATTCCAGCCTCTGCGACGGATTTGAGGGGCCTCCCGCCGACATATTTGGATGTGGGCGAGGCGGATGTGTTTCGGGATCAGGATGTGGATTTTGCGAATCGGTTGTGGGGGGATGGGGTGACGACGGAGTTTCATGTTTGGGTTGGGGCGTGGCATGCCTTTGATGCTTTTGCGCCGGAGGCGCAGGTTAGCAAGAAGGCGATGCAGGCCAGGCTGGAGTGGGTGAAGAGGTTGGTGGAGAGGTCGGGTTGATAGACTAGACTAGATATCATGAAGTTTCTGTCAGTGAATTCTCGCTATTCCCAGTAAAGACTTAGGGTTACCATATGTATTCTGCTGGTATTCAATAACCAGGCTGATATTGATGAAGCTTGGTATTGGGTTGGATTGAGTTTGGCATGGGTGAATAACCCTGTATTGGAACATTGCTATTGCCCAGTCTCCCAGCAATATCAACAATTCTTAAAATATCATGAATGGGAAACTGATATCTAATGTGACTTGATACAGTTAAGAGCTGTTGTTGTGCATAAGGTAGGGGTGTTGTGTGTATTCACTAACGGCTTTCAAACATCTATTCAATTGTCTTTAACAAGGCTTCTTTAGTCTCTCTGTTTCATTTCCCTGGCGCTCATTGGCTATGTAGATATAACAAGTGAACAGCCAGTACACTTCTTTGAATACACTCACTGCTCTTTGGACAGTTTGTGTTCCAGTCTGGTCCTGATAACTGAGACTCAGCTATTATTTATACCTTCCTGTCTTCCCCAGAGCTCTTCTCATTATCTTTCCTACTATCCTTCGTCCTCTCTTCTACTCTTTTACTATCAGCTCCTGCCAGTCGGGTCACCCTCCTTGATTTACCATTCTTAGTTACATCTCCACGTCAAGATGCGTTTCACTCTCCTCACGCTCCCTGTGGCTCTGCTCGCCACCGCGGCCTCCAGTGTATGTCCCCTTTCCAGCCACCAAGATACAATCCATACTAACAATTTAACAATTCCGCCAGCACACCATCGACTGCTGGGGAAAGGGCCTTCACCCCCCTATCAAAAGCGTGGACTACATCACCAGTCTGATGGACCAGGTCACCAGCGGCCGCATTGACACCCTCCCCGGCTACTCGGACAGGGAATCGATATACCTCGACGCCGATTCGTGCAAGGAGCTCGCCTGCTTCAAGGGCGCTCAGGTCCGCTGGTGCAGCACTGTACGTATCCGACCCTTCTCCTTCCCCTCCATATATCCAAACTAACCAACCACCTTTCCTCCATAGCGCGATAGCACTCTCAAGCTCCACATGCAGAATATCGTTGATGGTCTCAGGTCTATTCGTCGTGAATGCCGTGAAGACGGCCTTGATACTGTTGGTGGTGTTCTCTACCAGCCTGATAACTGGAATATCATCTTGCAGCAGGAGGACGCGTGCGAGGGCAAGTAAGCGCTTACTTCGTCGGTTGTTCTTCTCCTGGAGTTGGGCCCTTTTTATCCTTTATGGTACCTCTATGAAGATGGACGATGAAGGACTTCAACACCTGATGGGCACTGCAAGAGGTTTTCCGACTGGAGGTCGTTTCCTCGATCGCTTCAGTACTTGATTTTGTTTAGCATGCATAAAATTTGACTTCTGACATTTTCTAAGTTATTCTTGGCCCATTTGGACAAAATTGTACGACTTCAATTTCTATCCGTAACACTGTCTGCTCTCGTCAGTACACTGCAGGTTTCCAGCCTTGTACGGTCTAACCACCTCCCCATTAGATGACATTACACGTACGGTGATTGCCGAGGAGGGGTTCCCCCGCCTTACTGGTCGATCTACATGGTCAGCGCCTTGAGAGCCCTGGATCTCTTGGTTCTTTGAGCTAGATGGCCAGCTGATTCTCCACATCTCTCAAGTCGGTACCGGAAGGCTATCTACGACCGTGCGGGAGCCAAGCCGGGAAGATTAAACAGAAATTTGTTATACTAAAAATGTGAATATCAGCCCTGTAGTGGCCCTGGGCGTAGCCGTTTTATACTGTTTATACCAATATTATACGCTTTTAGCTTTGATCCGCCTTCAAGAATTTATCATGTAGCATGTTGTCCGACTAAGTACAAATGTTGTTTCACTTTACCTATATCTTGTGCCATCGGTAGATATTGCCATCATGGATTATATATATTCACATTTAGTTCAGTTATTTAGTGTAGGTCAAGCGCAGCCGTCAAATATAGATCACCATCATACTTTAGGCAAGTAATAAATTGAGACCAACCATATTCTTATAGAATCCCACAAGTAGCACAGCTTACTGACACATGGAAAGGTGCCGATACCGGGTGTCCCAAAGAGGAAATGTCAAGGGCGTGACATGGCCACGTGACCCCATGTTAAACTCCAACTTTCTCGTTGCACTTTGACTTTCATCTTCTTGACTCCAACTGTCGCCTCCACTACATCCTGCTCCCATCGCATTACCAAGGAATGCAATCCGGCTCTTTCACGGATGTTCCAGAAGAGATCCCTCTTACCGACTCACTGGCCCACGATGACTTGACCGGAATGTTGCTAGTGGGGCCAGATCAGACGGGGCATCCCCCTGTCGCCGATCACACAAATATCGATCTAGACGGCCACGGCGAAGGGGTTATCCTGGACCATGGCAATTCAACCTCATCAGATGCGCTCTCCCCCAATCCCAATGTAGCACGCGAGTCACGCCGCTTTGGAACGAAAGTAGTCGCTGTGAATGTCTTGAAATGCTGGTTCGACGAACACCACCACAATCCGTATCCATCCAAGGAGGAGAAGGCATCTCTAGCTGCTGAGACCGGCCTAACAGTCAGTCAGGTAAATACGTGGTTTGCAAACTCTCGACGCCGACGAAAAAACAGGGGCATTCCCCGGGCTCCAACACCGGTGCCTTCCCAGGGACCCATCGATATCAGCCGCCCAGCCCCATCTTCATTTATGAGCCCGCTGGAGCGATGGAGGAACTCGCCTCCCGAGGCCGAGGCTGCTTCATTCGATGCAATCATGGGTGCCGTTTTTGATAGTGGCCACACGTCATATCAAGACAGCAATTTCAGGTCATCGCAGCAATCAACACCCAGCGATGCTCGATCAAGCGCGTCGTCCAATGCTTCTGGATCCGGTATCTCAAACAAATCTGCGTCGTCTGCATGCAGTCGAGGCTCCTATAGTTCTAATGGGTCTTTCACCCGGTTCTACTCCGCCGAGTCGGTAGCCCGGCGTCGACGACGCAGAAAGCGCGCGGCTGTGTTCCCACAAGGAGCGGAAAAAGCAGTACCGGAACGACGGCCCTACCAATGCACATTTTGCACAGACACATTCCGCACCAAGTACGACTGGACACGGCATGAAAAGACATTGCATCTGTCACTGGAAAGCTATACCTGCTCCCCGGATGGCCCACTTTATACAGGTGTTGATGGTACCTCCCGGTGCGTGTTCTGTGATCAGCCCAATCCGTCAGAGAGCCATATCGAGAGCCACAGTTATAGTAGGTGTCGAGAAAAGCCGGAGGTACTGCGGAAATTCTACCGCAAAGACCACCTCGTTCAACATTTGCGCCTTGTGCATGGAATTAATCAATTCCTACCTTCGATGAATAGCTGGAAGGCACAGGTTGATCAAATCAACTCTCGGTGCGGGCTGTGTGGCGAGAGATTTGTCTCATGGAAAGAACGGAATGAACACATTGCGCAGCACTTCCGGGATGGTGCGCGAATGAAGGACTGGAGGGGATCCAGGGGCCTCGACCCGTCGGTAGCTTTAGCTACGGAAAATTCCATGCCCCCCTACCTGATAGGCGAGGAATCGTTGACGCTGGATCCATGGAGCGCGTCCCGCCAATCGGAGGGTTTAAACACAGCGGACAATATGTTCCTCGACCCGCGGCTCCCGGCTGCGTCAAATCCGTCATCATTTGAATATTTTACCTTGCAGCTCGCCAACTTTGTCCGAAACGCGCAGGACTCCAATGAGACGGTTACCGACAGCATGATCCATACCGCGGGCCGCCATATCCTGTTTGGCGATGACGACCCTTGGAATCAAACACCAGCCGACAATGCAGAATGGCTCGGGATGTTTAAGCGAGGAATGGGCATTGAGACCGTAGCTGACCCGGCGGATCCGCAGTCACCGGCCCAGCTGGGTAGGTGCGAAAGCCTTGACTTGTTTCGGTTGTTCTCGACTGGACTGTGCAGCCCGTGGAATATCCCAAACCCGGATGCAACCTTCACAGACGCCACTGTCGCGGAGGACGCCAACGTGGTGTGGTCCTGGCAGCAGCCAGAGGCTCTTGCGGAGTTTAGGGAATACTATACACACGTCCTATCAACGGGGGCTCCGGAGGCGCAGGATGATCCCCTTTCGTCGGTTTTCTGCGAATTCAGGCAGTATTACAATGGACTAGCTCTGCCAGGAAACATTGGAAGCCAAGTTGATAACAATATTCATGGCTTCCCCAATCAAACCACGCATCTGCATCCCGATGGCAGCTAAGGCCTGCACTTATAATGGCGTCTATGACCATCGATGTGGATATTGTCACATGCTAGGGTGGGGTCGTACAGTTGCTGGCATTGACATCGTTGGCGTGGGCACAGACTCATTGCAGTATTGATCTTTGCGACATCGAAGATCACCCATAGGACTTGGGTGCCAAGCTCTCTCACGCGGGCTAATTGCTTCCCAAAGCAGTTCCATCCTGCGCAGCTGACGTAAACTTACGCTGATAGTGATGCGCTATTCCCTAGGACTGTGGATGCTGCTGGGCTGACGAGATCTGGCGTTCAGCTCATAGCGGGTCAAGAGCTCGACCCCAGTTTAACGAATGGCACAGGCCTTGAGGTTGACACGCTTATACCTGTAAGCGTGTCCTCAACTGCAGGGAAGTTGCGATTTACTTTCCCGAAAGGGCAACCGCGTGGGACTGACTTGCCTAACGCAAGGGAGAGTGTCACTGCCATATAAGACTCGCCTTCCCCCACCTTTCCTACAAACCCTACCCTTGATTCAATTCATTACAGGCGTGGTACATCATGGCACCCGCCGCTCTCCCACAATCCGCCGACTACGTGATAGTGGGCGGGGGCACCTCCGGCCTGGTGCTTGCATCCCGACTGTCAGAAGACCCAAACGTCAACATTGTGGTCCTTGAAAGTGGCCCTGATCGAACGACTGACCCGGAAGTCCGCGACCCGCTTGTCTGGCGAGCACTTAGTGGATCGGATCTGGACTGGAAACCCCGGACTACCCCGCAGGTGTGAATGAAAACTACCTTTATCCGAGCTGTCCTAAGTGTGACGAATGCATAGGGAGGTCTGAACAACCGGACACTGGACCATCCGGCAGGGAGAGTGCTTGGTGGATCTTCTACGATCAACGGATTGGTACTGACATCGCCGTCGCCGGCGGGAATGGATGCGTGGGCGAAACTTGGAAATCCCGATTGGACGTGGGAGACGTTCAAGCCGTATCTGCAGAAGTCGTACACAGTTCCGGGAAAGGCAGTCGAAGGGGTAATCAAGACCATGGAGCCGACGCTGGTGGACGGTGTGGACAATACCCTCGTGCAGGCCTGGATTGATGCCCACGCGGAAGAAGGCTACCTGAAGGCAACGGATTTCGAGGGCGAAGAGAGGACGATTGGAGTGAGGCCCTTTACAGCTACGATTGACCCTGCAACTGGAACTCGCAGCAGTGCAGATAACACGTATGGTGCTGTTGCAAGTGCTTGTCCAAACGTGACCATCGTCACTGGAGCTACTGTAAAGAGAATATTGTTTTCTGAAGGTATCACTGCGTCCGGAGTCAAGGTCGACTATAAGGGATCGAGTGTGACGGTTGGGGCAGTGAAAGAAGTTATTCTTGCTGCTGGCGCCTTTCATACTCCGAAACTGCTTGAGCTGTCTGGCGTGGGAGACACGGAAAGATTGAAGTCACTGGGAATCCCGCCCGTCTTGCATAGTTCAGGTGTAGGCGAGAACCTCCAAAATCACACAATGGGAGTAATACCAGTGCCTTTAAAGGACAATCCTGACCTTGCGGATGTGAAACCGGGAATCCAGGCACTGGCATTTAGACAGCTGGATCCGAATGATATAACCGAGGTACTCAAACAGAAACAGGAATGGAATGGCGATGAGGAAGTCATCAAATCACTGCTCCAGTCCCCGAATGAGGCATCCGCATATAGCCTTATCGGCATGATGCAAAACCTGGCTATTGTTGTGGTGATGCTCACCTTCCCTTTCTCCCGAGGCAGCGTTCACATCAGATCTGCAGACCCTGGCGCTCCACCAATAATTGACCCACGCCTTCTCAGCAACGATTTAGACATCGAATTCCTGGCGCGACATGTACAGGCTTTACGAAGACTTCTCTCTTCTCCTGCTTTTCAACCGCTTTTACAATCCCCTCGGGAACCTTCCGAGTTGGCGAAGCTCAAGACGACACTCCGCGAATCCATGGCCAGCACGGCACACCACGCCTGTGGCACAGCCGCCATGCTCCCAAAGGAACATGGAGGCGTCGTCGACCAGGACTTGAAGGTATACGGGACAACAAACCTGCGGATTGTCGATGCGAGTATCTTCCCGCTTATTCCGCATGCGAATCCAATGGCGACGGTTTACGGCGTTGCTGAGCGCGCGGCGGACCTGATCAAGGGTGCCATAGGTGATAATTAGATAATACATATCATTTTCTAAAATCGTCTATTGTAGTTCTCACAACCAATGCGAAGGTGACTCGACGTACGTCATCGGGTACTCCATCAATAGACCCCCCCTATTCCTCAGGAAGCGTAGGCTGTTTAGTCCATGGAATCCACAACCCCCCAACACACAGCAACATCGGGAGCACCGAAACCCCAGCAACTAATCCTATCACCCAAGTCACCGTACTCCATCCATAAGCCTCCTTAATCAGGCCAGCAAGAAACGATCCCGCAATCGCACCAGCAGAGAAGGTAGCGCTAAGGATCCCATACATAAGTGCCGTTGGCTCAGAACCCCCGAATATCCCAGGCCGCCTCTCTTCCTGCTCCGACACAGCAAACGCAGCTTCAGATAAAAGCGGCGGGTCAGACGCCGCAAGGCTCAAGCCCAGCAGAGCAAGCAGGACACATAGAAGAACTTTCTGCCCCGTCGTATCCCCCGTAACAAACCGCAGCAGAACAGCCGATATAGAAACACCAAGCATAGAACCTGCCGCAACATACCGTCTAGAATGTGGAAACCGATCGTTAACCCACCCGTAGAACGGCCCGAGGAAATTCGGGATTGAGAGGGGGAGGAAAATAAGTCCTTGCCCGGTTTGAGTCCAGTTGAAGGTATCTCGCACGAAGAGCGGGAGGATGCTGTTGAAGGAACACATTATTACCGCGCCGACGAAGTAGCCCCAGATTGTTATCCACATGCGTTCAGAGCTGAGGAGGATGAGCAGGGCTGGTGGTCGCTGGGGTTTATCTCCTTCGGCTTCTGTAGGTAGAGATCGGGGTGCCGTGTGTTCTGATAGCAGAGGGGAATCTTCAGATGCAGGAACACCGTCCCCTCCATCCTGAATATCCCTTCTAGTGGCAGGATCAGGCTCATCCCGCCGCTCAATCATAACCAACCTTAACCCAATATCAACAACAACAAGCCCAAACGCCAACCCAAACACCGCATAATACCCGCCAGAAGCATATATCACACCCCCCAGCAACGGCCCCAGCAGCGGGCCCAACATCATCGCCATACCAAGATACCCCAGCGCCTGTCCCAGTCTGCTCTTATCAACCGAGTCCACGAGCAGCGCACATCCAACCGCCCAGACCACCGCGGCCGAGGCGCCTTGCAGCAGTCGGCCTACTATCCAGAGACCGAGGGTCGTCCCGATGCAGAGCAGGACGCAGGAGGCGCCTAGGAAGAGCAGACCCGTGATTAAAGGCCACTTCCGGGAGGAGATTAGGTCGGCGATGTACCCGGCGATTGCTTGTTAATTCAGGGTTAGAATGGAAATGAGAATGGGAATGTGGGTAGGTCCAGGCTTGGGTGGTACTTACGGGCGCATGCGAGCTGGCCGGCGCCGCAGAGGGCGAGCAGGATTGATGTCCATCTTTGTTCTGTGATGTATTAGTTGATATCCTGGCTGTGGTAGGGATGTGCTTACCCTCGCCTGCAGGAAGACCAACGCGCTCGTGGAGAGCCGTTGGCATGACCGGGACGAGCTATAGGGTTAGTCCAGCTGGTACTGACTCCGTATTTATCGTTGGAATACCTACCAGTCCATAGAGGAGAAGGTCCTATCCCTTTGGTTAGTTATTATTGAGTTATCGGTGGTGAAGGGGGATTACTGTGAAAATGGCGAAGGAGACTACAAAAGTGATAAACGCCTCTGAGGACCTCCACCTGGCAGGTGGACTGTATCCAGCATCGGTATACATTGCAGTTGTTGACTGAGGTTCGCCAGGAACGACGCAGAAATTCAATTTATGAATCTGAAGTCATAGCGTGAGGGTTGGTGGGTCTCTACGTAAGCAGCCAATGTAGATCGTTTGGTTGAGATAATTGTATAACTGGTTATACTCGGTGTAGCTGTAGATTTAACCCGAGATGTACTGATAGCAGGTTATACTCCATTGACGCCGTTCTCATGCCCGCTGACCCCGTTCACCCCGTTCATCCCATTGACTCCGTTGACCCCGTTGACTGTTTTGACACCATTCACCTGCGCTGCGTGGCCATTGACTCCGTTGACTCCTTTGAGCTCGTTGACCCCGTTAACATACGTATCCCTCTGCTCAGCAATATCCCTCCTCTCCTGTATCAAAACCTCCGCCCACTCCCTCATCTCCGGCAACGTAATCCTCCCCAAGACATGATAAAACTCATCCAAATCCCTGCCCAACTCCCGCTCATACTCAATCGTCTGCAGCACCATCTCCAGCTTATCGACATCATGCACAAACCGCGCCTCCAGCGTGTTATTATCCTCATACTCGCGAAACAGTTCCATCATCCTTTCTGCCCCCCTTGGTCCTCCACCGCCGGGTATACTCCCCAACAAAGGCCCCGTGATATATTGCATCGTCGCCTCTTCGCGCCTTGCCTTTTCCGTCTTGGTGATGTCTGTGTTGAGTGGGGTTATGTCGCCGACGAGACATTCTGCCATGTCGTGGACGAGCGCCATCTCGATACAGCGCGGGATGGAGATGCGGGTGGCTAGTGAAGGTGGGCAGAACATGGTCATGATGGACATGCGGTACATGTGGTCTGCGATGGATTCGCCATGGTGGGAGAGGTGTACTTGTTGCCAGCCTTCGCGTTTGGTGGTTTTGAGGCGCGAGAGGAGGTGGAAGAAGGGGATGGGGGTTGATGTGTTTTCGGGGGGTGGGTTGGGGAGGGTGGACAGCACTGTAATGGGTAAATTTGTTAGTTGAAATGTCGATGGGAGAATTAAGTGAGGTGATAGAGTTGATGTACCGGTTCGTGGATCCCACTCTGGGGTTGAGGGTGTGATAGAGCCCATGGTGTTGGGCTTGAGTGAGTGTCAACTGTCAAGATGAACAGAAGAGAATGAAGAGAGGACGAGGTGAAGAAGTGAGAGGAAGATACGTGTTCCTTGGCTGGTGTGCGGCCACGAGGTTGGAGAATGTGACATGATTCGGTTCGCAGACGATCGCGGTCTATAACCATTCAGCTGGACTGGGCACCGCCGATGCCGTGGCCTTGGTCTGGCAATCTGCTGATCATGTCGATCTAGATCGTCGATTCCCAATTCTGCTGATCGAGGGCTGTCTGTGACTGACTCGGACTGTCAGACTGGTGACTAGAGTGTCCGACTGACCAGGCTTGCTTGCGTGATGGTGCTAGAGAAAGGGGCGCTGGCATGCAAGGAGAGCGAGAATATGCCGTGTCGCGTCAGACCCTGGATGGGTCCAATTATTATCTTGGCGCAGATGTTGGACAAAGCAAGATCACGTCAGTACACAGGAAACAGTAAGCAGCTAAGATCTGATGTGGAAGAGTCGAGAATGTGAAGTATATTCCATAACTGAATGACGACATACCAGCCCAGGCAAACGAAAGACTACAAGCATATTACCTTCAGGGAATCGTGGAGGAAAGGTAACGAACATTCTGTTGGAATGCAAATAGCTTCCTATTAGGGCTAGGGTGATGCCAGCGGGACGCGAAGGATACACGATCACCAGCGGATTGTGGTGGTGACTGGCCTGCGCATCGTGGCTGGCTGAGCAATTGGTCCACCGGAACCAATAACTCTTTCTTACTCTTTGGAGGTAAGGGGCAGATATCACTTAGTAAGCTGGCTGATCTCCACCGCAGAGCTCTCGGCAGCTGCCTGGATATTGCAAAGGGCAATGAAGCACATGCCGGTCGGTGGCTGGCATAATGTCTGCAGCGCCGTCACAGACTGCAGGTCACTCGGAAAGTCAAAGACGCAGGCCTCCTCGTCTTGCGCACAAGAAGTCTCGTACAGGGTGCCAGCGATGTCGGAGTCGCAGAGTTAAGGTACAGATATACCCCGGTTCACCGTTTCAGCCCTAAGGCGACTGACTGACAGGCAGTGCGACGAGACCCGTCCTGTCTGTCGAGACTGTCACCGACATGGCGTACCGTGTGTATATGACAGGTCTGAAGGGTCCTGCCAAGCAGCGCCACCTGCCCAAGTGGTCTTCATCCCTGTCGAACCCGAACCCATAGGGCAGCCTGCCTTGTCAAACTCCAACCGCGATCAGTATCTGGAGCTCCGACTCCTCCATCACTTCACTGTAGCAACTACCTCGACAATACCATGGACCCATCTGCCACATATCAAAGAATGCTGGACGGTCGACGTCCCCCGACTGGCATTTACTTACAGACCACTACTGCATGTCATCTTCTCAATTTCCGCGCTCCACATGGCCAAGTCCGAGCCAGGCCAGTCCCACCTGCTAGCAATTCACCGGGAATACTTCGAAGAGGCGCTCCGCGAGCACAGACTCTCCGTCCAGCGGATTACAAGAGATATCGCCGACGCGGCGTGTTTCACGACGGTGCTTTTACTCATTGATGTCTTTGCAACACTGCACGATCGCCCGCTGCAGCCTTATGAACCGCCGCTGGAATGGATGCACCTTGTCCGGGGATCCGAGACGGTGTTCCGTATCGCCCTTGATACGATTAGAGACAACCGCGCTGCTAAAATTTGGTCTATCATTGAGAGTTTCCCGCCGGTTAGGAATGCAGTTGCGAATTTAACGGAAAAGGACTTGGAATTGTTTTCTTATCTCCTGCCCGACTCGGCAAGTGAGGACATGGAAACGTATAGAGAGACAATCCGATATATAACCGCCACCCGTCGAGTCATGGAATCCGACGAGTCATTACAAATCACCGCGCGACATATCATGGTCTTTCCCCTGATGGCGCCGGCTGGGTTTATGGGTCTTGTTGAAGAAAAACGGCCGCGCGCACTGGTTGTCCTAGCGCATCTGCTTGCTATGGCTGCGCCGTTGAGTGATTGGTGGTGGATTGGACATACGGGGCATAGAGATGTCTTTGCCATTCGCGATATGCTTGGGCCGGAGTGGAAGGGTGTGATGGAGTGGCCGGTTGAGGTTGTTAGCCGGCGGTGTCGGATGTGTAATAAACAATCTACATAGCTCTTGTGATGTTTTCGCCTGTTCTAGGTTTGGTACGTAGACCGTGGGACTGAAAGACTACCAGGCTTGCGGTATTCCATGATTCAGACATAGCCACGAGTTAGTCTTGCCATCCACCAAGTGGGCGTGCAACGCTGATTTTTACCAGAGGATCAGGAAATTCAGGGATAGCACAGCCGTTGGATGATCCACATCTTGAACGGTGTGGCTTACGGGGCGCAATATTCACAGAACAACTACGACCTGGATACTCTTTAGAGACTAGGTATGATTATTTGGGGGCTGACACTACTCAACGAGACGGAAACCGCTGGTTAAGCCTTCACGGGGCTGTGAGATGATCCACTGTGGATTCTAGCAGCAAATCACAACACATATCGACGAGGCAGTTCAACAGTTTAAAGGACCTGATTTGATGGCTCTGACAGGCATTCTCGGTTTCGTTTAGTAGTGGCTGATCAGTCGCAGCTGGCAGCAGAAGTATCTGTACAGAAATACTTAAATGCCTCAAACAGCTCTGCGTTCTTCATTCATTCAGAGTCTCTATTATCATCTTCTCTCTATAACACCTACTACTACAACATGAGCGCCCTCGACGCCGCCCAGCTCGCGATCTTTGCCCTCCTCAGCCTCCCAGTCCTCTACCTCATCTACAGCCATGGCCGTCGTGGATTCCTAGGCTGGGGCTTCCTGCTTATCTTTTGCATCCTGCGACTGACCGGTGCTGGCATGGCCATCAGCAACTCCGGTCCTAGTGCGCAGATTATATCCAGCATTGGGCTGTCCCCGATGCTGCTCTCGCTTGATGGGATTTTGCACGAGGCGTGCGTTTCCTTATCTTTCTTGCCGTATTTGACGGGATAATGCTAATATTTGTTTTAGGAGGACATATCGCTATAAAACACTGAATAAAGGCCTCGAATACGCATTCATGGCTGTCTTCCATATCCTCATCGTCACCGGCGTCGCACTCGTTGGAACCGGGGCAGGAGGGTTGACAGGAGAACACCCCGAGTCTAGCGATCTAACCCATCTCAAAGCCGGAATGGCTCTGTTAGAGATTGGCTGGGGTATATTGCTTCTATGGACACTGTGGACGTTGAAGGATGGAAGTGATAACGTCGCAACAGCGCAGGAGGGGAGTGTTGTATGTATACCGTCAAACATTAATACCCGGAAGAAAAAGCTAATTAAGGCATCTGCAGCTCCTATATGGTGTGCTTGTCGCGCTGTTGATTGAAGAGATCCAGCTCGTGTACTCCCTCGTGGCGCAGTGTACGCAGCGCGCAGACTTGAATGCGACGACGGGGAATCTGGCGGTTCGGGTGGTGCTGGGGTTTTTGCCTGGAGTTGGTGCGACGGCTGTGCTGGTCGCTGTGGGAGTTTGGACGAGGAGTGTTTCTTCATCTAAAGGTGGGAATGGGCATGATTCGAGGCGGGGTGGGTGGGTTTAGATGGTGATTAAGCTGTTATATACTTGGTGTTTAGGGTTGTTAACTTGTTATTCCATGAACATACAATTAGTCCGAGAAAGACATTGTTGACATAACGAATAAAAAGTCCAGTGCATAACTTCACTGCCTGATAAGATAAAGGAATTGGAGAAGGACAATCTCGGGGATCTTCCGACCATAAATCCCCCACTTCTCTCTCTCTCTCTCTCTCCAACAACCATCACCACCACCACGATGGAGCCACACAGACTCACCGCAACCGAAGCCCTCCAGCTCATCCAATCTAACACCCTCACCGTCGAATCGTACGCCCGCGCGCTACTCTCCAGAATCGAGTCGCGCGACCCCGCAGTCAAGGCATGGGTCCATCTCAACCCGGACGCCGTGCTGCAACAGGCCCGGCTACTCGATCAAATCCCCGTTGCCCAGCGCGGTCCGTTGCATGGAATTCCAGTTGCCGTAAAGGATGTTATCTATACCAAGGGTACGAACAAATTCCTCTACGTTGCCTTGCTTTAGTATTAGGATACTAATTCAGATAGACATGCCAACCCAGCATAACTCGCCGTTATACAAGGATAGCCATGTCGCCGTTGACGCTGCCGTCGTCGCGAGTCTGCGTGCTGCGGGCGCTCTTATATTCGGTACCCCTCCTAACCCACTATCCTACCTACCTTCCAGTGTGATGTGTTTGGGATTCTAACAAAGCAGGAAAAACAACAACGACCGAATTCGCCGCGATGGTTGTCGGGCCTGCTACCCGGAACCCACATTCTATATCTAACTCTAGTGCCACTGATAGTGCTGGAATTCGCACACCAGGCGGGTCAAGCTCCGGCTCTGCAGCCGCTGTAGCGGATTTCCAGATCCCGATTGCATTAGGGACGCAGACGGGTGGGAGTACAGTGCGGCCTGGGAGCTTTAATGGGGTTTACGGCTTCAAACCGACCTGGAATGCCGTGAGTCGCGAGGGGTGTAAGGTTTATGCGATTACGCTTGATACGGTCGGTTACTTTGCACGCGGGGTTGGGGATTTGAGGCTGTTGGGCCGGGTTTTGGGGGTGGATGATTACGGTTTTGACGACAAGGGTAGGTTTAAAGGGCTGGAAGGGGCGAGGATTGGCGTTGTGAAGAGTCCCGCTTGGGATTCTGCTGGGAACGGGACGGTCGATGCATTGGAAAGGGGCAAGGTGCTGCTTGAGAAACACGGCGCTGTGGTCGAGGAGGTACAACTTCCTGCTGAGTTTGATAAATTGCCCGACTGGCATGTCAAGATCATGGCTGCAGAGGGCCGCGTGAATTTCCTCTCTGAATATCGCAAGGACAAGACGCAGATCCACCCCGAGCTATCTGCGGCTGTGGAGAATGTGTCTGGTCTTACGCGCGTGAAGGAACTGGAGGCCTTCGATGGCGTTGCGATGCTGAGGCCGCGTATTGATGAGATTGCGAATCGATATGATGCACTGCTTACGCCTAGTGTCCCTGATGAGGCGCCTCTGGGGCTGGGGAGTACGGGGAGTGCGGTGTTTAATCGGATCTGGACGGTACGTTAAGCTTCCTTATATTGCTGCACTGGCTAATTTTTAGGCACTGCATGTCCCTGTTGTGACTGTTCCTGGCTTCGGGGGCGAGAATGGAATGCCTATAGGTCTGACCCTAGTCGCAGCTAGATACCATGACCAGCATCTACTGAATGTTGCTGAGGCGGTTGGGAAGGTGTTTGAGGAAGAGGGAGGGTGGAAGTCATCTTTATAAAAATAGACAGCAAAACTTATATTCCATTGATATCCTATACTAGACACTACACATCCGGGGTGGACCCTCCATACGAATGGATCTATAGTCATGCAGTCAGCACAATTCAAACACAAATGATTAAGGAGAATTACCGTCGCATCCGAACACCCCTCCGGTGTCTCATACCCATAAGACCCAGTGTTAATAAACAGCTGCTGCTTCTCACAAACCAGCCAAGCCCCGGTATTAGGACGGTCAATATCCTCCACGCTCCACGTCACTGTATCCCCCTGGAACGCGAACTCGCCATACGCATTCTCAGTTTTATTAAACGATGTCGTGAGCTTGCGCTGCGTCTTGTCGGCGGGGTTCTCGACGTTCATATACAACGACCCATTTCCGGAGAGCTGGTAGACGAGCTGCCCGGAGATGATGTTGAATTGGCCCGCTTTGGTGTTTGCGTCTAGGACTGCGATGCCCGGGGTTTCGGTTGGGGAGGATTGAAGGTAGCTGTGGTAGTTGGGCTCTTCGACGGCGCGGATGAAGAACCAGTCTGGGGAGAGGGTGGGGAGGGGGGCGGTTGTTGTTGGGGTTGTGGATTGGGCGGTTGCCCTCAGGGTGAGCAGGAACAGGGGGAGGGACAGCTTGGAAATCATTTTGCTGGTGTTGGTGCTTGGATGGTGATCTCTGGCGGGTATTGTATATATACCATCCAACACAGGCAAGGATTGAGTGTTTAGCAAGGAAAAGAGTGATTCCGTGGCAAATGGGGACACGGCCTATTCGAAACACGGGGTGAAGACGACATTAGGCAAAACTACGTTTCTGCAATACGCAAGGATATTCAGGGAGTTAACCTAAATTACCAGGACGGTTGCAAGATATATAGTTGAAACGGCCATCTCCGGAATAAGCTCCTGATCTAAAGCGGCCAAGCCGTGTTGGGAGCTTGTGATTAAGCTTGGGTGTGCTAAGCCTTCTTGACACTGTATCGTACTCGAACGGAGTAACTGGGTGACGGCGAAAAGGGCACCGTTATGCGTGGCCCTGCGCAAAGCAGACTGGGAGAACTCCGGTATACGTGATTTGTCTTTAGTGTAAGAGGGCAACAGTCTATCTCGACTGAGAAATCAGACAGCATGTACATCTTTATTTTCTCGTAAAAAAAGTGAAATAACCACCCAGTCTCTAAGTTGAATAACCTATTAGATTTTCTCTAAGCTCGCCACGAGACATAATATGGTGGACACCAATCCTGCTAGTGGAATAAAAGGCACAGGTTACAAGCCAACGCACATCAGCCCAGACCGGTGGACAATTAATCCGTGTACGACCTGCCAAGCAGCCCAACCAACTCCTGTTCTGCCCCTATTGCATACCTCAAAACTATCGCGTCTCATATTTATGGATATCCAGCGTCGATTTCCTGGCGTGCACTGGGTCTGGAGTGGGGGCATTTCGTCTGTATATGAGGTCCGGCCTTCTATCGTGGTCAAGATCCCAAAGTCTAGGAAATCCTCAAGAGAGCAATTTCACAAAGAACTCAAGATTTATGAGGCTTTTGCACGTCATCCTCTACACCCCTCGATAGTGCAATGTTTCTTATATACGGACTGTGGTATTTTTTTCGAATACATGAGAGGTACGACTTCCAGGGGCAGTTGCTATCTCCGTCTTACTGACTATTATGAGATGGGTGTCTGTCTTCCAGGATACAGGACAATCACATTTGGGACCAGACGACTATGATAGTTGCTAAAGTGGAGAAGTTGGAGCCTCTTTTACTCCGGAAGCAATGGATGAATGATCTCGCCCAAGCTGCTTCCTTCCTTGAATCACTCAACCTAGCTCATGGTGATCTACGACCTGAGAATATCCTACTTGACCGCAACCGATTGAAGATATCCGATTTTGACTGTACGGCCGAAATCGGGACGGATTTTGAGGCCTGCCTGGCCCCATATGGAAGGCTTCTCAATAGTAACGACACCGTCCACGGTCGACCTGGAGGTTCCGGCCTCTTGGGTCCGCGAACAGAGCAGTTCGCCCTCGGCTCGCTGTATTATCTCATAAACTACGGTTTTGAGGTTTATGGAGATGTCTGTTTTACCGAGGATCCCAAGGAGCATAGACCCAAGGTTGTAGAGCTACTCCAGAACATGGAATTTCCGAAACTGAATAGTGACCCGTTGATTGACAACATCATCGACAAGTGCTGGCACAATAAATATACCACAGTTTCGGAATTGGCCGCGCACACAGAGACGCTTTTTATGCGGCAAAAGATCAACGACGACGCACCCAATGGAAGGGAATCTGATGGTGATTACTCTGGCAATGAAGACCACCTGGAAGAGGATTTCTCTTCAAAAAGGGCATTTTGCCAGGAGCTGGAAAAACGCGGGCTCCTCTCCGTGCTCTCTTCAGATGAACCTGAGCATCTTGGGTTCACCCTTGAGTGGTATAGGCACAGCTCTGGAGCAGTATAGACTTCTGGTATTGCATTGGCCGATATCAAGTGATGTTGACGACTTCACTCGGTTTCTGTGTTCGGGGGCCTCCTGTAAATTATACTGAGCAGGCAGCAACATGACTCGTGGCAGTAATTAACCCCGCACCGACAAACAATTCGATTCTCTTCAATCCAACAACGACCATGGCGTCAACAGAACCGAGCCAAACCCCCCAAATAGCATTCATATCTGGCCCACTAGACACAGGTCCAGACAAAAGCTACTTCACAACGCACTACAAACCCCACATCGACACCGCAATCTCCCTCGGACACAATTTCGTCATCGGACCCATCACATCCGGCATTGACGCCGACGCCTTGGAATATCTCCTGGAGTATCCTATCTCACCCTCCCGAATAACAATTTTTATGACTTTCGGGGAGGATAAAGCATGGGGCGAAGAGTTCCGAGACCAGGGGGTGAATGTATATGTCCTGGAGGATATCTCGGCGAACTCGCAGAATCGGGATGCGGAGATGACGGCCAAAAGCGATTATGATATTCTTCGGTGGAGGACGGAAGATGAGGCGAGGAAGTTTTATGGGCCGTCATACTGGAAGGGACATGTCACGAATACAGAGAGGAATTGGCGGAGGCGGAGGGGGGTTGGGCTTTGGGAGGCCTTGAGTGAGGAGGATTATAGAAGGCTTGGATATGAGTTTTAGAGGATAATCATCACTAAAATAGAGATTAATCGTATAATTGCGGCAAAACAAACAACTTCCAATACTCGTCGAAATTCAGCGTCTGCGTATCAGCCACAGACCCGTTCTTCGTCTCCCGGATGGTAAACCCATTCCCAAGATACGCAAAGCGATTCGGCCGCTTCATAGAAACAAGATCAATATGATAGTCTTCGCAGCGCGGATTCTTCAGCGCTTCGATATAGTGCCGTATACCGCAACAACAGGTCCATCCACTGTTCCGCGTTTATACCAGCTGCGGCACCCTCCGACCCAGACTGTTCGTTCGAGAAATTTCTGGATATGCGTGTAGTAATCCCTTGTCGCTGCTTCTTGAATGGTAAGGCTTTTTATAGCTTCGGATTGCATCTTGTCAATGCATTTCCAGATATACACTCCCATCATCTGGATCCCTTGCACCAGCGAGCCGTTCGAAATAGGCGAGCTAGGGCCGATGAACACTACTAGCATCCTATATTTGAACTCAAGTTACAAGCCCTATTAAGCATCATCGTGTCGACAGTAAGAGGGTTCGGCAACAGCTCTGCGATGAAAAGTGGGAGAATGCATGTGCCTGCAACCTTCTGAGTTCTAGCGCTTGCACCAAAGTAGGTTAAAGCCAGTCCTCGTATTATTAAGATCCACAGAGACTTCAAACCATGGAGCAAGTCCTGAACTTTCCACAGAATCTTGGTCCAAGGAGATACATAAGCAATGAGGTTTCAGATAAAGATTTAAGAGGCAACTCCAGAAGGAGAGTATATTTCTTGAGAATGGCCAGAATGATGCCGTATTTCCTCACTTACCGACCTTGACGGCTTGTTGTTGGCAGAAAGTAAGCGGACAATGTTGGCAGAATCATCCGGCCACCCCACCCTACGATGTGGACCTGATCCCTTGTTTCGAAGAGCTAGCTGGTCGATGAAGCCGCAAAGAATATCCACAAGTACATGACTAAACCATAATGTCTTCGTCCCGAGTTCTGCATGACTATTATGAAATCCTTAAGATCCCACAAGCAGCAAATATCGACAGCATCAAGACAAGCTATAAGCGCCTAGCAAGAATTAGACATCCTGACAAAAACTCTAGCTCCACCGCGACTTCTGAATTCCAGTTGGTACATACATCCCCACATATCTATGGTCCGGCGTCGGCTAACAATACTATTAGCTCCAGGAAGCATATTCAACTCTCGTGGACCCTGAAACCCGTAGAATTTACGACGCTCAGTATACATTCACCAAATTTAGCCACACAGCACCTCAAGCAAATCAGTCCACAAATTCAACCAACGCTGCCACTCACAAGGAGACAGATAGAGTCTCAACATTAACGTTACGAATCAGAGACCTTGAGAGTCGGTTGCTCAGGCAAGAAGCCGACTTGCATCTGGCGCGGTTACATTTGGCAAAGCTACATGGCGAGATAGCTGGCCTAGACCAGGATATCAAAAATATCGAAAGAGAGCAATCTAGCAAGGCGACATGGTGGGGATATTTTACTTCGATACTTCAGGGTCACCAGGAAACAGAGGAGCAAAGAATGAAAAGAGACGGTGATCGGCTTCAGAAAATCGCAGCGAGGAGTATAAAAGATAGCAAGGCCCAGCAACAAATAGCAGCCATCCGAAGCCTCGAAAACGCAATTGGCGCTATTCACAGAAGTATCACATCAGCAGAGTTCGAGGTTCTAACGGAGAAGTCCAGAGAAGCACGAGAAAAGAGAAGAATGGAAGAAGAGTGTCTTCGCCAAGAGACGAGGAGAATGGCGGAGGAACTTCGAAAACAACAAGAAAGACAGGCCCAGCAAGCAAACAGGCGACATAAGTATCCAAACAGAGATCAGGGAGCCAGTGGATCGCGAAACTCCGGTCAGAGTGAAGAAAAGCAGAATTTCCACGATAAAAACACATGCCATCACCAAGGCTGGTGGAGCCGAATTGATGTTCGCACCTCCTGCAGCCGTTGCTCATCCATTACTCGAAGGTTCATATTCCAGTGTCCTGGCTGTGGTAAGCTGGCCTGTGCCTCGTGCAGGGATACCATCAAGGGCGGAAGATTTAGATCAAATCGGTTCGGCAAAGGTACCTACCACGACAGCTCACAGTTCACGGATTCTACTAGTTACTTTGGCAGTGATTATTATTAGAATCGGAGTGAGCGCACATCCTCAGTCTAATAACATATTGTACTGTACCAAACTTCATATACAATATGAGTTTGAGTATATGTAAGGCATTGGTCCGCTCTCATTGAGCTCCAGCAGGGTTGTAATGCGGGGTTGAAGAAACCGCTGTCTATTTTGAAGGCTTTGATGACAAGGCTAGGAGAGAAAATCCTTTCCTTACATGGAACAGGGATGTGGAAGCCTAGAACGGTCTTGAACAACGCTGAAGGAGTCGGAGGATCCGTAGATGATACAAATTTCAACTCGCAGGGCCACGCGGGTGAGAGCTCCTCGACCTGGACTTTATCAACGAGCAGTGGTTCAACACCCTTGGGGGACGGAGACCTGTTAGACGATTTCATGTATGGACTATTCACATCATAACATCTAATTTCTAACTCCACTAAATAATCGCCCTTCGCGGCGTAAAATTTCTCCTCTCATCCACCTCCCGATCCATCCCAGGCAAGATCTTGTCCCTCCACGGGGTACTTATGGCCGTCTTGAACTCCGGCTTCGAAAACGACTCCATGCTCTCATACTCATGGATCGCAAGATATCGAGACGTCGGTTTATACCTGCGCGTCCCGTCCGCTGCGAACTGCATACTCTCTTTCAGCGTCCATCGCGCTGACTTCAGCCACCCCGGCACAACCGAGAGGAGCGGGACGTGCTCTTGCTCATACCAGGCGTTATAAGCATCCTCTGACATAGCTGGACCTGGTTGGAGACCGAGGGTGCGGAAGATACGACCGGGTGGGGCGTTGTAATGAGGCGATGTTTTGGCGCTGAAGATTTTGTAGATTCGGAGCTCAACTTCGAAACCGGATGATGCTGCGGTGCTTTCGAGGGATGAGAGCTGGACTGCGGATGGGTGGGTGAGTTCGTAGACGGCGAGAAACTCGGGCTTTTGCTCGTCTATTGCGTTGTATTCTGTTGCGGCTTTGAGACCGGGGAGGTTGCGTATCAGGGGGCTGTTAAGCCAGGTGGAGACATCCCCTGCGGTTTTGGAGCCAGGAGATACGAGGATGTATAGAAGAGCTGTTGTCTGGTACTCAGCCATTATTACTGATCTGGATTGTGTCGAAGATGGAAGTCGGGCGAGCAGCGAGATTTATGACCATCGAGGCCGGACAATCAAGTCCGGCGATCAATGTCAGAACTAAATTATTCAAATTAAACATCCGGCACAGCAATCGGATTCCCTGGTTTAAACCTCACATCCAGCTTCCTGGCTACTCGGATTACAATCTCGCGTATCATCTCGACCTCCTCCTTGCGCGCCCCGTTATACTGCATCCCCTTCATATGATTCCCCAGTTGCTGCATACAGTCAATCCCAATAAGACACGAGATTATCACCTGCCCTGTTTCCATATCGTCTAGTATCCCATCGAACGAGAAGATGCGGCCGTAGAAGTAGTCTGCCACTTTAGTTCTAACAACGGGCCTTGCTGAGGGTTTAAAGGTAGGTACATACTCCGTACAATGTAATGATAGTCCGGCGCTGCAAGACGATTCGCATTCTCATCGTAGCTCGGATTAGGCCCGTATATGCGCTCGTGGAATTCCTCCCCGCGCACGAATGCCACTTCGTCGGTGTCGTCTTTGCGGTAGAGAGTTGGATCGACGAGGTCTTTTGGTGTTGCGTTGTACAGTTGGCGTACGGCTGAGCCGGTCTGTTATCTTTAATTACCTTATTCGTATTCATTGTGGCTATTTATTTATTGATGGTACCTTTGCAGCACCCTGAATCCCGCAAAGTTTCGTGAAAGCTTCACGCATTTTTCGCGTTTCAGAGAAATGCTCCTCTTTTGGGATATACGATTCGAGGAGCCGGGTGTACAAATTTGGGATCTCTTCGGGGTAGTTCATGGCGCCTAGGGCGACCAGTGCGGACATGTACCATTTGTACCGCGGGTACGGTGCTGCCAAAATGGCGAGTTCGCGCAGGAAGTCGTCGTCGAGGATTGCCATTTTCTATGGTATTTGATAGGAATGAAAGGTAACTGGGTCTACTTAAAGAGCTAATCAGGGATGTACGGAGGTTAATGTCCGGATGGTTACAATTTCGTCATATATGGTAGTGGGTGGAGATACATCTCCGCCATCACAGGTAGGTAAAGACTAGAAAAAGGCTATCGCATTTGGCGGCGAAGCTACAGCCCCGGTATAATTCAGCGGCGCTGAAGTTACGAAGAATGTCCACCGGTTCAGCTTCTTGCATGTTGCTGATAGGGTTTCCAGGTCGAACAACTCTCCTATCGGTGTGCCCCAGCCCGCGAGTAGGATAGGGTGTAGATGGTACTCTAGGTTAACAGGTGCTATAAAGCATCAGCGCATCATCCTTTGATATTGTTGTATACCGGACATACGAGAACATTCAAATGCGACCGAGTCAGCCACGACTGCTGCGAATTGGGACTTCCATAGCCATTCGGTCGTTTCCTTTCCTTGTCCCAGACCTGGAGAGCCGCGGCGTTTGCTGAGTTCCTCACGGTCGGGCTGGCTTAATTTTGCGTATGCCTGGACATAGCCTGGATAGTCAGTAATTGCTGCATCAAGTATTGTTGTGACATACCAGTCCGCATAAAGAGGATATCGCCCTGCCGGATAGTGATACCTTTCTCCGCAATTATCTGCTGCACATGCTCTATCGGGATGGGATGGTCTGTCAACGCATCATACTGAATGCCTCGTTCCTGGGCCCAGTCGAAGTAGTCTATGAATACACCACGCCCGGCGATGCCCTTCTCCGCCCATGCATCCAGGCCGTTGACGGTGGTATTTGGATCCGCGTGAATGTCGTCTTGGGTTACTCTAAAACGTTGTTAATATTGCACGATATGACGGTAATAATGTGAGATACTTGCCCATTATAGAACTTTGCCTCGGTTTGGTACGCAAAGTGCCGGAAACTGTCCCACTGCGAGCTGCACTGCGTGTTGAAGGTGATCTACCTCCGTTAGTGGAAATCTGAGTAGCAATGATAGAAACATACTATATCGTCGTTAATCACCCGTGGTGCCTTGTTGTGAATATGCTTCGAAAATGGGACCCTTCCCAGCAGGGAGGGATTGATGAAGTCGATAGGGAGGCTTCATAATTAGCTATGATAACGTGATAGTATCCTAGGGCATACTTCAATCCAACTCGTGCTCCAGTCTGTATTTCCTCCCTTGCAGCTGCTTTGACAACGTCATCGCTCAGATAGTTCAGACTGCCCAGCTGCGCATTCTCCCACAAACCCCAGGCAGAGAATGGTGGATCTCCTTTGCGCAAGGGGAGGTCGTCTAACGCTGGCAGGGGCTTGCGGCCTGGGAAGTCCATTGCGAATCATGAAATCATATACAGGACAGAATGAGAAGATGCGTTCAAAGTCCACTTATTTAACCCCGGCGCGGGGCTTCGACGATCTGGCGATTAATGTCCGGTAGATCAGCTCGTCGGTACTCCATTTCCCACTTCTACTCCACCGTTTGATGTCGATCTAGGCATTTACCTAACGATACGCTGGTATAAAGGGTATCCGTTGCTGGGTTTGGGCTGCTGTATTGGGCTGCACCCGAGACGAAGGGGATTCCGTTGGAGGAGGTTGCGGCCTTGTTAGGGGATAAGGATGATATCATGGTGCATCAGGATCAGATTCATGTGGATCATACCACGGAGAAGGTTGTTGTTGCTGCCGATAATCATATTGAGACTATAAATACTGGTCGGGCGGGCAATAGGGAGAGTGTTTGATGTTATATATATTTTATCAGGTCCGTGTGTATGTCATGCAACGGCGCTATTATTTATCGTTTAATACTGCTTAATATCTCAGCAGCTATGGGGTTTATCGTATCTCCTCGGCACATGGTTCTGTCGTAAAATCATGATAACAGGAATGTGACAGCGGGAGAATTAGTCAGTATTAGCGCTCTCCAAGGAGGGTTGGCACTTTTGGTGCAGTGGCAAAATCTGCATTAGAATGGATTGAATATATACACAAGCCGTAAGACTTACACTCATTATGAAAGACGAACCATGTAGGCAGTGTGCCTGCTCCTTTATTTGCCCCAATTCTAAACGTTAGTACCACGGGTCCAGGTGGAACTGGGGTTAACAGTTTGGTTCCGTGGAGTGCGGGGCCGGTTCCTGAATCCTCAGGCACCCGTGGTATATGGCAAGATCCCTGCACCACAACGTGACTTCTTCTCCGCGCTTTTCTGTCTCTCGTGTCTCTCTTCCCCTCTGTCTCTTCATCCTCGTATTCGTGCTTTCATCGAGGCCATGCCTCTGATATCTTATCCAAATGCCTATCCTTTACTGCCCGCTGTGCGGTATTCTTTTAATACCGGATCCCTTCCTCCCAGATGATCCAGAGTTATCGCGCCCTCGGCCATGGTTCGCCGAAGTGCGGGGGATTACCATCCAACCTGGGAAAACGCCCCAGGATCCAGATGCGGTGTTGACCGGTATAGGCATCATTCGCGATGATAACGTCCTGCTCGCTCCCGCCGATAGCAATCGTTCATATCTCGGCAACTATAACCTGAAGAAATGGGTGCTCTGCGAACGATTCGAAGGAAGCGGCGGCTTTGGCTTTCATGAAGCCTGCTGGAAATTACTGGTTCTCAGACTCGGGCCTATGTATGAAAGATTCAAGTCGGACTTCTTGACCGCTATGTTCTCGCTCCTCTGGTCGACCCCTTGCGTCAATTCTTCCAGTTTCGATTTCGGGCACGACTATGACGGCGCAGAAGTATTACGCGACATGCGTGTATGGCCCTGGACTATTAAATCGGGCTGGCATTTGTATGCGCATCCCTTCCCCACTCACCAGCTCGATGCCTTAGACGCGCCCTTAACTACCGACACTGAAGGAAAGAAGCGAGGAACTGAGACAGGTGCGCGCCTTTTCGGAGTTTTTCCGCCGGAATTGAAGGACGAGATATTCTCATATCTATCTTACGATGAAGTGGAAACTATGCGACTTGTTTCCCCAGACATGGCACACCTTGCGGCCGATCATAGGCTGCCTCAGTCGTACTGGAAGAGCAAGTTCATGCTTGGGCAGGAGATGGACTTTATCTTTCCGGACCACAAGCAAAAAAGGGATTGGCGCAAGATATTCTTTGCTGCCAAGTTGTATTTGGACCAAAAGGACGGGTTCATGGTCAATCGGAGGCGCATCCGAATTCTTCTAGAGCCTATTGCTGCTCTTCTAGAAGAACGCGCTGCCATGGGACTACCTATGCCAGACGGGCTTCCTCTCGTATCCGTATATTATCAGAACGGCGTCCGTTGTATGAGAAGCCAAGGAGGTGGAGCATATGCATATGTCAGCGTGGACTACGAGCATTTATTCTCAGGCCACATTTCCTCGACCGATGCAGACCGGGTACTTGAGCTTGGATGCCGTCGGCTCAACTGGGTCATGTACCCCTTAAAACGATTAGACCAAGTCCAGTACAATACTATAGTAGTGTCAACAGTTCGCCTCGGTTCGCGCCGTTTTGTGTCCGGAATCTGCATGCTTGAGGATGATTCGGACACTGCCCAGACGCCTTGGATTGGGTATCCGGAATACTCTCAAAAAGTGCGGGTCATAGTACCGCGGACCTCCAGACTCGTGTCAATCTCCATTGCATTCTGTGCGCAGGGGCTCAGAGCACTAAGGTTCAATTTCACGAATTCGGAGTCATCGGCCTGGGTTGGCGACAGCACTGACGCGGGTGTTGCCTGTGGCAAGCTGCTTGTCCCAGCGAGTCAGCCATGGGCTTTTGTAGTAGGAACAGATGTAAGTGTTAATCTACTGTCAGCTCTGCATTGTAGGGCCTAACATCTGCAAAGCACTTCAAGCTCGTTTCCCTTGGCATTGGCATATTATCGACAAGATCTCCAACACCCCTCGAGAAACCACGACCAGCTCTACGGACTGCATTGTCGCACCTGTGGATCAATGATATCCCGTCGCATCAGGGCCTTTTCTTAGGAGACCTACGACCGCCGGTTCCTCCACGTCCATTCGAGCCTCTCGTAAACTTTGACTTTGGCGGACCTAAAGGTCTCCGCCTATGTTCACTGACAAGATTCGTATTCTACATGGGGGGGAATGACGACGTAATCCGCGGGGTCGAGGCGATTTACGCTGATGGAAGCACGGTGTTTGTTGGGCGCAGGATAGGATGCGAGCTATCCTTCCCTATTGACGGAGTGGAAGGAGAGCGATTAAACAGAGTTGGTGTTATCGATAATTCCCGTCTCATTGATGATACCCAGTTCAGCGAGGATCAACTTTTTGGAATACAGGTCTGTCTTGTCTACCCTCAGTATGCGATAAGAAGCTAACATTCAAAGCTTACCACTAATTATGGCCGGACCGCCACTTTCGCTGCCATCAAATCACGATCGGCAAGGACTGTCCTGTGGTCCTCTAATAAATACCCTAAGTACGCCATAACTGGGTTTGCCATTGGTTACGTGGTACGCATGACCTGAATGCTGAAGCGGAAGGAATATTAACTGGTGGTAGCCACACAAAGATCGATTTGGTCGTCTTGCTTTGCAATATCAAAAATCCGAGCCCCTGGCCATTACCGCACCTGCATCGCTCAAAGTGCCACATGGGGCGCTGGACAAGAGTCTACAATACGATACCCAGTTTTCAATATTCACGGACTACCCAGATAGCGGTAGTTACCAAACTCATGCAACTCTCGCAGGCGTGCGAAGGATCCAGGCGTCCGTCGGAATCGAAGGCAGATCTAGAACCCCAAATAGCATATGCGGATTGAAATTCGAGTACGATGACAGTAGCGTCTCCATAATAGGACAATGGATGCAACCATATGACAGCTTGAAGCTCGGGCCAGATGCAAAAGTACAATCCCTGACAGTCTGGGTAAACAAATCGCAAAAGGGGCAAGTCTCGGCTATAAAGATCGTGACGAGCGATGCCCGCGCTATAACATTCATTCCACGTGGGGTTGGGAGTCTTCCAGGTGGAGATTTAAGGCACGAGTACGGAACTGGTCTGGGGGAGCAAGTTGTAAGTACACTTTGATATAGATATCTCCGGCATGCTTATTGACTTGGGAAACAGACAGATATATTCTGGGTATTGAATGATTGCTTTGACCGAGTTCGTGCTGTCGTGGAGCCAAAGTATCAGCGGCTATCGACCTTACTCCCAAACCAATATCCTCCATTCGACGCAGTGCAAAAATTATACTTTCAACGAATAGCGGGCGATGGTTCCAGAGACAGGGTTGTTAAAGTCAAGGCCTATTTCCTCGAAACAGCGTTGGTTGGACTGAAATTTATCTACGAGTCTGGGAGCAAGGCGCAGATCGGCGATACCAAGGACGTTCCTGATCATTGTGTCAAAGTTCGCTTTGTTAAGCATGCACGCGTTGTGGGCATGCTCGTTGGAATACGGGACGACCATATTCGCTACTTGAAGGTATTCCCCCGTGGCCTTGTCAGAAGTGAACGAAGACAGTGCTAACTAGAAATTAGTTCCACCTTGATTATTACCGCAAGTCATCATCCAAGATGCCGGTGAAAGCGTTTAGTTACACTCTAGACCTCGTTTCCCCGTTAGAAGATGTTAATACCGCGAGCTACAAGTGCCAAAGTGCATGGTGCAGGGACGCAGAGGCGGCAGGGAAGTTCCCAAGAGCCCAGGTTAATCACAATGTCTATGCGCCGCCAAGTAGCGGCGGTGCACTGGCTGGCTTGTATGTGAGGTGTCACCAATTCTCGTGCCTGGGTGCATTATATGAGTGAAACTACTGAAAGACTTGGGGGAATATTTTGTTGGTATGTTTTAGCTTGTAGGTTTTATACAGCGGGCGTTGAGGTCTTTCGGGATCAACACTGATTATTATGATATCACCAGCGAGGGTAGAATTAGCTGTCATTACTGATGTATTCCTAACTTAGCAAAGTAACTATTAGCCGGTTGTCACTTCGGGAGACTCGAATTGATATCGATTCAATAATTCGTCAGTTTGTAGACAGAATATGGCATGGATTGTTTATACTGTGTTAGGCTAACCTACTTCAAGCTGTATGCATAAACAAAGCTAAATCCGCCTACCCAGCACCTGGCTCATGATAGCCTTCCATTCAATATCGTGAGCATCATCCGCGTGGATGGAGACCTTGACATCGAGGGCGCGTCGGAGCTGCTCCTTGGTCGAGGCGTAGAGCATACGGGTCTATCTCATGTCAGTGCCATTAAACATATCATGTGAGGATAAAAGGATTGGAAGGATACATACCCTGGTTGAAGTCGAACCCGGCATCCAAGTGATAAAAACACTAGTCGCCCTGCACAATCCGTATTCAGCACGGCATCCTTACAATAGGTCTTATAGGTAGTAGTATAAGGTGTTTCATACCGTCGCCCCTCCTCCTTCAAGTCATACTCAACATCATAAACCGCATAGCGCGGTGCCTGCTGACCCTCGGCATCAACAGCGGAAGTAAGCTTCTGGCGGAACACCTCGTAGTCCTTCTCGGTGGAGGTCTCTTCCACGATGATGGACTGTTCGTCGGAGGAGATGCGGTAGATGATGAAGGTTGGTTTTGCGGGGCCGCGTTTGAAGATGAGGCTTTTGTATGCGCTTAGGCAGTCGTTTGAGATTTCGACGCTGTTTGGGGGTTAATATGGCAAGATAGTAACGGGTTGAGGTAGGTGGACGGACCCGGATGGGAGCTAGTTTATGTGGCGGTTAGTTGAGGATTCTCTCGGGTAGTGGGAGGAGTATATATACTCACCGACATGGTGGCTGCGGGAATAGACAGTATAAACGAGATCGTTTCTTGTGTTCTGGATTAATGCCGCATGATACTGTCCTTCCACGGCATATGGTTTAAATACCCCGATAATCGAGAGGAACAGGCGCCAGCTGATCGGGCCTACGTATACACTCCCCATACAGCGGACCCTCGTTTTTGGTTCATCGGAGCCTGGGAATGACGCGTATAGATTGTATGATAAACACCCCAGGCATCGATATTTTGACGATTGGAAATAATTATTTCCACGACTGAGCTGCTAGTCATTTCTGGGGGTATGCTTGATGTGGAGGTTGGAGAGATTTAAAGCAGTTGCAGGGCTGAATGATACGCTGTGCTCGCAAGGCTGTGTATTTATACACGTATATATTTTTATTGAACAGCTTCCGATACTCCGAGTCTTGGCGAAAATAGCATTTGGAAGCATATCAAACTCGGTGCCCGTACTGGCTTTCCGGCTATCGCTCAGGCTCCGAACAAACCACGTGTAAACAATATCGCTGCCTCGTCTTCTTCAACCTTTCCAGGCAAACGTTATTCTTGAAAATGCCAAAAACAATTCTGGATATCGTCAGAGAATGCGACAAGTAATTTCCCTTCCTACCAAGTCATATTGTGGTTTCGTTGCTGACTGGAACTAGTTTCCCATCGCATAACGAACCCACCCTCCAGTCTGAAACTCTGGCGGGGTGCTATACCTTCAGGGTAAATGGCTGCAGCGCTATTCTAGGCTACATTCGACCAGAAATCGTCGACAAAATGCAGTGGTCCGACTCTTGGGTACTCGACCACCAGGAACGCACAGTAACTCTTGCAACACCAGCAAATGTAACAGCGGAGACGCGCTCTCGCGTCGTTGAAGAAACTCTACAATCGACGAGAAAAATGGGTACCATCTCGCTACTGAAAGCCTGGCGGGGTGAACTCTTCCCCGTTTATGGACCCGACGGAGAAACTCTACTTCTGGTGGAGCGCTGCGCAAGTGCGATCTTTGGGATCGTGACGTATGGTGTTCAGCTTGTTGCCTACGTCCGAAATGATCAAGGACTTCGCTTGTGGATTAGCAAGAGATCCGAGGAGAAACAGACATACGCCGGTATGTTGGATACCACAGCAGCTGGTGGTCTCAATGCTGGGAAGTTACCAATTGAGGGTGTTATATGTGAGGCGCAAGAAGAGGCGTCTATACCGGAGGACGTGCTTAGGGAGAGGATTGAGCCCATGAGCACTCTAAGTTATTTTCATATCCGAGGCGAGAAAGCTGGGGGAGAAATTGGGTTGTTTCAGCCGGAGGTTGAGTATACATATGAACTGGAACTGGATGAAGATATGGTAGCCCAGCCGAGGGACTCGGAAGTTGAGGGTTTCGAGCTTTATACCATTGGTGAAGTGCTGAATGCACTGAAGGAGGGATTGTTTAAACCGAATAGCGGCATTGTCATTGTGGAGTTTCTGGTAAGGCATGGGGTTTTGAGTGACCAGAGCGAGGACTATGCAGATATTTTGTTCCATTTACATCGCAAGCTCAAGTTTCCGTTGCGCATTCTGGCATCTATATGAGATTATCTGCACCACCATCGGAGATCAGAAAATTGCAATATATTGAACCTTCCCAGACCGCGGACCGGAAGCCGCCTTCGGACTCGTTAATCTTGACTCTCGTACTTGGAGATAACAGATTAGCACAATTGCTATTGCTATAAAAGTTAAGGAGTTGAATTGTAAATCAGTAGTTTGACATCTGCCGTGAATATAGAATAATTAACGTGCCTTCTCAACAAAGCCACGAGAGATAGAAAGCGATATAGGATACAACTATCAGTACACAAGGGGCTCGTTTCATCATCAAGCACAAGTAGGGCGACGCCGTACCCTCCGTCTGCTTCGGGTTTCAACCGGAATTTGAGGCCTGGATTTATCGGATTTCTCCCCAGGAGGAGCTCTCGAGATGGACGAGCTTTTCTCACATATGGTGGTAGGTCTGGCGTTGTTTTCGGTGGCAAGCCGGGTCTGGTTATCACAATTTGATAGTGAAGGGGGACCTTCAAGCGGGTTATTGTCTGTTTGTCGCAATTCGGACAGTAAATCTCTTGATTCAATAGTTTCAGGGTGTTCCGCCCCCAGACGATTCATGCGAAGCTCCAGACACTGCGTGGTAAGGTCGATGGCATCCCTGTATTTGCCCATAGATTCGTATGTCTCTGAAAGATTTTGCATGCTTGCCAACGTGCTAGGATGGTCCATCCCCAGGTGGTCCTTCTTACCCTCCCATACCTTAAGCTCAAGCTTTGCAGCTTCTTCAAACTGCCCTTGTCCATAGTATGCTGAGGCCAAGCTCTCTAGGGACATCAGGGTAGCAGGATGGTGTTCGCCGAGTTCTTTATAACGCCCATCTATCGCTTCTTGGTGTAAAATTATAGATTCTTCATATCTGCCCTGTTTTTCAAGCAGTATTCCTAGACGGTCTATCATTCCCAGGGTATCTGGGTGTTCTGCACCGAGAACTTGCCATGAAACGTCCAAGGTACGTATGCAGAGCCTTTCAGCATCCTCGAGCCGCTTTTGTCCGAGATAAACAATGCCCAAATGGTGCATACTGTTCAAGGTGAGGGGGTGTTGAGGGCCTAACATCTCTTCGGATCGCTGTAGCACTGTACTACATATCTGCTCCGCCTCGTCAAATTTACCCTGGCCTATGAGTGCCAAGCCGCGTTGGTCGTGTACGCGCAACCCGTTCTCGTCCCACGGCCCGAATCTCTTGGTATAGCCATCCATCGCTCGCTTGTATTGTGCTTCTGCCTCCTGGTAGCTCCCCTGCCGGCAGAGGATAAATCCCAGAGTTTCCACACAACGCAGAGTACGCACGTGTTCGGGACCGAGCGACTTTTCAAGGCCCTCCAGGGCTTGCTCCTGGATTGACTGTGCTTGTGTAAAGTGGCCTTGCGAAAGGCAGACCAAACCATATGTCGCTACGCTCATGAGAGTATCTGGGTGCTGAGGTCCGAGAACGGTATTCTGGCCATCTAGCACTTGCTCCATCATTTCCTTCGCTTCAGTATATTCGCCCATATCTAAGAGCACTGAGCCGACCTTATGCATACTATCCAGCGTCTGTTCGTCATTCTTCCCCAGCTCATTCTGCCTATCTTCCAAAGTTTGGACGTACAGAATCTTTGCCTGTCTCATTCTTCCATCGGATGACAGAAAATTCCCTATGATGTTCAATAAATCACCATATCGATTTCGCACAGCACGGAACTCGTGATTTTCAATCGTAGAAAGGACGTGCGGAAGATATGGCTGCCACAAATTTCTTTTTTCGTAGGTCATGCCTGAAAATATCTTATCCATACGGTCCGCGGTCTTTACTATCCACGCCGGAAAGCTTTCGTTTTTTCTCATCCATGTCCTTGTGGCAAGATAGACAAGTCGATGCAGTGTTAGATTCCCGCTTTCAGGGTCTTGGGAGACGAAAGAATAACTCTTGAGTAACCCCAATGCCTCGATTCTTTTTTTATCTGACGGTGCCAGCGGAAGGAGGGACTGCGGGACATTGCGAGGGCTAATACAGGCCAGGAATAAAAGGTAGTCCACTGCCAGCTGGTCCAATAATTGAATCTGGTGGAAGGAAACTAGCCATGTGGTTGTGACTGGGTTCTTCACATCTGGGTAACGACCATCATCCTCAAAATCTTCGCTCAGTAGCTTGGCCATATCCCCTTCCTGTGCAGTTAAAAGAGACAAGTAATCCCCCAGCCTTATAACGTCGTTCTCATTGATATATGCAGCCGCTTGACTGATAGCAAGTGGAAGAAAGCAGAGCTCTCGAAGAAGGGCGGCAGTTGCATCTGTGTCCTCCAGCAGCTCCTTCCGGATAAATAACTGGTGGAGCATTTGCAGGGCTGTATCTTTATCCATGTCAGAAATGTGAATGACATTGGACATGGCTAACCTGACAGCCAGCTTCCGGTTGCGAGTTGTAAATAAGATGTGGCCGGCTTCATTCCGTGGCAGTAGAGTCTTCAGCGCCGGGCCAGTTTCAGTCCCTTTCATACACATTTCGAAGTCGTCAGTATTGTCAAATATAAGGAGCCACTTGCCGGAGGTTTCGTGGCTGAGGTAGGCCTTCACCCGCTCCTTTGTTGCGGCTGCATCACGCAGATCGAGTCCAGCTATCTGGGCGATGTCCATATATGCCTGCTCCACACTCTCGTAGCTGGTGCAGGGGATCCAGAACACAGACATTTCGGGACTTCTCTCTCGCACCCTGTAGGCGAGTTCGAGCGCGACCTGAGTCTTGCCGATCCCTCCGAGTCCACATATAGCAATTTTCTGCGCCTCACCTGGTGATAGGACAGATTCCTCCAGCGTGGCGATGTAATTATCCCGCCCGACGAATATTTTGTTTCTAGAAAACGGTACCATCCAATGTCCTTTACGTGCCCGAGACTCATCGCGGCGAACTGGCACGACTTGTAGAAGCGTCTTTGTGTATGCTGCTGCGGCTAGTGCTGCATACCCTTGCCATTCTTTGGACTTGTGCGAGTCACAGTAGTCGCATATTCCCCGGACCACCAGGCATTGAAGTTGGTCCACCAGCCCTGCGGCCTCCATTTCAAAGCAGAGGATATCGAGGCCCTGTGCAATGGAGTCACGCCTTGTAGCATCCTTGAGTACCTGGTCTCCCGAGGCTATCAGCCCATAGTGAATGCGTGGTTCGTCGTCCTGTCGAAGCTTCCGGCGTACCAGCTCCGCTTGGTCGCACGTCGAGCAATCAAGGTCGGGGCTCTGATGAATATATTCAGGCTTGAACAATAGGTCCTTCCCTGGGCGTGAGAACTGCCCTTGGCTTAGACCATTCAGTATCGCCTGCGTCAATATGAACTGCCTCCCGACCATACCATTGCTCCGCAGCTGAGATACAGCGGTCAACAACACCTGAGGCGGCTTATTCGAAGAACCCACTCGTTCGAATCGTCCAGAATGCAGGGTCTTTCCATGGTCATACTGTATCACCCCTCCTGACGTAGCACTCGGTATTCCAACCACCACATCTCCAAGACGCACATCTGCCTTGGTCGGTACGCCGCCGCCGATCCCAACCATGAGGCCGAATTTCAGCGATCGGAATGTAGGCAGCATCTGAGCCAGTACTGTCGTCGCTGATATGGTACCGTAGACGCCGGAGGGTAAACATGCGATGACGATGTTGTGGCAATGGATGCTCCCCAGGGTGTAGCAGTTGTGGTCGGTCGATGGCTGGGCGAGGCTACCGTGTATCTCCTCGAGCATCAGTTTCGCTGCGGCCATCTCCAGTGGGAGTGCACAGATCCAGGCGATCGTGTAGGCATCGTGGGAGAGGACTCGCGGGGGCATTCTGCCGCCTCTGATCTTTCCTTGGTTGATTGTTGTTGCTTCGTCGTTTTGAAATCTGGAGAGGGGCAGTCATGCTGCTGAATACAAGGCTGCACCTCAGCCTCGCGCTGGGGCACAGCGCTCTTGGCATTGCGATTGATGACTCCTAGTATTGGACAAAGATTGTTTATTCAAGCATTCCCCGCCTTAGGGCCACAATGCCTCGCACGAATTCCTGCGTAAACTTTGTCTTCCCCGCTATAAGCTGCGTCCAGGAGTCAACTATGGCTTCGAAACAAGAGCCCTGCCCCCGTCCAGCCCTCCGCTACACCAGTTCTCCCCATGGGGTCCAGGCTAGCTACCAGCAACCGACATTAGCCGAACGTCTCGCAGCTACGAAGCCAAAACCCTCGTCAAGACTCCCCACTCAGCCTACAAGGCCCGACGTTGAGCATTTCCCAGCACCACTGGTCCTACCAGATGATTATCTTGCCGTGGAACCAGGCGCAGCTCAGAACTTCCAAAAATGGCACAGTGTTCACAATCAAGTTACCTCCCGGCGAAGAACCATCTATGTCGCCTCGCCTCCTATTAAGAAAGCAACCGATATAGATTCCTGGACACAGCCAGTTGAATCCGTTACAGAGATGCAACCCCAGAAGCCAAACCCGCAGGATATTATAGACTACTTGACAGCATTTTACCACGGCCTCCCAGTCCAGGAACTCAACTTCCCAAGTTACGGCTTTACACCATGGCCAGGGGATAAGCCAAAGGCCGACGGAAGCTGCTTTATCGGACTGAATACGCAGAAGCAGCGTCTGCGTATTCGTGCCCGACTGTCTCCTGACCAGGTTTATCCTTACCAGTTGAGTCTGGAGGATCTGCTCGACGCCTCCATCTTTATGCTGCCACGCGATGCGTACGCTCTGTGCTTACTCGTCGACCATGACCTCTTCGAGGACGATGACGATATCTTTGTCTGTGGCCGTGCGTATGGCGGAAGGCGTGTTGCTATTGTATCTACAGCCAGATATAATCCTTGTCTTGATGGACTGCAAGCGGTGGAACGGGAGCACGCCTGGCCGGCGTCTCACTGTGAGAGGTTCATTCAGGAAGCATTCAGTGGACAAAACCCTACTAGGGCTAGAAAGAAAGCAAAGCATACCAACAGCCCAGAACCAAATCCCAACTCTCCCCTCAAATCGGCAGTCGCTGCATACTCGGTCGCCAATAATACTCACACTGATAGTCCTACCAACCTCTCAACCCTATGGCTCTCCAGAATGACCCGCACCGTAAGCCATGAGGTAGGCCATTGCTTCGGGATTGGTCACTGTACGTACTACGCTTGTCTGATGCAAGGAAGTGCGTCTTTGTCTGAGGATATGCGGCAGCCGCCGTACTTGTGTCCTGTGGATTTGGCGAAGTTGCTCGCGGGTACCAAGGGCGAGATGCAGGCAAGGTACAGTGCGCTTTTAGAGTACTGTGAACGGCTGCATATTCGGGGCTCACCTCACTTTGTGGCGTTTGGGGCTTGGTTAAGGGCGTCGATTGCACGTTGATCAACTAATGGGATTGCTTCTATCTCGATGATTGACCTTTACATCCATGTCCCATTCGCTTAAGCTTGAAAAATTAGATTCCGTTTCTCAATTATCATAAAAATAATATATCGAAGATAAGTGGTATGAAATTCTAAACAATACATAAACAGTATATGATATACCTCACCCAACCCCGACATTAATCATGATGTCTCGCGTGGACTAGCGACATGCCCATTGTCCCCAGCCGAATACTCCGGCGGAGAAGGCCGCTCCTGCTGAGCAGCCTGATAAGTCGGCGGCGTAAGCTCCACCTCCTGGTCACGCTTAAACCGCTCGTTTCTCTTCTTTCCACGATGCAAAAGATACGCCGGTATCAGGATGAACACAATTAACCCCCCAATACCACATCCAAGGCCTATTCCAATTTTCTCATTCGTGCTGAGGCCTTGTGGCTTTGGCTCCTCCTCGGGAACACGACACGTTCGCGACCCGTTGGATATGCTTACGTTGCGGAAGATTTCGGATTCGACTTTGTCGCAGTCCAGGGGCACGTCAGAATATATGTATATACCATCGGCGGCGCGACGGAGGTTTGGTAGATTGACGCTAAATACCACAGTTAGATAATGTGCCAGTACTAGCTGTAGGGCTGGAAGCTTGCCTTGAAATATTTCCGCGGAATTCCATTTGGAGGATTCGATGCACAGGAAGATCAATGGCGAGGGGATCAGTGGTGTCTACTGTGAGAGTCATGTTTGTATCGATTATCTTTGGCATTGACAGGCTAGCACGCCAAAAGTCAACGTCAGCACAGATAAAATAGGGTTTATTGTAGTAAGGGCCATACCTCCCGATACTGCCTTCCAGTTTCATGGCGTCGTGGACAGTATCCAGCTCTGGGAATGAGACGTTGAGAGGTGGTCCACCCTCTGTCGTCAATTCAAAACTCGCAGGATCAGGGTCTATAGAGAATCGATTCGGGCCCAGGCTGGTGAGCTTCGGCAGGGAAATGCTGTTGGTCTGGTTAACTGATTTCAGTAAAATGATGACAAAAAGATGAACAAACCTCGCTATTTTACCTCGCAGGACTATACTGGCCGCCGACTTCAGCGATAGAAGGAATATATCTATAGGTGATGGCGATGCGCTCTCGGGGTAGATATCGAGATCCCTGACCTCCTCCAATGACTCCAGTCGTATACTGCGCAGCGTCAGCTCCGAACCCAAGTGGAGCTAATTTGCTACTGTATCCATACCTGGACAGATTCCCATTAATGTTCACCTCCTTCGCACTGCGAAGCGCCCTTAAGTCGACATCGCGCGCGTATTGTATACTGACATAGTACCCCTCGACGGCGCTCAATTTCGGGGCGGAAATGGTTCTGAAATAATGCGGAAAACTCAACTGCAGACGTCCACCGATGGTCTCCAGATCTGGAAGGGAGATGGATTCGTTGTGCGAAATTGCATCTTCAATCGTGGGAAGCTGGTCCCCCGAGGGGCCCCTAGGGCCTGGATACAATGAGAGATCCCCAGTGATACTTTGGATGTTCGGTAGATAGAATGAGCCGGTATAGTTATACTCGATGGCAACACTCGCGTTGATGCTTGTACATTCGCTCGCGAGAGTATCAAGGGCGGATTGGTTGTAGATGCGGTAGGAGTAGATGTCGTCGTACAGTGGCTCGGGCATGCACACCTGCGCCGTGGCTGCACTGGTCAGTAACGAACATTGTTTTTAAGTAGTAAATTAAATCGACGACAAATGCTCAAACTTACTCCATGGCAGCAGGCCCGATGCCAGGGCAAGAAGGAGCCTCTTCATCCTGGGATGGAAATCGATCGCCAACAACCCAACACAGAAAGGATGGACAAATCGCAGGATTCGCGCTGGGCGGGCGGCTCCTTTTGTCCATCAGGGCCTGTCCTGCCAAGCAGTCGGGGCGCAGTGGCCAGAAACATACTGGGCGCTAGATCGATTTGATCCACTCACAGGGGGAGAATTGGGCTGGAAATGGGGTCGAAATGGGGTCGAAATTGGGCTATTTAGGCGCTACTCCTGGATGTGAAGCGGGACTGTGCGCCAACTATTTTTTTTACGCCTATTAGAGATCAGGTAGCAGCAACATTTCGTGGCGACCAGGCGCCTCCTGTCAGGCCCTTTCAGTGCAAGGAGATGAAGATGGTTCTCCCAGCATTGTGATCTTCAAATGTTGTCCTCAGCCCTATCGGTACAGACCGAAATTACCCCCCAGGACAGTATCAATTTCAAGCCAGCTGCACGGCAAATACGTGGAGGCGTATAAACAGAGCCATCTGGACTAGCTTGTTGATTAAGCATGCCGCCACATGCTTTATATTCATCAGGATTAAACATCATTCCCAACCCCAGTCGCAACACCCATCCACGCCTCATCCCTCTCCAAAACAGCCATATCATCCTTCCTCAACAAAACCATAACCTCCAACCTCTCATCCACCCCGTCCCTCCTCCTCGGCAAAAGCACCGCAACCCCATCCGCCTCCATATATGGCAGTCTCACGAATTCCGGCCTACCCAGCCCAACACCGAAATCCACCTCGTATAAATCCAGATCCGCCCAGCTAGTAATAGCCAAGTCACGCGAGCCGAATATATCCCACCCTGGGTCGAGGGTGCGGTGGTCCTCAGTGTCCGCGATGAGACGGTATACTTCGGCGATGTGCCGTGCGCTGATAGTGGATGGGGATTGAGACGTTGTAATGCGCGTGCAGATATCCAACAGGACTTTTGCAGATTCCGGAGATTGTGGCCTGGTGTTTGTGAGTGTGTCTGCTGTGGCTTCTGTCCGGGTGTATAGCACTACGTTTCCGAAATACGGGTTTGATGCGGGTGCGAATGTTTCGCTGACTCGGCGCCGCCCGTTGACTATTGTTGCTAGGCGGCTGGTGGCTGACTCTGCGAGTGATGGATTGCGTTCAGCTCGTGCGCGCGTGATGGCCGTCCAGAGGAGCGCGCAGAGGATGACGTTTGTGGTTGGGGGGGTTGGTGTATACCTCCCCAGTGCCTGCTTTATGGTGTTGATAGAGTGAATTCGGATAGTGAAGACTTTGGACGTGCAGGGTGGTGTTTCAGTTGGCTGGACAGGTTCGTCTGCTACAGCAGGGGGCTTCTTGGCGTATTCTGGGTGTTTGGCGAGGAGATCTTCATAGGAAAGTGCCGAGATGTCTTTCAGCTGGGGTGATAATGCCTCTGAAAGCCGCTCAATTCTACCGAATTGCGTCGGGCGTGCGATGTCCAGACCAGACCCGGTGATGTTACGCGCCCATTGTCGCATTATCTCTGAGAATCCAGTTGCGTCGACGGTATTGTGGTGCAGGGAGACACATAACCCGACGCCGCGATCTGCGAAACGGAAAGCACTTGTAGCGAACACAGGAGCGCCAGCTTTAGCGAGGGCATCGTCTATTACAGGCAGCAGCGGCCAGGCGTCTTGGGGAATGGCTTCTGGGGGCATCCCCTGAGAGGAGAGTGTCTCATATGATCCGGCTATAGAGCCCTTGTCGGTTAGGGTTAGGGCGGTGTTTGGATTGTATCGGATTTCGAGTGACGGTTTCTGCTGGACCTGGCTGGCGCACACTCGGCCCGATAACCATGGCAGTTGCTTCGAGAGTGCATCCAGACCGACCTGCAGATATTTGCTGATCGCTGGGGTTGGTTCGGTAGTGTCGAACGCGAGGACAATGTTGATGTAGGCTGTCGGAACAGTCAGGTCCAGAGGGCTCAGCTGTTTGATATGAGTGAGCTCGGCCATTTCAAAGACTCAACTGGAGCTTAATAAATGCAGGAAACCGGAGATAGGAGAATAGGAGGCGAAGAGGGGTATTTATATTGCTAAATGATCTCCATTTCGTGCCGTCTGCCCCACTAACGGCGAATGTACATATAAATCAGTAAGAATAAACGGTTTATACTACCCAAACCAGATATTGAAACTAGTTTTACACGTAAACAAGAAGGGAAGTAGTTACAATGATCGTCTCATCGAGGCCTGGATGTTAATGCCTGCAAGGCATTTATGCTACTACCTGGCACAGGTAGAAACGTTCCCATTTAGTTGCCGGCCTGGCCGAGTCAAACAACGATCCAGGACTGGCGAAATGGGCGATCACAAACTCAATTGCAGTTGTCCTTATTCACATCAAGTGCATCGACATTGAATTCCTTTGGAACACGTAACCATCCCATTTTGCCAGTGCCCAGCAGTTTAGCGTGCTGTTAGAGACGCCGATGTCAATTAGTCCAGACTATGGCATCCTCTAAGCCCATAGTCTGCTACTAGTAAAAGAACTTATAAAGGGCTTCACACCCAAGTTCCATTCGAAAATCTTCAAAGGTGTTTCTTAAATACTCATTAATATTATGACATGGAATTCGTCGGCGATTGAAATCCATCCGACATCTCGGTAATATATATATAGACACAGCATCCTTATGCCCTTCCGACGAGCCCACAGATATTAATCTTTGGCACCGTCTACGACCGCGCAGACCACCCGTTAGCCGTGTATCATATCTCTGGGAGCTTGATAACTCACAGCATCCGGCGAACAGCATGCGCCTGATAAGCCGAGAGTGCCACACGAGGCGATCAGTGCCTCCTTGCTGCTTGCATCGGGAGGGACGTAGCATTGGGCTGTGACGAGAGCTCCCCTCTGTTGGTCGCAGCAGAGCGGCGTTTCTTTTTCAATGCAGATTCTGCTTTTATCGGTTGGAGCGGCGAGTGCGCTTGCTGTTAGGAGGGCTACGGCGAGGAGCTTTGAATGCATGGTGTTGCCTGTGGATGGAGGATTGTAGGCAGGATTGGAGAAGAGTTGAGATGCAGAAGAGGTAAGGTAGGATTTATTTACAACGAAAGATAGGATACGATGGGAATCTTCGTGGTATCTATACCTATTCCCTGGAAATCTGGGCTTCCTCTTTGGGTAAATGTAGATATCTACTTGGAAAGGGGCTTGCGAGTTGCATCGCGTGGGTCCCGCGTGGAATCTATCAAATAACCAGTCTTGTCAGAACTATACCATATAGAGCTGTTGAATTGGACCTGGTCCTTATTGTGGTACATAAACGGACCTTATTGCTTATTGAGTCTGTAGGATCGGCGGGTCGGAGCGGATGGCAGATCTCTTTGTTCGTATAAGATAGTCGCATTTGGTTAATGCCCACTAAACGATCAATTAAGATGCACCTAGACTGCTACTGGGAAATAGGAAATCATCGCCATCCTGCCAATTAACAGGCCATTCCATGGGATCCCATATCGAGAAGTCAAGGTCAAACTGCGAGCCTGCGTCTGACTGAATCCCTGCAGGTTCGGCCTGCCTTGAATCGCGATTGCCACCACCATCCCGTTCCCGTTCCATCCGCGCAGCAACAGCCTGCCGCGTATATTTATACGCCTTGAGAATCCCCCTGGCCGCAACATCCGCGACAAAATTCATACCCATGAACGACTCCGCCTTACCGAGGAAGGGCGTTTCTGCGTTCTCGTTCCAGTCTTCGCAGTCCAGCATGTGTTCGATGATCCTGCAAGCCCGCATACATTGGGACCGTCGATCGTTGGATGTTTGAGATATCTGCCTCATGAGTGTAAAGGTCTGTCTGATTATGTTTCTGATGGTTGTGCCGTCTATAAGCTCGCTTGGTGCTGTGCCGAGAATGCGCAGGAGGAAGAAGACGGCGTACCCTGCCGGGCGGAATACGTGGATTGTGCCCTTTCGCAGCGTGTCGGGGAATGTTGTCACGATGGTTAGGAGTTGTGTACATGTGATGGTTCCTTGAGTGATAAGTTCATGCTCTTTTTCTCGGTGAAGGGCGTTCAGATGGTCAGCCTTCTTCCCGAGAGCGTAGCAGTATAAGCTGAGCCGGGCGTCGAGGAAGGACACTTCATCAGCGGGAGACCATTTAGACGAATATTTATCTTGGATCATGCAGAGCTCGGATTCAAACATTCGTATAAATGGGAGAGGATCTGGCGCGAGGCCGGTGGACGACGTCTCGCATTCTCCTAGGGCAGTTGATATTTTTGAGGTGATTAGGGCGATGTGAAGTTGGATCTTTGTAGTCGCAGGTAACCAGGCCATAGAGCCATTCAGGGCGTGAAGGACTGTATGGTCTATCCTAATAGAGCCTGGGACTCCAAATCGTGCAGTGTGCCTGAACAATCAGCACGCGTATAAGAAAGTGAGTTATGAGTCCTACCATTGATCAACAATAAAGCAAGACAACCATGTTGACGTCCGAGTTTCCAGTGTCCCAATCTCCGCTGTCTTCGCCGCAAATAAAATATATGGATGCTGTGGACGATGCAAGCCCAGAGACCGCGCCATGGAAATTGCCACAGAGCAGTACATGGAAAACGGCTCCTTGCTCATATCGGTATGTGGGAACGACCACGCACATAGTAAAAGTAAAGCTTGAACAAGGTAGATAGACCTCGTACCCAGGAGGATGATGTCTGCAACCAGCTGCCGTACAAGAATCTGTAACCGAGCGTAGTCCGATGCATACTTGTCCGAGTCTTTGCTTGCAATTGCCACTACGGTCCAGAACAATAAAGGTGCTTTCTCGTAGCTATAGACTACGGTATCTGGATCGAGCAGTAGCGGGAACCGAGGGTGCATATTGGCATAGTACTCCTCTAGGAGCTCCGCCACAGCTCCAGACCAGAGGTTAATGCCGGTAGTCCCATGGGTAAACCGGGCATGTCTCTTTGCGCCGCGCAATTCGGCAGTGACACTCGCTAGAGAGTCCAAGCAAGGCCCGTCGGATCTCGGTGGGACAGAAGTCGGCTCGCTGCTTGATACTTCAGACTCAGGCGTTCGGTATGCAGGACTGCCTTCTCGGGATACACGTTTCACACTATATCGATTAGAATAAAGGCAAAGATGTTGGTCGGTGAGGTACCTTCTCTTGGACACCCTCTTGAATAAAGGGTCAACAGAGCACCGCTCGCCTGCCTTCTCACAAGCGGAACAAGCTGCAGGAAATCTCTGGCTTGCATTACATTTTACCTGAGCACATTAATTAACCTTCAACCGATGGGTTGAGATTCTTACCTTCATCTGGCGACATCGCACACAAGGCACGCCGGCGCGGCGGGGCTTGATCCGCACGGTCGAATTTGCCAGCGAGCGCGTTGCTGTAGTCTGAATATTCTCCATTTTGATGAAAGATCAACTTGGTGGCGGGTCAAGGCAGGACTTCATGAAATCAGGAGCAGCGCATCCAGCGAGTTTCGCTCCATCCGGCGAAACGTCGCTATCCTTTATGATTGGTCATTGAAGTTCGGCGGCGGGTGCTTCCAGACTGGGACTAGCGCAGTCATGCATCTCAGCCTGAGGAATCACTCGGCCTACGTGGTATACATGAACTAGGAGACAACCCTTGGGCTCTCTGGAGGAGTGACTCTAAGTGAAAGTCTCACGAGCTACCTTTCCTATGGCGAGCACTCGGGTCTATCTAGTAATATGGCTACCGGACTGGTCACATTGTAAATTAAATACCAGCATCATGGTCGTTATTGGCGGAGGTGATGGAATGCAAAAATTGAACCATAAACTCAACATTGCGAGATCTTTTTTGGCAACATCTTTGCTTTGATGTCCATGAGAGGACTGCATTATTTTAGCGGATCTGTTGAACCAGGTTTACAGCATTTTCTTTGTCCTCCGCCTGATTAGCGCTGTTGACAGTTTAGCCCACAGTCAGTTTCCTTTGTGAGCATTTCCAACCTGAGGAAACTTGGGGAAACTGTTGGCGCTGGGCTGGGACCTATTCTGAGCCGGCAAACATCCCTTCCTGTTGCGGTACACGACACTTATCCTATCGTGGAGATTGGATATAGTGCTGCCCTTTGTGGGTAGTGAGTACAGGAGAAACTTCTAGTTTGATTTCTGAAACTAAATATATCGAAGCAGACTAAAGCAGGTGCATAAACGTGGGCAACACAAAACACCAGGAAATAAACACTTAGCCACTACAGGCCCATTTGTTGAAACTTATCCAGCAGGGCAGCGTCCTTGTATAGATCCTCAATATCCCATAATCTTTTGTTCCTCCAGTCCTCTGGAGCACACACAAACGCCTCCACCTGACTGATGGAGCAGCAGTACCCATTGTAAATAGCGGTATAGTCTGTATCTGCGACCACATACCGTGCATCGACCCTGTTGTAGAGAGAGAGAGATGGTCTCTGAAGCCCTACTTGCCTCACAGTACACCCAATGGGATCCCACCTCCAAGGTTCATTCTGAGGCCACGAACAATCGGGATCAATACCATGTTCCCCCGCACGTCGCTTCAAGTCTTCTAAGAAAAAGGGATCCGGACATTCTTTCGCTTCAAGAACCATTTCCCAGCTGGGCTTGAAATCCGGCAAATCTCGATAGGTCGCCGCCAAGTTCGCCACAATGCATGCGCGGGCAACTGTACCGGCCATGTCTGGGATTCTTTTGGCAAGTTCCAAATACGTAGACCAGCTCGCCACGTTTGGATACCAGATGCAGTCGGGGGTCGCTCTGGGATGTGCGAGCACATACGAAAGGTCGTTGTTCATGATGAAGCGTGCAGATATGGCAGCCTCGATCTGACTAGATACCGGTATGTTCGTGAGATCTTGCAGCGACCACCATTTGGCAAACATGGTGTTGTGGAATATGCCGCGGACAACGCATACGTTCTCACGATATATCATCATTGGGCGCCGCAGTCGGACATACCGATCGATGTCGCCATAGTATGCTGCTGTTAGAATGAGGAGGTCTTTGTTGACAGTGGGCAAGTCGACTGGGAGAGGAGCGTAGAGGAACGGTGTGACATCCTCCGTAATGGCCTCGTCGCCATGTGTGGTGTACGAATCAATATTCATGTCTTCGGTGATATTAAAGTAACAAAAACTGTCCCCGAATTGCCAATCCTTCTCATGCGCGTGCTTGACTTCCAACATGGAGCATACCTGTGTTTCTCCATTAAGATAGGACTTAGGTGGATTTTCCAGGTTGACGGTACGATTGTAATCATTCATCACATCGTACTTTGCTTCGGCGCCCATGATCAAGTCATAGATCACCGTGCATCTGTTGTCGCGCGCTTCCTCAGCAATGTGCACGTCTGGAAGCAAGTTCAGCTCCTTGTACAAGTCCACATAACCTGCAACAGCACAGGCACGGCCGACCTGGTAACGCATCTGGGGGTACTGGGCCGCCAGCTTGCGATATGTTTCCTCGGCGGCAACATCGGGGTGCCAGATGCAGTAGGGCATATCGTCATGGGCAGTCATGTCGGGAATGATGTTGCTCATGATACTGCGTGCATTGAGGGCCCTGTTGATAACCTTCCTGCCTCGGAGCTCCGTTCCGAATCCATGGTGATACCGGATGCCCCTTATGACGCAGAAAAGATGGCAGCCACCTAGCTTGACGGGGATTGCTTCACCATTAATGGCGGAGTTGCACTGGTCTGGACTGTATTTGAACCCCATGGTGCGGACCACAAAGATTTCCCTAGCCTTACACTGACGGTGTTATGAAGAAAGGAGTGGATAGTTTGGATATAACGCAAGGGGCGACGGTATTGCTGAATCTTGAGTGAGGGATCCCCGTTAGATGAGGACTTCGAGATAAATTGTTCGTAAGGCCAGGATCATAATTCGGCCCACTGCTTCTCTTATTTGCCTTGGTGCCAAGGCCCTTTGTCTCCAAGCCTCACCTCAGGGCTGCTTACAACCTGCGGCGGGAAGGAATGTGTGCCCGGCTCTTTGTCTCGCAGCGCATACAGATCAAAATTGGCTGTAAATGGGGTGGTGCAGGGCGTTCCAACCTGGAGTAATCATTTGTTAATGACTTGGGCTGTCAGCACTGTAGGACGGTACCGAGCAAAGGGTCCTTTGTCGCCAGCGGGTCAGAGAACCGCTGCAGCCTTGGAAAGTCTCAAAATTCCAAAAGTTCCCCCCCCCCCGGCCAAGGGCATCTCCATCCTGAAACACCATAGTAGCAGTGCTCGGTAGACCTGGGAAGCTCTGGGAATGAAAGGTTGTCCTGCCACCTAACCCTAAGTATATTCCCTAGGGTCACTGAACGAAGAGGTATCCAAAAATGGTGCCCAGCTAGGATATTGACGAGACAGACAGTAAATAGGAGCGAATAAATTGCTATTTTACAAGGTAGCTAACCTGGTGTGGGAAGCTTTATGGGGATAGTACCTTTTTGTATCACTTGAGAGTATAAACCCTACGGGTCAGCTTGTTGGCAATGATCAGATTATATTATTCATTATATCGGCCGTATTCCTTTCAATTAACTGTTGAGGGAAAATAAGGCAAACAGCTATTCTTTACAAGGCCTTTTTGCAACAAAGACAGCTTTGCACGAAATATAGCTTTGTATGATAGATAGCTCGCAAACGATGGATATGCTTGAACAAAGAAGCTCTCTTATAAAAAGCAGCCATTTCCTGGCTCAAAAGGCTTCTCTCTTATGACATACTGTTGCTCCTCTCCCTGCTAATACCTAGCTACTTTACCATCAACAGTATTATTCATATTATGGTCAATTAATCTGCAGCAGCTCATTGCCGCATAACTTACCATCGGCCATAATATCCTTACCATAGCCGATTGCACTTCTCCTCGTGGACAGCATTCATACTCTACCGCGGCCTAGACTGGCTCATCCAGGATGAGGCCGCTCCTTCTCATCCTCATCCTGTGCATCACGACATGCGTGAACACCTATGGGAAGGCGGGTGCTTACGAGCGTATTCTGTACTACTACACCTACAAGCTTGACTGTGCAATCCACAAAGTTCCAACAAAGTTCTCACCCAAGTGTGGATCAGATTGTACATTTAACGGATTTATCAAACTCATCGACGGGCTTGGGCATGTTGACATAACCCAAGAAGAATTTCCTGAGATTGATACGACTGCCGCAGCACTTGAAAGTCTTGGACTCACCGAAAAGTACAATCCAGACTTTATTGTTCCTGGGGCAAGGCCTGACCCCAACGGCAGTCCTATCTCTCACGTCTTGGAGGCTGTTGCCGACTTTGTACAGAACAATATAGACCTAGTTGAGGGCAAGAAGTACAGGGCAAAGATTGCAGACGCCGCGAGGAAGGTTATGTTCAATCGGAAGTGTGGACAATCCGAAGCAATAGCTAAGAAGGTGCCGACATACTTCAAACATGGCTTCGTATGGACATACACGACGAAGACCATGTTCTATAAAACCAGGGAAAAGCAAGTCAGAAATATCATTGACATTGCCGCCACAGCCTACTCTATTAAAAAGCATTATTCAAAAGATCTTCGATCGGAGTTTACGAGGGTTATCAACTTGCCGGACGTTAGTGACAAGGGTCACAAGGCCAACATCAAGGCTTGCAGAAATATTCTCCGCGCGGTTCAACAAGAATTAGTACGCGATTGGGGAGATGGCGAAAAGAAGAAAAAGAAGCAAAAGCCACTTCGCTTTGCAAAGCCGGAATGAGCCGGAATTAACACGGGCTTTGTTTTGTTGAAATTTCATGAAATGTCTGTGCAATAGAATCCTGATACGTATAGCATGCCCCTTAGCTTTATTTGATTTAGTTAACTATAAACAGTCCTGACTCTAGTAAGCATCTACGGGTTACTTTTCTGCCCGGGTGAGCATGGATATAGGGCAATTGGCGAATACTGACCGTCCCGTGATAGTCAGGCAACTGAACCTTTATCACTGTCCTGCGAGCCCGACACTGAGGACAGTGACTTTCAACAATCTGATAAGAAGCCTTCTGGTTTCCATGACTGGTTCTATAGTTCTATTATCCATCAACTCCTCCTAAATTATATGCCTGGAATAGTTTTAACCCGTGTCTTAGGTATTTCTAATATTATTTATAGTATGATTGACGGAATAATTCTTCTATTTAGCTTTATTACTATTTTAACTAGAGCAGTAATCTATAACAGCATCTTCTACAGTATTAAGATCTTTAATAGCATGGTATACTTTATTAAAAGCAGGATTTTCTTCAACAGCGGCGGGTGTGACTAAACTGGGACTAGCGCACTCACGCCGTCGCTGCATCTCAGCCTGAGGCCCCAGCTCGGCCTACGTAGTATACATGACCTACAGGACAACAATTGGATAGTTTACAGGAGTGGCTCTCCCGCCAAGTGCTTGTTTTCTTGTATTTGTGGTTGCTGTACTCATTCCCACTGACCGCCTGTATTTAACGTGGACAACTATGACGGAGCCGCAGATCTTCGCTGGATGTCGCTGGATGCTGGGCATTCGCTGGATAGTTTCGCTACATTTCTAGGCAGCCATTAACAGAAGGGCTAATATATTGCTCTGTCCTGGGTGGCTTTAGTAGAGCGCTAGAAAATAGACAGAGCTGGATTTCCTACACAGCACTCACCCTCATACTTCCGTTTCCTCAGCCCTACGTTCCCCCACAAGCAACCCTGCTGTTAATCCCAGTATCCCCTTGAGCACAATTTTGGGTGGATACTGTTGGCCTAGAGCAAAAACAACTCCCCGTCGCGGGAGGTTGCTAGAAATGGATATGAACATGGATCTGCACTCCATCTCCAGCGCTGCTCCAACAGCTTCGGCTTCCCCGACTTCACCAAGTGAAAGCCCTACAAGCTACTTTTCCTATGGCGAGCACTCGACCACAATTCTGGCACACATTGTGCTCATGATTCTCGCCTGGTGTTTTGTCCTTCCTGCAGGTAACTAATTTCTAGTTCGCAAGTATTGAAATCATCCACTGACCGTGACAGCCGTCCTACTTAGTGTTGCCCGCTCACGCCTTGCTCTCCCATCACAGTTCGTATTCCTTCTCTTCAACACCATCGGCCTTCTCTTCGGCATCATCTATAATAGCCAGACACCCGATCTGTACGAGAACAACGCCCACCACAAAATCGGCTGGATCGTGACAGGAGTCTTCACTGTTCAGGTCTTTTTGGCTTTGGTGTTTGTATATGATGGTCGCGGCAAGCCAAGGGAGTTTCGTGCTACCTTCCTGCCTGTAGCTACGGGTGAGGATGGATATAGGGCAATTGGCAAATACTGCCCGTCCCGCGATAGTCAGGGAAGTCAACCTTTGTCGCCGTCAATCGAGGCCGAGGCTGAAGACCTTGAACAAGCTGATGAGAAGACCTCTGGCCTGCGTTGGTGGTTATTCAGCTTTACTGTCCCTCGATTCCTCTTCCGCGTACCTGGAATGGTTTCAAACCGTGCTTTACGCCTGGTCAATACCGTTTATAATGTGATTGACCGCATCATCCTCCCCTTTGGATTTATTGCTATTTCCACTGGAGCGGTGACCTATGGCGGTATCTTCCACGGCATCGAGGTCTTCAACGGCGTGGCGCATTTCATCAAAGGCGGGATCTTCTTCTGGTACGGCGTTCTCACCCTCGGACGGTTCATCGGAGCCTGGGCGGACTTGGGATGGGCCTGGAATAAGAAACCCCCAGCGTATATTGTCGGATGGAAAGCAAAGGTTCCCTCGGGCGAGTTCGTGGAGTCGTTCGTTATCTGGTTGTACGGCGTTACGAATGTTTTCTTAGAACACCTGTCTGGTTGGGGGCAGGAGTGGACACCGAGGGATCTGGAGCATGTTGCTATCTCTATTATGTTCTTTGGTGGTGGTCTGGCTGGTATGTTGTTTGAATCGCGCCGTATTCGCGAGGCTCTTAACAATACCCTCTTTCCGCGGTCTCCGTATCAGGAACCGGATTGTGAGAACTGGAAACTTCCCAAATCCCAGGGCGTCCCACTTAACCCCATGCCAGCGCTTATCATCTTCCTCCTAGGGATAATGATGAGCTCGCACCACCAAAGCAGTATGACTTCAACAATGGTGCACAAGCAATGGGGAAGTATGCTTGTTGGATTCGCTATCGCTCGCGGAATGACATATATCCTACTTTTTCTTCGTCCGCCAACCTCGTACCTCCCCGGCCGTCCTCCCACGGAGATCGTCACTGCGTTTTGTCTCATGGCTGGTGGGCTTATTTTCATGTTGAGTGTACGTATTCCAACCTTGTGCGGCTCCCATCAGACAGGCTTGCTAATTGTTTATTGATAGGCTAGCGATGTGGTCGAGGCTATGGAGTTTTATGAGGTCGATGCGATGTTTGCGTTTACTGTGGGCATGGGCTTCACGGCGTTTATTATGTCGTTGGTGGTTCTGGCTATTGCAATCAAGGCGTGGGCTGTACGGCGGGGGAGGGGACGGACTGAGAGATATTGATATATATTGTCAGATATTCATAGCATTATGATTTATATTTGTTTGCATGGTACTAGATAGAATAATACTACGATGATTCATCTTTAATTTCGCATCACAACGAGGCTTTGGTAGGAATATGGAATAAAACGAGTAATATGACGATGAGTGCGAGTTTGATGTCATTATGCATGATGGCAGCATGGCCAAGTCAAGGCTGTTCTCGGCTACGCCTATATTCTCCGCGGAATAATCCCAGTCTCCTCAATAGACGATACCCCGAGCCATATTATCGTAATCTAAGATGTGAGGTGGCTGATAAAGGCCGCAGCATAAGGGGCTGAGTGCAGCATCCAGCGATCATCGGCGTCATCCAGCGGCATCCAGCGATATCAGCCAAGCGTATTTACGATTCAGGATTGCCCTCCTCTTTAATTAAACACGCGCTCCTTTTCCGCTTTTGCGATTCATTTGTTTCTGCATTTTGGTACTCCTTATTTATTCTATTTTCGCTGGTTTTTCTTTTTTTTTTTTTTTTTCGTTCGAGCTTGGGTTGTCGATTTTCCCCCAGTATGCGGCGCAGTCTTTTGGTCTTTTTCCTGGTCGGCATTCTCACTATCTTTCTCCTGGTTCGGAGTGTCTGGACTCTGTTATCACTTCTCATCGAAGATGCCGCCGCCGATGCGATCCACCGCGCTGAGCTACCCCGGGTGAACTCCAGCTTAACGGACCAACGGCCCCATATCATCCCTAAGATTATCCACCAAACCTACAAAAACGAGACCATTCCTGAGGTATGGGCTGGTGCCCAGCAGAGCTGTATTAACCTGCACCCGGACTACGAGTATATTGTACGACTCTAGCTTAACCAACCCGTATTGTGCTAATTGTTCCAGCTGTGGACGGACGCAAAGTCGCGCCAGTTTATTGCTGCTGAATATCCCTGGTTCCTTGCTACCTTTGATGGTTATAAGTACCCTATTCAACGCGCAGACTCAATTCGGTATTTCGTTCTGGCGCATTACGGCGGAATATATATCGATCTAGACGACGTGTGTACCTACCAATAGCCCTTTGATACGGATTCTAACTGTAACCAGGGCTGCAATCGTCCCTTGGATCCCTTGCTGGCATACCCTTCATGGCTGCGCCGCACTGTACCGACTGGTATATCCAACGATGCGATGGGTTCAGCCCCGCAGCACCCTTTCTTCTTAAAGGTGATTAAGTCACTCCAGCAGTACGACCGCCACTGGGGCCTGCCCTACATCACCGTCATGTACTCGACCGGCCCACTCTTCCTGTCAGTGATCTGGAAGGAGTACATGAAAGACTCCCCGTCTGAGACGAACCGCGTCCGCATTCTCATGCCGGACGAATACAAGAATAACGCTTGGAGCTTCTTCACCCACCATACTGGGAACAGCTGGCACCGTAACGACGCGCGGTTGATTTTTTGGGTAAGCACCATATATCGAATCAAATCGAATCTATTGCTAACGAGCAAGATGGGTCAACATTGGCAACTTCTCACGCTGTGCGGATTTCTCTTTGCCGCCGCTGCCGTTGTCGGTCTCTTCTGGGCGTATACTCAGATTATGGGACTAAAGGGCGAATATCGCTACCACAGCCCTACACCCTCTTCTGGTATATGGTCTTCACCTTCACGGCGCGCTCGCTATATGATGCCTCCGTTGCCCTGGAGGAGAAGCGTCAAGGGGGATGAGGAGAGCGAGGCTCTAATCGAGCTGGGGCGTCGTGACGACTGATTCTCCGCATTTTCATTTTTCTTGTATATAGATTGGCCGTGCGATGCATATCCTATTGGCGGCCGATATCTGACTGATATCGTTATATTAAATCAATAATACTCAGAATTAAAATTCTTACAACAGAACAACACCCATGCCAACCAAAACCCCCGCCCCAACAGTCCCAACCCACGCAAGAACAAACGCCCTCTGCGACGGCCCCCCAAGCACCCTCATCCCGGCAGTAGAAACCTCATCAGGCGCCCCCGTAGCCCGCATACACCTCGTCAACCCCGTCGTCGAAATCGTCTCCGTCAGAGACTCCGTCTCCCCATCCGCCTTGGTCGACCCGTCCTCCAGCGTGCCGGAGACAAGAACCGTCGTCTCGCCCTCGATGTCAATTGCGCAGACGCTCGTACTATTCAGGGGATTGACACTGGCCATCTCCCTCTCGAGCATGGCTAGGACGAAACTGGAGTTCTGGTGGAAGTCGTCGCAACCGCACAGCGAGCCCAGCGCGCAGCAGCAATATATCGGCGCGCTGTGTGACGAGTCGTCGTCCGACTCGGTGTATTCGAATTCCGCCTCGTATTTGTATGCGTAGTTCGTGTTGGGAATTGTACACTCGTATCCGGATGGATATTCCTCTAGGTCTGGGGTGTAGGGCAGGTTGGTGAATTTCCGTGGGGATACGCCGTTCGGTGAGACTTTTCCTGAGAGATATGGTACTGCTGCCCCGCCGGTGTATGAGAGCGTTTCTGGCGGGTCGAGATAGGATGGGTATTTATTGTAGGACCATGATCCGGTACTGTTGTCCCAGTGGGGGGCGCTGCCTGAGCCTTTTGCGGTATACCCGCCTTGTGTGCTATTCTTTCTATTGTAGTTGTCAATACGCGGGTCTATAGAGATAG